GGAGAACGTGTTCGAATACCTGTCGCGAACAACTACCGCTGTTGTGTTTCGTTCCACAGTCCGTTTTGAGCCTTGTGTGGTAAATCCTACTCTGCTGAACAAGCTTTGCAGATGAACACACTTGGTTGCAGGGATAGCATGCAGCGATGACTGCTTCCGCAAGGAAGGGAGACTTGCTCGCCGGTTCATCTGATGCATCTGAAACGATGCAGGGCATATTTCGTGCGCAAGGATCATGTACATTGTAGTCACGTACTGTCGTATTTAGTCGCTGCAACTGGACCCTGGCCCGGCAATGCACTCGTCTCTCACATTTCATCCGCAGTGGGTCTGGCACATGCAATGAGTGTACCATAGTACCGGCAGCAGCACTTCAGCTCCGGTGCACCCCGGTTGGAAGACATGAGGGCCTACCGCGGGTAGTACCCGACTATGTAAATGCAATGAGGCTCATACATAATTCTACGCTGGGCCTGCTGAACCTATATGCCGCAGCACGGGCGTGTGCCGCCGCCTTGCTTCTATGTACTATGGTACTGCAACTTGAATGGCACCTTGACGATTGATCAAAGTCCAGCAACCCGCCGCTGCTTACTGCTGTATCTCGGAGGGCAGTCGACGGGAAAGCTCGGCGGTATTTCTGACAACTGCTCTAAGTTAGTGAACGGAGCCTGGTACAGACTGACAGGCCCCTGCGCCATGACTTTGCACCAGGCGCACGCGAAGGATTGTGTGCTAATATGTTACGGGTCTGACCGCTAGCCCTCAAGTCTATGAGGTTTTATTGTAGCATTGTTCATATGGAACAGCCACCGTAGCATGCTGCAGAGAACTGTTTTCGGTAGTTGAGGCACCAAGGCGTGACCTGGGCTGTCGCGCCACGGCATGGCTGGCAACCCTCTCAGGCAGTTGGAGTTGGGCATTCTTGAGCCCGAATGCAGCTGCCGAGACTAGTAGGCCAAAAGTCCCGCGACACGGTGACACCCATTCGCCAGATTCAGCCAATGCAGCTACCTAGTCGATAGTATACTTCGTGTTGTGGCACAGCAATCAACAAGCGGGCATGCATCGTCTTCATTTCCCCCAGGCTGTTGGCCCCTCGCCGGCCGGCTCGTGTGTATTCAGCCTGTTACGAGTAATGGGCTGCCTTTACCTCCAGGTGCGATCTGCGGGATCCCTCCTGTCGGTATCCAATGCCAGTTTTGGACCGTTGGTTGACTAAGTGTTACCTGTGACGCCCAAGCCGAGCGCTTGCGGCTGCATTCATCCAAATCCCATAGGGGTTTTGCCATGTTCATAAACGCCGCAATCGCGGCAAAGCAAACAATAATGCAACCCTTGTCGATCTTGATGCACTGTACTTTTCCCTCCTCCACCCCACCGGCCGCCCACCAAGACCCGTCGATGGGAAACCAAGGGAAGTTGACGCAAATGATGACGCCTCAGGCCAGGACCAGGCTATTTGGCCATCTGGCTATCTGTATTGGGACATTTGCACAATTGGGCCAACCCAGCCAAGCGCCCAGTAATGATGGCGGAGGGATCTACAGCAATTCCCGAAATTACGTGATGCCCATAGGGCGGCCGCCAGTGGTAAGCGTACGGAGTATGCGTGCTTGTCATTATTCTCGCGCGCCCGCTAGCCAGGTTACCAAGACTGTCACCATCGGGCCAGCTCCCGAACGATCGGCCGGGCCAGAGCTGCTACTACATGTGTGCCGATCCATCTAACTACCGCCCGAAATCTCAGTTAGTTGGCAGCAAGGCCAGCTAAAGGAGCCTTAGCCGATGCATATGCCGTAAGTGAGCCAACCGGCAGGCAGTATGGCGGGTTTCACGGCCTGCAGAAGATTAGACTTCGTCGTGACAAGAGACCCGGGGCCACGACGAACTACTTGCCTAGTATCCTACTGCCTCTAGCCCCATTTCCTGTTTTCAGCCCATTCCCTTCACGGGTCTGCTTAGCGAGTGCGGGCCTCATTGGTAGATTCCACTAAAGGTAGGCGGCAGGCAGCTTGCTGGGCCCTTTTTGGCTATTCGGACGTGCTATCGGGCTAAGAAGCGACTCGGCCGATCACAGCCAAAATGTAGCCTCACTGCGTAGGGGATTTCGTGGCCCTGTTTGACCCCTTTATTGTTCTTATTTTCTCCTCTGTCTAGGTTGACGGCGGGCCTGGCGCGCCACCGTTTGGCTGTTGGCGCAGCCAGCCTTAGGCTCCCAATCTGCCTGCACAGCGTGTGACAAAGAGCTAACTTGGAAGGCTATCTGCCCAGTAACTAAACAGATGGTCGACGCTATTGACTCCTTCAGCGACTGCCAAGGGGACCTGGATGGCGCGAGATAGTAGCCTCTCCTGGGATCCTAGTGCACGGCAGCACCTGTCCCGCCCGTGTGTGCCCGGGCTCGCGTGCGGCCATACAGGACACTTTCGGCAAGGCGGTATAGCCGCAACCCTGCAGTGACAGTGTACCACAGTACCATGCCGGGGAAAAGACTCGAGTTGGGATGTCCCATAGTCTCTCGGTACCAATAGGGAGTACACCCGAGGCCATCCGTTGTGGCATCTGCGAGCGCCGGGACGCCTGGTGGTAACCCACAAAGGAAACTGGGGGGTTCTCTAATCTCCATTGACTCGTACTCGTACTGTAACGCGATTCTGGGCGTGAGCCTTGGGCCAGCAGGTACCCCTCCCAGCGGTGCTCAGGTGCCGGGGCACCCCCAGCGCTGCCCTTCCTCATCGTACACTACGTGCAATTTAGGGTGTGACCAGGCGCGGGGCTAGAAATAGACATTGAGGTCCACAGGCACCCAGGGCGCTGGGAATACGCTAGCCACGAGCTGCCGGTGCACCATGCGTCTTATTAGCCGTAATATAATGCACTGATTGGTGCTGAGGGTGCCCCAGTCAAAGGATGGTGCCGGCCGTTGGCAAACCCCTCCGTCGACTGCTTGACTGACTAGACTTTCCTCCTGCGGCGCTTCCTGCCCACGGCCCAGTGGCTGGTGGAGAGGACCACAACCGCCGGTGCTTCTATGGGGAGACACGGGCACGGAGGCCAAGACTGCCCAGTAGCTGTGCCTATCTCCGTAAGTCATGTCATCTGGGGCTTCGGAAAGACCCTGACTCAAGGGTACGGGCACGACCACAGCGCCTACAACAACCGGTCGAGCAAACCCACTCCATGCCCGCAGAAATTACTGGCCCCTTCGTTCATCTGAGGGCGAAATGCAGTCGCCAACCAGCCAGTCATGCGAACAAGAAGCCTCGCATTGCATTGCATTTGCGGTACAATATAGGTGTAAGTTAACTTTCGGTAGCTGTTCGTAACGAGGTACTTGTACCGGGTGGCGCAACGACGTCGGCCGCGCCAAGATCGCACATTTCCCTCTCATATTGAGGCACCAGCAAAAAACGGCGCAGGAGATTCCCCGCCAACTGCATCCTTCGACTCCTCGTTACCGGCTTGTTACTCAAACCGTTTCTCGCCCGGGATCCTCTCAATCTCCCTCTTCACCCCATACATCATACCACTCATGCTTTCGAAACCTCAGGTGCCCCCCTGCTTAGTGTCATACCCCAAGAACTGCAGGGCACCCAACTCCTGGGCGACATACTGTTCTGTACGTACAGTCGCCGTGGAGCCATACCCTACAAGCGACGAGCTTGATGGGCAAGGGGGGTTGCGCTCCCACATACTACGTAGATAGACGACCAATGTTTCGATGCCACAGCCCCATCCTCACATCCATTGCTCGCTTCCAGATGTGTCAAAGTACCCAGCAGTGATCTTGGACCTGCCACAGTACTGCGGGACGGTTGTACTTTTTGACGGTCCACTTAGACCTATCCGTCAGCTTTCTGTCATCGACTCGTGTCCTGGACTGGGCCGTCAACCTGGCCCTGTCTGCCACAAGGCTCCATAGCAAGCATGGTGCTTACCCGTTCCCCAGTTGCTGGTCGAGCCGCCGAGTACTTTGCTCCTTCGAGAACGCGTTGCGAGCCCCAGAATGGTACTTGCCGGGGCCGTCCCTAGGCTAGCCCAGGCCTCAGCGGTCGTGCATACGTTTGCATATTATCAAGTCGGTACATGGGTACCTTCGATAGGCGCCAAGGAACGATACTAGTACCGCCGTCTTTGTCGGTGCCGACATCCAGCCCAAGGGTCGTCTACCAGGGTCATGAGTCTCTTGTCGTTCTCAGGACAGCCTGCACATGTTTAAATCACGGCCGAGTCTCCTACTGGACCAGGACCCCTAGACAGGAGGACGGGCCTGGGTACCACCCAGGTGACATTGGACCATCGCATACATCTTACCAGATTTCCCATTTGATCATACCCGCACTTTGTCCTCGAATCATCTTTCTTTATTCTTTCGGCCAATACTGTGGCTATACTTCCGAATGACACCGAGCCTTTCAGGGTTGCTTACTGCTGAGGCTCCATAAGACTACGCTGGACTGCTGCTCTCTCCTACGTACCAGCTTACCATCTTCCTGGATCTCTGACTTCGACCCATGAGCTCGCATAAGAAACGTATGCTTTGACGTACGCTCAAAACGTTTGCATTGCACCTCAGCACCCCGCCGAAACGTGAGGTCGAGATCTACACCACGAGAATAATATTATCCAGGATTTGTGCCGCACACGAGAAGCCACTTTCCAAGTCACCAAAGGCAACCGACCGAATCATTATATCGACATTTATACCTCTCGAGACGCCGTGTATGCAGATGATATAGGTGCTTGGGTCAAGTCTGGAATACGTTAGCCGCGGATCTGGGCATGCTTACAAAGTGTATCGATCTCTCACCGTCTCAATGGGGATTTCTAGGATAGACATTCAACGTTCCTTAATTACGCCAGATACACCTCCTCCGGAGGTAGAGAGTCCAGGTACATCCGCTTACCCATTCAGGGTCCCTGAGGAGCGTTCTTGGAGATCTGCTGCGCCCATCTCTCCGCCTATGTCCAGCTATGATCAAAGCGTCACGTTAGATATGTCGGCTGGGAAGAATTCGGAAGAGGCTCAGGCACGCCGGGAAGCTGTTCAAAATGCGCCTCGACAGCAGCTGCCGTCACTGAGTAGCATATTTGGTCCGCCTAGCCAGATGCGACCTCTGCATTCGCCTCTGTCAGACCGACCGAGCCCTCTGCGATCTCCATTGGATAGACCAGCTTCTGCATCTGCGAAGTCAGACAGATCTTACTCTAACTCTTATTTCCCAAGTGTACCAACCCCGGCAGCACAGTCGCGCAGCGTCTACGATCCAAGGGTTGAGCATGAGCGAACATCTCTGCCTGCGGTCACACCTCGATTCCCGGGGCCTTTTTCACCCAGGAACCGTGAATTCGACTCTTTAACTCATGGTGGCTCTCGACACGACTCTGCTTCAAGCTCAAGGTGGTCAAGTCAGTCAAGTCACCCAGACTCGAGGAGACCCGAGTACGTCTTTGGCACGCGAGAGCCGGCAGCGTTTCGGCCTGTTAACGACAGACTTCCATTCCCGTCTCTCAGTCGCAAGTCTAGCCACGAGTCGCTCGGGGGATACAGGGACGGATACAGAGACCAGAGCCAAACGCATATGTCATCCGGCCCTTCGTCTGGTATTGGAGCAGGTACCTCGTCGGAAGCAGTCCCGGTGAAGGATGGACTTGGCCCAAAGATCTGGACGGGGACGCACTTCTTACCTCGATTTGTACGACAAGCAGAGGTGCCTGGCGAAGGTCTGTGCTACTTCTACGACGATGGTACACATTGCAAATCAGTCATCGATGGAGAGCAGGTGAACGCACATTGGGGCGTGACCAAAGCTGGGAAGCCGAGAAAACGACTTGCTATCGTAAGTTTTCGAACTGCTGGGGCTAAACTCAGCAGAACCCCCAAGAATCCATGGCGCCTCGTCAACTAACTGTCCACAAGGCATGCTTGACGTGTAGGGAGAAAAAGATCAAGTGCGATCCAGACTTCCCTCGTTGCGTACAATGTGAAAAGTTTGGTAGGGTGTGCAAGTTCAAGAACGCGTAAGTTGCTTAACGGAGGGCATAGAGCCTTGATGCGTTCAACGCTGACACCATTTCAGACCACGAGGTGGACACAACACTTCCCCGACTGCCTCACCAGGACTTCACACCGAGACGAGACAGCTGGACTCGCGACACAGAGATGCTGAGCCAAGGAGGGCGAGCAGCACGTCGAGCGCCTCCGTATCCCCCAGAACGACAACATTGTCTCACCCCTCTCCAGAGCTGGCCGGCCTGCCTACCAAGAGGCTACGCCTAGGGTTTGAGCAATATAAGCCACCTGGCAACGATTCGGTGCACTCATACCACTCGTCTGAGGCGAACCAGGCTAGTTTATCATGGCAGCAACGCGAACTGCCTCGTGTCCATGAAAACCTTCTTTCTCGACCTTGGCAGACTGGCTCGTAAGTTTTGAATCCAATTGCACAGACACCCCATGTCCCCGTTCCCCAGTATTTCAGTCATGGCTCTGGAATCCAACTAATGCTGTGGTGTGTAGAAGAAACCATGCTCCACTTTAAGGTCACCCATACGCTTCTATCAGATCAAATTACGCCTACAAATTACCGAGATCTTATGTGGGATATTGGAAATTAAGCAGCTTTCCAGTCTTTGCTCGTAAGAAGGGAGATCAACAAAGCGAAGTTGCTGGCCAAGAGCGGGAAACCATAATTCGACAGCCGCAACGCTGGGAACACAGTCACTGGATCGCTACCAACTCATTATCGACAAATGAGAAAACAAAAACGACATGGTTCCAGCATCCATGTCAGGGCCTCACATCTTGGCAATCAGAGCTTCAGGTACGACACTGGCCGCAAGCCCCAGGGCTAGGACCCGGAATAGACGGGAAAGACGATACCCAATCAACCAAAAGAGGAGATGGGAAGAAAGGAAACAAAGGAAGGACGTAACGAAGTGCTACGACCATGCATTTGCGGCGTTTGATTTGATCGGTACTGCTTATCTTAGCAAAGAAAAATCAAAAGGGGGAGGGGGCTCCGTGTTTTTGTTTTCAAGCGCATGTTCTTGGGTCCGGTTGAGAGTCTTGTCCATTGCTCAGCGGATATCTGTTTACATTCATTGTTGGAAATACCCAGTTGCATTGCAAACTACCCCTTGGGACTGTACATTAGGCTCACTATACAGCATTGTGTCTCGGGTGCGCGAGCACACAACCTTACCAGGTGGAAATACAGACACGCCTGCGCTGAAATGATCATCTATATTCACAACCATAAAGTTCGCCCTGTGATTAACAAACATCTTCTTCGAATCTATCTACACCAGAAAACTCCCTGCCTCGTGGGTCACATACTCTCGCTTGTCCAGAAGCGAGGTGAATTTGGCTTGCGGCACAGTTATCAACGCCTTGCCCGTCATTTACGTAACGCCAACAACATGGCATGAGTATGATCTTCGTGTTCTGTTCAGCCCCTCCTATCCAGGGTCTTATTCCAGCCTATCCCGTCTATCGATACACAATTGGCGTTGAGGAATCACACCGGCTCTCGCTCTCGCTTCAGAGAAGGATGAGGGCCCTCCATTCCCCTTGCTAGCGTTTCTGCTTTCTCGTTATCGCCTTCTCACCGTCCTTCAGGCTCGTCTCGTCCCGGGCCTTGCTTGGCTCTTGGCCATGTCACCCGCCACCCTCTCACCATCGCCAATTCCCCCCCTCCCCCAGACGGAGCCGGTTCGGGAGCCCAGGAAGCAGCCCACCCAAGAAAAGCCCGCCGCTGGCGGCGTCGCAGGTCGCGGTCGCAGAGCTCCCCTTTCGGACATTGCGACAGCGCTCTCGCCTTTTTCGCCATCCAGAGAAAGTGGGACGCCGGATGGAGTGCAGTACCATGCAGCGAAGAGCGAACAGAAGTTCCCCTGCATGGCTACGTATTACCGGGTTTAACCAGGGGGGGAGGCAAATCATACATGGCAAAACCCCGAAGGTCTGTTCTCTGCCAACGAGGTGCCTACCACATCCGGCAGTGCGATATCTGGGTCCCCTCGGGGTGGTCCCCTCCAGGACCCTTGCCTCGCCTGAGCCTTGCGCATTGGGGGGGGCACACACACACAACTCCACAAAAATGGAATAGTGGTGCATATGCGCACTCGTTATTACCGGACCCATAGAGGGCCGACGAACATGCACAAAGAGAAATCCGAGAGCGGGCGGCCGCCGCTAAACCAGGGAACTAGGGTGTAGGTACGAGCAACTCGTAACTACTTGCTCGGTGAACTGCCCCGGGGGTTTCTAATCTTTACCGAAGGTCGAAGCGAGATAGCGGAAATATGGGGGACAACTTTACGATGACGAGGAGGAGATTGCAGTAAGCCCACTTACAACGAGATAGCGGCACAAATGGGCCCCTGTCAAGTCTTTGTGGCGTGCAACGTTTATCAAGCTGTGACTGGGGATGTGGGAGGGAGGGAGAAGAGGAAAGAAAGGAATGCCACCGTACCATTCCCTCGGGAACCCACCACGTAACACACCTCGCACGTCGAAACGTTTCCTGGATTGGCCCCTCCTTGGAGTTCTTCTCGGTTACGTTACGAGAGGCTTGCCGAGGCTGACTGCACCAACCCGGTCCGATTAGGGGACGAAACTCTAATATCGGACGGGGGAGGGGGAACGGAACAAAGTGCGCAAGTACTATACACTGCGGATGACATTCTCTGGGGGTGCACTCTCAGCCAACCCAGGCTACCAGGGTTGCTTCACCATGGACGGCGGGAGAAGAGACGAAGGAACTCAAGCCGAACCGACCCAAAACACCAGAAATCCTGGTACGACGCGAATTGTAGCAAGGACCAGGCAAGTTGTCACAGGCTCGGAGTCCGGCGCGAAAAGCGGGTCGCCCACGGACGCTGTGCCCCATGTCTGCCATGTCTCAACTGCCTGCGGCCAGCCGGCCCTGGCGGCCGACAAGTCCCGGTATGCCGGCGCCCTCTCGCTGTGCGGTGCGACCAGACAATGGGAACATCGCGAAACCGAACATCATGCAGCGTTTGCACGGTTCCCTCCACCTTTGGAGCTAAGCAACCATGTTTCCGGGTTGGATCACACCATCTCGTCGGAGGAATAGCCTGTCCATCAATCAATCAATGCGATTACACACCCTAAACACGAGAAGCCGGATGCCACCTGCATCATGACGTGTAAAGGTGCATATTCCGAGGGAACGGTACGCGCAACGACTGGTCCGTCCGATAGGATCAGATATCAGCGGTTGGTATAGCATGCTTGATTGTCTATTCAGTGCCAGAATATTCTCCTATGACTGACATAGACAGAATCTAAATCACACGCAAAGTCCCTTCCTTTCCCTGCCTGTACCGTGCATTTCTGGGGTATCAGCAAAGCAAAACTACCAACGCAAAACGCCGTGCTGATGCATCAAGTCATCTGTCCATACCCCTTATAATTAACTCTCGGCCGTCGAGTGAGCCGTGGAATGCCCTTCACAGCGTACTGCTAAGCCAAAGATGGCATAAGCCTTTCAATCAGATATGTCATCAATGTTGATGGTGGGCGGCTTCTTGAGGACCAACTCGGCACGGCCTGCCCTGTCTTGAGGCCGCTGTCTTGATGGTCCCCGAAAGTAGGCACTATCTGTAGCTGTCTCATTCGGACGTGCCACGCGTGCTTCTGGTTGGCTTTTGTCCTTTTGAATACTGGTACTGGTGCTGAGTGGAATATACCAATTGCACACCGAGTTTCCGGGCTTCTTGGAGCCTTTGAGCTCTTTAGTTGCGGATCGCAGGTCTCGCTGTAAATCGCGTGTCAAATCTCGCGAGGGATGGGGCTCCGGTGACTCCTCAACAGCTACCGGGTTACCAGGGGTTCCATCACGAGTGCTCGGTGACCTAGGAATGGGTCGTAAAAACTCCCGCTCCGTCGTGTTACTGGCAGATCGCTGCGAACGCCTGGGGGTCTCAATAATGGCTCGGTCTTTCGTTGGCCGAGGCGGTGATGATGGGAATGTGCCGGGAAGTGAGTTCACTCCTGGATCTTCAATGGCTGCCCTGAATTTCGGGGTGACTTCGCGAGAACCGTGTCTGGTGTTCCGGGCGTAACCAAGTTTTCCTGCCTCGATGGTGCGCATCTCATTTTGATGCAGCGTGGAACTGTCAGTAGCCTCGCCACGCTCGAGACTCTGAATAACGGATGAGCCAGATTCCGTGTTGTTGTCGTTGTTGATTAGAGATATCGCCGAGGCAGAAGATGACGGCTGTGTCTTGAGTTCAGGATGATTCGCATCGCTCGAAGATGAACGTTCGGCCAGGTTCCGCTGATCAAGTGCGGCTTGTCGCTTTCTTTGTCGTTTCTCATCCCTTTCTGCATCTTCCCGCCTCTGTTGTTCCTTTTGCAGCTCAAAGATGGTTTGTCGAATCTCTTGACGCAGATGCGGTGCATCGATTTTCCATTGAGGCTCTTCCTGCGCAAGAAGCCCGTGAATGAAACCATCTGGGTTCTGCAAAAACTCGTGAATATATCCAAGAAGATATAGTCCACAGTCACAGTAGTTCTCCTGCAGAGGTATGTTTTTGGCTGTCATTCCTATGCGCCCCGGGTCGGGTATCTCCACGCCCTTCTTGTCCTTCAATTCAGCCATCAAATACTGGCGAAGGTAAGAGCACGCGGGTGAATGACGAGAACCCAAAGAGTCCAATGTGATGATCTTGGGCTGACTGGGATCTGCCTTACGCAATCCCACGTTCGACTTCCTGGCTTGCTTCTTACGCTCGGTGGTGCCGTTGCGAACCTGTACCTGATGTTGTTCCTGTGCCTGGTCATGGTCCTGGCCACCATTCATCAGGTCGACAACGCCATTTTCGTCAGCTGCCTGAAGCTCCTGTGCCTTTTTGCCATGCTTCGCATCATCACAGCTACTAATGGACATCCGGCGCAATTCCTTCTCGAGAGTATGCTTGTCCGTGTCTGCTGAAGGGATCGAAGCATTGGTGGTACCAACATCTGTCGATGCCACCATGTCGCCATCATCGACAAGATCAACGGGAACAACTGCGATGCTACTAGGATTCTGTTGTTCCGGCGGCTCGCTCACAGAGTCATGGGAAGGAACAAGCTTTGGGGCATTGTAGATGATAGCAATATACCAATGCGAGTACTCATTGATCGGGACGACGATGAAGTCCTTGGTGAACAGGTCGACCCTGGATGTCCAGGCTTTAACACTGTCGTAGTTGATGCCAGCACCGCTTTTGGAGGGTTTCAACTTGTCGTAGAAGAACGTGTTGTGAAAATGAACCCTTCGCGCAAGTTCAGGTTGGTTCTTTTCCATCTCAATCTGAAGACGACGAAGGACGAAGATGATCAGATTGTCGTTCAGGAACTGCCCCTCGTCGAGCCTGGCAATGTCCTCTTTGTCTACGGTAGCGCGGTCTTTGCCCTGAGCAGGATACACTAATGAGTTTCGCCAATCGCCAGCCCAGCCTGGATTATCCTCGGTCCAGCCTCTCGGGGGGGTCTCAAGCCTTTCGACTGGCCTCGACGGCCGCGAACGAGTAGCTCGTGTCTGTGTGGCTTTCGGGCTCTCTGGCACCTGTATGGTCTCCTCGTGGCGGGATGGCGGTCGCTCCATTGAGTCTTTGATACTCAGCCGTTGTGACTTGGGCGGGGTTTGCCTAACCGGTTCCTTCGCCTTTCGTGATTGCATTTGGCGCTGACGCTCAATCAACTTGATGTCGTCTCCAAACTGTGGTAAGGATGCATCAGAGTCTCTCAGAACGGCGCCCTTGCTAGCTTTGCTGCGCAAGTTGTTGAGCTCTCTTGTCAATTTGTCGGGTATTTCAATCTCCATCTTGACCGACAGTCTCTCCTCACGCGACATGCGCACCCACGACGAGAAGTGTTCCACTTCATCCTGGCTCGAAAACTCCAGGTGCAACTTGGGCGGAGCCGTCATCCCCGGATTAACGGCGCGGTGTATAGCTATGATGGGAACGGGGGGGTGACCCATCTTTATCGTGTGGACTCTCTTGAGGTCGACGGCAAGGAAAGAGAGTCCAACGATGAGTTTCCCATCCTCGTCCGTGGGATGAAGTATAGTACTGACTTCATGCAGCTGAAGGAAGCACTTTTGGTAAAGACTACCTTTCGGGTCTGGGTACGCATAATCCCCAGAGACTCCAGCCTGGAGAAGAAACCCAGCCTGAACGATATGCCTTGCAACGGTCATCTCTGGGAGTTCGACCCTTTTAAGACCCGGCCTTCTTGTTGGAGCCATGGGTATTGCGCGAGATGTGAATTTGGTTGGCTTGATTTCCCCCCTGGTGGACTCGCTGGGGCTCGATTGGGTGTGACGCGTCTGTCGCCGGTTGCTGGAAGAAGTCGGTTCCTCGGCCAAAGGGTCGGGGCTTGAATTCCTCACTCGCTTCGGATCGTTCACAATGTCATCGGTAGCCCCTCTCTTGGCACGCGCCCTCCCTAATAATCCCAAGTTGGCGTGTTGTCCTGACCGCACAAAACGGTTGCTCAACTCTCTACCATCAACCTCCTGCTCCTTACGCACGAATGTGGACCCCGTGTGCACCAGATGTACCGGGTCGTCATCACTGTCCTCAATAGTCTCGGGGTGTGTCGCCGAGTTTCCCATTGAGTCCCTCCGTCGTAACCGTCTTCTTTTTGGGGCCTTCGTTTGTGACTCGAGTTGGCGATACTCCGTGACATTTCCTTGAAGAGGTCTGCTGTTTGACGACTGGGTGCTTCCGACTCCTTGCGCATTCGACTGGGTGCTACTTATCGAATTCCTGCGACGGGCGCGAACCTCAGCTTCGGTCTCGACGGGCTGGAATTGTAAGTCTGTGAAAGTCTTCTGCGAGTCCAGCTTCTGTCTCCTTGCAGGGTGATCGACTCGTTCTGAAGCTAGCGGTGCCTGGGGAAGGCCACGTGAAGAGGGAACATCCTGGTTGAGTGTATTCATCGGCTTGGGCGCGCCATCGAACACGCGCTTGAAGAATGTTGACTATGTTCCGTAAGTGTTAAAGTCCGGACAACTGAAGGCAGCCTCATGACTCACTAGTAACGGCATGATGGGCTGTGGCTTCTCTGGTAGCCTGTATCTCGGGTTCAGCGTGGACTCATAGGGCAATCAAAGACAGCTGTGAGCATTACGGATGTTGCAACCGGGAATCTGTGGAATGGTATCGTTCGAGCGGGCCCCTAGGAAGCGAGTTATGACAAGCCCGAACGTTGACAACAAAGGCAATGCTAACCAGTCAACATGCTTGTTGGATTTCGTCCACTTGGGCTTGCCTGGTGCCTGTTCGCTCACGATCGCCGAGCCGGTCTGGTGGTTCTGTGTGCCAGCGGCGTTGGCAGCTGCATGCTCGCTGTGAACACTACGAAGATCACGGTCAGCGCCGGAGGGTCGCTGGAGATGGGCTCGGTGCGTACGGTCCGGCTGGGTGGTCGAAGTTGGTCTCGGCGGTGGACGGGGCCTGCAAACAAAACAAGAAAGAGCCGTGGTCAGCGTGGTCAAAGAAAGGATGGACAAACGTCCAGTGAAGTGAAATCCGCGGGCGGACCAGCAATTTTTGGCACGGCGGGCAGCAACAGCGACACGGCTGTAGGCGAACCGCGCTAAAGCCGCTGCAGCCTCGCCCTGCGACGGCGCTGATTTGCCCGGCCGTGGGGCTACTACCCCGCTGATGCCGGGTGTGTCCTCCTGTGCAGCCCAGGACGGACCAGGACATCTGGACCCCGACCCAGTGCAAACGCTAAATTAGCGATCCCAGGGTCCGGTCTAAGATAGCAACAGCCCATTGCGAATCGAAGTCCCCCCAAGGCTCAAGGTCAAAGAACTGCCTTGATCTGGGCCCATTCCAGCCGGGCCACAAGAGCATCTAGGAGAGCATCTAGGAGAGGGAAAGAGGAGTCCACGCACATTATGCGATCCTGTTACACCATGCTCGGCCTCTGTCACCCTCACGTTCCGTGGCATTGGTGGTTCCTCGTGCCGTCGACCGTGGTCTGCTGGAGGCGGAGCGCGGCTCACCATATACCTAGGGGTTGTCTCGATAGTCTCGGGTTCGCGTCGGCTGCGATGTCCATATCATGAAATCGAACAGTTGTATCAGACCCATCCGCATCACACCATCTGGGGCATGATAATTTGTGGGTTAGAAGTCCACAGCCCGTGGAACGACTCCTGGCACAGCGATCGGTGAAGAGGGGGGGAAGTCGTCCTGGCTGGGTCGCCCGCGCAATGCGACGCGGAAAGCGCGGCTGGTGCAACGCCACAGCAAGGCCTGGCAGGGACGATACGCCTCATGTTCCAATTCTAACCTCACCCGAGGTTTATTCATAAGCCAGACTCGCACGATGAGCGCATCCAATCAACACATTCATTTTTGGATTTCATTTTCAAAATACTGTTCTTGTAAACTTGGGCCTTTTTTTTTTTCTTTTTGTTTTGCTTGCTCGTTTGTCCACCCCAAGATTCATTCTGTGAATTCTCCAGTGTGTGTGTCGACAGCTTCAGTCAAAATTAAGCCCTTCCAACGAAATGCGGACGGCGTTTATACATGAAAGTGTCCAGGAGCAATCACTCAAGCCTCTTTCGTAAAAACCAACTTATATCATATATCTCAACTGGAAATTCCTCTTCAGCTTCCAGGACCCATGTTATAGGTGCCAGTGGCTACATGGTTGTGGAGAACATCGCCACAGATACCTAGAGAGTATTACTTTCAACATATGCCCCAAGATCGGTCTTGGTTTTCCTTTAGGTGCTTATGAGACTCCTGGGCAGACCACTTTGCTTGCGAATTTCTGGCCAATTGTAAATGAGGCCTGGGGTCGTATCGTAACCAATGCAAGATGCTGTATGTATAAAACGTCACAACATCACGCCACGGTGCGACTGGCAGGTACTGGATCAAGTGGCTCACAGGTCTGGTTCCCAGATGTCTCACTCAGGACATGCACAGCTGCAATGGAATATAACATGGTATCACATCACGTCAATTGAGCCAAATCCCATAAAAGTCTGGGCGATCATCATTTTACTCGACCTATCCGAGCCAGTACGCCTTAGTTATTCCCTTCCGTAGCAAAGAACGCAATCATCTCTCAATCCTCGACAAGGCTGCTCACCAAGCGCTTGTCTCTCGCTTAAGACTCGTGGACAGTCTCCAAGAAGTCCTTGGGGGTGGGCTTGGGCTTGCCAGCCTCAGCCTTCTGCTGACCCATGTTCTCCTTGACGAAGGTCGAGTGGTAAGGGTTGAGGCGGAGCATGACCTGCTTGTTCTTGAGAGGGTTCTTCTTCTGGACGCTGGCGCGCTTGGTCAGAGCAGTGCCCTTGGTGGCACGCAGAACGCTCTGGATTTCGGAGCTGTTGATCAGACGGGTGAGGTCGGACTGCGAGACAACGTTGGAGGGGAGGAGGAAGTCCTTCTTGAGCTCGGAGGGCTTGGTGGTGGTGCCGTAGATGGTGTCGAGGGCCTTGAAGGCGGCGGAAGACCAGACAACGAAGCGGCCAAGGTGACCACCAGGGGCGAGCTGGAGGAGGTTCAGGGCGTAGACATCGCAAGTCTCACAGCCGGGCAGGTTGCGGAAACCCTTGACGAGGTCCTTGCCATCAACGTTGGGGTCGTAGACGACGAGAGGGCCACGGCGCTGGCGGTGGCGGCGACCTCGGAGCTTGCCCTTGCCAGCACGGAGCTTCTTGGACTGCTTGGCCTTCAGAACGTCGGCACCAGCACCGGAAGCGGTGAGGATCTTGAAAGCAGCGCTGGTCTTGGCGGCACCAGCACCCTCGAAGACAGCCGAGTCAATGACCAAGGGGACCTCAGTGACGCCGGAGATCTGGTGACCGCGGGCGAGGAGGAGAGGGGCCACAGCCGAGGCGGCAATGGCGGAGGTGGTAGCGAATCGTCTGATATCACCGTCAGTCTCACCCACGAGCTTCGTGGCACCTTGAAAACACTAACCGCTGTCCCTGAGGGATCTTCACGTGCCATTTTCGCCAAATCTTGGTCGGCGCAAACATGCGGCCAGAGCGACACATGTTACCGAACGCAGCTTGACCTGCGCGGTGAGTTCCTCCTCCTGAGACACGTGGGATACGTGCAACAGCACGACCGGTACCCCAGGACTCAGCACTGGTCTGGTGACCGGCCTTCTCGCTGACGGAGTAGGGCTGGCGCTTGTTCTTGGCCATGCCAGTGTGAACGCTGTTCACGACATCAGGACGGATGGGAGCACCGAAGACGGTGGGCAGAGGGTGGGAAGCGCCCGAGGGCTTTCCGTCCTTGCCGATGATGGAGACGGTGGGAGGGGCCATTGTGAATCGAACCGAGTCTCGTGGTGTTGTCGTTGGCCGGTGTTGGCGTGAGGTTGTCGTCGAAACCTCGTTTGGCGGTTGAGGAAGAGGAGTATCGCGAAATTTTTTTGGCGGTTTGGCAAAATTGTGTGCACCCGGAAAGCGCAGCGCACAGACCAAATGGGGTAGGGCTCTTGCCAAAAACTGTAGAATTCAATTCACCTTGCAGCGCGCTAAACCCCCCAGCCACAGGACACTCAGCCACACCTCGAAAGCTGGATATTTTCCAGTGAACGATCTGAGATGCCACCAAGAGGCCAAAAAAAAAAAAAAAAAAAAAAAAAAAAGCCACTGGATAGCAGCGAACGACCATGGCAACCATGGTTATTCCATTGGGATAACAATAGGATGCGATAGGATCCGACTTGGATGCCACCTGCGTCTTTCTGTGAATGAAATAAACAACCATAGTCAACAATGCGCCTAATACTGTCTTGACCATGTACATCGATGGCATTATTCCAGTGCACGAACATGGTAATGTAATATCGCTATGCCTTTCTACGGAGTATGTTGTTCTACAGCGGGTTCAGCCAAAAAAGAATGGACACAGAATTCATGGCAGAGAACCGCACGCACGTCCAAAAACTTAATCTCCGATGCGGGGAATCGAACCCCGGGCTTGACGGATCTTCATGAGAGCGTCAAATGTTAGCCACTACACCACATCGGATATGCGGTTATTGAGTCAGCTCTGGCTTATTAGGTACTCTGTTGAGTAAGTTCGGGACTGAGGGCGCTATCCTCTAGTTATGGCGCGCAAGACTACCTACGTAAGTTAACTATCTCCAGTGCTTATACTCTGCCATGGATACTTGGTAGCTATGGCCTTCCGCCATATGGTAAAGACGCGACTACTAGATCTTGGCCCAAAAGGAACAAACTGAACGAAGGAACCAGCCACGAGATACCAATGATTCCATCCATGTTCCTGTTAGAGGGTGGTGTATCTTCGGTGCAAGAAATCCAGCTTGGATTGCTCTGTGCCAAAACGGAGCTAGCCGTGGGACAAACCACAAGCTACTTTACTACGTACCGGTAGATAAAGCAGTGGATATGTCAACTTTCAGCAACCTATAAAAATCACCATGAATTCCGCCAGTCAGAAACCCTTCCAAGCCTTCTGCCGTGTTTTGCTGACTAAGTATCGAACTTAACTTCACGAATACTTTGTAGTTCTCTTAGACCATCTAGGAATTGTCATAATCTTCGGACAAGCACAGACGTAGCGATTTATATATACATCATGAGTCTATCCCGTTTCTTCATTGGGCCGCTTATAGCCACCAGAATGCAAATCTCATTGTCCCCATACTGATTTGCTCCAACTTTTCGAAGACTCGATGACCCACACAGAATGTATGAAGGGATCATCGTCGTAATGCGCATTGTTGTCTGTCTAAAAGATATCGGGTGGATGGGAGAGTTGCCGGTGTCGATAACATCTTCTGGCTGAGCATATCAGTAGTAACAGTCAAAAGGATAAATTTAGAGGGTGAAGAATGCCGATTCACGTAACTGTGTGCTCCAAAGCGGCTGATGCCTTTACGCCAGGGACACAGCGCCTGTCTTGACCTCGTATCCTCGTAATACGTTCCGAGTTTGGCTATGACCGGTAAGCCACGACCGATGCGCCCTTAACTTGAACGATCGGTCCTATACACGATGTAGCACCACAAAGGCGACCTGTTGACAGGTCTGAGTATGGCTAGAAGGAGCCAATTTGACTTTGTACTGTGCGAGAAGGTAAAACAGTCAGCAGGTGTACATGGATGTGATTGGGAAATACGATAGGCCAACTACGGGCTGGAACAACGTCAGCCTGTTACCAGGGCGTAAAGCTCGAGCCCTCGACCTCAGGCATGGGAGAGCTGCTAGGACGCAGCATCATGCCAAGAGTGCGGTGGTGCCAGAACTGCGCGCTCGCCAATAAGCCCACATGCTTCTGAGCAGCATCTTTCCCAGACGCGTGAACAGTCGTGAGCACCGTCTGTAGGGAGGTCACCAAGTGCCGCGAGAGCACCTTGGCCACAGGTAGCCCCGGGTTCTCACAAGGAGACCGTGCATCAAAGTGCAGTTTCCACCCCTGGTCAAGGTCTAGACCATGCGATTGATCGACCAAATGCCTGAGCAGCCTTCCGCGTTGGCAAAGCCAGGTTGAGCGTAGCAAAGAAGGAACCACACCAGTCAGCCGAGATCCGATGTCATAGCTTCACCTGCGAACGAGCAGGAACAAACATGCTCGGCTGAGAAGCAGCCAGCCCATCGGGCATGCAGGGTCGAGGGTCGTCAGGTCGCAAGTTGGAAGCTTCTGGCATTTTGGGAGGCGGCGGTTTGGCGGCGTGCCTAGTGATGTCCAGAGGCGAGCGCGTCGGATGTCCAATCATTTCCTATCCTGGCGGGTGGCTTGCCTTCCTTGTCGAGACATCCAGGGAGCCAAATTTTGGTTTTCAGTTTCCACCCTTGTGGAACTGCTACCAAGCGCCAGCTCTTCTACCATAGTATTCGCTCAAGGTCCAATTGCTAACACTGTGCTGCGTGACTCCTCTCCCATACCATTTTCTGAGAAGGCTATCACACCAATATTGCCTGCTTCAGAGGGGCCCATATACTGGAATCCAGGTCTATCGAGGATATGCTCTGTAGGTATTACCGCTACACATGCTCTATGACAAGCGGTTGTCTTGGCCAATGCACAGATGTCATTGCACACATCAGAGGACCCTAGGACTGACCCCTCAAATCTTGACTGGAGTCTTCCTCCCAGATTTCACTACTACTATGCCACGGGTCCCGGATTTAACTCCAGTATCCCGTCTTCTAGAAGACTGAGCAGCGATAACAATTTGCTTCCTAGCATTCCAGGTTAGCCGGGTATTGACGCTGCGTCAGCCCTGTATACTCGGTAGACATACTCGTTCTCGGTGCGACGGTGCATCATGACGCCCTTCCTATGCCATAACCTTCGTTAGCACACCCGGCACTGCCACCACACAGATTTCAAATTGTTGCAATGTCACCTACTCGGGCTTTCTGGAAAGGCTAGATTTATCCATGGTTCCGATACAATCTATGTGCAGTGATTTGATGTGCACTGGTGAAGTAGATGGATGGGCCGTCCGTAATTTGAGGTGCTGAGGTTGCAGACTTGTGTGATGCTCAGGAAGGATGGTGTACACATCGCTCTTTCTTGCCCGTATCTTATAGTACAGGCAGTATCCACCCTAATCCAGTGGCCACAGCGATGCTGCAATCGCCGTTGGCTCTTGATCGTGTTCGGATGTGGCGGCTCATGAACCTGTACGCAACAGTTGAGCAGGGCGACCCGGATCTTCAATCCGGTGCATATGTCGATGCGGATCTAGCCAAAGGGGCTTAGTCTCCAGTCCAGAACAACCCCCGAAGCGCTTAGTTTTGTAGGAGAGAAAAGATGATCAAAGTAGTCGACGGACACTCATCCGCGAGTGCCACTGCCGTATTACAACCCTGCTGAGCAGGGGTCTCGGGGCGAGGCTCACTGTTGTTGACCAGCGATTTCCTCCGTTGTCATAGTGGACCGTCTCCCAGTCGGAACTTTGGGAGTGCCAATGCCCTGAGTGCTTTCTGACCTTCGGAAAACGCATATCTCTGGAGGTAGCCTTTGGCCGGCGGGACGCGTCGCCAGCATACCTCGTGAGATGTCTTTGTCCAAGGGCACGGCGGCAATGTAGAGTTGAATCAAAGCCCATCCCTGGAGGTGCTTCAGTGGAACTAGCCCCCATGCCCGACACCAAACCCCGCTGATTCTGTCGAAACGTGATCGTCGTGTTTTGTACGCAACAGCTGCATCAGTTGCAATCCGACTGCGGGTAGATCAACCGGCCCAGATCACCCGCAAAGGTTCACCAAATCGCTTGTTCCCTATCGCTTGTTCCCTATCTGGTCTCTAAGGGGACCGACGAGCCTGCATCGCGGGACCTATTCGTTGCAAGACGATGCGCCGAGGAAGCCTCGCGCCTGCCAGCATCAGCAACGCTGATCACGTTGCGTCATAAATCGAACCGGCACCATCACAAGAAGAATCCAATGCACTAAAGCCCGAAATTGGCACAAAGTTCTCCTTGAGTGGAAACATTGCCATCATCTGCGAACAATGAAGGCCAGTATGATCTTGGGATGAGCCTTGGCACGCCAAGGCTCATGGTCTTCGTCCCTTACACGTCCTTTGAAAACCTTGCAACTGACAATGTGTACCAGGAAGGAGGGTCTCTGAGGTTCGGCGAACACTGTCAAGCATCACTCGCCATGATCAGCTGGTTGCGCAGTGTATCGGTCTCGGTATGACACCCAAGCGAGGACGGTGTCATTCTCATCAGGTTTCCCGGTGTCCAATCATATCACAGGCTAGGTCGCAAACGCTTTTCATCTCCTACGACGATCCATTCCAAGAGAAAGGGCACGAATGAAGATTGAATACTCTGCAATGAACAAGAATGGTTACTAAGGGGTTTTTGAATCGGTGCTCAAGACCTACCGTCTCAGGGGCTCGTGTGACCTCGAAAAGGAGACCTCGGCGGAGGGCTCCGCAACTTGGGAAACCGGTGAGAGAGCTGCAGGCATGATAGCTGAACTCGGTAGTCATCCTCGGCTCCGCGCTTCCACAACCAACTGCCATCAAATCGCATGGCCAGAGATGGAGACCAACTTTAGCTGCTTTGGATACGTGGATGGGAGTTTGGGCAAGCTCACTCGACTGCTCCGCTTCCTTTTGACCGAGGTTATTGCTTACTCCACGGGACCAGGTTTGTGCCTAGCATATGAGGGATTTTAGGGTCACTCCTCTGTGAAGAAACCTGTAATACTCAAATGTACTCAAGGGGAAATCTTTCAGGGAAAGCTTCGCAGGATTTCCACAACATTATGAGACTCGGTTGTTGCCAAGTTATCATCCAAACAGATGTGGCAGAAGTGGAAATTTCTTTGACGGGTTCAGGCTGATGTTGGTGAGAGGCAACTCGGGATTCCTCAAGGCTGGGCTGGAAGTGCGACGTCAAATCAGCGTAGCTGGCCAATGAAATCGAGAGTCCTTTTTCACCTTGCCCGCGATTTTTGTCCTCCTGACAGACATATCTACTGGGGGCTCGCCTCAGAGTGGCCTCAGCCGACTCCTCGGGAATAGAGGACAGTTCTCATCTCATGTGCCTCTACAATACTGCACCCATCACGGCACATCACAGTCTCCTTGTTGAACAACCCTGAGGCTTTTGCAAGTGCTATCGACTGGTATTCAAGAGGCAGCCGCCGCCACTTCTCGTTACACTGTGCCTGTGCCTTATTCCCAAAAATACTACATCCCCTCTTCTTCAAAGGGAGTCGAGTGTTGCAAGCCTGCAAAGTGGTAAGGTTCGGTGGCCTTCATTTCATTTCAATTCAATTACTATCATACTGGAATGTTCCTTCTCTCTACAGAACTCCGAGCCTCAATTCAGTGACCACGAAAGGCTCTGGTGTATCAGGTGTATGGCTGAATTGCACCTCATTCATCCAGACGTTGGTATTCAATCTTGCTGGTCGCTTTGGATGGCGTGATCCACTCTCCATGACGGTTTGACTTGAGAAGACTTGAGTACAAGATTCAGAGTCCCAATAAGTAGATTTCAGGCGAGCTTAACTTCAAGCAATCCTCTTAGCCTTGGAGTTTCCCCCCTTTCCGCGAGAATGTCCCCAGATGCCCCTTTGGGCCCATCCGACCCCAAACTAGAGTCTGGCCTCGTCAGAGCCCGAAACTATGTACGTTCTCATAATAACCCAGCCTCGATGTGCCAAGATAGGGGAGGATTGGCCTGACCGCCTTTCACGATGCCACTGCCCACTTATGTGCCAGCTAGTCGTCAAAGTCGTTCGGTGAGGGCTACATACCAATGACCATAGCTGTGAGTCACCACCACTCTTGTCCTTGACCACTGATGGCTAGTCAACATGCGCGTCGGCAAGAAGAGCCCCCAAATGGTGCATCGTTCGTGTACACCATCAACGAACATCGTGATGCTTTCATTGGCTTATCAGTGTCTGACGCGCATGACACCGGGCCGGACCTTAACAGGTCTCCGGTCAACCTTAACATGTCTTCGGCCAGCCTTGAAGGAGAGCCCAAAATAAGTCGGGCCGCCCAATGGAGTGTAAGTCTTCGATTAAAGGTGGTGATACTTGACCGGTCAGGCTCACAGCCTCTACACCCTCTTCCCAGCAACGACACCAGCACGTTTGTTGTCGGCGGCAAAGCGAGGTGGAGAGTGCTTTGCAGCCTTACCATGGAGCGCCATCGTTTCCTTCCGCCATGCTAAGGAAACCAACAAATGCTAGAGACCGACTTGACACAAGTATAAGAGAGTGCAGCAGGTCTCTTCATCCGTTCGAATAACCACTTTGAAACACACTTCGATACTCACCATATCCACGGCCTATCATGGACAGTTCTAATTTGGCAGAGCAAGGCATAGCGACCGCTTCTGTGGCTTCTGGTACAACCACCAACAATCTAAACGACCAACTGGGCCCTTTACCTACCTTCGTAGCTGAAGGGAGAGCACCTGATAGTCGTGCACCGAGTGATAGTATGTCTTGTTGGTCCCCTTGAATGTCTAGTTAAGCTGATTTGTTTAGTCGGGCAAGATGATATAGATAGCCAACGCCGAGAACCCATAACGACTCGATGTAAGTCCTCCCTGGTGAGACTCAATCAAAAGCACCGTGCCTGACAACCGTTTCGAGTCGATAATCTCCCTGACTGGACATTGGTCGCCAGACAAGCTAGTAGTCAATACAACACCAGCATGTTTCGCAAATTCGATTTGCCCGTTCACGAGGTTTTGATGGAGGAACAAGCCAAGATCTGGAGCCTATACCAAGAATTGTCGGAAGGGGAGAAGAAGAGGAATGAGTCACATAATCAGCATGCACCAACGACTTCCCATCCTGACCGAGCTCAATTCAGCGACTATGGGCTTCTGACACAAGACGACTCTGCTTCCAGGTGTATTACATATCGGCCCTCGAACACCCAACGTCATGGCTATCATTCATCATGCAGATATAAAGAGGATACCTTAAGAGATCGGAGAGCGTCGAATGAAAAAGACGAGATGATTGAAGAGCTGTCTTGGAGGTTGAATAACTACTGTATGTTGCGCTCCTGCTCCTGGCATCTTAGGTAGATATACTTATCGACTCAGACGGACTCCTGATAAAGCACAGCCATCTGGAAAAGTTGCCGGCAGTCAGCGCCGGGAACCATCAGAATCTTTTGGACTTGATCGGGAACGATCTTCCTGAGGGGGATGTATGGCAAGCCCTCTTCGAGGACAAGGGTGACTTTGTTACCACAAGGGCACTGCGCGTCCACGAGCAGTTCGAGATGATCTTCTATACTAAAAGGTTCCCGGTGATCAAGGTATGCTACCACCTCCACCACACCTCTTTATCATTGTGCCTAAACTGTCGAGGGATAGGAAATGTTCATGTGGCTGTTCCGTTCCCGAGGGAAGACCGTTGCCAATTCCGACCATCAATATATCAAACCTCGCCGCCTCCATGTTTTGGCCAGGGGAATGATCGGTCTGTCCTGCATGGCTATGCTAGTTGCACCAGTCGCGATACTGCTACTTGCAAAGTTGTCAGACTTGCAAATGGTGTTCGTGGTCGTCGGCTTTAGCATGGTAATAATCCTTATTCTCAGTGCCCTCCAGGTAAATCTGTTCAACATGCTGCTTGGATTTTCGGCTTACCTCGCTGTACTTATTACCTGTCTGTCAAACTTGCACCAGGTTGGTAGCACCTGACATGTGAAGATAACATCCTAGCAAGGTTAAATAGACCGTGGGGTTAAGGATGTCATTAGCAAGTGCTGAACTTAGTGGTGGAAAACCTATTTAAGGGCGTGCTATCAGTCACTTCAAGACTGTGCGAATAAAGTCAATTCTAACCATTCTATCCATTACGAAGTCAAAGACATTGCACGCAATATTCTTTCGCGTCTATCTTCCGGTCGTCTTCCCGAGTCACATGGGCAAACGAGGTGAATATAAACAAGGGCAAAAAGCCAAGGACTCATTATCCACCGATTCGCGTCTACCGAACTTCGGACTCGATAGCGAATAACAAACACTTGGTTTTGGATAACAAATGGTAGATTGATATTATGACATCCGATTTTCGTGTAATAATTAGTCACATAGCTTTTTTTTGGAAACTCTATGAATCTAAGTTGAATAGGGATACACAACCAAACTACTCATGAGCTTTAGAATAAACTAATAGTCTAATCGCAATAGCTGAGACTGTCTCGATAAGTTCCTGGCGGTGGCGGATTGATGACCTGATAAGTCTTCACCTTATGCACTTTTGGATCCGTACATCACAGCAAAAAGCTACATCAAGTTTGTTCTCTCAGTGGAAGGGAAGTCACCAAGGACCATTCTTCGCGTTTCCATTCTCAACTGGCCAAATCAGACCTATTTGTTCGTGATAGCCCAATGTGGTAGGACTTGCGTTGCTTCTACATGCTTGACACCTGATCGAAACACTCAAGCTGAATGTTATCGCGGTATCCCGATTTCGAGCAGAGATGGCACATAAAGGAACATCCAATGTGTGTTTTCAAACTCCCAAGATCGACCCAATTTAGCACATTGACCTCCCTCAACGAGCTTCAGATAACCATTAAGATTTCACATGCTCACTGAACCGTACCATAGTACGTAGAGATACTATCGCAATGTGACGGCGGCAAACCGGTGGTGGTCGGACAGTATTCGCGATAAATGCCCCGCCAGCAACTTCCCGAGTCCAATCAACACACTGAGCTGAAGTGGCCTCCACGAAATACCCGAAGACAAATGGGAACCGAAAGTGTGAGAGCAGGAAGATGATATATTCCACATAGGGTCATTTCAGAATCACGACTACAAACGGAAGGGCGGAGCAGTCCAACAAGGTAGAGAAGAAAACCGTTTCTGTTCCTAAAGTCTGTGCCCGGCGATCTTGCACGAAGTTCATACTCTTCTACTTCATCATCCACTTGCGAACTCACATCAAGACTCCGTGTCCACCGCCGAACGGTCTAGGGCTCTGCTCAGGCTTCTTAAACTTCTGGAACAAGCCGTCCAGTTTGTAACACCATTCCATTGGCAGATTTTTGTGTATCCCCCTAATCTGCCGCTCTCCAGCTTTTCCGATCATCCAGATGTGCTCCATCTCCAAGAACAAGGACATGAAATGGGCAAGGATCACCATAGCTCGTGGTCTTCGCTGAACGAGGAATTGTGTGAACTCACAGGGAATCCATACGGCAAAGCCGCCCAGTCGTCGACATATGGCAAACTCAGGCTCGCGGCGTTCCAGAGCCCTCTGAACACTGCACGTGTAGGCAAGCGCTTTTTCGTATACAGCCTTTGTCGCAAGGTTGTCCAGCTCAGTATCTTGATTGGCCTGTGGTCCGGGTGGCGTCTCCAGAATCCAAAGTAGATCACTGTGGTCACTCAGAATGGTTTCATTTGGGTCGTCCAACACCGGAGGACTCCGAATGAAGGTGATGAGTTTGGTCGTGCCTTCTTTATTCACCATGGACCAGGCATTCCTAAACACAGCGCCAGCACCGTTGCCCATTTGCAGCCAGTCCACTGGCGGTTCCCAGGGCTCCAATGGTAATGTTTGTATGAGCGCCAGGGCATGTGTGAGGATCTTCAAGCTGGAAAGACACACAGAGTCTGCGTTCGCAGGATTCAATTCCGCAACATCACAGCGTTGTTGGCGAAGCATCATACTCAGATAAGTGTGCTGGAGTCTGATAAGTGTCTCGCGCTCCTGGTGATCTGTACTCCTTGTCCACATGTTGAGCGCGGAGTGTGCCATAATACCATAGAGGATGGCATCCTTCCCTTCTTTTAAAGCCATGTTGGGGACCTCAACAGCCCATAAGTTCATGACCTGAGGCGGCTGTGGAGTAGAGAAAGGTTTCGCTTCCGTGAGACTGTTATGAAGCAAGCGCAACTCCCACAAACGTCTTTCCCGAGATTCTGGTAGGTCTAACTCTGAGTCACCAAGACAATCCGGGGTCAAAATTTTCGGTAGTTCTTGATTTGACACCTGATACACGCTCTTTCCAGCTGAAGGTGAGTCGAGCTTGCTGGGCAGCGGATTAGCCCGGTGATTGCTGTCCAAGTCCACCGGAAGATACTCCGTAGTCTCGGTATCCGACGTAGCTCTGCTCTCCGCGGAGGAGTGTGCAAGAGTCGTTCCACCAGCAGCCTCAGTGGGATAGACACAATCAACCGCGTGTCGCGAGCAGCCACCACAACTAGGCCGAGCTTCGTTACATTTCACCCGCCGCTGCTTACACCGAACACATCCAGCACGGCTCTTTTTATGGTATAGTCGAGGACCGCGACCTCGAGAAACCGAAGTCGTTACTCTCATTTGAGCTGTGAAATCGTCGTGATGGTTGCTGGCGGGCACTACTAGGTGGGGAGACCTGTGCGTGCCGTGCAGACGTACGAGCAGACGTCCGCGACTAGACGCGATACTTGATTGTAACGAAGGAGCAGTGGTGCGCACCAAGTACACCGATCGAGATATCTTCTAGAGTAGTTCAGCACACGAACTTAGTTAAGCGCTGACATGAACAACCTGCCACCAGCATATTTCAGCATGGTGTAGACCCTAACCTAGAGCGTCTGTTGGTGGAGCTACGAAGACCAACCCTCAGAAGTATGGAGCTAGACGACCTTGTCAGCGCCTGTGCACTCTAATAGAGGGAGAGAGGCTGGTTCTCAGGGGAAAGGCGAATTTGATGCGAGAATTACTAGGGCGCATCCTGCAGCCCTACACAACGCCAATAGCTGCAGCGAATTCCTGAAGCGACAAGGATCCTGCAGGATTAAATACCTGGTATAGCGGCGAAGACCCATGTAATTTTTTGCAATCTTTACCATAATTTGACACTGCGCCATAATGCCAAGCTTTCACTTTCTAGTCTACTTCATAAACAACATGACTGCTCGACAGTTACCGTTGGCTGTCCGGTCTCTGAAGACTGACACAATGTCCAGCGTTCCAGACGTTCAGGTAAAACACACTCGTCTATCTAGACTTGTAGAGGTCAGGTATCGGGCTACATCAATAGCAGTATAACAAGACCATTGATCGCAACATAAATAAGGTACGGAAAGCCTCTGCTGCGCTCATGTTGACTCCACAACTGCGTCGATGTACCCTGTCTACCTAGGAAAGCATCATAAGCAAGCAACTTTCCTATACCTTGGACACTTGGCGCATCATCTAGGATTTGTTCCATTTGTTCCTAGCGTATACGGACCTATGGAGTGTGGATGCAAGTAGCTCGCTTCCTCCCTCTCAATGTATGTGCTTCTTTTGTTACACTATAACGTAAATGCCGTTTTGATCTGCAATACGTTATTACTAAACAAATCTTCAACTAGTGCAGGCACAGTTATCGCATTGCCATAATGGGATCACCTGCCTCCAGGCACTTGATCTCATGCTGTACTCCGTTTGACTGGTCGATTTCACGAATCTGAATAGAATCAAGTCTATCACGAGAACAGTCCCCACCATTACAATAGCTATGCTAGTATGCACTCTGCTGGGTTGAAGAGATCACCCGAAGTTGCCGCATCTGTATTCATGTTGGGCTCTCCAAAGGGTTTCACAAGCCAGGGTAAATCTAGGCTCCCGGATAGGATCCTCGCAGGCGGCTATACTGTACTCTATGATAGAATGAATATCTGATCTCCAGACGATGCACTACTGCCCTGATAAAGGCCCAGAGTGTCCCAATGAGTGAAAGGCCAACGGTAGAGAAAGAGTTGGCATGGGGTGTCCCTGTTCTTCATTCCATATCAGCGTGATTACTACATTGTTGACTATTAGGAATCCCATTTGCCACTTGCGTAGGTGCGTTTGCACAATGGTCAGAACATTTGCAGCCACGTGAAAGAAATCCTGGCCTAAACCTCCACAAACCCGATCTGCTTTCCTCAAACCAACGCAACTTGGGATGATTCTTTTCGCCACAATAGCAGCGACTTCATACTTCACCACTCGATGCGACACTTATTACATCAATATGATCAATAGGAAATGTTTACGACCATTGCAACGGGCGAAGCTGGGAAGCTTCTCCCTCCTATGTAGCTCATACCTACCGGGGCTCAAGTCCTCGTGGATATTATCCAAGCTGGAGACCCAAAATACATAAAGCGCTTTTAGAGCCTTCCCGGGCCCCTTCCTCTCTTCTCGCTCAAATAAGACTAAGTCCAGTGGTCGACTACCAGTATGCTCAGGTTGAACGCGACAGGAGCGCCAGGAGCACCGCGGGGTCATACGATCCAAACAGACATAGTGAACATATTTACTCACCTCCGTTGGACTATGACAACCGACCAGCTTAAAGTATGGAGTCTGGGAGACAGTGGGGCCCACATTCACATCAAAGATGCGACTGCAACACATATGGCTCAGGCAATAGATATCACAGATACCGCCAGCCATATGGGTCAAGCGACAAGTATCACAATGCTTACTATAGCCGCCGCCAGTCCTGCTCACTTGACTACCCAAGATCATTCGAACGATATCATCATACATCTCAGAGAACTGAGAGTTCATATGAAATCCCAGAACAGTATCATCATGAGCCCTCAAAGCCTCACAGAGCAGAACGTTCACATGAAACTCCAAGACCAAGTTAAGACACTCAAGGAACACAGCAACATCCTGCATCAAGCGTCTTCACATAATCCTTCCTAGACCTGTTACAAATCCCGCCTTCATCCCTCCTCAGAACTCAACCACGAGGTAGACCTCTTTCGGTAGAATAAAACGATAGAATTCTGCTCCCTCCCCGGAATTTCCTGTCATGAGTTCTCTCGGTCTGACTTGATCTATGAAGTGACGTCTTGTAGGATACCCACCAGATATTTTGAAGTTCGCGATACCCCTCAGTTCGGTTGTACATGAACAAACTATAAAAGTCGATTTCCATTAGAAAGCAACGTACATCAATTTCATAGCCACAAGGGCACTACCATATCCACCACCACTTGCGCACCAGTTCCTCTCGGTGACCATCAAGAGTTGTCTGTGTATCCCCTTTGACCACGAGGCCGCCGCCGACCTTCTCCAACCTCTTATTGCTCAGAAAGTACCACACACTCTGCACGATGATCTGAACCACCACAACCGCGCTGAGCGCTAAACACACCGTGAATCCTTTGCGGTACTGCGGAGCGTCTTCGGTCCTGAAGATCTGACTCCCTGCGATCCCGGCTGCGTTGGCCGACATGACGACCATACTGAACTTGTGTCAGCTCTCGAATCATATGTATTGTTCTGCGTCACCTAATGTGAAGAACAAAACGGGGTCCGAGGGGCAACTTACGCCATAGCAATGCTCCTCTCCTGCGGGCGGCGGCAGTTTACAGAGAGCCAGCCAATATTCAGGACATGCACGACAGAGCTGACAGCCATGGAGAACACAACGGCTGTGTATCTCCGCCCGCTGCTCCAGGTCGAGCTCTCGCGCAGGCACGCAAACGAGATCAGGGTCCACAGCGCGGGGATGACCACCAGGGGGCCGCGGCGGCTGGTGAGGTCGGCCAGCCAGCCCAGCATCAGGGCCATGATGAGGGCGATGAAGGCGCCGACGCTGGCCATGGCGTTGGCGCGAATCGTGTCGTAGCCCAGGCTCTTGATAACGCTGGGCCCGTACGTGTTGATCGGCGTGACGGCCATCGTGGCCGTTAGCGTGACGAAGAAGTGGCCCAGCACGCGGGGATTGCATACTGTGGTCCAGACGTCGCGGCTCGAGATGCGCAGGTGGCCGGTCGTTTTGGCCGGGTCGTCCAGTAACACCCGTCGAACCAGAATGTACGACTCCCGGTCCGTGAAGTACGACCAACGACCCAGGCTGATCAGCGGAGAGCCGTTATCCACTGACGGTGGGAGAAGAAGGGTGAAGATGATGCCGATGGCGATGGTGATAGAGCCCTCCACTGTATAACTGTATTAGCGTTTCTGGACCGACATTACAGCCCAGAATGGCGCCTCAAAAACCTTACCGATGAACAGCCATCGCCAGCCAGCAACGCCGTAGCGGTCGCCCATGGTCAGAATCCCGGCGCCGATGAGGGTGGTGACCCCCGCGGCCAGGATGCCGCCGAGATAGAATATAGACACCCGCAGGCTAGTCTCTGACTTTTTGTACCACGTCGACATTGTATACAGGGCGCCGGGGATGAAGCCAGACTCGCACAAGCCGAGGAGAAGCCGTGTGGTCAGAAACCCTGCGTAGTTGGTGATGAAGTTCTGGAACGTCGAGACAAGCCCCCAGGCCAAGATTTGACACGATAGCCATGTCTTGGGCCCAATGCGCTGCAGCACTGTTGTCGAGGTTCAGTGCCTAGATTTCGACCTGTCTTCAAAGAAAGGTCACTCACAGATGTTGGACGGGATCTCCAGGAGTACGATGCCCGCGGAGAGTAGGCTGTTACCGACATTGATCTGATTCGTATCGATTCCCAGGTCTTTCGTTATAGTGCTTGTCAATGCATTCGCAATGTTTCCTCGGTCCATTTGCAGCGCAAAGAAGGCGAGAGCGAGGATGGGCAGGAGAATAAGGTCAAGTCTTTGTATTAGTTAGTGAGCGTGCGCGGGCAGGGTATCCTCGTGTAAGTGCTGTCTTTCGCGGATTAAGACTTACTTGCGTTTCACAGCACGCTCCTCAGCCTCTGTCCAATCAGCAACGGTGGTCTCGTCTATATTGACAGCCACCACATCGCTGTCGCCATAACCGCTCCTCGCCGCAGGGCCGTCGTAGGACTCTTTGGCTACCATTTTCTACCTGCACTTACAATAGTAGGGGACTGCAGGAGCTCAATGACGAAGACACGTCCCTGAAAACATTGGGAAAGGCAGGAAATGCCTCGGCCGCCCGAGACTTGCGGGTTTGCATTTTATTTGTATTGGCAAAGGTAAGCCAGCCCTACCCTGGCCCCAGAGCAGCCGGTACCCAATGATACAATGGGCGGGCCGACATGCTGCACGAACCCCGGGGCGACAGAGATAGGTGGTTCGACTGGCGAATCGCGGATGCAGAGGCTGGGGTCCGGGGACGTGGGTTGTGCCGGGTATACATCCCCGGTAAGCGCCCCAACGGGGCCCCCAATGTCACCAGAGGCATGATTCCGATGTGCATCCCTGGGTCCGAAACAGACACCTGTGCATCGTGGTTGAGTGGATTCGGGACCGAGTGCAAAGCGATGAGCGTCATACTGTCATTCCGTAGGACACGCGTAGGATTTTCAGCTTCTTACATGATCACGAAGCTGCTGGTTACGGGGTTTGATCGCTGCAATTCAGAATTCCCATTCGGGGATCATGGTGCGATAGGTGGCGGTTGGTTCGAGGCAAGATCAAGATGAAGGAGTGCTAACGAGGGAGGGAGAATCCATTGGACGCTAATAGCATCAGTATTATTGTACAATTTGTCGATATATATAGCAGAGCGACGCTGGGTTCTCTATGAATACACTCCATGCAATGCTCCCAAATCATGCCGTCGTCCTAAGTTTTTGGTTCCCCAGTGAATATAGTGTACAAATCTAACGCACGTCTAGTCCCAAGCACGTACAATATGGCGTCTAAATAAGGCAGAAGAGAGTACTCACTCATCAGCCCTCTAATCTTGGTTGGAAGACCCAAACACCATGTGGTACGGTTTCGGTTGCCTCTCTCCCATTATGTGAACAGGCTGATCTCTAGCCCGTCTGTCCTCGTCCTCTCGAAATTCACGACCTGCTTGGCTGTACTTTGCAAGTGAACCGTCAAACGATGTTTTCCAGGCCGAGCTGCGACCAGAAGCAGCTTGTTGGAAGGTCCCCGCACGCCGTCTCTTGCACATTTTGTACAGATTATGAGCCTGCTTGTCTGCTAACTCCGTAATGGTGTATTCGACGTTCCAGTTGTCGTCCTCGCTCAGCTTCTCTGGCCTTTCGACATAAGTTCCGTTGACCTTGTTGCGAATGGTTAAAACCATGCCAAAAAGCTCCTCAGGCTCCTCCTGAGACTCGGCTTCTGCGGCTTCAGTCGCAGCACGTGTGAGCGACTCCGCTGGTTCACCAGAGGAAGTTGTGGTCGGGGGTGAATCGTCATCAACCCCAGAAGCCGGGCTTGTGTCGCCTGACTCGACAGCCTCTTGCTTCCCCGAGTCCTCTCGCGACTCCGCCACCAACTTGGTCAGGATTCTTTCGAATTCTTCGAGTCTCGAGGAATCCTTGGCATTTAGCTGCTCCGTGACTGAAGACTGGCCATCGACCTTGCGTGTCATTCGTAAAATGAGATTCCTGAGTGTGGACATGTTTGGGCTCGTAGATATCTCGTTCTTGTCATCTTCGAGCTCAGATTCCTCTTCTTGCTCTTTCTGCGGTATAGATGTCTCAAGTAAGGACCCGGTACGCACGCCTGCATCCTCAGATCCAGTCTCCAGGTGCGTTACCTGGCTCTGACGGTCAGAATCTGGGATGCGGATGCCCGGCTCAGGTGCATCAACAACTTCGGCGCCTTCAGCATTCGACTCCGACACCTGAGAAGCATCTGTCGTTGTTCCTGCCGAGGTCTCAACTGGGCCGCTGGTGACTGCGCTAAGAACTGCGTGCACGTATTCACGAGCTTCTTCTGGGTGCAGCGCCTCCAGCAAGCCGCTGTCTTCAAGTGCGCCTTCGATGGCCTCTCGCACCGCGCCCACCCCGAGCTCCTCGTCCTCCATGGCCTCTTCAACCATGGACTGGATCTCTTCCCATGAGCTAGTCGCATCACTTTGCTCTTGAAGTTCAGCTGATTCGCTCGCATCACGGTTATCCTCCTCAGCCAAAGAATTTTTTTCTGCCTCAGCCATCTCCTCAATCACTGCGTTCTCTCCCATTTCGGCGTCGCTCTCAGGCGTAGCCATTGCCCCACTGCCATCTTTCTTGCGGCGGAGAAATCGCCTCTCAAAGGCTTCCACAGAGGCCTTGTTCGCGTTTTGGACGGCTTCGGCCTCGCCAGGAGTGACGGGTTTTGCAAAGATGTACATGAACGGGGCTCTGGTCGACGGTCTGGTCTCAAAATGAAGACGTAGGCTTTGTTTTGGGAACTTCTTGGACGCACGATCTAGCACGTTGTTGAGCAGAGAAAGACTGAGCTTGAACTCCTTGTCACCCAGAGTAAGGTCTTCGGTGCCGTGCAACGCGAGATCCATCTCCTCCAATGGGATGTACTGAAACCCGAATATCCGCCTGGTGTTGTGGTAGGCAACGAAGATACCATCCATCCTACCCATTCGCACCTGAAGTGAATACTTCATAAAAGCAGACCGGATCATGTCATGGTATTCCCGTTCATACGATTCCCAGTTGCCATGTCTGCGTCGAATTTCGTAGCCAACCCCCTTATGGAACTCTTTCGAGTCCATGCGGATTGAGATGACAGCTCGTGTCTTGATATCGAACATGCCGGTGCCCGGAATTCTCGGGTCGTGGGCGTCCAGTTGTGAACGCATCATAAAGTCGCCGAGCCCTGTGTAATGGTAGGCCTCGGCGGCATTGCGCTCCGCCTCTGATATCTGATCGGAGTTGACATGCCGATACCGCTCGTATTCCTCTTTCGGAAGTGTCAACAATTTCTCCATGGACTTGCCCAGCGTGCTGAGAATGGTGGCCGAGTCGAACTCCTTGTCGGCATCAATGGCGTATACCCCGTCTTTCCAGTGTAAAAAGACGGCAGAAGGACCTTTCAGCAGCCTCGTGAAGCTGTTGGAGGGCGCATCGAAGTCCTTTGTCAACATTTGGGAGTTGAGCGGGCGCCAGGCCGACAGGAGATAGTGAAAATGTGACAACATGGAAGTCATGCTGGATGTGGAACCCGTGTACTTCTTCTTGTATTCGCGAGCCACAGACATGAGAGTCTCATCCTTGGACGAGGTTACGTATTGCTTCAGAGCATCGAAGTCGAAGTCCTCAATCGGCATGATTCTGGCCAGGTATGGGTCAAAGTTGAAGACCCTGGACCGGGGATCTTGCAAGTGATAGACGCCAGGATTGAACAAGACCCTGTCCAACCCATATGAGACTGGCGGCACCGGCGGCTGATGCTTCTCAATGGGAACCAATTCCAGATCACTGGAGTCCACCTGGGAAATCTCTAGTGGTTTCCCAAGCCTACCCTCTCTCTGGGATTGTGCGGCATCGGACGATTGGATGGAAGACGCCTGATCTTCTTGCGGGCGAGTGCGGCCTTCCTTTGTCCGAGGAGAAGAGGGCTTTCGAGAGGGATGCCATTTGCGGCTCGTAGTGCTGCGTCTTGCTTTCTCGTCGTCTGCGGGCGGTTTACGCCTCGTGTAGCGCCTCGTAGAGCTCTCGCTTGACATCCCAGTGTCGGCGGAGTTCAGCTGAGGTCGATGGCGGCGATCGCCCTGCATCATGAGTTGCCCAATCTTGTCGGATTGCAGATCAATGACATTCCTGAGGGCGGCGAGCGTGCCCTGGAGGATGTCCAGCGGCCGCAGATACTCAGGCTGTCGCTTCTGGGGGACCGTCTTCGTTTGTCTGACCTTCTTTAGCTTGACCTTCTCGACGGTGGCCTTGGGTCCTGCAGTCTCCGGGGGTGAAGGCGCTGATGGGGCAGGCTCTGAGGGTTTGGGCTCGGGCTCGGGCTCAGATTTTGGTTCTGGCTCAGGTACGGGTTCGGTCTCGGTCGTATCAGGAGACGTTGCGCGTTTCGCGCGTTTCGTCGCGTAAGTCCTGCCATTGTGTAGACGATTCCCAGCCGCGGCAATGCTGGGATCGAAGCCGGATGCCGCTGGCCTAGCGAGTAGACATGATGGGCGAATGGAGTGCGGACCAAGGCGGCATATGACTTGGCTCCTCAATCGAAGCATTGAGTCTTGTCGCCAGGGCACAACGGCTGCGTTGGGCCAGCAAGTGACTGTGTGAGGCGCAAAAGTGCGATGTTGAAGCGGTTGGAGCTCTGCAAGCACGGCGATAAGAGCTTCCAAACTTTTTTTTCTCCCTTGCCGTCCACCCCTGCTACCCTAGGTCGCGTCTCTGGAGACAGTGTGGTACGACATGGATTTCATTAGCGCGCTCCAATCAATTAATCAACGAAGCAAGTTAGTACCAGCGACCACTTAGTTACATGTTACCTAGGTAGTCAGTAAGGTGAGTACTTAGGTATTTCACAGAAAATCCGGCATATATGTTAATCCGTATAGCCTCGCTCGCAGTTGAGCACTGGAAACAGATCTCGATTTCGCCTTCTTTCTTCTGGCTCGGTCATTGCTGAAATTTGTTGACTCATTCTTCGTCTCTTCATTATATTATCACGGGCTGGTTGAGACCCAAGCTGGCTTTCATACTCCACAACAATGCGGTGATGGTGTTCAAACCCTGGGACCGCTAAGCCGCTCACTCATCTCTTGCGAACGTTGAGCTGGACATGGACGACTCGGAATTGAAGCAACATGGCTTTCCCTGACAAGCCCATCGCTCATCTTCTGGGCTCAAATGGTACGTAACACACACACACCCTCTTTCTTGTATGAAGCTGGTATCACATAGAAACTCTGTTTCTCCAAACTTACGACGCTAACACGCCTCCAGGCCCCGTCCATGCAGTCGCCTATTCGGCATCTCCAGGGACTTATATACTAGCTGGGTCATCTGATCGGTCCATCCGGCTATACAATCCATCGCCCAGCACATCTGTGGCCCCCTCTTCCCATGTTACCAAGCCGCATCAGACGTCCGCGGCGCCGCCCATCCCGCAGGGCCGGCTGATCCAGAGCTACTCGGCGCACGGGTACGAGGTGCTCTCGCTCAGCATCGCGGCGGACAACGCGCGGTTCGCGTCGGCGGGCGGCGACCGGTCCGTGTTCCTGTGGGACGTGGCGACGGCGCAGACGATCCGGCGGCTGGGCGGCAACCAGCAGAGCCACAGCGGGCGCATCAACTGCGTGGCCTTTGGCGGCGACGACGACGCCCTGCTGGTCAGCGGCGGCCTCGACACCACCGTCCGCGTCTGGGACGTGCGCAGCGGCTCCTTCAAGCCCATCCAGGTCCTCACCGAGGCCCGCGACGCCATCACCGCCATCTGTGTGCGCGGCGCCGAGATCGTGAGCGGCAGCGTCGACGGGCGCGTCCGCACCTACGATGTGCGCGCCGGACGGTGCGTCACCGACGTCGTCGGCCCGAGCGTGACGAGTCTGTCCATGTCAAAGGACGGGAAGGCCGTTCTGGTGGGGAGTCTCGATAGCAAGATCCGGTTCATGGACCGCAGGGACGGGGGCTGTCTCAAGACATACGCGGACCCGGCGTTGAAGAACGAGCAGCTCAGGGTCCAGTCTATCCTGGGCGGGAAGGAGCAGTACGTGCTGGCAGGCGACGAGATGACGGGCGCGCCAGGCCAGAATGGCGAAGGAAGGCTGTGGGCATGGGACACCCTGACAGGCGACGTCGTGGCCAAGGTCAGCGTGCCATGGGGGCCCGTTGGATCAGAGCCCAAGAAGAAACTCATCGGAAAGGACGGCAAGGAGAAAGAGCGCAGCAATGTGATCAGCTGCGTCGCTTGGCGAGAAGATGGATTCGGAGACCAATACTGCGTGAGTGGCACATCTGGTGTCGTCACCGTCTTCGGCTACCATTAAAAGGCCATTGCCGTAACTGCAGCCGAAGAAGGAATCAAAGACAAACGGATGCCAGCAGAAAGCATCATGAGCACTTCATGACTTTTATCATTTATACAGAGGTTTTGTCGCTCTCAACAGAGCGCAAAAGAGAGGAACTTCTATCATGCCCCCGTCTACGCCAGTAACACCTGTTGCCCCAAATGCTATAAGCCTGTCCAATACAAGACTTCCCAGTCATTAATATACCCCAAGCATCCACACTATATAGCTGAACCCGCCGATCAACCGACACTCTAGCCCATGCCGACATACTTGAACCAGTTGGGCCGGCAGTCCTCCTTGTTCAGCCAGGCCTCGCCGTCGGTGAAGCGGCCAGTTACACATCCCTTGCACTTTGGCGAGTTGGGGCAGTTGAAGAAGGGAATATGCTGGTAACCAATATCACGGAACCTGGAAGCGAGCGGTTAATAATGTAGGAAGTAGAAAGGGCCGGAGCCCGGGGTAGACTTACCAGTGGATCTTGCTCTTATCCTCGAACAGGCCGAGGGCGATACTGTGCACGGGCGCATCACCCCATCTCTCGTAGAAGAATCCACCGGCTCTATCCAGGTGGTTGAAGTAGTCCTCGTAAGGCTGGCTTCGCCAGAAGTTCATGTCGCCAATCTCAAAGTTGCTCCAGAAGTGGCAGGTCGAATAGCCGTTGGCCTCCATGTTGTGGCTCGGGCGACGAGCCTTGTCAGTTACCCAGTCCAGCGCATTGTTCTTGTGCAGATACTCTGGATGCTGGGCAATGAACTTGGTTGTCTCGGGCCACAGGGTGGGCACGGAAGCGGGCGCGTCGTACAGGTTGATGGTGAAGCCGTAGGTCTTGTTGTGGTCCTGCATGTACCGGAACACATCGTAATCGACATCGCAGAAGAAATGGACGTTGGGCTCGACACGCCAATAGAACTGTGTGTGCTCGAGTGCTGGGTGCTTGTAAAAGAGACCACTGTTCCATCGGCACATCTTGTGGTACGAGATCTTGTCGGCATACTGGATTTTGTTCTCCTCAAGGATCTTGACCGACTCCCGGTACAGATCTTCGTTGATCCATGACGGCGTGTCCCAATGCTCATCGGGGATGACCTCTGCCAATACAAGTGTCAGTTACACCATGACCGCGCATCCAGCGTGCCGGGGGCTCTCCCCTCGCGTGTGTACATACCGTATCTGCACTCGGCATTGGTGGCCGCCTGTGTCTTCTTCTTGAACTCCTCGGTGAACGGGACGTCGTTGAAGAATGTCCAAGGGTAGTTGAACTTGTGATTCCACGTCCGCTCCAGGTCGGTCATGGCTTGGAGCATGCCCGGCAGCTCCTCGTTTCGCACCAGGGCCAGGAGCGTCGCATTGATTCGCCCCGAGGGGTTGGCGTCCGGCGCATAGGCGGCAGAAGCCCGTATCAGGGTTCCTTCTGGCTCTCCCGTGGCTGTGGAAAGGCATAAGCTGTTGGCCGTTGAGGCAGCAGGGGTTGCAGATCAAGCTTACGGTCTAGGTTCGGATCTCTCTCCAGGTTCTTCAGCGAGTCGCCGGGCCCTAGAGGGGTCGACGGACGCCATATGGTATAGAGAAAGAAACACCACATCAACACGGCCGCCAGCCCGAGGGCGCGGACCGGCCTTGCGATGGCCATGTCGTCGTCGTAGTCGGGCGCGGTGCGCTGTTCGTCAACCGCTGCGGACGACCTCGATCGGGGCGCGGGCGTGGGCGTGGGTGTGGGCGTTCGTGTACCGTGTCGCAGCTCAGCTTGGGCGCCGGTTGATGAGAGCTAGTGCTCGCACAGATTGGGTAGCAGTGTGTTGTCGGACGGTGCGACAGGACATCAGTCTGTCATCCGAAGCACAGCAAACTTCAAGCCACCGGCTAGTGTGGATGGCGATGGTCGGTCGCTGGGGGGGGCGGAGGAGCACGAGTTGATCCAACTTAGTGATCTTGGATCGGATTCAAACGTGCTCTGGAACTTTTCCACCAGGCCGTCGGAAAATCCCACGTCGCACTTGGACGCGGCTTTCCTGAAGAAAAGGGGGCGCCTCCACTGTGCGTCACTGTGTCAGACGCTCGTCGGTGCGGGCCAGGCAAGCCTGGTCCGCCTGGGGGGCGCACACCCGCGGCACTGTGGCAGGCCTGCCAGCCCCCCAGCCCCCAAGCCCGGGCCCAGTCTTGCCAGTCTATAGGTACTGTGTGACTTTAGAGGCTCGCTGGCTCGCAGAAGGCCTGGGGGCAATTTGCAACTCTAAATGCAGCCCACCGACACCCCTGGCCGGCATGACGTGATCCCTGCTCGTTTGCTTTGCACGCGGCCTAGTCGCGTCTTGCGAGTTACCTAGTTACTCGGTGCACGCAACGAATCGAACAGCCCGCCAGTCGAGATGCAGCACGGTAGGGGGGCCCCCTTGCATGAAATGAGAAGCACATGAAATCTCCACCGCGCGAGGACCTCATATCAAAGATCGCTGCATCCCGGCCCTCCTCGATGCCTTCGGACAGTGCCAATTGTGCACCAACATGGCATTTGCAGCGAGACTGGGCGCGCTGACCGAGGAGCTGGTCGCCGCCGTCGTGCCAAATGCAGATCAGGTGAGGTTGTGTGTTCTTTGGCGTCTCAGTCGCATGCAGCCCGCAAAGACTAACAACCCGCACAGCTAGACGAGGGCAGTTTGAAGGTTCTGAGAGACGAAACTCTACACACTCTGCGCCTTCAAACCAGTCTCCGCACAAACCAGTTTGAGGTGCAGCGTCACCTCGAGGGCTTAGAGGAGCGGTTTCGCGTCCAGAACCGCGAAGGACTAGCCGATGCTTTGAGAGAACGTCTGGACGCCCTTGACAAACTCTCGTACAAGCACACACCCGAAGTGCTGCATCTTCTGCTGGAACTTTCCGATCAGCCTGCTCAGAAAACACGGCTAGAAGACCTCGGGCTCCTGCGGCAACCTGCGCATGGTCCTCAACCCGACCTCAAATGGGAAGATATAGCTCGAGAAGACGACTGGGCTTCTGATCGTGACCTCTTCCAAAAGGTCGATTTCAGGAATGACAGCTCCGACGAGGAGCTGCTTGATGATCGCTCAGATGTATCCCCAAGGTCCGAGGAAACGTCACTTTCCAGCATTGAAGCGCAGTATCGACGGCGGGCCACCGATCTGATTGTGGACTCCCAAGATGAGGAATCTGTATTGGAAAAGGTGCGGTTAAGCCATTCTTGGAGGCATCAAGCCGCGCCGAACGCAAGGAATGAGGGGAGCAGCATATCCGAGCTTCAAGCTGTGCGAGAGGCCCTGTTCATGCTTAGGGGGCTTCGTAACGACTTATTTAACTCCCATTACACGGCCTCGGACTCGTTACAGCTGGATCATGTGTCGCCTCGTCTCCTACAAGGATTGTTTGCCGAGTTCACGGCGGCTGGTCAGAGTCTGCACGTTCTGCGACACTTCGCAAGAAAAGATCAACGAATACCCCTTTTGCAGGTTTTCCGGGACACTATAGAAAAGAGGCTTCGCGACTGTGACACTTATCTGAGCCATGTGGAGAGCAGCCTCATCGATATTCAGGAGGACACTGTCATAAGCCTGTTGAGAGTATTGGAAGATTTCAAACCTCAGCTCCAGCCACTTGCCGCATTGTCAAGGGTTGTTCAACAGCTTGGCGGGGACGAGAACGCTCAGCCTTTTCGTTACTTGGAACTGCTCTTCGAGTCTGCCGGTATGGCTCAATTGGAGAGCAATGACCAGGTTTATTCCTTTCTGGGCACAATGTTCTTCGAATGCTTTCAGGTCTATCTCCGACCCATTCGCAGATGGATGCACGACGGGGAGCTACTCGAAGACGACAAGACATTCTTCATCTCTGGAGTACAGTCCCAATTACCACTGAGCCAGGTCTGGCAGGACCAGTTCACACTACGCAAGACACCCGGCGGACTCTTGCACGTACCAAAGTTTCTCCAGCCATCTGTCGACAGGATATTCATAACTGGAAAGAGCGTGGTCATTTTGAAGCTCCTTGGCAAACACAACGCCCAAGAGCAACAGATGGTCGAACATTCTATGGACTTTCAAGCACTTGCTGCGTCCGATTTGGGATGCTTCACCCCCTTTCCGGAGCTGTTTGCTGTTGCATTCGAGAGATGGATGCAAAGCAAGCATAGTTCGGCTTCAGGCACACTGAGGCATGTCCTATTTGAGTCGTGTGGCCTGTGGTCTACGCTCTCCAATATTCAGCATATCTACCTCATGGCTGACGGTGCCTTTTCAGATGTGTTTGCCCACGCTCTCTTCACAAATCTGGACTTATTAAACCCGAGATGGCACGACCGTTTTCTACTGACCCAGGCATTTCAGGATGCATTTGGTACGGCCGTGGACATTCATCACGTCACCGTCTCGGCGATTGAGCAAGCAGATCAGGATATTAGCAAAGCTCGAGTGTCTGTACGCAGTTGTTTGCCCGCCGTTAAAGTCGTCTATCGAATGCCGTGGTCACTGCGTATCATAGTTTCCGAGGAGAGCATGTCGGACTACCAGGCAGTGTTTACACTACTGCTCCAGAACCGTCGAGCACTCTATATTCTCCGAGGGCAGCGCATCAAGACAGACGGCATAGCACAACTGGACAATGGGCAGGCCGCGTATTACAGCCTCCGCGCCAGGCTCTTGTGGTTCTGCAGCTCACTGCAGACATATTATTTTAACCTTGTCATCGAACCTCTCGTTACCCAGCTCAAGGACAACCTCCAGAAGGCACCGGATATCGACTCGATGTTGGAGATACACTCGACGTTCGCAAAGCGGCTGCGCGATGCTGTCTGTCTTGGCAGTAAGCTTGATCCCATACGTGAGTGCATGTTAGATATCATGGACGTTGCACTACGCCTCGAATATACACGCCATGCCGAGGCAGAACGAAAAGTAAGTGCTGCCTTAGCGTCGACCTCTGCAGATCCATCGACAGACAGAGGGACAAAATACATGAACATGAGCGAGGAAGAGGACGAGACGTTCTTGCCGGAGCAGGACTTGAGCGTGGTCGAAGCTACCGGCGCCTCGTATGATGAGACGCTGGCTGAGATGCGGGTACAGTTTGATAGACACCTCAGATTCATCTGCGGTGGGCTACGAGGGGTTGCCAGAGCGAGTGGAGACCTGGCTGCTGTGCAATGGGATACTTTGGCTGAAATGCTGGAGACAGGCTTGGCAGGTGCAAGGGATCATCCGTGGTGACGTTCTTGCAGGTATCCTGAGCAGCACATGGCAGGCGAAGCGTTTACCAGCGAACGCGGCTTTCGGTATGCGGTGACATATTGTGCGAATCGAAGTATCAGACGGTTGCAGGCATCAGGCCGAGGAGTGCCATCGTTATTGTGGCTACGCCGTACAAGATCCACGTTGGCCCGTTTGGCGACGAGATACCAGCCTGGCATGTACTGTTCAGAGAAAGGATGACCGAGCAGTTCCAAAAGCTGCATCTCGATGTTCGATCCCATCAGCATTGGGCACGTGCGTTCACGGTCTGACGCAACCATTGCCTTCTGCACTGGCGATAAAACGGTGATGCAGGGGCCCTGCTCATCCGGGCCTCTGGTCTCGTTCGCTCGTGTCTTGAGAGTCCCCGGGTCCAACCCGCGTCACGGATCTCTCAACACCGATGATCGGCAAGCGTGACACGTTATGACGAAGATTGGTGAGGCTACTGTATGGATGGTGCACCGAGGACCGTGTTGGGACGCATATGCCTCGTAGATACTCTCACACCCTCTGACATCATACTATTACCGAATGGCTGCATCCATCCTGCGTACGCCGCGCCACCCATGCGTTATAATAGTGAAATGTATTCAACAGCAGTCAATTATCATAAACACTTGTCAACCTCAAGCTGCATCGCCTCGGGTCGAAAATAGGCAGTACTAATCATTAAACGGGACTTTGTTGCGTCATCACAGCGGTTGTCATCGAGATCTCAGGGAGGAAGCATGGATCCGCAATTCAAACATATCCAAACGCGGGAATCATTGAAACTCGAATCCACTAGCAACGACCCCCGGTTGCGATGACAACCTCCTGCAAGCAGCCGGGGCTGATCCTGAGATAATCCCAGTAATGAATGTCGCTCGGCTCGAGTTACCGACGAGTCCACCAGCCCGCCCTGTAAGTGGGAATACCATAGTACCCACCAGCAAGCGGGAGACAGTATGTCCTCTAGTCTGTACTTGAAGGTCATCTCATGTAAGAGAAGTACGCACAATTCGAGTAGTTGGAACACAGGCAATGGGCTGTGTAGAGTTTGAATCTGGTTCACATCGATAAAGATACTCCCAAGCCCATTGCGAAAGACGGCGGCGGGTGATAATGACATAATGCTTGGCGGTTCAGCTGCCAGCTGCCCCCCGGGTCAGCAGCTGTGGACGGAGCGAGAGTGGACCCTGGCACTGGGGCCTGCCTGGGGCCGCTGCTTTGCTCAGCCCTACGCCAAGAACAGTTGAGAACACTTGAGGCTGAAGGCGCCACAACGGGCGACCCGCTTATCTCCGACATTGCGGGTCTTGATTTTCTCCACCAGCAGTTATCCTTCCCGCATCCCGTCCCTCCAAAATCGAACCTCAAAGCAGCCTCGCAATATCGTGAGCAGCATATCGACATCGTTTCTGGCGCGCATCACACAAGCCCGTCGCATCCTACTTGCCGCCAGTCACCGCTCCTTTGCGAGCACTTCGGTTCTATCTAGCCCATCATGTCCGAGCGCAAAGTCCTCCAGGTGAGTAAATACATACCCACGAAGGCCCCATCTCAGCTTCCACCATGGCCACGTCTCGGACGAGCATGTAACTAACCACGCTCTCAACAGAAATACTACCCACCAACGTTTGATCCGCGACAGATCGAGCGCGTTCGCGGCCCCAAGAGAGTCGGGCCCAAAGTCCAGACCGTTCGCCTCATGGCGCCCTTCAGCATGCGCTGCACGACATGCGGTGAATATATTTACAAGGGCAGAAAGTTCAACTCTCGGAAAGAGACGCCCGAAAATGAGAAATATCTCGGAATTCAGATCTTTCGGTTCTATATCCGCTGCACACGGTGCTCGGCCGAGATCGTCTTCAAGACAGACCCCAAGAACGGCGACTACGCCTGCGAGCGCGGAGCCAAGCGCAACGTCGAACCCTGGCGCACCGGCCGCGAGGAGACGGACGAGGAGCGCCTCGAGCGCCTTGAGAAGGAGGAGGAGGAGCGCAACGCCATGGTCGAGCTCGAGGCCAAGACCGTCGACGCCAAGCGCGAGATGGCCGTCGCCGACGCCCTCGACGAGATCAGAGTACGGAACGCCAGGCTCGAGCGCGCTGGCTTCGACGGGGTGGAAGTGTCGTTACCTGCGTCGGTAGAGGACGAGGAGGCGGCGAGGCAGGAGAGGGAGGACCTAGAGGCGGCCAAGTTGGCCTTTGCGGGCGCGAAGCAGGCAGATGTCCTAGGCGACGAGATTATCGAGGAAGTGGTGCCGGACGCTGGAGAGATGCTGCCTCCACCACTACCTACATTTAGGAAGGCGGCACCCGTCAAGAAGAAGGCTGGTCCCACGATTCCGGGGATCAAGAAGAAGGAGGCGGACCCGCAGTCGCAGTCGCAGCCACAGTCGGCAAAAGAACCAGAGAAGAAACCAGCAGCAAGCTTGGTCAGCTATGATTCGGACTCAGATTAGGATTCCTGGGCTTCAATACGGCGTCATATAGTGACAAACATCATGATAATTGCATAGCGAGGAGTCTTTTAAAGGCGTTGGAAGATTCAGGTTGCGTTACAGGTTGCAGGGACAAATGAATTCTAATCAACAATTCTTCTTCATTCAATAACCTCGGTGTTGATAGTGATACGTGCGATGCATGTGATAGTAAATCTTGTTTTCTTTCTATGAAATTCACATCAACAGAGGTTAGATGATCGCAACACTAATACATTGTGCAGCAACAGACAGGCATCATTTCCACATGGCACATTGCTGGTGCAGAAATACCTTGAAGACCTAGGAAGGTCGGGAGTGCTGGCTATAATGATATTCTGAGTAGAGCGGCATTGCCTAGCAACTTCTGGTCTACTTTGCGACGCAGTCTAACAATAGTCTAGGAGATGAGTGGCGCTTAATTTGCAACCATCATTCTTCAGAAGCGCTTGGGGGCAGTGGATATCTTGTACTGCGATTGTGAACTCGTTCTTGCACATCGATGTATGTAGTTTCGGTGTCAGCGCCGTGTTGGTGTTGGCGGTCCCTACCACCACCTTATCAATCATAGGGAAATGAGACTCGAGATCTTTTGTTAACTTGCTTCACTCATCATCAGCGGCAATAGATCTACTACACACGTCCCTTATTTAAATGATCCTACACGTCTCGTGTGATGGCACAGGTTCCCCTCTCCGTCTCAGGCTCCTGGCGACGTCATCCCCCGCCACTGTGGTTTGACCCAACATGGGCAACATCAGGGGGGGCCGCGGGAAACCCATACAATCGAGAGCGACTCTTCATCGTAGGGTTCGCCCAGTTCCATCTTGATGCTCTGATGCTTTTATCGATGACCGTCGATGGCTGTTGTAGCGATCGTCAATCGGGGGCCCCCTTGGGGGGGTTGGGCGCACTGAAAGGATGGGGATATCCACAGTCTGGCCATTTTGTCTTGCGTATGGCAGGCTACACCTGCCGTCCCACAGAAGCTTGGGGAGAGATGGCCCGATGGAATTTGTCGACGATCATGATCCGGGACGACTTGTGCTGGGCAGGCCGCAGGCTCCATGACTAGTGTGCAGTTGTCCAGAGCAGGCCGGCTGGGTTGGGGTTTTGAGCACTCCAGGGCCCATGACTAGCATAGTCCGACCGAAACACCAGAGTGACGATTTGCCAAGGATATTTTACTCTCCACCTCGGGTAGGCGTGACCTTTCGACCTGTGAAGGCACAAACTTGTCAGTGACCGGCAGCACTTTCCAAGGGAGCTAATTCTCTCCATTCTACGAAGATGGGTTGCGCGGTGTGCTTGATGTAGATTTCACGGTGCAACGCATATCCCGATATCAAAATTTTACTCTGACGAATGTGAAGTTTGAGGTAGTGGTAATGTGGATTGGTATTGTATGTGATGTTAAACAATATCGTATATCATGATCGTGAAAAGCCTGCCCGTATTTCTAGGAATATCAGATCGCTTCAAGGTCTTGGACCAAATAGTCCAGCCTACAATATCCTGAACGCCCATCTAGATTCCGATGCCATAATGGCGCCATCGCTCATGCTTGTGTAGTGTACATTTTACAACCGTGTCATCTCATTGAGTTCGCTCGGTGGGATCATATTCCCTTGACTTGCCGCCAGGGGTATATGGACAACTTCTGTGTGAGTCGTCAAAAGTTGTAGCCCAACATCATGTGATGCTGTGACCGCTCAGTCGTGGTAGTCGACGCCCTCGGAGCTATGCGATGATCCTGACGACGAGATGCCGTTGGGCACCGCGGGAACTCCAGAGTGGCTTGATCGTTGACCTCGACGGTGCGACGACCTTGATGCGGCCTCCATCTGCTTCTTTGTGTGTTGGTGCATGAACCGAGCATAGGATGGCAGGTCCGTTGGTGGTGAAGGAGAAAAGGGCATTGAGACGGTGGAGTAATCCTGAGACGACATTGTGATGGTAATGGTGTGATGTCGATAGATAATTGTTGGATGTTTTGTTGAATAAAGCCGGCTTGAATAGATTTGTTCGCTGAACAGGTGATGAGGAGCGTCTAGCTGCTCGATGGTTGAAATGATGCTAATAGTGGTGAGGTGTTTGGAAGAATAATGTGATGTGGAAGCAGCAGCTGAGGTTCTTTATAATCAAAACGGTCTGCTTAGCGCATATGATGCACTGGCAATGTTCGGGGCCGCTTGTGACTTCAGACACGCCGCCCCTGGGCGTACTACTCCTCTTTTCCGTCGTCCCATCGCTCATCACTGCCGGGGGCTTAACCAAGAACGTCAGCTTAGTGCTACCCGTTGGTGCTGCAGCCTCCCATGCCTCGACTCTGGGATGTACAAGGATCGACAACAAAAGAGGCCGCTTTCGTGCTGGGGTGGGAGCCTATCCATGCACCATATGGCGTAAGTGCGGCGGCAACAAGCCAATCACTGACATAGCGTCCTTTCGGCTTTTGCCACGGCGGGCAAGGGGGGAGGCAAGGCTGATGATGCAGTATCTGGGGCAATCTGTTTCCTGAAACCTTGCGGGTCTGGATTGGCTAGACACAAAAGTCCGGTGCGCCATTGCACATGTCATTGGGCGTATGACAAGGAACGGTTGGCCACCAAATGGCGGGCTGGGGGGACGGACGCGACGGGGAATGATGACCGTTCTGACAGAAGGGGAAAGACCCTGCAGATCTCTCAACCGGGTCTGAAGTCATCCTCTTATGTCATGCCATTGGTCCAAGCGCGCATACTACAGGCTATGACCGCAAACAGCAATAGATAGTGTGAGCCAAGAACGGGCCGCCTGCTGGCAACCTAAGCCCGTAGAAAGCTTGTGGACTGATGAAAGTCGTCCTTGGAGATGGAACCTCTGCTGCGGGCGCAAATTTGGGAGAGCCTCAAGCCTTACTCAAGCCACTGCTAAGTAGCTTTCGAGTGAGCCGAGAGCAACAGCTCGATTGACGTCATGATACTGGCTGTGCTGAGATAGACCACCCTGTTTTCGACTACCCAGCCCCAAATTCTGCTCGTCGCCTCGCTATTCACCGGCGGGAGTATGTAATTACAGTCATTAATATGACTTGAGCCACGCGGAGCGTCTTCTGTCTGCCAAGGCCTTTAAGCGTAACTCAAGGTGATGATCCGGACCCTTGGTTGGCTCATTCAGCGGGCACCTATCGCTGCGGAGGCTGCATGAAGCCGCGCATCTCGCGGGCCTTGTTGTCCGGGCAAGGTCGGGGTCCTCGCAGTAGTTCAGTCTTAGCAGTATAAGGGATGGGCAAGCAATAGGCCATCCTGGCACGCCTTGGCTGTTGCTGAGGAACGTATTGTGCATGTACCTGGGCTTGCTGGGTTTGCAGGGACATCGTCTGCAAGTCTATCAACAGGGTACCTAGGAACCTTTGGGCCTCTGTCAAATCCTAGCTCTCCCCAGATTCCACACTACTGTGATTGGCCCGATGATTGTCTTCACGTCTGGTAGCGTCCATCGAAGAGGGGAATTCCTCAAATTCAGGGTCCAGTCCACGGAACAAAACATCCCGGAACATGGCCTGAGCCGCCGACTGCATGCTTAGACCACGATCCTCGTGAGAAGTCAGGGTTTGCTTCAAATCGAGAATTGGAAATGGGATGGGATTTCTCGAAATTGCCATTTCGAATGCACCATACACCATTGCTTCCTGACTCAGGCCAACATGCCACCGTGCCGGTACATTGACGTACACATGTTCCGCCAAAAAAAAATCCCAGTTGTTTGCCGTCCAACAGACGGATAAGTTAACATATGACCCAACACTCCAAGCCAAAGAGTTGCAGTCGTTCATGGTGGGTTCAAAAATGCGTCTTAGCTTGAATCTCCAACTGCTCCGGGTTGCTTCTGCACCTGCTGCAGTAACGACAAGAGCTTCACGTCACAGGTGGCTCATTGGCTCGGTTGGTAAGACATCTTAGGATGACATCGGTGAGCCGCAGGATAAGGGTCCAGCAGGGGTCCGGAGGATGCGCTACGGTGGGAGTCTGGGTGGTGCCGGTCTAGGCGACTAACTTAGACCCTTGGCGAGTTGGCGAGTCTCTACGAGGTGAAGTCACAGCTCCCACAGCTGCCTAGCGCTGCTGTCCAGGAACTGCCAGCGCCTGCCAGGTGCTCTTTGCCTTTTCACAGCTCCTCTTCTTATGATGTCAACCGACGCCGCCCAACACAAGCTTTTCGGAGCATAGTGCTTGAAACATTCCATAATCCCTTGGCTAAATGTAATCTTGTTATCTTCAAACTCCTGCAGCTGCTCTGGCAATTTAGCACTTGTTCCCGACTAACCCTGCAAGATGATGGTACGGCAGCGCGCGTGGACTAGCGTTACTGCTTGTTCAGAGGGTCTGACATTGTGTCAATGTGCAGGGTGTCCACCCTGACGCTATACTGGAACTCCCTGAAAACCTTGGTTTCACACTCCAGTGATTTTCACGTGATGACGAAACAAGGCATTGCTGGACAAATCTCTGGATTTCAATTTAGGGAGTGCCATCTGTCCACCTTGTTTACTCATCCGAATTTGCAGTTATGCTACGCCCATCTCACGGTGAGACCTATGTATAGTTGAATAAAACCACACCTATGTTTACTGTCACGCAGACGTAAGTCAGACGCGCCGAATTGAGGGTTGCAGTATGTGTTATGGTAAGTAGTCGATCTCGCTGTGTCCGGTTTTCTAAGTTGTCTGCGCGCTGTGTGCCGAATACGGCGCGAGTGCGACATGCTTAGGTCTCATGGATGGACACTGGTTTCCTGTGCCTTGCCGTCTTGCCGTCATGCACTGCTACCATTCTACCGATCATGGCTTCAAGCCCAACAAATCACTGTACCAATCTCGTGGCGTACAGTCAGGAAGCTAGGGCATTGAAAATCCACCATATACTGCGGGCGATCAACGAGTGATTTTACCGCAATCGTTTTCTCAGCACGCGGGATGAGATTGTTTATACCCTAATCCCCAGGCTAATCTGCGTGGTCGTTCATTATGCGAAATACCTTTAACCCCCGGATGTTTGACAAAGGTGGCAAAAGCATGGGCGACCGACGCATGAGCTATCACATTCTCTCAATGGAGAAACCAGCCGGGTCATCCAGCCTGGTCGGCAGCAATCGCTGAGTGTGTCGTTTGGGATATCTAGTCGTTGATCTGATTGAAACTCCTGGAGAAACGTGTAGTTCGGTCCGCTTTGGACTGACTGGACGGACTTTGCGGCCGCATATGAATCTTCGCCAGTCCCAAAGGATTGGAATCCTGGATTGACAACTTACCACGTTACCTGTCAAGCCTCGATTGGTGCAGCAATTCGGCCCTTTCAAGCAATATGCGTCCCCCAAAATGAGGAATCTCATCAGCAAACACTTTCGGCGAGCCTACATCGGAGGGTCAACGATTTAGCCACTTCGCAGGTGGTTTAATACTCACAGACTTCTTATATCGATTCAACGTCCTAGAAGGCTACTATTTGCTACCAGTCCTTCGGGACCAAAATTATTTGGGATAGGAGGCTCATATACGCTCCTTGATCAGAAGCAAACAACACTCAGTTTCGCAGTGATGGACACATAGCCCGTTAGGCATCTGCAGCCATCAGCAGGTCATGGTTGACGACTTCCGACTGGATGTTATCCCTGCCGATGGATCGGTAACACAGCATTTAACGTAGTATACATGGGCTGTGTTTATGGACGAGTCTATTTAGCCGGAAGTCATCTTCAATCTGCTTGGCGGCTAAATTACTATAACCCGAGCTGTGCCCCTATGTGTCGGGCGACCTGTCTTACCAGGCTCTATTCAAAAGTGCAAAAGATCAATAATTGACTGGTTTGCGAAGCCAGGACTATATCGGAGCAGAGGGACCTATGGCTCGTATAAGAAGTATCCATATCCACGGCGCAGTCTTGCTACAGGGCTTTCTGCTTAGCCCTTGGTCCTCCTATTCGGCGTAACATTGTCCTATCGTAAAAGGTTTTGCATCAATCCGGTCACGATGGTCGGCGCAGTCAACAATGGGGACAACATTGTCCACCGTATGGCCATGGAGGATAAGGTGCCATGGTATAAGAAGAAGAACTTGCGATATATGTACTTCATGCTTTTTCCGACATGTATGGGCATCGAGATGACTTCCGGGTTCGATTCACAGATCATCAATGCCGTCCAGCTGATTCCCCAGTGGAAAGCCTGTGAGTTCCCCATAACATGCCCACTCGACATCAGCGCTGATTGAAACTCCAAACATAGACTTTGGAAACCCAACGGGCGCTTTCCAGGGGATCCTAAGCGCCATCATGCCTCTTGGAGCAGTCATCGGGCTTCCGTTCATTCCGCTGATCAACGATAACTTTGGCCGAAGGTGGTGTGTAATGTTTGGGTCGATTTTGATGATTATCGGTTCTATCATACAGGGATTCTCTTTCAATGGTAAGTTTCAAACCCGCAGTGTCTGGCACTCTATGCTCAACAAAGTCAAAAGCTCCAATGTACATCATTGCCCGTGGCCTCATCGGATTCGGTCTTCCCTATGCTATCGTAGCCGGCTCTAGTCTGATAGGAGAATTGGCCTACCCGAAAGAGCGAGCGATTATGACATCCATGTTCAACGCTGCTTACTTCATCGGCTCGATTGTAGCAGCCTGCGTCACGTTTGGGACCACTCATGTGCCATCAGATTGGTAAGTACATTCCCGTCCCACTCAATGTGGCGTTCTCCAGCCCTAGTATGCAAGGTCCCATCGCTTACACAGTGTAATAGGTCCTGGAGGTATTAGACTACCAAACGTTGTTCTCGGAAAGGATTGTTGCTAACCTAACCTAAGAGTTCCGTCACTGCTTCAAATGGCCCCGTCGCTCATCCAGGTTACCTTCATTTTGTAAGTGTCTGGAGTCATACTATTATCGCTGCAACTCACAGTTTCCCAGCTTTCTCCCAGAAAGCCCCAGGTTCCTCATCAGCAAGGACAGACATGAGCAAGCACTGCAAGTGCTGGTCAAATACCATGGCGAAGGTGACGAAAATTCGGAACTCGTCAAAGCAGAAATGGCCGAGATCAAGACCACGATCGCAATCGAAATGGAGAACTCGAAGCAATCCTGGATGGACATGATCAAGACGCCCGCGATCCGGAAAAAGGTCCTCCTTGGGGCTCTCATTGGTCTCTTCACCCAGCTGTCCGGAAACGTGGTCATTAGTTACTACACTGGCTCCGTTCTCACCGCTGTTGGTTTCACCGAGGCGCTCTTCCAGGCGCAGTATAACATCGGTAATCAAGTCTGGAACTTCGTCGCTGGCGTTACATGTGCTCTCGTCGTCATGAAGTTTAAACGAAGAACCATGTACCTCACCGCAATCACCTACATCTTGGTAATCTACGTGTCATGGACGATCTGCTGGGCTGAGTATCAGGTGAACAAGTCTGAGGTCGCTGCAAAGTTCTGTCTGTTGTGAGTAAAACTAGAGAGTCAAGGCACCCCATAGCCATGTTAACGACATCTCCAACAGCTGGATCTATGCCTACTCTCCGGGTTACAACTTGGGGTTCAACGCCCTTACATACAGTGAGTCTAACAGCCTCGCCAGCCACTGCTCAGAGCTCGAGTTATCTAACTTTGACAGCGTACCTGATCGAAATCTTCCCATACGCTCAGAGAACCCGTGGTATAGCTGTTTTCCAATTCTTCGGCAAATCGGCACAGGTAAGTCAAACCGCGAATCCCGCATGAATTGCAAGAGGTAATAGTGGTGTAGACATTCGGCCAATTCGTCAATCCCATCGGACTCGACCCAGTTAAGGGGATCGGCTACAAGTTCATGGTCGTATACTGTTGCTGGATCGCATTCGAGGCTTTCTTGATCTGGTGGCTCTTCCCAGAGACATCGGGCCGCACATTGGAGGAGCTTGCTTTCCGTAGGCCGTCCATCTCACCTCACTTTAGTACATACTGACATCAGATAGTCTTTGAGGACCCTGAGAAGTCCAATCTGCGAACTGAAGCAGTCGAGAGGGAGATTCATCGCGAGGATAGCTTTGACGAAAAACCCCAAGCGACGACTTCTGCTACCGAGCATGTGTAGACACTTCAGGTGCATGTTACCCATAGGGGCTATGCTCTCCATCATGGGCCTATAATGCTGCTAATCTCGAAGTACGGCGAGGGATTTGAGCATCGCTATCATAGTAAGCCAAGGCGGGATATTTGGAACTAAAATGATTTCTACGAAGAAGTGACTCTTTTTTCTGCAGGATTTCACTAACGTTTAGCCACATACATACCTCTGTAGTGCAACTGGTGAATGCAGATGAAAACATCCCGCAGACAAGTATTTACATTCATCAACGGCCAATCTCATCCTAGCTGTGTGTGTTCACCGTTAATAATAATAATAAAAATGGCGCGTCTTACGGGAGCGCTGTATAATCAAAACCATGTAGTACTAGCACTGCATGAGTATCAAGTCCCGACTCGGCCTTAAAATTGACACCGGACTCAAAATCTCTAATGCAGAAGGACCGGGCTTGGTACTGCATGTCTTTCGTGTCGCCCAAGTACGCTTTGTATCAATGCAGAATGCACGGCCAAAGCAGACTAGCCCTGTAACGCCATTATCTCGTCCATTGTCTGGCTACGTATGGTAACGAAACGTATACAAACCTGGATGTAAAGAGTGACACCGTGCAGTTGGGCATCTTCTCCATACACAATAATCTACGTACTCTCCGCCTTCCAACATGAGTGCAATTTAGCTTCCAAGTTAAGCCTATAGTAACGGAGGTAAGTAAGTACCTACAGTACCCAGCTACTGTAGTTAGGTGCAGATGGAGTAAAATCTGTAGCCGGGTGCCCGCCGGTGCAGTGGGCAAGGACACCAAAAGCACCGACGTCACGGTCCGGGGTGGGCCACGACCCCGTCCAAACTGCCCCGCGTCCAAACAGCACCGACGCGTCTGCCAGTGCCTGACCGATGCGTCGACGACTTCCGGTCTCAACCTCCAACCAGATGCTCGTCACTTGGCCAGGATTGATATCTCTGGCATGGAGAAATTCTTGAGGGAATGGAGGCAGGATGCCTACAACAAGGCGCAGTACGATTCGGCCATTTTCATCGGGGACAAGCTCCTGGCCCTAACAAGTGCGTCACCCATTCTCCAAACCCGACTCCGGGCTGCAGGACATGCTAACGAAATGTCATGGTGCCGCAGATGATGACAATGACGCCTTTTGGCTGGCGCAGGTTCACTTTGCGACCGGAAACTACACTCGTGCCCAGTCCTTCCTTTCCAAACAGGATCTCGTGAACCGCAATCCGTCATGCCGCTACCTCGCTGGTCACTGCTTCATCAAACAGTCACGGTACGACGAGGCGCTCGCCGTGCTTGGCGAGCGAAACCCTACGCACCTCATAGCGAACGCGGCCAACAAGCGCAAAACTCAGAAGGGGCCGGGCAAGTCAGACAGGCCGAATCGCCGACAGGATGGCTCGGATGAAGAGGCGGCTAACAGGCGCTTCGAGGCGGCCATGTGCTTCCTGCGCGGCATATGCTACGCCAAGCAGAACGCTTTTGACCGGGCAAAGGAGTGTTACAAGGACGCTGTTAGGATCGACGTCCAGTGCTTCGAGGCGTTCCAGCAGTTGATGAAGAACTCGCTGATGTCGCCCGACGAGGAGTGGCAGTTCCTGGAGTCGCTAGACTTTGACTCGATCCATGTCCCAGGGGATTCGTCCTCGTCGCAGGAGGCCGCAGAGTTCACCAAGATGCTCTATACGACGAGGCTATCCAAGTACAGGAACCCGAGCTCCTTCACTACTGCATGCGAAACCCTCTCGACTCATTACAACCTTGGCACGAACCCCGACCTACTGCTTGCGAGGGCTGACCTACTCTACACGCAATGCAAGTACAAAGATGCCCTTGCTATTACGGAGTCGATATTGCAGGACGACAAGTATAACTTCAGCGTGTACCCTCTCCACCTGGCTTGCCTGTACGAGCTCAAGATGAAGAATGTCCTCTTTCTCGTCGCCCACGATCTGGCCGACAGCCACCCGGAGGAGCCATCTACGTGGCTTGCAGTAGGAACATACTACTTCGCCATTGACAAGATTGCAGAGGCCCGCCGATATTTCAGCAAGGCTAGTATGATGGATGCCCATTTTGGCCCGGCCTGGATCGGCTTCGCCCATACCTTCGCAGCCGAGGGCGAGCACGACCAAGCCATTTCAGCGTATTCAACAGCAGCCCGTTTATTCATGGGAACACACCTACCCCAAGTCTTCCTGGGCATGCAAAATCACGCACTCAACAACATGACATTGGCAGATGAGTTCTTAAAAACAGCATATGGCCTCTGCAAAACAGATCCGCTGCTACTGAACGAGATGGGTGTGGTCTACTATCACCAGGACCGGCCACTCGATGCTGTGAAACTATTTGTCCGAGCCCTTGAGGTGGCTGAGGACATTGATTCGGAACCGACAGCCTGGCTGGCCGCGCGCACGAACCTTGCCCATGCTTACCGCCGCGCCAAGCAGTATCCTGAAGCAATGGAGCAGTTTGACGAGGTTCTACGGCTCGGCGGTAAAGACGCCGCAGTCTTCTCGGCCAAGGGGCTGGTCTTCATGGAGTTGGCGCAACCCGAAGAGGCTATCGTGGTCTTGCATCAGGCCCTGGCCATTAACCCACAAGATCCCATTGCTACGGAGCTCCTCAATAAGGCCTTGGAGGAAGCCGCGGGGATGGAGCCACCTGTAAGTGAAGCACAGGAGGAGGCGTTGGAGGGTTTCGAGAGAGAGATAGCCAGGCTGCATGGGCCGAAGCAACCCCGGAATCCTAAGGTAAAGGAGAAAGGCAAGGGGGTTAACTTTTTTAACAGAAACAAGACGAGGATCATGGGCCCTGGCGTGCTCTCTGACGATGTCGAGATGGATGCAGCTGAGTAAATTCTTATTAATGAGGTACGAGTGAACGTTTTCCATATGGCCACTGGCCGGCGTCTGTGGGGCTTGTCTGAGAAAGAATGGCATTGATCCGCATCGGGGGTAACTGGCATGATTAGAAAGGAGGCATGTTGATGAGGTTAGGCCATCACCACGGCCCAGAGCTTATTGTCAAGAGATATCCAATCTTCCACAGTACTAAAGTTGCGATCCGATCCATGTGAACATTCAGTCCGCAATCCGACCAGGTGTGTCTCGTCAACGTCAGCTTGGATCAGTCCCAGTAGGAATGTAACCTGGCTATCATGGCACCCCCGTGAACTGGCATGGGCCCCCGTCTCCTGTCCACGTGCAAACAGGCTTTGTGCCAAGTTACCGAGAAGGTGCGCTCCCCACACAGCCATGGGCGCAACTGTTCACCAGCGAGCGTACGTAACTTTAACCTTCAACACTGGACCTGGTCCCCTCTACTAGGTATATGGCACAGTAGTCTTGACTCGGGCTTGGCCTCGTAACGGTGACACCTGACTTGGATTATACAACCTTGCCGCCAACGGTATGAACTACAGTAGGGTGTGGCTTGACCAACAATATATCTTGCATCATCTATCGCCCACACGTTGGCTATGGAGACGTTCTAGGCGTGCATGGCGGAGTGAGGCTGGCTGGGGCCTGATTGAGGCTCGTTCCGAGGACACCAACACCAGCACCAACCGACGGATGCAGCCGCTCTGGGTCGATGGATAGATAGAGCATAGTTAACTTAGATCATATCACGTCGGTGCGAGGGCGCGGAAGTGGCCCCCATCTTCCCCCTGGACCAACAAAAGCGAAGCTATGGCACCCCAGCCTACGGCAAGATGTCTTTTGATCCTAGATCGCTCTTTAAGGGGGGCTGCAACGTCAGACCCAGAGGCTGCGTGGCCCCCCCTTTCCCGTCTGCTCCGAAGCGAACCGAAGATGGGGGTTGGTCCACGCTGAAATTGATAGGGGGCCGATATACACATGCTAATTAGTACAGTGTTGTCTGCCGTAGTCACAGTGGTACAAACAAAACTCGTACATATCGTGAGATCGGACGTCTCGGTTAGGGATGGACCACCAAACACGCCGCTAACTGCACTTGTCATAGATCAGGGCGCGCCGTGCAGGACTTGCCGAGCAGATGGTCTGTCGATAATGCAGGAACATCACGCTCTAGGGATGGGAAAGGGAAGAGATCTGTCATGGGCCTTTCTTGGTTCGCAACGGGCGCGTTTGCTCGATTCGTCGACGCGCAGGACGGGCAACCTGCTTGGGGTTCGATAGTTGTGGCTGCGGACTATGTATTGACTATTGGGCACCAGATTGTCCATGTGGCATTGGCATACGGATGAGCGACCTCATGCTGTTGCAGCCCCTCCTTGATTACATATCACAAAATGCCAAGAAATGGCAGGTTGGGCAACATTCCGGCGCGCGCAGGCCTATTCCCTACCTGATCTACGGTACAGCAGAACCTGGAGATCAACGTACGATTGCCGCAAGCGAACTGCAACTAAAAGTTACGGGAGTCAGTACCTGCAGGTAGGCCCCAGAGGGCGAAGGGGGAACTCCCTCGCGAACAAGGCATTAGTAATGCCATGCCTGCCCTGTCCGCGAGACGGATTCATCATAACTTTTGCCAACGACGAGGTGAGCTGTACGCGTCTCTGGACGGTCAATCATCTCCGGCTAGGTCCCCATTCTCGGCCGACTAAGGCAAGCAGGTCGGGCTTGTGGGGATTGGGATAGCAGACAGCAAAATAGAGTTTCGGCAAGAGACTATTACGGATAGAAAGATCGCCAGGGTGCTGAAAAGATGGAGCATCTGCGGCGACCCAAGCCTGGTGCTTGGGTGCCATATGGGGAATTGCCCAACATCATCAGCCAGAACTCCTTGTTGTTACTAATGGGCTTGTCACATTGCTCCGCAGCGCGGGTAAACCAGTGTCCGGTGAGGTGCAGCTTGACCACAAAACACTTATCCTACGGAGAACCGACAAAAGCCACCCAGAGCCGGTCCTCGGCCCTAGCTTGATGCGAAGCGGCAATAGGTTGCGACCGTAGGGACTTTCGTCGAGCTGGTGGAGAAGGACGCCTACATAGGTAACTTAATTACTGTGCATGTTTCTTCTTTCGCAGCGAACGGCCCGCCACGTGCGACGCAGTGCTCTGTAGAAGGAAATAAGCTAGAAATAGCGCATCTACAGAGTTCAGCACTAGCATCGACGGTGCAGTCAGGTCCTGGAGGCCCAGGGCGTTGGAGATATTGACATGCATGCGGAATTATCACCGTGTCAATCAATGTCCGTGTCATGGCGAGACTGTCATGCGGTGAGTCCCTTGTCATAAAGTCGCTTTCGTTATTGACGGTCGGGTCTTACCGAATTAGGTCTCCCGCCTACCCGCTCGCCTGGCCCGGGTTGCTGGAAACGCAAACGCCTCGCTGCGAAACCTAGGGTTAGGTGAGCTGGCTGCCACCGCGGAGCATTGCGTGCAGTTTCGAGAAAAGAAAGACTAGATACATCGCTGACAAAACTTGTCTCAACTCGCTGCGACACTCGACGCCGGAAACTGAGTTGGAGCGTGAGGGCAGCACCGTGAAAAGCAACGAGTGACCACAGTCTGGATTGCAGAAGCCTGCTAGCTCCTCCTATGGAAAAGGAACCGTGCCCCATGGTAACTTACCCTTGTACCCTCACTGAGTCCACCATCCACCCCTCTCCCATTCTAGAACAAGTCTTGGTTACGATTGCGTACGTTCTTATGCAGGGGCAACACCACCCATGGGCCACGGCACGGCGGTCAAGGCCCAATAGCCGTTGGACTGGGCTCTTTAACAACATCACCGTTACTGTAGCGGGGCAGTACCTTGCTGATGCCTCAAGTTGTTGAGATTGCTACCGGCACAAACGCCAATCGAAGCTCTCGCTGGTCACAACCTTGGTGACAGTCTTGGAGTCTTAGGGGGCATTGAGAGACAAGGAGACCTACTAATCTCGTCGCAGACGTCCTCTCGCTACTGTACTGTAACGGCATACGAATTTATAATGACCTGTAACCTGAAACATTTCCCAGGATTGCTGCATGCGAAAGCCCCTTCGTAGGATAACCAACAATTCCCAATTTGGTTCGTTCTATTTTCGTGCCTTCGGGATAGCGGGCGCGACATTCCTCACGCCGTGTGTTCTATGCACTGGGGAGATGACATTCGCCAACTGTCGCGTCGGTCAGCATGCCTCGAGCCGTTGCAAGATTGGTGTGCCCGAAACAGGAGGGTGTGCAACACAGTACTAGGTGTTCCACGCTCTCAGGAGTGCTCTGCCTCACAGCCGCATGTTCGGTCGAGAGCGTGACCGTCGACTTCGGGCCATAGGAAACAGTAATGATGCACAGCCGTAACTCAAGAGCCAGACGTTCTGGGTTTGAGATAGATGAGGTAGAGACTAACTAGCTGCGGCTGGGTACTGTAATGCGTATCTAGGTAGTTGGTATCCCTCGCCATGTGGAGTGCTCTCGGGTACTGAATGGTTGCGCTTCTCCGGTGCGGATAGAAATGGCGTGCAGCTGATGCACCTAAAGGTATCGTCGTTCCTGTAAGCCCACTTGCGAAAGACTGCCAAGTCGTCACTCCAGAAAAACACGCGAGGGGATGGCGCTGATCCTGGTTCGGTCGCCGGTTACCTCCAGTCTTTCCACGGCCGGCTCGCAGCGAAGAGGCCAGGGTCGACATCAGATGACCCGCTATGTCGCAAAGGCTGGACAAGTAGCCCACGCAAACAGCATGGTATCCGTCTGGGGGAGGGCACGGGCGCAGGGAGGATTTCGAAGGGGTGGCATTGCGCAGAGCTATTGATGAATTGTCATCTTGTGCGCCGCAACCCTTATGGCATTGAACAATAATCGTCGCTTGTCATGCCCACGCTCCAATGAAGCTCGTCTGCCCCCTCAAGCATGGAGATTTGCGCATGAAGGAGACACTGCTTTTTCCCCAAAGCATATACGTATTGGCCTGATGGCTGCATCGCAATACTCAGAGCTCCACCAGCCCGTCCTAACAGCCAACGGGGAGAGAGACACATGCGCACATGGGCATTGCGTTAGTGTGAGCAGCAGAACCCTTCGATCGCAGTGCAGGAGTAGTGCTCCGTAGCTACAGCACAGTAGTGACGATCACAAGGGAAGAAGGACAGCAGAGTTGGAGCATCTAAACCGGAAGGGGCAATACCGACTATACCCAAGTCGGAGCAGCCTACATGCTTTCAATCTTGATAGCCCAGACAGTAATGCAACACACAACACCCGATCAGGGCGCCGTTGTAACCAACCATACCGTCTTGCTATACAAATAGGATTTGGACGGGCATGAGGTAGCCGATATTTGGACGGGAGGATCCATATTGCCGTGCATCTCCAATGTTCTGTCATAAGCGTTCGTGGTGGCCGTAGGTCACTCCGACTGTAGCCCCCTATTCCACTTTCTTCATAGTCGGGATCAATGGCAGACGGCCCCTAAAGCCAATAGATCTCTATCCGGCCGTTACCCCTCCAGCGTAGCCGGCGCCGGTCTTTGGCCCTTCGTTTACAAGCCAATACTCTTGTGCGCTTGCTCACTAAAAGTTCTCGGGCCCGTCCTGAGAATCAGTCGCTCAAACCAACACCGCACCGGGGCTAGCCGACTTGACTCGTGCTGGTGTAGATGGTGGTGTGTAGTGACGGCTTGGCGTCAAGCAACTCGGCGCGCCGTCTTCCCGTCAAGTGGACTTTTACGGGGCCTGCCAGAGACAAAATGGTCTGACATTGAGAACTAAGGGTTCACCAGTGTGCGGCTCCTGGAGAATTCGGTCTTTCGGAAAGCGTCTATCTTGTCGCGAGTTTACTATCTAGATCGATGCACCCAATGAGTCGCCAGGACCAGAAGTATAATCCTGCCTACTGTACGAGTCCCAAGAACCTCGAGGGCTGGTCCCTGGCGCCTTACGGACTGCCCTTGGTTCCCTGAAACTGTGCGACCAGGCTGCAGGGTGCTGTTTAACCACGATAGGGAAGGTTAGGGGCGCTTTTGCACTCTCGAATAATGGGGAATAAGATACCATGCCATCTTCGGCCAGTGAGATTGCGCGACACATTAATCAATTCTCCCCCCCAAGTTGGTGCTGGTCCTGCAGGTATATTTCCCGCGCAGTATTACCCGGGAGGTACATCCTTTGATGCCCCTGCCGGGCGATATCGCCCAGAAATCCGAGCTCATGGCGACCTGGTGCTTCTCTGGACCCCTGGCCAGGCTTGCCCGCTTGCCGGGGGGTACTAGTTAGTTGGGAGGAGCCTTTAAGAAAAAACTGCACGGAACTGCAGCCCATTCCAGGGTTTTCCTGTTGCTCTGATGGGGAATGGGAAATTTCAATACCTCTTGTCGTATTTTTTCCTCCTTGTCTGTACTGGACGTTCAGCCACGCCTTGGAGTACCCGCTACTAATCTCCTTGGAGTCCTAAATCCTTCCCTCTGCCCATACTTTCCCGCCGTCAATGGGCTAGCTTAGTGCTTCTCTTTTGCATCTTGACTTTTTGTTTTGTACCTCTCCTTCTCAAAGAGGGCGCCGGGGAGAGCTTTACTCAAAAGAGGCAGACTACCTCGTGAGATCGTGACTTGATACCCCCAATAACAACGAGAGAAAGAAGAGAGACCGAGCTATCTTTCTTTCTTATTTTCCTTTATTCAACTTATCATGCCGCCTAATTTTTAATACTGGAACCCGACTATTCGCAATCCCGTCGCGCATCGCCATCCACGCCGGCAAACCACATAGTCTTTGGTTGCCCCTCGAGAGGAGATTGCGCAAGCCGCGCGCGGTTACTACAGACAACGCAACCATGGAGGGATTCTTGCTCATCCCCCCAGATCGGGGGACAATCATAGGAAGGGCTGTTTGGAAGGTAAACCACCCTCAAAGCCTGCCTTCCTGGTTATGTGTGGTAATTGACCTGGAAATAGACCCGATATGTAGTTGTTGGAAGCCCCCAGAGGGATGGGTCCCAGCCAAACTTGAGTCTGTCCCAAGTCTTGTCAGCCAAAAGCATCAAAGAAGCGCGTGGCCAAGTCTCGAAACCGAAGCCCCTGCCTGACGCCATATATCTTTCGATCTATAAGTCCAAAGACGACTGGGAAGCTGTGCAGCAGCACTCGATATCCTCAATCACAGACTGTACTGTACAGATGATTGCGCATCGAAAACAGGGACCCGTGCTCCCGACGCTCATCCTTCAGGTGTCACCGGATCCGGCGACAGATAAGCTGCGGAAACGGAGGTCCAGCCGGACTGCAGGGCTGACCACGACGAAAGAGTTTGGGCCAACCACGCTGCATTTTCGACCCGGGGACGACACGTATAGCCTGAACGACTGGGCTCGGTATATATCATCTCTCATCCAACCTGGAGTTCCTGAGAGAGCGCCAATGAGTCCGATTACACCCATGTCTCCCACCTTTATTAACCCCTTCGCAACGGCCCAACCTCGAGATGCCTCCGAATATACGATGCGGCCATCCAGCTCGAAGCAAAATACTGCCCGACCTCAGATGCAACATACGCAGTCCAGCCAATCACGGTCCAGCAGGGAACGCCCTGTAACATTTTCGTCGGAAAGTCCTAGCTTACGGTCGCGCAGGAGTGATATCTCGTCTCACGCAAGCTCTGTGAATGCTATGGGGATGGGATATGTCTTACATGGGCAACATTACACAACGGTCCTGCCAACGGATTTGCCATCGCCTGCTGCGACGGTCGGCGAGTTCCAGGGCGAGTATATGCTGGGCTGGACCTCTGCCCAGGGCAGATCCTCGGTTCTCAGCTCGCCTACCCGAACAAGAGGGAGTGTGAGCTCACAAGGTCAGCAGGGTGCACAACTGTCCAGCTCGCCGCCGTTCCCCCGGGAGACCATCTTGGACAGGGCTTTCCAGATGCGGTACATCCCCGGCTCGGATCGCGACGTCCCCGGGGAGGAGAAGCTTAGTTCGCTTGCGAGATTTGATGCGCTGATGCGCGAGGCTGAGGAGCGGCGGAGGAAGGAGAGGCAGGACCAGGCGCTCGCGTCGCCGCCTATGACCAGCACGTGGGAAGAAGACGAGGATTCCGACGACGATGATCTCAACGACGAGGTCGATGAAGACGAGTCAACCGACGACGACGCATTTGAAGAGGAGGCGACGGGTGAAAGGACGGGAATGGGTCCGTCGGCGCAACGGGCGTTGCATTATATTTCCAACCCACATCGACACAGTGCCATTGCTCCAGGCGGTAGGACGTCTCTCAGTTTCCACGCAGGTATGACCGCCGCCGATGGCTCGTCTATCCTGCGCCCACACACGGCGCACTCGAAGCCCCGGCCTGTCATGTCGCCGCGCACCAGCAGCCAGCCGCAAGTGCCGCTGGAGATGGCGGCCGCCCCAATCCGCGAAGAAAGCATTTCGCGGCCCCACCACGAGAAGCGACATTCCACGTCCAGCGTGAAGCGCCTCAGTTTCAACGACTTCACGAAGCGGCTGAGTAGCACGAGCAGTCTCCTTCTTGTACAGACCAACGCTAGCAGCGGCAGCCGGGGCAGCAGCGAGTACGAGGCTCCACAGCAGACCACTCCACGGAACGGCATGAACCCCAGAAGTATTCCGCCGCCTCGCTCACCCCAGGACCAGGAGAAGTGCGGCTGGCGCGGCAGCGTCGGCGTGTTCGGCGGCGGCGAAGGCGGCTTCCTGTGAAAGTGAAGGCTCACGCACCCTCAGTGGCACGCGACTCATCTCAACTTGAACCCATTTTTCTCATCTCACGACCAACCTGAAATCCCCCCACACCCCCACCCAACGTGCTGCCACGCCTTCACTGTACGATAAAGAAATTCTTTGTATTTGCCGTTACGACCCATCACGAAAAAGAAAAACTGCAGAAAGGTGCCCTCGGGGTATTAGAAGGCATTAGGGGCGTTTTGCTTTTGATTTCCCACACACTGGAACGGACTCTTAGGTCCTTGCATATCGCGAAAGGCCGTGGATTTGGGGTGCGGGTGAGCGATGTTATTTTGTTTCCTTTTCTCGGGTGGGCAACTTTTGCCTGTTCCTCGGTACGACAGAACAGATTCCCTCTTGCGGATTTCTCACTTCGGCTTCTCAGCAAGTCGGACACGACATGAACTCATACACATTTTCACAACTTGATATCCCCTTCTTTTTGCGGTCAAGACAGACAGACATTCAGCTATGTAGCATTTGCACGAAATTATACCATCTATGAATGACCATGCCAACTTCCACCTACCCTCTCCTATGAGATCTGAGTACCCATGTATGAATGTGCCTGCACGACTTTTGCAACTGTGCCAGTGATGTTGCAAGCAGCTAAACTAAGATTGCAGATCGGATGCATTGTGTCTATCGACAACATAATTATATCTATATACAGGTATACAGAAACGAAAACCTGGCGCTCCTGCTATACTGCCTCTAATACTAATTGGCCCATTTGACACAATGTTTCTGTGGTCTATTAGAAAAGCATAGCAAGCATCTTCATCATACTCCATTTCACAGGAATTGAGTCACAACCTCTATCAAGACCGTTGCTGGAGCGATCAGGCGTGGCCCGCGAGCGCGTCTTGCGGAGCCGGGCTGACAACGATATCATTCTCCACAACGGCAGTCCCGTCCTGGAGCGCGGCAAGTTGCTCCTCCGTACACCGTGAACCCAACGGGAAAGCGCGGACATAGCATTGGTTCGGTGATGAGGCCGGGGCTGTGTTGGTGATGTTGAAGACGCTCGCTGGGCCATCTGTTGCGTATTCGGGCGTCTCTTTCAATAACATAGTGCCGGTCGCTACGTCGTAGCCGAGAACGGACCGCATAAATATTTGGTAGGCCGTCTCGGGTTGATAGGACGCAACTAATGTGTTCGGCGACGTCAGCTCCGGGCAGGATCAGTGTGTAGTGGGCGGAGTAGAGTACAACATACCTGTATGACCAGCGTCAAACACACGCGTGAACGAGAAATTCTTGTGCTGGCGCACCATGCCGCCGACATAGCTATCGTTGGTGTGCATTTGCGCATAGCCTGCGCCTGCGAAGGCGTCTTTATCGCGGTGGTTGATTGACAGACTCACGGCCTCCCCGCCAACCCCTGAACCCATGTAAGCTTTTCCAACGCCCTGAGGAAAATGGGCATAAGACCTGCGGTACTTACAATTACACCGGTAATCACGGTCGCCATAGATCAAGGCGACCTTGACACCCGCATCGAGCAGGGAACCTAGGTCCTCGCTGAAGCCCCCAAACACGAAATCGCCCGTGAAGAAGAAAGATTTCGCACTGAAACTCGTGGTGACATACGGGTTGCTAGGATCACCGGCTATGTCTACAATGTCCAATCCGTCTGGGACAAGGTTGTACTGCTGATTATACTTAACTTCGGCGCCCAGTGCTTCTCGAACCCAGTCCTGGTCGAGATACCCGAGGGCGTACGTAGGCGGGAAGGACACGGGGCTCGCCTGTGCAATATCAAAGCCATCGCGCTGTACAGGAAAGCGGAAATCAGCTCGGGTAAGTACCACGCTCCAGAGCCACCACTTACATGAGATATTGACTCGTATGGCACATATACGTTGGCCCAACAGAACAGGAATGCTGATCCGCAAACCTTGCTCACTGTCGCATTCGTGCCGTACTGGTCGCGGTAACCATTTGGAGTCAGCGCCCGGCAGGCCTCCGCCTGCTCCTTGCAGCCTCCGGGTCCCGAGAAGTTGCCAGAGGTCGCCGCTGCGACTTCCTGGCTATAAGCCTGGATGCCATAGGTGTTGTTAACGGCAAAAGTAGTGAAGCTCTCGCCCTGGAGGAGGAAGTCGATGAAGCCGTTTACGATCCCCACGCTGTCCACGGAAATATCAATGCGGTCACTGCTTCCGCCGCAGGCCCGTTTCTTATTCTTCGCTGCTTCAGATCGGGTGTGGAGAAGGTTTGCGACCGCTGGTGCATAGTGACCACCACTGCCTAAGTGTCAGCTTGTATGGTCATAGTTATGGTACACTGTTGATCATTAACTTACTAGGACTGACTCCAGACGCTGATTTTATCTCGTCGATACTGCTTGAACCTATATCATGTTAGTTCGCCACCATAATATAAGTGATTTTCTCGGCGAGACTGACTCTCCCATCCAGACCTGCAAGAATTCCCAAATTGCCTCTGCCGCCACCGCAGTCGTGCTGACCACATCAGACGTTTTCTGGCTGGTGTATGTGCCTTTTACAGCCGTATAGTTCAACGGAGACGTCCACTGATCGGCGGGGTAAATGTCGCCCGTGATCATATCCACCACTCCCTCGATGGCCTCGTCATAGCTGAAGCCTGTCTTCAGTGGCTGGTCGATATACAGGATGTTTGCATGGTTGGTCCAGGACCACGGGTTCAAAACGGTGCTGTTCGAGTCAGGCTGCACAATGCAGGGGCCGTTCTCGCTGAGTGCTTGGTCGATACTGGGGCTACCGGGACCACCCTGCAGCCAGATACTGAGAGGCGCCGTCTCTGGTGCGTTTCTTGACTCGAAGAACCAGAAAAAAGTCTTCTGGGGATAAGGCTGAAGCGAGGTGGACGGCAGAGTCACGTAGCCGCTGTAGGACTTGACCCCTGGTGTTGTCTCACAGATGCCGGGCTAGAGAAAATGAGTTTTCTGGGATAAAATTGAGAGAGACTCGACATTATTTACTTCTTTGAAAGTCACTTGGACTCCTTCGGTTGATCGGGATCTTAAGATGCCAGCCGATGCAGCAGCTACGAGGCCGCAAGTTGCCGCCAGGCCATGGCACAATCGTCGACTTAGGGAGGGCATATGAACAGACGGTGAAATTACACTTGATGAGATTAATCGGTATATCGAGAAGGAAGAAGGTGGAAGAAAGATGAATGCTAGATATAGGTGTAGACTAAGATTCCGTTATTTGTTCTGCAAGTCTATATATATTGGTGAGCGGGCTTTGCACAAGCGGCCCTCCATCGCCATCCTGGATCTGTTCGGCATGTACCCATATCATTATGGCGAATCATGGACAGAGTCATAGAGCCAGGGTCAGGCCAAGTGTTGGTTCCCTGAGTGGTGGTGGCTTCGGCATTGGTGAGGCAGGGTCTAAAGTTTTGCGGGTCCGCCCGTCAGCTCGTACGTACACACAGAATCGGGTTTAGCTGGGATTTTCTAACAAGATGCGCCAAGATGGCCCCCACGGGTTTGGGCGCCTCAGAACACTGGGTCACTACTCTTGCTGGGAACGTAATGTGAGAATAATATACCTAACGACGGTGTGGCTTGCATTTATGGATTCCGCTTCTCTGCGTCGCGACTCTGATCGCGTGTTGTGAAATGTGTTCTGCAAGATCAGCGGAAATGCATATGTGGGCGGCTATTTAGCTGACCTATTTGCAAGTCTCCTACGCCGTGTCAGAACAAAACAATGAGTTGCCGTCCTAGTACTCTCCACAAAATTGAGGGTCTTAATGTTATATCATCTCGTCTGGTAACCCGCCGCTAATAGTAAATCTAAAATATCCCCGGCGGGTTAAGCTTGAAGACATACTCTCTGGATCCCATCCAGCCATGGCGTCCTGTCGTAAGGATCTGATAGGCCACTTTGTCCTACTTGAGCCACGCGCTTACGTCTTTTAGACTTTACTAAGGCACCGCAATCCCTAAACAGGCATTCGGTCTGGTTATATTACAGGAGTGAAACTGACATCGCCCAGCCCATTCTTCGATTCTCAAACTCTTGTAGGTGCAAGCGACCTCTGTGCCCTGTTTGTTGTCCAAACTGGGAGGTTTTGAGCTTTGGGTACGTCATTTAAACACAGAGCGCCACGGTTTCATTTGAATCCTCCAGCGGGCCAGCTTTCACAACGCTGGTGTCTAAGCCTCGTGGGGCAAGGACGCCGGGTTCCGTGCCTCACAGGGCTGAAGAAGATGCAGCCGCGCGTTTTGAGTAGGCTGAGCAAAGTGCCCCTGAGTAGCTGGAAACTCACGAGAATGCTATTGGCTGTAGTCGGACGCATGGTTAGGTAAGTGCCTACTGTGCCGCTCCTAGGAAGATTTTCAGGCTGCAGTATCATATCATGGCGCTGATCGAAATTGCTGGGGCCAAGAAGGATTCCTCGCAAGGATACCTAGGTAGTGCCCACGAACTTGCCTTAGATCAGACTTGGACCAACTACAACGTTTTAGGCAATGCTATACGAGAGCAAGGACGACCGACCCACTGTGTACCACATCAAAGAAACATTTCATTGTCTATTCTTCCAGCGGTTCGCTCCGCAAATGCACTGATTTTCAGGGGTTCTCTACCACTCACCCCTAGGTATCTTAATTCCAACCGCGCCGTCCACGTGTCGTCGTTACATGAGGATCTATCCGATATACTGAGCCAACGCCTGCTTTCCCTCGTCTGACAGACGCTCCTGAACATATCCTGCAATAGCACCGTTCTGTGCTGCATTGGCTTGGGTGAGGTACTGGCGCACCCATTGCGGGACGTCTTGGATCTGGGGAAACTCGTCTGCCGCGGGTTTCTTGCAAGTGTTGAGGGCTGTGAATCCCAAGCCAAACCCAATGTCATCCACATCTGCCTCGGTGATAACCTCGTTGCCTGCACCGGTAGCCACGGTGGGCGCATTGCCAAGCAGAGTCAAGAATGCCTCGCACGTAAAACGCCAGCCCTTCTGATATCTCTGAGCAAACGCCTGACTCTCTGCGAGAGATTTGGCGAACGATACGACCGCTAGCTTTCGGTCGACAGGGCGAACCAATAGCTGGGAGCCTGGGAGGATCGTCTTCAGGTAGATAGGGGTGAAGATATCCTTTTGTACAGCGTCGACTTGTGCGACGTAGAAATCGGTTCCCAAGCCGGCTTCAGTTCTTGCCGAAACAAGGTGGTAGAAGCGCACAAAGCTGCGGGTGAACGACTCCGAAGGGTTGTTCTGAAGTTTTGTGAACAAGAGCTGAAGAACAGTAGGGAAGTACTTCTCCAGTGAAGCCCTGTTTGCCACGTTAGTTTGCATGCTAACATACATCGGAAGAACCAGCACTGACTTTGGGATAGATGTGGTTATAGCCTCGAGAATTTCAAAGGCATTCTGCTCTGTCTTTTTGCCACTGAGAAGTTTCTGGAAGATACCCAAGATAGGCTCGAGTTGGTTTTCGGCAACGATAGCATCAGCTGCTCGAGGAATGATGGCAGCCAGCAGACGAGCACAGCCGGGAACATTGCCTCTTGTTTCCCAGATAGTAGGTAGGACCAGCGGGGTAATAAGTGCCTTGTAGTGGTTTGGCAGAGCGCCGGACGGGTTGGGCTCCAGCAGGGCTGCAAAGAGCTGAAACACGTATGGAATAAACTCTGCCTCGTATTAGCCGTTGGCCATAGTCATTTGTATGAACCGTAACGTACCGTTAACCTCCTCTGTGAGAATCAGATGGAAGGGCTGCCAGAGTTGCTCCTCCAACTTGGCACTGGCACCGGGAGATCCGTTCCTGTCTACGTGTCAGTTAATGCTTCTAGCAGACCTGTTGTGTCTATGCAATTTACCTGACTAAAGCGCCCAACGCTTCGAAGTGGTAATAGTAGAACCTGGGATTGCTGGGGTTCTCCTTGATGACTGCCGTGATCTTAATGAGGTGGTCTAACACCAAGTCCACGAAGGGCAGGACTCCATCCTTGATGACAATGAGAACACGCATGATACATCTCATTAAGAACTCGTTCTCCTGCACCTTAGCCGGCGACGACTCCTTCTCAACAAGCTTGAACAGGTGCTCGAGGAGATCCTTGGCAAAGGGTTCGATATCAGCGCGGGTGAAGACGTGGTTACCGGCATCGTCAGTAAGAAAGAGGACTCGCTCCACGGCGATGGCGGCGTAGGTATAAACCACGTAGTTATCTGAACCGAGGTTCTGGATAAGCGGCTGGAAAGCGCCTTGCCATTGCTCCTTGGTCAGCTGACTGCGGAACGTGTAGAGAAACTTGATAGCGTCAACTCTCGAGATGGGCTCGGACTCGGTATTGATCAGATCCGCAGCAATGTGCTGTTGGAAGAAGTCGACAACGTTGACCAGAGAGTTGACTGTCTTAACACCCTGGGCGGCAGTTACAGCGCCCTTTGCAGCGATAGAAAGGAAGAGCGAAACGGCAGTGTCCTTCTGCTTCCAGTCACTCTTGCCTTGCTCCAGATAGTGGTTGATATACTTGCCGGCAACGCCAGTGACTAGGCTCTCAAACTTTTCCTGCAACGTCCTGAGGAAGTCGGTGGCTGCTCGTCTTCTAGAGTCGGTATCGGAGCCCTCCAAGTCGCGTCGAATGAACTCGATAGGTTCGTCCTCGAACTGCTCCATATCCGACTCTCTCAGAGCGACGTTGGGAAGCACGACCTTTTCCACGACCTGGTTCAGGGTGTTTTCGTCGTTGAAGTTTTGTGCATGTCGCTCTGTGCTAGCGATCGCCGTCAGGAATTGCAAGGCCCTGCTCACGAGGTTGTCGTATTTCTGCTCCGGGCCGAGCGACGACAACAGGTTCCAAGCGCTGGTAATGAAGACGGGGGTAAATCGACCAAATTCGTCATCATACTTGCTGGTGTACAACTGCAGCGCCTCGCAGATGTCAGCCTTGACGTGCTCCAGGACACCCGCCTCGGCATCGTCGTCGGTCGCGAGTAGAGGGTTCTCGTAAGTGAGATATTTGTGAAGAAGTGTCGAGATCTGCTCCAGACTCGACTCGAACTGCGGAGGCATGTCCTGGCACGAAAGATCGTAGAAAACCTTGACCAGCAGGCTCATGGTATCGAAGTAAGATTTCAAGGCCTCCTTGTTGTTGGCGTTTGCCGTGATCTGTCCGTCGGTGGCCTGTGAGGATGGTCCGTCAGTACGCCTTCTCTTTGCTTCGTTTGGCTGCTTACGTTGAGCAAGGTGAGGAACGGTGCCGCAAACGTGTTTAGCACATGGTTGATCTCGGTGAAAAGGTCGTCAGACCGGTATAGAGGGCGCCATCTTTGGAAGATGGAGTGTGCAACTTCCAGTACGCCGTTGTTGACCTTTGCGTTATCGGCCGTGAGACGCGAGACAAGATCCTGTCGTGGCCGAGGGTCAGCATGCGTTTCGTCATATCAACCTGTGGACAGGGTCGGCGGGCCTCTCACCTGGACAAGAGTGTCCCATCTCTCCCAGAAGTCCGAGTCAGCAATCAAGCTGATAGCTTCGCCGAGCTGAGTCTGGATGGCGGGGGGGCACGAGATCATCAAGCCGATGAGCTCTTGCTTGATGGTAGCCACTTCGTTCCCCGGTAGCTTGTAGTTGCCTTCGGAATCCTGTACACCCAAATATTCAGTCCCGGTCTGCGCTCAAAGGGCCAGACGCAGTAGAACGCACCACATAGTTGAATCGGACGAAGTTCTTGAAGTAGAGGGCGGCCGAAAGACGGTTCTGGGTCGGGAGCGATTCGTTGTGGACGATCTGCAGAAGCTGCAACGAGAAGCCCTGCTTCTTCTCTTCGGCCTTGAGCGCCGTCTCAGCTGCAAGGACGGGGTTAGTGTTGCTTCACACGGTGGCTCGTTGGCCATCTCGAACGGCGAGGGCGGGCGGGCGGCCCATCGTCACGGGTGGGAGTGGGAGGGCGGGGCAGGGCCGAGTAGCACTCTGGTTTTCTGCGTACCTTTCCTGCGCTCTGTCGGCTTCAGGGTGGCGTCCAAGAGCTGGACAATCTGGCCAAGATCACTAGCCATGTCTATGATGCTTGAGGGGGAACTGGCTCGTAGACTGGGCAGGGGGAGAAGATGGCAGTGTGGATGAGAGACCAAAAATCAGTTGAAGCTCAAGCCGTCATGAATTATTCCAAGCCTTGCGCAGCTATTGGGTACGGTTTGTTTGCACTGGGGTCCAGCAGCCAACCACAGCAACGGGGACCTGGCGGCCAGGGCAGCCAGGAAGCCTCCCAAAGAATTCCATTTAGCGGGGTACGGACCCAAGCACAGACAATTGGAAAGGGTACCTAGGTACCTCTGCAACCCACCCACATCCATACGTGACGCCTGCTTGTACGTAGTTACCGACAGTATTCATCGACTATCACCAACTTCTACCATTGTAGGCTACCCCGAGGGTACATACGCAACCTAGTTTTGTAGGCGCTATGTAGTCGCTGCCGTTCCTTACCTAGAAGCTTATGTACGTACGCACATAACGTACTCTTCGAACTGACCATGCGGGGCGTCAGAGCAGAGGAGCTGGACTGAGACTTGGGAAGTACGGTACCAGAATGCCGGCATCAGACTCGCAGTCATATTGGATCCGATTCTCTAGCAAACCCGCCTAGCCTACCTGAGTCTGTGCCGTAGTAGGCACCTACCTACGAGCTGTCGTCTGGCGCAACCTTGGAACCCACCAGCACCCCAGGAGGGAGCTCTCCCGCCATTGTGCATTGTGCATTGTGCAACACGATGCTTGGGACGGACCCCGCTGCTACCGAATGCATGTCTGGTGAGACCGGCACACTTGAGCATCACCAAGACATCTCAGGCTTGCCTTGATGCAGCTAGATTCACCGCACAGATCCGTCTATCTACGGGGCTTGGCTCGTCACAGACGGCATTCGACGTCCAATACCTACTGTAGGTAGGTTCTATGTACAGATTTCCAAAAGAGACCTCCGGGGCTGATCCCGATCCTAGCCCCGGCCGAGGCATCGCATCTTCTGATTGGTTTAGCCTCGGGATTAAAGATGTTGCGCGAAAATATGCAGGGCGACGGAATAGGTCATAGTGGAGAGCTCCCCCAAGACAAGACCGTCAAAGTCCTTCAAGCAGCCTTCCTTGATCAGACTGCTAACCTGCTCCCGAGTCCCCCGTCCCAAGACCTGCTGCACCTCCCCTAGATCCCGAGGGCCCTAATCCCCCGTGTCCACATTCTGTGATGTGATAGTCGTCAGAACTTCTGCTGTACATACATTAATGACCGACCAGCTCGCGCCCCTCGAATCGCCCTCACCAGGAAGTCTGCCATATATTTCGGCCGACGGATCCCGTGAAGCTCTGCACTGAGTCGGAGGTGGTGGAGGACCTGCAGCACGGAGTGTGTCCCGAAAACGGCTGCCCTTCCTACTTGCTAGCCTTTATGCAGTCCGGGTCGCTGCACTGGATGGAGGCTTGAGATCCTGCCGCTGTTTCCTTCCCACTGTGTACGATCCCACCCTTATGCAAGCCATAGTCAAAATGTAAGTCGATGTGCTCGGCAATCTACAGTGCCCGCGCGGCCTCCCGAGATCAAATCGGCGCATCCCCTCCCCGACGTGCCCGTTGTATCTGGGTCGACGGTTCAGCAGCCTTGTCAGGAACCCGCCGGACGGCCAGGCATCATTGATTGGTTCAACGTCATCATCCGGCGAGGCCCCAACGACGTGCCATACGGTGTCGTCAGTCTTTGATCTTGCCCGGCTGTCCACACGCTACCTACATACTCATGACCCTATCCTCATGCTACCAGCCCTCTGCACCACATGCCTCCGTTGCCAAAGCCTGGTTGACAGCCTGCTAACATGTTGCGGCGCATAGTGTCCCTCGGCCAGCAGGCCGCTGAAGGGCAAGCCGAAGCCGACGACAATATGTCTCCCTCGCCTGGGGAAGAGGTCCAGTCACCTCAGGACTCGAAGAACTCGGGAGGACTCGCCAGCGTCTTCAAGGGCCTTGCCAGTGCTACCAAGCTGACCAGATCGACACCGTCTCCTGTGCAGTCCTCCGGTCCGTCCATGAACACCAACCTTGCCGAGCAGCTTAACGATGCCAAGGCGGTCCATGGCCTGCCTCCCCACCATGTGGACGCTTTTGATCAGCTCCGGAGAGGTTCGATCAGCGAACGGGTTGCCGCAGCCCAGCAGCTTCGACATGCTGTAGTGGACTATCCCCTGAACCCAGTTCTCGATATATGGTACGCCGCCAAGGACATGATCGACCCGAGTAACGCCAGAGCTACACGGACTGCCGGATGGGAGCTTCTGACTGCCTGCGTCAAGCACGACTCTTCAACTGATCTTGAGCGTAAGGAGTACTTCCAGACCATTACAGCTCCTGCACACCCCGAAGACTTCCACCTGCAGCTTGCCGCGCTCGTGGACCTGACCAACCATGCCCGAATCCTTTCCGGCTTCGAATATGACGTCTTTCCGCTGGTGACTTTCTGGCTGCGAAGCAAGTTTGACTCGGTCCGAGTAGCTAGGAAGCAGGCCTCACGGTCCAAAGGAAAAGCCGTCGCATCTGGCGAGGACAAGGACTTCGCAGAGCTCTTTGCGTACACAACCGACCTGGTGAAATTCAACTTTGGCGTGATTGGCGACGATGCTGCACGGGCTTTGATCGACGCAATGCTCAAGATCTGTATGAATACGAGTGGTTCTGAGGACCTGAAGGCCTGCATTGGGGTTCTGGGCGCCATTGTGACCTTCGGCGCCATTCCCAATGATAAGTTGAAGGACTGCGTCCAGGTCCTGAGCTCCATCCATTGTCTGGTTCCCAGCCTCCAGAAAGACTCATGGCACGCTCTGAGCATGCTGTGTAGGTCACACAACGGGCATGCCGTCGTGAGGCTTCTGTTGGCGGTGCTGAATAGCCTCCCCGCCGACGCTGACAAGAAGAAAGAGGGCATTCGTGAAGTCCGAGGTGCACTGTCTGTGTTGCATAAGCTCGTTTCTAAGAATACGGATAAGGGCTATCCTGCTGTCCCGTACGGGCTTCTAGTCGATGGGCTCTCAACCGTAGTCAAGACTACTGCGAGCTGGAAGATACACTTGGATGTATTGCGTCTTACAAATGTGTTGTTCAACGATCCCAAGGGCAATGTGAACCCGATGCTCAGCGATGAGGACTGGGCGGCTTTGTTCGAGGTCGTTGTCGCGTGTATCCAATCATTCGTGTCTTCAGCCTCAACAACAGCTACCGACGACCTAGCGCGGTCTTCAGCCACGCGAGAAAACTCAGACACGTCCGAAGCTATCTTGTTCAGAGAGGTTATCGGTCTTGTATCTCGCTTGGAGGTGCTTCTTACGGAGCAGCGCACTCTGCTGCAGCGACAGGATTGCATTACCTTCTTCACCAAGATCAACAAGATTCTCCCTGATTCAGCTGCCACACTCGTCCTGGACTATTTCAAACAGTTTAGGTGCTGCTACCCATCCGACCTCGAGTGGGAAGCCAACTTGCGGCTGGTTCTTGACGTACTTTTCGCCAACCGGGCCCGCTCATCACAGCTTCGAGTTCAGGCTCTGCAAGTAGTGACAGAAGTCTACGACATGGTCGAGCTAGTACACGAGCAGCTCGAACCGGACTTTGTTCCAAATTTGGTGAAGAGTCTGCTAAGGGACATTGCGGAAGAGGTAGACATAGATGTTCTCCAGGATATTGTCTCGTTCACTACCACGATTGCGAGTACAGCAGCTCACCCGCTCTTCAACTATATTATCGATACTCTCCACACTGTCTTGGTTGCTGATCCCCTACGCTCGCCTGTCTCGCCACCCGCATCCAGACCTCCTAGCGCAACGACAGCTCCCGACCAGGCAAGAGGCACAGTAGGCCAGACGCCTTCCAACGTTGTAGCGAGAGGCTATGTACAAATATTCATGCGCGTCATGCACAGCGATGTGACCAAGGCCATTCGAATATTCCATCTTCTGGTGGCCATGGCCAGGACCAACACAGGCGAAACTGATGCCCGCCTGACCGCAATGAAGCTGTTGTTCCGACTACGTGCCGATTGGGCAAATCGTGTCTACATCACCACATTTACGGAGACCGAGAATCTCGCGACCCTCTTGTACCGCACCGATGGATCCCTTGCCAAGAGGCTGAACGAAGAAACTGTCCAGGCCGGCCGACTCTCACGAGGGGAGTTAGGCGGCCCTGGTCGTGTCTCACGAGGCGTATCGTTCGGTCAAGGCCAACCTCAGGAACGGAGTTATTCTGACCGAAGCTTCTCTGTCAGATCTGGTAGCAGTGCTAAAGGTGCTACCCCGAAATACCAGCAAACCTGGTCTGCGTCAGATTTGGACGTTCTTCCAGAAGCACCTTCACGAACGGCGAGCACCGTGTTGTACTCCGACCGGCTCAGCAATGTCCCAGAGGACCATGAGGATGCTGCTGCAGTCGACGCGACATTGCCAACCTTCGAATGGCTTGACGCAGTCATCGATTTGGTTCAGCATGGTTGTGACTGGGAGTTATACAGTTATCTCCTGGTGTATCTCCCCTCTCAATTGAGCAATCATGGGATTTTCAGGGGTGCAATCAACCAGATCTTGGAGCTTCGCAAAACCGTATGTGAACTGATAAGAACGAATAGTTTTTCAGAGCCTCCAAGCACCATGGGACTGCGACGTGCTGATGTGGCGATATGCCTCTTCCATACACTCACTATGGTTATCAGCTACCACCACCACTTCCAGAAGGCCGAAGAGGATGAGATTGTGAGTACGTTTGTTCGGGGAATCGCCACGTGGGAGCGCTGTGCCAAGTGCTGTATTCACGCTCTCTCCATCTGCTGCTACGAGCTCCCAATGTCGACGAGCAAGGCCCTGGTAACCATTCTGCAGAGGATGTCCCAGATTATTACTCAGCCTTCGGTTGCTATCCATATTCTTGAGTTCTTAGCCTGTCTTGCCAGACGTCCATCGCTGTACGTCAACTTCAGAGAGGAAGAATACCGCATCGTCTTTGGTATCTGCTCCCGGTATCTGCAGTATGCTAGAGAAAAGAGGCAGTCTTCCCGCATGAGTACCGCAAGCGATCCGACGACCCCTGTCTTTGGGACGGCCACTCTCTCCATCGATGGCCAAGGCCACCCGAACGCATCTGACGATCTCCCCCAATACGTTTACGCGTTGGCATACCACGTCATCACTTTCTGGTTCCTCGCATTGAAGATTCCCGATCGTGTGAACTATGTGGGGTGGATCACCAAGAACATCTTCACTGATATCGACGGATCTCAGGTGGCCGAAGAGCAAGCGCAAATCACAATTGACTTCATGCAGCGCGTTGCGTTTGCCGATATCGAGGAATCAGAGGATGATACCTTCTTTACGGAGGGTCACTACGGCGAAATTACTAAGAAGAGGTGGCTGATAGGGAACAGTATTGTGACGGTGGAGCAAACCTTGGCATCTGGATGGGCGCAGATCACGAAACGACAACCGTCCGGAACGTCGTCCTATACCATTAAAGAATCGTTGAAGCCGCCCCCTGCACATCAAGAGCGCCTCGGCAACGAGATAGTGGGCCGGGATGGGAATCCAGACCGGGGCATCAGAGTTCTTCCCAGCCATATCCTGATGCAAATTCTGTCCGCTTTGCCTCAGTGTACGGATCAAGCGCGTCCTATTCCTTTACCAGACGATGAGACGGTTAACAGGGCCATCAAGCTGTTCGACCTCAATTCAACCGTCGATGGCCACAAAGTCGGTGTCATCTACATCGGCGAGAACCAGACGCAGGAAGCCGAGATTCTGGCAAACGTGTCTGGAAGCAGGGAATACGTCGAGTTCCTCGATGGACTAGGCACCTTGATCAAACTTCAAGACGCAAAATTCAACACGCAGGGACTCGATCGCCAGTATGGGATGGATGGAGAGTTCGCTGTTTGCTGGAGAGATCGCGTAACCGAGATAGTGTTCCATGTCACGACACAGATGCCGACGAATCTTGAGCGTGATCCACAGTGTACTTACAAGAAGCGACACATCGGCAACGATTTTGTCAACATCATCTTCAATGATTCGGGGCTGCCGTTCAAATTCGACACTTTTCCATCGGAGTTCAACTTTGTCAACATTGTTATTTCTCCCGAATCTCGAGCCTCGTTCGTTGCTACTAGACAGAGAGCACCGAAGAGCGTGAGAGAATCCTTTTACAACGTTCAGGTTCTAAGCAAGCCAGGCTTCCCTGAGATCTCGCCTGCCTCGGATACAAAAATACTCAGCTTGAAAGCCCTTCCCGACTTCATTCGGCTAGTGGCACTCAATGCGTCTGTGTTCTCTCTAGTCTGGGCCAGCCGTGCGGGTGGCGAGCACATCTCATCATGGCGAAACCGCTTGCGAGAGATTCTCCGTCTGAGAGACAAGTATGGAGCGAAAAACACCGCCCATGGCCCATCTCCATCGCCCCCTGGCACAGCTCTGAGTGGACTGCCTACACTAAACGCTGCATCTGTTCACTTCGACACGAGCAGACCTGGGAGCACCGTGCGCGATAGTTTCAGCAGCTTACGACGGTCCTCGGTAGCTACTTTCTTCTCGAATACGAGCGAGCCCAACACCCACTCACACAGGTCATCAACCCTCTCCACCGCTCCCACCGAGAGCACCGAAACCATGCATCCCGGCAGCTGCGACACCCTTGTCGACAAACTCGACTTCTCCAAGTGGGCCTAGCCCAATGAAATTCACGACACCAATGCCCTTTTCCACGTTGTACATCACGAAGACACGTTTCATGCGGCGACGTGAGAAGATAATGGTGTTTTCTAATGATGACGCCAGGTAAAGGCGTGGGAAGCGGTCAATGTTTGCGGCGTCTGGACATGGAGGATACCACAAAAGTTCTTGTTTTACTTCGTTTCTGCTTTTCCCCATTATTTAATAAGCATGCTGCGAGGAGAGTCGACTTTGTTCTACTCGCAATACCTGCATCAAAATGTATTCCTACAGCTTGCATCACACTCCGTTGCGTTTGGTGGGCGACATACATATGCACTGGGGACTGAGGCGTTATCTTCATAGTGCAGGACTCCCTGAAGCCAAGATAGGGATGGTACTCTCTTGGGCATTTTTTCATCGATTTCGTGCCATTCTGTACACACTGCACCCCTCTGCGTCGTCATATACACCAGGCGAAGATATTTGCCTCACCGCTGCACCGTGTTCATTCCACCTGAGAAAGATCCCACTGCAATTGTGCACCTTTAGCAAGCTGTGAGTAAATATCAAAACAAGGGATACCAACTTGATTCGTGCTTTGAGAATTTTGATTTGTTGTTGGGCCATCCCTCCTACATCCCGGTCGAAGTACAAAAGTGCACTTCGCGTGTATTCTGTGTAACAGGGAGCATGCAGATACTACACCAGAGATCTGCGCATGGAGTGTAGCACAAACCTTGGCTCGACTCAAATCTCAGAGTATCGCCGCATCGATTCGGAGACTACGTTTTGGGAAGGGCCAGCAGACAGTTGCGTGTGCGCATCTGAGGTGAGACGAAGTGTGCCATCCAGTCACAGATCACATATTCATGAGGGGTCCCTCGAAGACGGACTCAAGCTACTTACATTGGCCATCGTCACCGTCAATGACAAATACCTACATGAACCGTTCGAAACTTTGAGGCACAATGAAAGCACAGAGGCGCCAGAATGCGACCCTGGCACAGAACACTGCTGGAAATTATCATTCCCCTCTCCTAGGGCTGACCACAGTAACAGACCGTAAGCGGCCACTGTCGATTTGCTCACGTAGACGCCCTATGCGCCGCATACCAGCGTCTGTCGCAGTAGCCTACTTAGGCAACATTAGGCAACCCGAACTAGCCGACGTGTGCAGAAGCACCGGCAGCAGCAGACGACGTGTTTCGCTAGTGGGCAGACGATATAGTTATTTCGGCCATTGCAACAGTTGTGGAGAGACGTTCCGGGTTACTCTCCTAACCCCGCCAGACCTTGCGTCACATATCAGGTAGGACTTCTGTAGTATCCAGCATTCTGCGGACTACGCCGACTTGGCACGTTTTATTTGTTGAGACGAGACTTTTTGTTTCATTGGGCGCTCTCACGTGTGTAACCTCCGTTCGGAGCCATGAACGCCCACGCTGGTCAGAATATCAGCCGAATCTACAGACCGGATTTGTATGCTTCTGCATTAGTTGCACTTTTTCGTCCAGCGCACAATGTTCACCTGTCCCCTGCTTGCACTGCTCATTGCAATGTACCGAGTCAAACCCTTGATGCTGCCTTTGCTGGTGCTGACATCGGGCATATCGTCGGCAGGGTGCTCCGCTGCTGACGAATCATCGGACCCAAGCACCCGCTGCTGACATTGCTCGTACGGCCCGTCCCCTGGGATCCGTCTGGGGATACCAGGGAGCGCCCATGCACAGGCTACGTGTGTTTGCGTAGATGAGACGGGCCCCGGAGTGGTATGGGTCTATATTCGTTCGTACCGGGAAACACGAGATCGAGGGGCGAGACGTCGGGGGCCTGTCGCCACACTATCTCGCATCATGATGCATAGAACTCTGCTAGGACGCGGCTCCTTGGTAAAAGAGCAGCCCGTGGTGCAAGGTCAGCTCCGGGTGCGGCCTTGGGTTGCGGTTTAACCGACTGTGCCCTTTTTCCTTGCCATGTGCCGCGCTAAGACGTGAGTCTCGTGTAAGGCTTCTGTCGTGTCACCCTAAAGTCCGAACGAGAGTGAACCGAAGCACGTTCAATGGCCCCCAGGAGGGTGTTGGTTTGAAAGCCGCGGGCCAGCGGCCAACGACGGGTACCAGCGAACCCACACGCCTTCTGCACGATGATATGGCTTGCATGGCACCATACTCGCGGTGAGTGTACGTTGGACAGTGCTTGTGGCTTACTTTTTCGGTGGCCCTTCTTCGTTACGTCTTGGCAGGAACAAGCCTGGCAACCTGGTATGGTATGTGTGTATGTATGCAATGCCGGCCACGCCGCAGTGGGGTTGAGCTGCTTGCTGGCTTCGGTTAGCGAGTGCATAAGTGGCCGCAGATCAGGAAAGGATGCTTGCCATCATCACTGGTACATCCACACGGAGGACCAGGGTGGAGGATGCAACGAAAGTTGAGCTTGGGTTGGGGTTCTTCGCCCCTTGTAAGCCAATAAGAGGCTCTATCCTTTCAACTTCGATGTTTTGTTTCTAGCTTTTACTCTTGGACTAGAACATGCCAACCCTCATTCTGTCAAATCTGAGCTATTATGAAACAACAAATTCGCAGAGCTGGGTATCGTGGTTGAACATAGAAACAGCATCCTTGCAGATGCCATAGAAGTACGACTAAGTGAGATGTTTTGATTTTGTAACCTATGGATTTCAGCTTCGTTTTGCCATTGGGGCAATTTGGGATTGGAAATTATACGATGTGATTGTCGATCGATGAACATGCATTTGTCTCTATTACAGCTAGACGTGACGTGAGATACTATGACTCATAGCCAATACTTGGCTGTTGTGATACCTTAGCAGGTTACACAAAACCGAGAGGAAACGCCTTTCCCACAACGGGGACGCAACGAATAATCACAGTGCCAGAGTCGCTATCTTGAAAGCATTTGTACCAGGTGTCTCACCTTAGGGTTACACAGTTAGTCTTGCCCTGCTAATTGGCTTCTCGGGCTGCTGAGATGGTGTATTGCAGATCATACAGTCAGGGTCCGAGACATTTTCATCCTCTGCTGCATATACAAATCTCCAGACGTATGCACCTCGTTGCCGAATCTTACGCCAGCGGACTACTGGGCCGCTTGCAGGCCGCACATTGGTCATGTGGTTTCGCATACATTGCCAAGGGAAAATGTATGCACCAGAAGGCGCTTGGCAATCTCATTTAATGAGGGAATGCAGTTCTCATGAGATCACAAAATCCATTTGGTGACCACGCGATTGTGATAGATTGCCCAGAGTCAGCAGCAAAAGCACCATTTGGCGGTACCCTGAGTAGATTGACGCCGCATGTCTGATCCAGCCGCCGAAGTCTTGGATGCTTCGTTGTAACGACTTGAAGGTAGAGCAAAGAAGCAGCTACAGCATCTGAAGTCAAAATTGCCTTAAGTCTTGGGGGGTTTTTTTTTTTGGCACTACATGGCTATCCAATGTCGGAAATAGATCACTGGGCCTATGCCTTCCTCCAAACCTCTCTATATCGTGCCCATTTGTGAAAGCCTACGCGTTGGTCAGTGGCTGATCTAAGGAGTGTCGAAAGGTTCAGCTTTACCTAAATTTTGAAAACCCTCGTCGCCTCCTTTCATACCATCCAGGAAGACCTGCTGCATCCCGAGCTCCTGAAGTATCTCTACACAACATCCAAGTAGTCTAATCATGACCGAGTTTCGATGGTTCTGTAGAGTCGCATTCCCCTCTTCAAGCCGAGATCGTCAGCCAAATATCACATATACGACCGCGTTCCGACTTACCTGCAATACAAATACAAGTAATGCCACCAACATCGTGTCCTATTTTCCGTGCCCATGGCAGGTCCGCCTCAGCGATCGTTCCCGAGTGAGGCGTATAGACCAGGGCTGCCGCGACTATGACTGCTCCATGTAGACACAAGACAATATCTTGTGCATAGTCCCTGCTCCATTTGTATTCTTCGAATAGCCCCATACTCTCATTCCGCGGGGCCTCGTTTCCCACAAATTGTAGGAGGGCCGGAAAGTCATCAGGGTTACATTGCCGGAAGGAGAACCCTTCTGGCACCGAGGTAGAGCCTCCACTAGGCCAGTCTTGGATCCTCAGGAGCCAGTCGCACACCTCTCGTCCCCTGCCTGGAGACTGTACGTCCATGGGCCACCCGCGCCTTCGGAACCACTCGTGGGAAGCTAGATCAAGAGGGATGCCGTATAGGAGACGAGGAAAAGTGCTCCCGAGCTGTAAACGTCGAACACCCCGCGTTCTTGAGAGAAGATCCGTAGCATGGGTATGTAAACTCGAACCGATGCCCCTTCTCCTGTAATCTGGCTTTACTAATATGGCAGCAAGCGACCCAATGAGATATTCGGGATCACTAAAAGCCCAGGTTGTAAATGTTGCACAGAAGCCTATTATATCCCCCGTGCCAGGGGATCTGATAACGTAATGCTTGCCGAATCCAGCTCGGTTTAGTAGCGATTGGAGGCTATACCGATCCAACTGGAACTGCTTCGGAATGCACTCATTCCAGAGGTCCAAGATTGGTGTGAAGTCAAAAGCGTCCAAGCTATCCGGGAGTGCTTCGACTGTCCAGGCCCTTGATTCCAAAATAGGCTTATCCACGTTCATAGTATCAGTATCGTTCGATAAAGTCTCGCCAAATAATACGGCCGCCGTCTCCTCTAAATATTGAGGAGCGTAACTGGGTATCTGAAGTATCGTGGGGAAATCCCCTTCCATCAAGCCCAAGCTGTGTACATCCTGACATGCAATGATCACCTGGGGCCGGTGTTCAGCAATAACCCGGGCTATGTCGGCGAGCTCGGTCTGGGAGGCTTGTCCCTCAATCACTGCGCCCGAGATGACAAATACGATGACCTTGGCTCTGCTAATAAATGCGGTGTGGTAATCAGTAATGCCATTATTGGCAGTATATGGGACATGCCGGACCCATGGGTGCTTGGAAGCAAGTGCGCGACCAAGAGGTTCGAAAGGGTCCCTGAAGTCGTCACCTTCTCGCTGGATTGGAATGATAACGGGAGAGAGAAGCACGAGAAGGTCGCCCTCGACTAGCGTCCTCGCCAACGGTATACAGGCTTGATGGTCCCGCACTAGGGTTACCTTGGTGGAGAGAGTGCGAGCTGGTGTTCCATGAAAGGAGGATGCAGGAATGTCTCCGGACATTGTACTCTGCTGCTGAGCTCATGGAATGAGGCTCGGACGTACGCGTTTTATGTACGCTTGTCTTCCACATCGGTCAGCAAATCCGGTCATAATCAGCATCCGCACGAACCATGAACCATGAATGGTTCTGTACAGCCACGCAGCATAATTGTCAGGGTAGCTCTTCTTATATTTACCTTGCCACTTTGGGTGTAAGATCATATGACATAAGCATCGTTTTGCTGTAAGGCATAGAATGATAGCTGAGTGGGACGCCGTGATGACCGTCATATAGACTTGAAATTGAAGGGGTCGTCTCCAGTACAGAGGAGCGCCACGGCTTGCAGAGTCGAGTCAAATGAACCCTGGCATTACCTCAAATTCAACGGGCGAAACTTTTGATGCTGCAGGCAATCCACACCCAACTGTAGCTGCAATCGCACGAATAAGTCTCCGCAACGCCCTTGTACGCGTTCCAAAGCCGTCAACCAACATTCGAGCACTCTTTCAAAAGGGCAATGCCACCGATTGTTGGCTGGCCGGGTTGGTTCTCGAGAAGTGCCTTATATGCTTGCGATGCGTCGTCAATGTTGGCGTGACTGGATTGCAACGAACCCAAGTCACGTAGCTCACGTACCCAATGCCAAGCCAGTACTGTGTGGGAAACGATGGCTTCTTATAGAGATGCATCCGGATTTGCAAGAAATTCTGCGGTAGTTGGCAGACGACCCTGCACCCAGGAGGTAAGCCCCGACTGGAGGCGCAGGATAGTATGGGTCGCACGAAGCCTAGGAGGGTCCAATAGCAGCTCGTCAGGGGCGTGATGAAGGGTGGACGCAAATCTGCAACTGTTAATGAACTGGGGGGCCCAAAGACGGTCTTCTCCAGCGGCTACGTGAGAGCATGTCCATGGTGGGGAGAAGCAGTTGTCATTGGCGGACCCGCTAAACGACCGCTGAAGTCTTGTGATGAATCTGTCCGAACCGTAAAAACAGGTCGTACAAGACCAAATAAATGCCTGCATGAATGTGGACAAGGCAGCGCACCACTAGATACAACGCCGCCCGAAGGGCACGGCACGGCATGGCATGGCCTGGCATGTACTTGGTTCCAGGGGTCAAAGGCGCTTCTTCTTCTTCCCACACATTCGACAGCGCCCGCGGCTGCAAATTCCGGTCCTCCATCCATGCTGGTGGGGTGGTAGTGGGCACATCGCGGTGGGAGCCACGCCCCGTTGCTGCAGGATCAAGACATACAAAACGTTACACACAAACGTATACTACCCGCAACTCCGTATTATCGCGGATCAGATAAGTTCGGCGGAAATCTGTGCGCACCTCCAGCGGGCTCGGCACGCCCTGCACAGCGAAAGTATGTCATGACCAAACCCCTCGGCAGAACTTCATCGCGAAGGCGAGCGTCACCACTTAGACAGTCACTGAAAAGTTCGCATCCGCAAAGGCTGGGGTAGCTTTGAGGTCTTTTCTTGGGGTATACACGGGTCGCACCTTTCGTATTGGGAAAGTTCGCATTGTAGGAGGATTCTACAAGACTTGGGTCTATTGTAGGATGCGGCAGGTATTCTATGATTAGCAATATGTCATCAAAACCCAGTCTTTTCGGGAGTATCCAAATCCCATTGGGGGCCATTCTGACCAAAAGAGGAAGTACTTTCCTAGCGAGATCTGAGCTGTGTTGTCATGATGCTAAAGTGTCTCCTCTGCGACGACAGCGGTCTGCTGCTGTGCCACCTGAGGATCAAGGAACGTGACAGCCCGTCATAAAGACACGAGTTCCACAAGCATGTGGTGTTACAACGGCGCCAACATTGACGCCGTTTACTGGACTTTGATTCATAAGCAAGTTAGCTTTGGCCATGTAATTGCGTCCTGTCGATTCTTGCTGGGTAGAAGATGGAGAGCAAGAGAAGGTTCCGTTGATGCTGGCCTATGAAGTCCTCGTTCACCTTGCCAGTGTTGAAGGCCATGGTGGCGGATGAGAGACGTGGCAAGGTGCCTACGATATCGCGTAACTTAGTCAAGTAAACCCCTCTATTTTCCTCGAATTCTTGAATCCAACGTGCTCACGGATAATCTGCTGGAGAGCAACTGTAGCAGCAGCTCGAAGTAATTCATGTTCCGTGTCAAAGATGGACCCGCTGTAACAAGGCTTAGTGCTAGGTAACTCGGGTCAGTCTGCAGCGCGCGAAAGCCCAGGCGCTTTCAGCGGCACTAGCACTCAATTCCAGGTTGCCCTTCTGTGAGGCGCCAAAATCCAACTTAGGTAGCCCCGCTCTACCGCGTCGGGTGTATCCAATGTCTTGCATGTATACATCTGTGCGCGTCAAACGCGTTTCTCCGTTGCAGCACTTGGGATACTCCATTTCGGCCATCGACCTTGCAGCTGCCCTCCCTGTGAGCGGCTTGATCAAATTGGGAGAGGGCACCGATAATCCACCCACATGGGCGAGCCAAAATGGCCAACGTTGTGCCGCAGGCTGATATCCTGCGTGAGAGTTTAGCTGAAGTGGTTCAGGGTACGTTTCGATCGACAGCCACAGCATGCGCTTGTTAGAATCCCACGGCTTGTGACCTATCTAACTTGGAATAGCTGCAAAGGTCCCGGCCAAGCGTCGAGGAGCTCCCATCAAATCTACTGTCGAGACCTTGGCCTCAGAGTGCTACGGAAATGGCGTTCTACCGGACGCGTTGACGGAACTAATAGATCTCATCGTCGCCCCTAGCCACCTTGACCAGGCAAGTTTGAACAGTCTGATTAAGAACCTATATCCCGTCACGCGTATCGATGGTGATATCATCATCAAGGTCGTAGGCTGTCTGGGACATGGCGCTCTCAAACCTTCACTTGCCATCCAGGCAGCACTTCTCAGGTGGATCATCATGGTCTATCACACTATAGAGAAGCAAGACATCCTGTCCAAGGTATATGCAGTCTTGTTCAACTTGCTTGACACTGCAGCTATCAGGTGAGTGGGATGGTTGCTGCCTGCTTGTGTGATGGTATCTGATCAGCTCCAGGCCACAGTTATGCCACCTTCTTGCTGTCATTACAAGGCGTAGACACGTTCGACCCTATCGGATACAAGCAGTGTAGGCTACCCCCCTCCCTACGTGACCTATTGGACGGTCATTATTCTAACAGCAACATAAGACTTGCGTTGAGTAGGCAGACAGGAAATGACCCTGCGCTGACCGGTCTACTTCGGGTCTTCAAAGATTATTACCCCGAGATCATTGTGGGGGACGCAACTCGGGGCAAGGCATCCTCTTTCAAGGTATTTTTCAGTAGGTCAGACGTGAAGGCTAGGCTGATCTCTTGAAGCACCCAGATCCTCAATGGCGAGAGCGATTAGATGAGATCCAGCAAGCACATGCGCGATCTTTGGAAGACCGTGACCAACCCAAGGACGCTTTCCGAGTAGCTCGACACATCAACAATGCTGGACAAAGCAAAAGGCCGCCGGTTGTACCAGAAGTGCATACATCGCATGCACAGGAAGTAAGCAGCACAAATCCATTGTCAATGGGCGTCTGCTGACATGTCAGAACTCCGTAACACTAGAGGAGATCGAGAATGTGGATGGGTTGGTCAAAGCACTGGAGACCGTTGAACTGCCCAATCAGCTCATTTCAGTGCTTGGTGATCCTCTGCTGCAGAAATTGATGCTGTTAAAGCCGGACCCTATCTCTCACTTGCGCATCAGCAATTGGCTCGATGCGTATGGTCAAGATGTGCTTGATGGTGGGGATGAAGGTGCTGGCGAAGTTGCCAGCTTCCTCGAGATACTGCAACAATACGCCGCAAACACTAAGGTAAGACCTACGACCAAGGGGAGCACAGCCCATCAACTGACTTCGTCCAGAATCTTCCCCCAATAGTATTGTCCTTCTTCGCCTCATATTTGAAGACCTGGAACGGCCACGACTCAAGGGATTGCATTCTCCAGACTCTCATGTACACACCGGTTCCTACAGACGATTTTCCTGGTAACTACATATTCCCTCCCTGTGAAGCAAGGCGCTGACTTTATCCAGAACTATACAGCCGGATACTGTCTCTTTTAGAGATCAAGGTTCTCAACGGAACTGCTGGGTCCCAATTAGTCATGCTGAAGTACTACAACGGTTTGCTCCAGCATTGGATCACTATCCTGCAGTCTGACGATGTCGAATCGTTGTCGACCGGAGCAGTCTCGGATCTTGTCACTCATGTGAATAAGCTCTGCCTAACGGTTGTACAAACCTCGTCCAGCACCGCGGCACATTCAATTATTCTGGATTTTTATGAACAGGCTGCGTATCTCGCATCAAATCCCAGACTCAATCAACACATCCGAATCGTGATCCCGCCTACCGCTCTAGTCTACACGCTCCACTTCAGCTCATCGCCGGTCACATTATCACGACTGTGTGGCGTGCTCGCTCAGTACAAGGAAGGGTTCCAGGCCGCTACTGGCTCGTCTCGGTCGTCATACCCTCCGGAGTACATCAATGTATTCAATGGTTTCCTGATGGATATTTGCAATTGTCTTTGGCGATCAAGGGCTTTCAATGCCAAGGACTCCAACTCACACGCCTGCCTCATGCCAGACAACGTCATCAGAGACCTGGCAACACACGTGTCTGCCGTACGAAAAGGCAGCGAACTGACTTCTCTGTTCACGTTATCCACATCTTCAGTACTCGGATCTCTAGCTACGGCATATCTTCGCGAGCTAGAAGAATTGGAGATGGAGCAGGGCACAGGCGACCTCGATCTCAGACATGCCGGGCCTGTCACCAGGAAGAGCTTGGTAGATCTCGGCAGAAACGGAGGTGTGAGTCTGACCTGGGACGAGTATCGCCAGGGTGTTTTAGGTTATCTTGAGCAGCAAGGAATGACCGGGGTTGGACGATTGATGCATAACACGATGACGACACTGATGAAGAGGAGCTGAAAAGGGCAAATGGAGAGTTCTTGCCCTCGTAAACGTGAAGTTTGATGGTCCTTGGTGTTTTCTGGTTGCTACCTATTTGTAGGTCTCACGCGCTATATACCCGGTTTGCGACGTCCGCAAGTCGTTCCAGATCCGTCAATGATCTATCCTATGTTGAAAGGGTATCTTTAATGCATGTTAAGTGCACTCATGTTCCCCCCGCCGTCTGGTGATGAAACCAGGATTCTTGTGTAATACCAAAAACTCCGTGAACTCCATTCTATGCGTTGAGCGTCGTGTTGTTGCAATTCCCAACCCAGTGGAACCCATGATTCTTGTGGCCCGTCCTCTCCAGTGAGTTGTATCATTTCTTCTCGCTGCTCTCATCTCCGTAGCCGCCGAAGCCACCGACCAGGTAGGACATTCCCTCGGTCCCCAGCTTCGAATGGTTTCTTGGGCCGCGTTGCTTCAGATCAGCCTTCAACCAACCCAGAACAAGCTCTCCAAGCTGGCTGTTCCCGGTGCTTGTGCCCTTGTTCTCGCCCAGGAACTTCTCCGCGGGACCCCACTCCTTGATGGTTCCAAGGTGCATGTGGACGAGGTGCGTCGGCCAGCCGGCAAGGTTATCCAGGATGTGGGTCGCGTAGACGATGGTGCACTCACGGATCTCCGTCTCGTGCGCGAGCCAGCCCAGGAACTCGGATCTGCTCAACACGTCCAGATCGACGGTGATCTCGTCGAGCAGGAGTACAGTCCACGGCCGGATGAGACCCATGGCGAGCTGCACGCGGCGGCGCTCACCATCGGACACGGCGTGCATGCGCCATTCGACGTCGATGTCCAGCACATTGATGAGCTCATCGCGGCGGTCCGGGTATGCGTCGCCGCCGACGGAGCGCAGCAGCTCGTTGACGCCGATGTCGTTGCGGACGATGGGGTTAAGCACCCACTCCAAGCCCAAGTACGTGACGCCCTCCAGGCTGTCCTTGAACGGGTCAACGCCCGAGACCTTGATGCTGCCACTCGGGGCCAGGCGCTTCCCGGCTAGCAGGCGCAGAAGCGTGGTCTTGCCGGCGCCGTTGGCTCCGATGAGCAGAGTGCGACTGCGGGGCGGCACATTGAGCGAGATGTTTTTCACACCTGTAGAGTAGTCCGGGAAAGTGTAGGTGAGGTCTTCAACAGAGATATCTGGTGGCGCCATTGTGTGTACTTGAAGCGAACTCGGAGTGCCGCGTTTGCCGAAATTTCCAAAAGCAAAAAGCGAGCAAAGGGTAATGTGGATGGGCGAATTCACAGGTTTTCATACTCTTGTATGATGCCATCATTGAGACCCCTGAAGCCACTAAGTTCATTGGGCGCCCTTTGAGTCACCCGGAGCCCTGGAATAAAAGAGGCTAGTGGACCGGCCTCCGCCGAGCTCCCCGTCAACTCCGGGCCCGCATTCAACGTCGTCGTGACTGACGCAACTACACATATATGCATATTACTTTAGTTCAAATAAAAATTGATCACATGCTGCATACATGGCATCATATAGCAATGAGATGCAATGCCATTGTATAGCGATTCATCTTAGCATCAAGAAGTCGGTGCACATTCATTCCTTGCACCAGACGTAGGAAAGAAAATGTGGGTCCAAGATATCTTTCGTGTCTTTGAAATATGCTTAGTATGAACTAACCATCTCTTGAACCACAGTATGACCTATAATGCTAATAGATCAAATAAAAATATCCTAATCTTCCCAGAAGTGTGCAAAACCCTCAGTTCAGGACTCCCTGTGTTTTGCTATCAGCACTCTAAATTTGGTCATTTGCACTCCCTTTCGACTCTTGGGTGTCTGTGTGAGAGTCTTCAGCACTTAGACAGTCCAGATGGAAGGCAACGAATTGCCCACACCAATTCCATATGAATGTGGATGGCGTTAAGATAATCGATGGCATTCAGCATTTGTAAGAAGTGCTGTGATTCCATGCTCAGGGAAACCTCATGAGAAGGCAGCTACTTGGTTGATAACCACATGTCGAAATTGTTGGTGATCCCAATGTTGGCGATCCCACACAGAATTCTCTCCTCGTACTTACAATTCGCAAGGAGAGCATTCCAGAGCCAACAATCAAGGGCAAAAGCCAGGAGTGTCATGCTGGATTCGACGTCCCAGTAGAGCTGCGTTTGTGCTCATCCACAGCGTGTATTAGACTGCTCGTGGTAAAAGCAAAAGCATTTGTCTAGCTCAATAATGGTAGATTTCGCTACGGTAAATCCCACGTCAGCCGGACTCAGCAATGGAATACCCTTCATGACCGAAGTCGGATCGAACAGAACCTCAATAAGTATGGGTAGCAAAGTCGTTGCTTGGATTCTGATCGAGACCTTCTATTAACGTATTAAAATATAAATACAAAAAAATATAAAAACTAAAACACGAGATTGTAAAAGTACGTACACAAAAATAAACGCGAAAAAAAAAGGAAATTTACATAAATATAAGGATACATAGATAAAAAGTCGCTTAAATATCGAAATACGTGAATTGAAAAGTACGTAAATACGAAAATACGTGAATACAACAATGCGTAAATACAACAATACATTAATGTGACAAGTGAATGCAGAAACGCGTGAATGGAACAATGCAAATGGCCTGCACTAGACGCCTATTTAAGTGCCTACTTTGACACCACTTCCCAGATCTCAACTTTTTCTATCCATCAACCACTCTCCGTCCCAACCATCGGAGGGACGAACAACGAACAGGCTGTTCCCGACTCCTCCTCTTCACACCACTGTTAATCATCATCGCAATGTCTACTCAGTCGACCGAGAAGGGCCTGGACCCTGAGTTCCGCGCTCAACGTCTTCATGGACGGGTTCGAAAGGCTGATTCGATCGCTCTCAAGAAGCTGCAGCAGACGGCATGGTCAATGCTGGATGTCGACAAGCAGGAGAAGCTCAAAGTGGTCATTCACGGTATCCTCCAAGTCTCGCTGTAAGTTTGTTCTGGACCTATTGTACTAGATGCAGACGGTATATTAACGAATTGACATAGGAGTGCTCGAGTTAACAGCCTGCAGCCCGGAGAGACGTACGATTACAATCCTATGGTAAACGAAGCGATCCGTAAAGCCTTCGAAGAGAATATTAAAATATTCACGTGGAAGGACAAGGATGGCAACGATGTTTCAGAGTCGTCGATTGACGAGTTGATGAACATGAACGGCGTCTAAGCATACGGCTCTAGGTAAGGGCTTCTCTGGCAGCTCACATCGGAAACGACCTCCTTTCGGCAACCAGGAATTGTTACGATGGAGCGTGATGGCCGATAGACTAGGGGTCAAGGTTGTCACTCAAAGATAGTCGACAAAAGGAATAGATGCCAGTCTATTATGCTAATGGTGCCTCCTCGTGAAAGGATACGAAATGATTTGTGTGAACCACCTAACCATTTCCAGTTCCCAAGTGAACATCCTCCTCCTCCACGTCGTTGAAAGAAGGCCCTGGGTTACATTCTTCGTCGTGACCGAAGACGTCTACCTTTGTTGATTCAAATTTTCTTGTGGCAGTTCCTTTGGCAAATAACCAATCCAACTCCTCATAGGTCCTATTCTTCGTCTCGGGGAGCCGAAAGTACGCCCAGATGAATGTGAGTAAGGCTGTCGTACCCCAGAAGAAGCCTGTGTAGCCCTTCATGTTCCACTGTGTTGGGTTCATGAAAAATGGCTGTAGGGTCTGTGCTATGACGAAGGCAATATAGTAGGTGTTCCTCGCAAGACACACAGTACGCTGCCGGAGACGGGTAGACCCTACTTCGGCGGGTAGAGCCCATCCTAGTTGTCCAATGGAAAGCTGAAAGACAAATGTCCAAACCAAGGTCATAACAGCCTGAAACATGGCCACCGCATCGTTATCTGTCCATATGTTGAGTATCCCGATGAAGTACTGGATCAGAAATAAGGTAAACATCCCCCACAAAAAGATCCGTCGGCGGCCAAAGTATGGCATCAAAGTGAACCAGCTGACCAAGGTTCCTAACAGCGCCAGGCCAGTCCCACCGATATTCAGCCTATAAGTCTGTGCTGGAGTAAGGCCAACCTGCTGGAAGAAGTATGTAGAGTTGTATGCAAACGCAAGCCCGGAGAACATCTGCCCCGCAAATGCCATGCAGGCAATCTCCGTGCGACGGCGCTCAACGCCACGAAAGCAGTCCCAGTAGCTTGTGCCCGCCGTGATCCTCTTTTCGAGCGCGTCCGTGCGGATAATGGTGGCCAGCGTGCTTTTGACGTCCACATCATCCTGTGAACTCCTGAGACGCCGCAAAGACAGCTCTGCCTTCTTTATCTCGCCCTTTCTCACCAGATGCCACGGAGATTCGGGTGCAAAGCACAACAAAGGGATCAAAAACGCTGGCCACACCCACTGTATGGCGAAGGGTATGCGAAAAGCCCACTCATCAGTCCGGCTGACTAATGTGGCCAGGATACCAGCAGCAATCAGTTGACCAATAATGAAGCACATGTTCGTATACGAAGTCAGATATACACGCAGGCTCAAGGGGAGCACCTCTGATGCGTACGCAGGGGCCGACGAGGCGAACACGCCCCAGGGTAGTCCACACAGAAACTCTCCTGCTGCAAGAACTTGGATCGTCGGGGCAAAGAAGGTCATGAAAACGAAGCACGAGAGAGCACATAGTGCGCCGATGATCACTCTCTTCTGCCCGAACAAATCAACCAGATGGCCGTTCAGCAGCACACCAAAGAAGCTGCCAATCCCCGCCATGTTACTCAGGGTAGCCTGCCATGGAGCAGAGAGCTGATGATGACCATGCTTATCGATCTTCTGTCCATACTTCTCTGCAAAGGTGGGGTATGCAAAGAAGTTACCGATACTGCTTGGGTTAGCTTCTGTGCGACTACTTATACCTGGGTGCGACGTACAGGATCGTATCATACTAGCACAAAATCCACATCAGCACTGTCACTAATGCAAGAGGCTTGAAGAGCTTCGAGTATGGCTTAAGGTCACGTCACGGGGAAACACCTACGCCTTCCATAATCACTGTCATGGATACAGCAAGAGTCCAGAATATGGCCATCGGGTAGGCCTTGATGGCCTGTCGCGGTGTAAGGGCATGTTCGGCGCCCTTTGAGCCTGTCGGCGGCTTCGACCGAGTAATGCCAGGGTCGGCATTCGCTAGAAGGCTGGCTTGCTCTCGGGGATCCGCAGTCACCTCTGCATATCGTCTTTGAGGCATTTCAGAATTGTATCCAAGTTTGGACAAGGCAAAGTGAAGGCATCCTTGGTTGAGAGAGATGTTGTCGGGAAGGTCACGCGTTCCCGGTAACGGCTCCGCCGACCCCACTTTCTTGCCGCAATAAGCGGTCACGTTCCGACATCACACTTCGCCGGTTTAAGAGGATGAACTCGGACGAGCTTTTGCCTAGCATTCACAACTCTGCGGGAATACTGTCTTCGACATCAGCGGAAACGGTTTCGGCTGACACTTCCACCAACGAGGATTCGTCCTGCAAGTCAAAATTGGTGAGACATACGCTAACCTTTGGTGAAGAAGGAGAACTCAGCCATCGCCGGAAGGAGGACTGATATTCTCCACATTTCCAAGGAGTCTCTAATTGAAAAGAGCAACTTTCCAAAGGCTGCGTGCTCCGATAAGTAACACATGAACGCTATATTGCTGCTAGAGATCTCCGGCAGCTTAGTACGGATGGGAGGTTAAGACCGTACCACTGCCACGTTAGGTTCACGTTTGGATTCTCTTGTGGTCTTTTGCGGCTTGTATATTCTATATTCGCATATCTATCACTGAATACGCTCGTGGTTAATCAAAGAACAACTGGTTTGAAACCCATCAAACATAGGAGATTTTGAAAACCCAACAGAAATCCTCCTTCTCAAGCAAGCCCTCAGGGATGGTAATTAAGAGCTCCGAGTCATCGCCTTGCCCAGAAATCTCCCAGGCCAATGCTTCGCCACCGTCAACCGCCAGTAGGCTCACGCAATCCCCAGCCAATATAGGGACTGGAGCTGCCACGCTCACCTTGCCGTCATATGCTACTGGTTTCTCCAAGAAGAGGATATAGATCGCATCGTCCGTCTGGGTGAATCGCACGTTGGCGCCATCCACAATCTGACTCTGGACAAACCAGTACGTGGTGTTGAAGATAGCTTCCTCATGGGCCTGGATCCAAACACCTGCCTCGCGCAGGTTGTTCACCTCGGCCTCGACGATGGTGCCATCCGCTCGAGGTCCAATGTCCAGGAGCAGGTTTCCGTTTTTGGACACCATGTCTACCAGCGTGTGGATGATGGTGCTTGCATTCATATATAACTCATCAGGCGTCGCTCGGTTGTATCCGTAGCTGTACGGATCCATGCCCTGGTTCGACTCCCATTTCCGGTGCTGGGCGGACGAGAAGGTCTGGTACTCAGGGGTATCAAAGTCAGCTGCGGCGGCGATGCCGCACCGAGAGTTGATGGCAACCTGGCGGCCTTGGGATTTCGCCTCGTTCCACCAAGTAGCAGCAAACCCTGCGGTTCCGTTGGAAGCTCCGCAGTCACACCACATGATGTCGGTACCATATTGATAGGCCAGGGTTTCCATCTGGGGCACCATTATGTCAGTGATGAAATCGTTGACAGGGATGTGACCCGTGTACGGCTCTTTAACCCCCGTATAAGGGTTGGTTGCTAGACCTCCGGTCCAAGAGGTCGTCGAGCTTGTGTTGAACTGATCAAAACCGTACGGGGCCCAGTCTGGATTGAACCACTCGGGCAACGAGAAGTAAGTTCCTCGTTTCAGGGTTGGCTGGTATGTTTCTGCTGCTTCGAACAGTTCTCCGAGGAGGTCACGTCCTGGGCCATAGTGCAGAGAGGATCGATTAGTGGTGTTACCAGCATCAAATATGGCAAATCCGTCATGGTGCTTTGTTGTGATGACGAAATATTTGGCACCAGCATCAGCAATCAAGTCAACCCACCTACAGTCTTGGGTTAGTTTCCAAGGCCAAGCGGAGCGCATTTCACGCTCCCTGTCGCGGAAGGACCACTTACATCTTCGGATCGAACTTCGACGCATTGAATTCAGGAAAGGTATCATCATAAACCCACTCAGGACCATAGGTCCTTAGGCGATAGTCATAGAAGTCAGATCTATCAGCCTGTGGATGATGAGTCGAGTACCACCTTTAGTCGTGTCATTAGTTATTTACTCTTGGGAAAACTTTCCAACCCGTATTCTGATGACCTACCAAAACCACTCAGCATAGCTCTCATAGGGCGTCGAATTGCCCCAACCTTAAAAAGTAGCGTTCATTAGCCATGGTAGCCCAAAGGACAATATGCCGAGCACTGCAGCTCTCAACACCAGTCGTGCTTCTGTATGACGGTTGAAATTTGAGGTAGGGCTGCTTACCAGTCACAGCATAAGGTCCCCAGTGAATGAAGATGCCATACTTGGCGTCGTCAAACCATTCAGGGCTCTCATGTTTAGCAAGTACATCTAGGTCAGAGGACCAAGTAAGAAAGCCAAACTCCAGGCCATCCACGGCGAATCTCTGCTGGGTCTTGCCATCGTCGATGATAACATCGGCGGTCGTTGATCCATTTGAGGATCCCGCAACCCCGACAGTGACGGTCTTCTGGTCACCGGGGCACAGACGCCTGAGTTTCCCCGGGTTCTTCGTCTCTATGCAGTCCCCCGTGATGGAAACAGCAAGATCTCCCGAAACGCACTGCGAACCAGCATTATTGAGCGTTACCTCCACGGCTTGAACTCCATCCTCGAGCCATTTCTGCGTCGGCCGAACGGTTTGGACCTCCAGGGAGGCCGAGCCTTGCCACAAGGATACAGAGAAAACGTGCAGCCGACCTTCGGTCACATTGGTGGTGTCAGGCAGCGTTATGGAGCTCAATTGCTTGCCGGCCGCCAAGGAAGTTACGCGCTCAAAGATGTGTGATCCGTTATGGTTCACGCCATCTTCTGTATATCGACTGGGAAAGATGACCTCGCCACGGTTGATGGTCAAGAAGCTGAACCAGTTCAAGCTGCGTAGCTCAAAGACCGATGTGCTGTTGTCGGTATAGGTGAGCGTGGCGTTCGCAGATACGCTGGAATCTATCAAATCCGCGGCAACGAGGAAAGACGCCGAGAAATAAGACCCGGGAGGCACGTTAATGGTCTCTCCGCTGCATACGATATTGTCCGGCTTGTCGGGACCGGTGTAGCCTGCGAGCGAGTATACTATACCAGTCTCACTAGATGTGTACTGTGATACATCGAAGTCTGGAGCTGGGTATGATTCGTTCAAGCCATTGAAGTTGGCCTCGCCAGGGTATGTTCCAAAGCCTTTGTTATTGAAGTATGAGGTCAAGTCCACCGGAATCGACTTTTCACGCAGTAAGTTTTTGCATCTCCCTATATGGAGTATGGGCGGTATGACTTACTCCCGTTTTAGCAGAGCCTGGGCTCGTAACAGCCAAGACATTTGCAGTAAAGACTACCAGGGAGAGACACGCGTTCATCTTGACCTCACCAGTCTGCTATTATCCCTATAGACCCTCACAAGTTCTGGATTCAGTAAAACCCGTCGAGTTATTCGAACGGGAGGACTGGCAATACATTTCAATGATGATCCCGCACGATGTGACTGGCATAACCCAGCGGTGATGCAGCGGTGACATCGTCGGCATTGGACGTCACCTGCCGGTCCTCGTTCTGATAGCGAAAGTAACGTTCTCCAAGTTGCGGACCAACTCCCGGTGCTGATCCACAATTACAGTACTATTGCAACTTTGGGGTAGATATCAGACGACCAGGGGTGCAAGTCGGGGTATTCCGCAGTCCCTTATCGAGCTCCGCACAGCGCCAACCCCGCTGTTACTCCAAGTACCTGGTGTTTCCACCACTCGTGGGTTGGAGTCGCGTCGATCTCGAAGCTTGGAATTGAGTTTCGGCCTAGAATAAGCCGGGTCTTCGTATATGTATTGCTGGGTTTAATTATCCAGAAAGCTAAGTGTTCCAAATGGCGTTATCTACGTGTGACGTTGCTTTTGTCTGGGAACATGGCTATAGTCATTCTTGGTCTCCACTCAAATCATAAGTTGCTGTTGCTTCACGAAGCATCAACACTGTGGATATAAGGGATTGGGATTTGACGACCCCTGAACGATACTATGAAAAATACGGCGATACTGCTTCGCATAGTTATTTGGTACTCAGCTTGACCATGGGTTATTATCGGGCCTTGATCTTTGCCTTAGGCTACTTGGGTGCCACCGAAGCGCAGTTTAACAACCCAAAAGGGGTCGATATCTGGTGCGGGAAAGCATACAGACCAGCGTAGGTTGCGCTTTCCAACGAATATCGAGAATTGAAATCTTACATACTCCTAGAAACTCCTCCTTTGACCCAGGCGGTTGGTTCGTCGAGCCGCCCATCTCACCGGTTCCCTTGTTAAATCTCCGGGTACGGCCACGCATGAGCATATATCTTGAGACAGACAACGAAGCCAGCCTCTTGATTGATGCGTCAATCTCTCAACAGATTGGTCAGCCGCTTCCGGGAAATTCCACGGGATATGCCTCTGAGTCTTCCAAGTCCTTGGACGTGGAGATTTTCTCAAATGGAGCCACAATTGGCAAGACGTCCGTCAACCTTGGGGCAACCAATATGGAGCTTCCCGTAGACCTGGGACAATTTGCTTGTGGATTTGATGGCCAGAACATCAGTATACTGGCTACGTTGGATGGGACGCATACCTACAATGCCTCGACGCAGTTATTCCGCTTGCCCGCACCAGAGGACTATGGCAGCGTGTCACGGATGGACAACTTGTACGGAGGTCTTTGGATTCAGCGAGAAGACGAGCCTTGGCGGCATATATTCCCGTACACATACTATGGTGAGTCCTACACTAAAGTGGTAATTGGCTGTGGCTGATCCATATAAGTCCAATGGAGCCTCTACTGGGACAGCAACGTCACAACTCTGGATGACTTCGCAGCGCTTGGGTACAATGTGATCCATATCGTGCCTACCGGAAGTCTAGGCGAGAAGCCCTTCCCATGGGATCAGTTCGAACCCTATCTCCAGCGCGCGGACGAACTAGGCCTATACCTGCAGTACGACGTGCTCTGGGAGCCCGAGAACATCACCGGCATGCTCGAGCAGGTGGAGCGCCTCAAGAGGCACCGGAGCCTGCTGCTGTGGTACCAGAGCGACGAGCCGGACGGCAAGGGCAACCCGCCCGACTCGACGGGGCAGGCGTACGACCGGATCCGCGCGCTGGACCCGTACCACCCGGCGTCGCTGGCGCTCAACTGCCACGACTTCCACTACGCCGAGTACGCGCGGGGCGGCGACATCATCACGCCCGACGTGTACCCGATCAGCACCAACACGTCCTTCTCGACCGTCTACGGCACCGTGTGCAACGCCACGTACGGGTGCTGCGGGTGCGACGGGTGCGCGGGCGAGTTCGAGGACATCGCCGGCCGCCTGGACGCGTACCGCCGGCGCGACGCGGTGCTCGGCTGGTCCAAGGCCCAGTGGTTCGCGCCCCAGGCCTTCGGCAACGAGACCTTCTGGGCCCGGTACCCGACGGCCGCCGAGGAGGTCGTCATGACGCTGCTGGCCGTCAACCACGGGGCAAAGGGCATCGTCATGTGGAACTACCCGACGACGCCCGACATACTCGACGTCACCAACCGCCTGGCCGGGGTGCTGACGAGCGGCACAGTGGCCGGCTTCTTGCTGGGCGCCCCGGCGACCGAGACCCTAAGTGTCGACGGAGCTAGCCGTGTTGATGCGGCGTTGTGGGTGGATAAGAATGCCGGTCTGGCTTTGCTGAGTATTGTCAACTTGAATTATGGAAACATTGATAGTGCTATCAAGATTATGGCGCCTGATGGTATTCGGTTTACTTTGATCTCCGACAGCCTATGGGGAGATTTGAGCTGGGACGTCGAGAATGAGAGTGCCTTGTCTAGCGTAAACGGCATGCTGGGCTTGCAAGTGTCTATTTTGTTGGTTAACATCGCTGTAGGCCAGTAAGTGAAGCCAAGTTAGTCGGTAACTTATCCGCAAGCACCAGTTGTGAAGAATGATATGAGCCTCGACTTGGCCAGGTCAATTGCTCCGCATTGGTTTTCACGACCCAAGGAGGCTTGGATACAGACTTGCCAAGAAGCAAGGAAATGAAAGTCTGAAAAGTAATTTTGTAAAAGCGTTCATTGACGCCAGATTGATCGCCATATACCCTATTATACACCTGGACGCTTGCCAAACAAGACCCCAACATGTGCAGACTACTGAATACAGAGGGACGCCCCATTATACGTCCGAAGATGTCATCTGACTCGCTGAAAGCAGAAATGGCCAAAACCTTACGAATGCCCCCCCAAAAAAGAATTGCAAACCGACATGATACCATACGCCGCCATGACATGCAACCAGATGCAGAGGATATACCGCCGTTTCCAGCCAGCCGTTGTTTGAACTTTTACACCCCCATATGCTGCAGCAAACGATGCTTCTTGATTGCTTCCATAATCAAAACCCTAGGCGGAGAGGTGGCGATTAGCCAACACAAACCCATTCCGCAAAAACACACCATCTTGCCGTTCTATCTGCGAGCACGAGGCCACGCCAGACGCCACGCTCAGAGCACTTTATGATCGTCTCCCAAGTCCCACCGTCACTGGTGTCCTCTTCACTTCCAATGTTCCGGCCGCCCACTCCGATGCCTCTACGCTCTTCCTTGCGCATCAGGCGAAGAATCTTACCGCCTGGTGTCTGAATGGCCAACTTGGCTGGCTTTTTCCCGTTGATGGAGGACCCGCCGTAGCCGCTGCTGCTCGCCGTACTAGGGTTGGAGCTCATCATGCTCATAGAGCTACTTGGCCTAGCAAAGGGAATAGGACTAGCGCCACCAGGGTTGTTCGAAGGCGCTGCTCCTGAGGCCCCCGCGGTTGATGGGTGTTGACGGATGGCGAAGACAAACGTGTTATTGAGAGCCAGCCGTTGACACTGCGGCTGGACGACGTAGATATCGTGCCTCTGTGCATGGGGCGTTGGGTGTCGTGTAACAAACTCATACGGTGGGTTCTCGCCAGTATGGATGATAGGCAGAGCAAAGGCGAGCGGATGAGGAATGTCTTTGATGCTGTGCATGAGACCACGCTTCCCTGCGTAGACTTTGAGCATACCAGTACCTTCGTCACCAGGAAGAAGGCCCTTGACAGTATATCTCTTGACGCCGTTGTACCACTCGGCCTGAGCCAAAGCCCGCTTCTTGACCACGTCGCCGGACTCAAAGAGGTCGCCATCAGAATCGCGAGAAAATGCGCGGACCTCAACTTCAGCTGCCACCTCCACATCCTCTGGGACATTGAATCGGATATGTACCATCTCGAGATCCTCGATGCGTGTGAGAGATGTATTATAGTCGACCATTGCCATGTTGTTCTTGAAATAAGGCGGGCAGGCGCCAGGAAGATTCAGTAGTATCTCATGAGCCACGGGTGGGCAAACATGCTGTTGAGAATGGTGTTCGGGAATATGGGTCCAGCAGAGCTCGCTCGGTCTGGCAAGGAACCACCAGCTATCGGCAGTGGGAGCCGTCGAGCTCGAATATAGACCGCGCTGTGGATTGGAGGCGGACGCGAGACAACAGTCCATGAAACGCCACTCGTTGTCGATCAGGACAGCATTCCACCAGTGATTGGGCCGAGGCATGATGCCAGTCTCCGGGACTTCGCCCGGCGTCTTGAGATAGCCTCGTACGATCTCGGAGTGGATACCGATGGCGGCGCACATCTCATGAACCAGAGCAGCGTACTCCTCTGCACAGCCTCTCTTTGTCTGAATAACCCGACGGGTGTCGATTTCGCCTTCAAAGTCCTCTTCCCAGTTGATTTTCTCAGCAACCCAAATAAAGATTGCTCTGAGTCGCTGGACTTCACTTCTGTAAGGACGACATACATACGTCGTCGCCAGTGTAACTGCTGTAGTCATCGGGGGCAAGCTACTGATAAAACGTGAGTTCTTGTCCACCTGGCTCAAGTTGATGACCTGATAGTTGGTCGGCTGGTGCACGGGCAAGCCGTCTGCCCCTTCGTCACCTTCGATACTCTCAAAGAGCTCGTCGACAGGGTCAATGGCAGGATAATCCAGCATCTGGCATCGGTCGCGCCTCTCGTTGCGTTCGTTCTTGCTGAGGGTGTTGGATCGATTGACATCTCGCCGTACTTGCACCCAGTCCACCCCGTTTCCTAGGCCCATTTCCCTGGCTGTATCTCTCGGTAGGTTGGTGCTACTAGCACCACCAGCGATAGCCGTTATCCTATCAGGCGCTCCGCGGCTCATTGGTCTCCCCATGGGCGACGACGCTCCCGGGCTTGATCCCATGGCTATGCTACCCCTGCTGCTGGCGACACCAGTCTTGGTTGCCTCCAGTATCCTCTTGATGAAGTTGGATTTCTTGGGCTTGCCTGCTTCAGGTTGCACTAGGCCTCCGATCGCTGCGATACCATCGTGGAACTCCACCTGCGACTGTGATCGAAATCGAGATGAAGAATGACTGGGGTGGTAGGAAACGCCAGTGAAAGGGGTTGTCGGTCGATCCAAATCCAACTCCTCTTCGTCGGCATCTCGAAAACCCAACGCACTGCGAGCGCGGTTGCGGTTCTTGCGCGCCAGGCTTCCTGCGCTCGTCGCGCTGATACCGCCAGCTGAGGCCCCACTCATCAAGCTGCGGTTCGTGCTTTGAGTGCCAGTGCTGCTGTTTGTTGCCTCGGTTGAGGTGGTCTTCGTTGTCGCTGTCCTGTTAAGCAGCTGACGTCCGACCTCGAAGGCGGACTTGTGTTTGCGCACTTGATGGTCAATATCGCCCATGGAAGATTTCGGCCGCTCCGGGGGGTAATGCTTCTTGGGCGGCGGCGGCGGAGGCATGTCATTATGGTCGTCAATGGCACCCGTGCTCGAACTGTGCTGATGCATCTTTCGAAGTCGCGTCTCCATCCTCTCAACGTAGTTGCTAAGCTGCGGTAATTGGTCCTTGTCTTCTCTATGGCCGTTGTGGTACGTATTTTCGGTCGATGAGCCCCCGCTATACGTCTCATACCCTTCATCCTGCATCACAACGCCCATCGAGGTCTGAGGTCTTGTTTGTGGTTGAGGTTTCCTCCGCGAGCGATGCTGCACCATGTCAAACGATTCTGGTGACCACGGATCCAAGGGTGGTTCGGGGGATTCTGTCTCGCGATTCACCCCTAACGCGTCAAGTTGCTCCATGACACCGTCCATTGCCTCCCTGAGAGGAGATGGCGTGAAGCCATCACCGCCTGGAGAAGGTGGGACTGGAGAGGGGGCCCTTGGTGTGTGGGGCCTGTTATCATAGGATGCGTTTGAGCCTCCTCGAAGCAAAAGAGCAGACCGATGAGGAGGGGGGGCGGGAGGCGGAGGGGAACCGCGTTCTGCGCCAGGGCGATAAGGCTTAAAGGTGAATGACGGGGTGGGCGAGGGGGATCTCGAACCGTGTTGCATCGGAGGCGGCTGTGGCGACGGAGCTCTTCCGCCAAAGAAGGACATCTGCAGCGGAGGGGCTGGTGAAGGGGCCCTCGACCCGTAGCCGTGGTCGTTCATAGGAGGAGCTGGTGAACGAGATCTGTTGACATAGTCGTATGGACTCATGGGAGGTGCCGGAGACGGAGCTCTGCTACCATAGCTGTGGGCAGCAACAGGTGGCGCAGGCGAGGCCGCTCTCGAATGGTAGTTGTGGTATTGCGCATGGGGGGCGGGTGAAGGGGCGGGCGAAGGAGCGCGCGAGTGATATCCATGCCTGCTCACCGGAGGGGCGGGCGAGTGGGATCGATTAGAACCATAGCTCCCATTTCTGTCGTGTACGCTGGGCTTCGGCTGGACCGAGTTGTTTGAGTTCTGGCGCGAGGGCATGTCGCGGAAGGTCTCGGGCTGCTTGGCCGTGGTGTAATGCGGCGCCTTTGCGTAGGCCTCGAAAGGTTTCCGAAAGGGTTTCGACTTTGTCTTGCCGATGTTGCTATTCGTCGGGCTTGGCGTATTACTAGGAGCCAGCGGGCTTGTTGAGCGACTCACGGGGCGGAAGCTCTCTGGTAACACCTCGACAAAGTTGGAAGGGAATATGCCAACAGTCTTATTCCGCCTCAGTCGCCCGGTCCACCACGATCCGTCTCCAGCGTTGAGGCATTCTATGAGGTCTCCTTCGACGAAGCCAAGGTCTCGTTGCGACTATGAAGTTATATGTTAGTCGGCCAGCGCCAGCGCACTCCCATCAGCCGGACAAACAAACATACCTCGCCTCCCCAAGAATACACGGCCCTGCACCAGCAAGGGAACCGCATGGGCAGCGGCGGCGCCGCGGGCATGGTGGCGGGGAGATGTTGTAGATATGCTGGTAGAGCACCGTATGTACCACGCCTGCGTTAGGTGTGGTTATCTCGCGGCAGCTGGCCAGATTCGAGGTGTTGAGGCGCTCCTAGAGCGCTGCGGTGAGCGTGGTGAATTATCGAGCAGGCCGTCTGCAAGGCAAGGCGCAACGTCGTCGGTGTCGCTCTGAGTGTAGGTTGATCGGCGGTGGGCGGTGAGCAGCGAGATTGGATTGGGGCGTCGGCGATGACAGGTGAGCTTGGGTGGATCAACAAGGCTCAGAGTCCAGGTCCAAATCTAAGCTATGGCAATTCCAGCCCAGCACGGCCGGCAATGGGTAAGTTGAGCGGGATAGCGTTGCTGTGTTGTGGTTGTGGCTCTCCCAGCGCAGGCACACCCATGGCAGAGCAAGGTGAGAGAGATCGCTTGGGACCTTGGAAGCGGACAATAATCTCGGGACGGTGGGCTGGAGCCAGGATGGTGATCGGGCGCACAGTCCAGCGTGTTGTTGGGGACTATCCAGGTAAGTAGATAGACTCATCCGCTTGGGCCACGCTGGTGCTGGTGTTGGCGCTGGGGATGGGGATGGGGATGGGGATATCTCCTTCGTGGGCTGGTGCTGGTGACTACTGGCGGGGGGGCCCCGAGCTACGATCCGGATCGTGCCCCTCTTGTTTACCGCCCCGTTGCTGGGTGACGCCTCTGCGACAGCGAACTCCCAGAGACACATGGCCTGGGCCCCACCTGGTGATGCAATTGGTCAGTGCTAGACCAACCTTAGCTTACTGAGTCTACCTACTCTGTACATAGTAGTCCCTAGCTGAATCCCGGATGCTTGCATTTCATGGATGTTGGTAGCCATAACCAAACGCATCTTTGCGAAAGGAAAGCCTCAGACGTTTCATCACACCGAGGCCAGTTGACCGCTTCGGAGCTGAGTATCGATTTTTCCTTTCTTTCTGGGAATCCATTTCTTTCCTTGTCATTGCGTCTCCTCTCTGCTACAGGTCACCAGGCAAGATTGGGCACAATCTGGGCCTGCCCGCTGCGTCAGCAACCCAAGGTGCCAATAGTCGGGTTGGACTGATGAGATGAGTGCCATCAACTACCATAGTACGGTACCACATGCGCCCAAAACGGGTATCTTCAATCGCACCCCCGCCAATGGGGATCGAAGCATCACAAGCCCCCCCTATCCCTGGCCGCCTGAGATCCGCCCTGCATATCGGGGAAAGGCCCCATCCTACAGCCTGACAACCGCTGTGGGTACCGTAAGGTAGCTATGTATGGGTAGCTACAGGCTGCGGGCTGCGGGTTGCGGGCGTCATAGGCTAGCTAATGCACCCACTGCTGCAGTGCTGGCATGCACGTTAGTTGCGCCAGGCCGCCCATTCGATGTGTTGTCGTGCGAGATGCGTTCGTCTGTGGGTAGCTAGAAGATAACACCCCCATGACCATGCGGTGACATACTACACCGACAGTCAACCTGAAGGAGTTTTAGAGAACAAAAAAAAAGTTTAGAAATCAATTTGCCAGACCCGCGACTTGTGGCCTGCCGTCATTTCGTGCCGTCGTCGCAGGTGGAAAAGGGCTAACTCGAATCGATGACCAGCGTACGGTCCAACCCACTGGGCCCTCGCGGGTTCTCCGAGGGCGAGGGCCCAAGCTCCCCGCAAGCTGAGATTGGATTGTCCTAGCAACGAGCAAGGTCACAAACCAGGCACCCCAGCGCCCCAGAGGCCCCATCGAGCACCACCAATATCAGCTGCACCGTCGCCAATCCGCCTGCGCAGCGCCGAACAACTCCTTCCGAGACAGTCTTCCTCTGCTTCAAGTTGTTGCGCTGCGTTGTGTTGTGCTGTACTGTGTTGCGTCGAGGCTCGTTCTCCTTGCCATCTCTCTGCTCCGTTGCTGCCATTGCTCGAGTCCTGTTCATGGTTGTCGTCCCCGGGCTCACTGGTTCACTTCTGCACCACTGTTTACATCAAGTGCCTTGCGCTTGCTTTTCCACGACAACATGGCGGATGAGGCTATCGCAAGCCACTACCAAGTCCTCGAGGAACTCGGTCGTGAGTACACGTCTGATGATTGCGATATCATCTGCCCGAGGATTTCGTCCCACTGACTTTTCCCTGCAGGTGGCAGCTTTGGAGTAGTATACAAGGGTATCGAGAAGGCGACGGGAGAGGTTGTCGCCATCAAGCATGTAAGTCAAACTCCACCCATCGCCAAATCCTCTACCGCCCCCCAGCGGCCAACGCTGACTTGCATATCCCAGATCGACCTCGAGTCGACGGACGATGATATTCAAGACATCCAAGCCGAAATATCGGTGCTGAGCACATGCGCCAGCTCTCATGTTACCCAGTACCGGGCCAGCTTCTTGCGCGGCAGCAAATTATGGATCGTCATGGAGTATCTTGGTGGCGGCTCATGTCTGGACTTGGTAGGCAGCCCCTTGTTCAACCTCTTCCCGCCGAGTGCATGCTAACGCCACTCGACGCGCAGCTCAAGCCCGAGCCCTGCTCCTTTAGCGAAACCCACATCGCCATCATTTGCCGCGAACTCCTAACTGGACTCGAATATCTCCACGCAGAGGGCAAGATTCACCGAGATATCAAGGCCGCCAACGTGCTTCTGTCAGAGACGGGCAAGGTCAAGCTGGCCGACTTTGGTGTGGCCGCCCAATTGACCAACATCAAGTCGCAACGAAACACCTTCGTTGGCACTCCCTTCTGGATGGCACCCGAGGTTATCCAACAAGCCGGATACGACTTCAAGGCAGATATTTGGTCTCTCGGCATCACCGCGCTGGAGATGGCCCACGGAGAGCCGCCCCATGCCGACCTCCACCCCATGAAGGCGCTCTTCCAGATTCCCAAGAACCCCCCGCCTCGCCTCGAGGGCAATTTCTCCAAGGATTTCAAGGACTTTGTCTCCGAGTGCCTGATGAAAGACCCCGACTATAGGCCTTCGGCGAAGGAAATGCTGAAGCATCGATTCATCCGCTACGCCGGCAAGGTGGAGGCACTGCAAGAGCTGATCGAGCGTCGACGCTCTCACGACGCCTCAAAGACGAGCAGGAGAAGCCGGGCTGTCTACCAAGAGACCCTCCACACAATATCGCCAAAGGATGAGCAGGACGAGTGGGTCTTTGACACGGTCAGATCGGTCGCCCCCAGGAAGACAACCGTCAAGTCTCGGAAACCATCGTCTATTTTCTCCACCGAGGACGCCATGCGCAGGCTGGACAGATTAGACGTCAAGGACGGGCCGTTGCAGTCATCGTCGCCGGCTGCAACCCCGTCAACCGTTCGAAAGGCCACAAACACCGTCCGCAAACAGCACTCCTTTGCACAGATGTCTGGAACTGGATCTATGCGAGGTCCGCCAGGCCCAGCCCTTAAGAAGCCGCTCCAGCCAGACATGTCTTTTGGAAACGCCGGCTCATCCCAGCGCCTGTTCAAGAGAGTGCCCTCTGACAGCTCCACTTCTGGACAGGTCTCATGGCCTGAGTCGGACGATGTATTCACAAACGAGAACAGACACCCACAGACTACGGAAGCCAACAACAAGGAAGCGGTGCTTGGTCGCCGCTTGTATGCGAAGGCAGTGGAACCTACGCTTGCCGAGCTGCACGCTCAGACGTCGTCTCTTGCCAGGCGAGAGGCTCTCGCCAACTTCTCTGACGCCTTTGCAGGCCTGAATGCGGTGGACCCGGAGGGTGCGTATCACATGATGCAAGGTCTCATGGCTTCCATCTCGCAAGATTCAAAGCTCGCGAACGCCTTCCTCCCAAGGCCCAGCTCGATGAAGAGCATAGACAGCGATACGCCCCAAGGAACGGTGATAATTAAGAGCACACCTAACCACAGCCCGACGAAACTGGTTCTCGCGTCGAACAACCCTCATCTGAAGAGCCATCGACGACGCCAGGATAGCGTGGTGTTTGATGCGAACGGTAGTCCTGAAAAGGCTATCGACCGGGAGAAGGCAGCGCTAATGGCCAAATACCCCGGCCGCGAACCACAGCCTGGTATGGAGCACTCCAGGCAGCTCTCTGATGTCCTCTACGGACGCTGGGTGGACGGATTGCGGCTTCGCTGGCCGAACATGTAATCAAGCTTCGACACGCAAGGAGCACACAACTAAAATCAGGGGCTGCTATGGGCTGATGAGCGGAGTACACTACAGTCATTGAACATACAGGCACCCCGTTCAGAAACCGATGTTAAATAAGGAATGGTGGAGTTGGGGAGGACTGCTAGGAGGACGACCGGAAGGAAATCGATTGGTAATTGTGGAAGGGCACGCCTGGAGAGTAGGCGTACCGTGGCTGCAGGCATTGCATGCATCCCTTCGGGTGTTTGGAGCATTTGGATCGGGAGTTATGATGAGCCATGACCTCTCCGGCATTTTTTGTTGATTCCATGTCATAATGGTCGCTCCCGCATGTTCTTGGTGTTTTGTTTTAGTGTAAGATTCTTGTACAAATCTGGTGAGGCCTACAGGAGGGGGAAACGGACTTTCTAAATAGATAGTAGACAAACGGTACAACAATATACCAAGGCATAACTGTCTTCAACTTGAGCAAGTCAAATGAGACATCAGGCTTCTTTCTGTCTCTCGATGTATGCGATACTCAACATGTCAAGTTTGCTTATGGGGTATAAACATATTGTAATCCGGTCTTCTCCGCCTGCTTCCACTGCTAAGCTTTAGATATACTAAACCCAGTATAGGCAAGGACTTTAATTGCTAAAATGTAATTCCTAATTCCTAGGCGTCTTCCAAATGAGGTTTCATGGACAATATGGTCAAGCGGCTTGTGTGACCACTTAAACACGTTATATTCAAGCGTGACCGGACGTCGATGTGTCTATAGGATGCTGAAGCTGTGGGTGCCATTCATTACTGGTACATTGGAACTTGAGGCACCAATAACCGCTTGTACCGTTTTCATTGAAAGATGGACCTGGAGTAGGCAAGTAGGTAACACTAAATTATTCCTCGAGGCAAGGCCGAAAAGTCAGTCCTGTTACGCAGGAAGCCCCTGAGTCGGGAACGTGCTCCACGGTGCGGCTCGCTATGCTGCCCCCGAAGGTCGGCGTAACCTACCAGCCGGCACTGCTAACGAACTGAACACCGTCTCCACAGCGCCGCCATTGGTCACGCTTCACTTAGATGCAGGAACAGGAAACGCCACGAGAGACGACTCAAGTGTTACTGGCGATCCCGGTCCACCCGCGCCTTGGTCTAACTCCCCCGTAAGCATTGAATACAACAAAAAAGCTGGATCTCGCGATCCACTGTCGACAATCGTCCCCCCTGGCTTGCCTGGTCGCAGAGAGATTTCCGAGTGACGTGACGAGACATTGGGATCCGCAATCTGAATTGGCCCGAATCGTACGCAGTGCTCCATACCAGTCGCCGAATTTAGCTCCTGTTGCTTCGCGGTGGTTTTTTTCCACATGGATTTCTTGTAAAAAAGGGACCGGCTTCTATACCTGATCCTCCTCTTACCACCGCGCGCGCGTCCCCCGTCACAGTCCACCAGGGAATCCTCTCAAATCCCTCCCATTTGGAGGCCGACTGCTGCCGACGCCACCGACTTCCCCCGTCGACGACCGCCCGTGACGCGCCGCCGCGAACGATGCCGTTCCTACAGACGCTGGCCGGCTACGCCGCGCCAATCTTCCTCATCTCGTCGCCGATCATCTCGTACGCCGACCAGGCCATGGCGATGCACCGCAAGAGGTCGAGCGCCGGCTTCTCGCTCGACATCCCTCTGATCATGCTCGTGGCCTGCATGTTCAGGTAAGACGCGGCACCAATTCTGTCTCCTGGCCCCCCTCCGGACCTCCTGAAATACTGACTCCCTTTCCCTCCAGGATCTTCTACTGGTTCGGCGCGAAATACGACATTGCCCTGCTCATCCAGGCCTTTACAAACATCTTCATGCAGGTTATCTTGCTCAAGATTGCCCTTGACCACCGCCCGTCCCATTCCTCGCGCGGCGGCGACGCTGCCCTTCCCTTCGCTGGCTCCCAGGACGGATTCATGGGGATACAAAGACCTTACAACTTCTGGCAGTGGCGGTCTCCCAAGCCGTATGTGTTCACTGGTGTGTTATCAATACGAGCGAGCGTGGCTAACGCACTACTAGATACTGGCAATTCCTGCTATACCTATTCATCACCTTGACCGTCCTCGAGCTGATCATCGCCCCCTTCGATTCGTTATATCCTACATACTGGGGGCTTCTCGGAATCATCGGCCTGGGAGTCGAGGCAACCTTGCCCATCCCTCAGTTGCTGGCCAATGCGAGGTCGCAGTCGTGCCGCGGGTTCCGCCTCTCCCTGTTGGTCAGCTGGATCCTCGGAGACACACTGAAGATGTACTGGTTCTTCACGTCCACCACCGAGATCCCTCTGGCCTTCAAGGTGTGTGGTATGTTCCAGGCCGGGTGCGACCTGATGCTCGGCGTCCAATACCTCATGTATGGCGAGAATGAGCCCGCCAGCAGGCCCCAGCAGTGGCCTTATGCTGGCATGAAGCCGCACCTTCCTCGCATGTCCAGTGGGAGGTCAACGCCCACTGGGAGGAGGACTCCTCTGGGGGAGAAGACATATTAGATATAGACAATAAATAACTTGGCATTTTTCGCTTGGACATGCTTCTGCATTCAGACCCACCGTGAGACTGTACGAGTTTGGAAGTCGCATCAAGTGCGACAACCAATCAACCCTTCTAATTGATATCATAACATGCAAGGAAGGAATGGAATTACTATGGTCAATTGCTGGTGAGGCTCTCAAGATACAGAAAGCCTTTCATGCCATGTCCGTTCGCTGGGGCGAAGTGGACTCATGGCTCCCCTTGACCTGTGAGCGAGCTGTGAAGTTATGTTGCGACAGTACAAAGCTTGCATCTTGGCTTCAACATTTTACGCCACATTGCGACTTGAATTTTAGTAAGAAGAACCTCAGATAATTCCAAGCAATCAAATTGACCACTGGCTGTATTGGTGCCGATTTCAGTTTACGGTGTGATTGACGGGACTCAAACCGGCAGTCAACTCGAAGTACCCATCTAACAAGCTCGCACCCAGCTGCACGGCTCTTCACGAGCGCGAAAAAGCAATTTGGGCACCCCTAGTCTGCTTAACCCCCAGCCACGTCCTCTGAAATCTTTCAGGAATACTGCTCTGGCCTTCTTTGTCAGGCTTCTTCATTCATCTTATCTCCACAAGCTCGCCATAGTCTCTAATTTTGCCAGTGAAAGTTCTACCTTGCTCTACCATCTAGGTCTAGATTCAGCGGCCGAGTTCCAAGACTCACGCAGGTAAGTCGTGGCCCTTTCTCAACGTGCATGTCTGGCCAATTAGCTGTCTCAACCCCGTTTCCTTAGTGCAGCTATACATAGGAGGTCTGGCTGGCTTGTCTATATAGTGCCACTAGTCATGGCAAGTCTGGGACAACGTCAACTCCGGTGCCCCAACCCCACCGTCAGACATCCCATGCCCCTTGGCCCAGTCTTCCTGCTTGTCTACCAGTCGCATGCAGGAGAGTCGAATACTGACATGTTAGTAGTTTAGTCTATACTTAACCTTTTCCCCATTATCGACCCTTCACCAGTCCATGACTGCTTTACATCCATAGTTATCTCATAAGCTCTCAGCACTCTCTGAAGACGCAGAAGTCTTGCATCTTGGGCCGGCCGTATCACAGGTTAACTCTGTCTTTTCTACATTCCTGTAAGTCGATATGTGCATAGCCTCGTTTCCCCCCTTTTCTCTCTCCCTTCACAGAGGTTACCTCTTTTGATCGGTGCTTGCCAGCCATGTTATGTTGTCCATGACATCTAAACGCAAGTGCTGTTCACTGTTTCCTGCATATTTGCTCGATGCCCATGTATATATAACAACGCCTCGAACTCGGCAAGAAGACAATTCCTCCCCATTTCAAGCGTTCTTTCGTCCACACAATCATCTTGCCACCCCTCGCTCCAGCAGTAATGAAGATCTGGTTGGGGCATCGAGGCACGACTACCTGCAGTCATATCTCTGCACCTGCAAAGATATGTCAGAGTCTTAGGACAACTGGCGCGCGTCTCCCGATCTTTGTTTATGCCTCGGTCGAATATCCCATTTCCATCATTCGCGGGTCGTTCATGACCTCTTTCCATTGTTCTTTTTTCTATCACACACCTGCCAACGGCAGCTACTCCTTTTCGTCGAATCCGATTTCACAATTATCCCCAGTCAGTTGTGACAAGATTCACTGTCTTCCTTTTCTCCTGTTTCGTCAAACTTCTACAGAAACAGACTTTGTTCTCTCTTCAGCGAGCTGTTGTGTCTGGCTTCGTTCTCTCGACTAACGGCAGTCCGACCTAGCCCAGGTCTCTTGTCTCGTCTCGACATTTTGAGCGTACCGATATTTCCTTGCCGGGCCTTGCCTCTTTCGTCACGTCGAAGCCACCTCGACAGTCCTGGTCCTACTCTTATCTTGACGATATTGATGTTTTGATCCTTCATTCAGTCTTGTGGCAGCTGGAGCTACTTCCCTCTATATAGCTGGGGATCATATATAGTCGCCCAGCTGCGATACTGGAGTGCTGACTTACCCCTCGCCGAGAAACCCCGGTCGCAGTGATTGTTCTTGTTCGTTCGTTACCCGCACAAGCAACAGCTGTTTGGATAACTGACCCCCGTCGACACAGCAACATATTTTCACTACATCGCAACAATCATTCACACCCACATCGTCAATCTGAACTGTTCGCCTCATCTACTCAACCCGTCTCATCCCTTTCACCTTATGCAACACCACCTCATCACACCTCACCACAAGCACCACTCTCATCTCTAATACCACCAACGCAACATGGTGCCTCCGACCAACTTCCGCACTTACGAGGCGCAGGCCCGCCTGCTCGCCGCCGTCGTTGCCTCCACAGGATGCAGGCTGGATTTCAAGGGTAAGATATTGTTGATTTTACTATATCTAATTTCTCTTGTTCCCTTTGTCATTTTCTTGCCTTGAAACCCTTGGTCAAAATGCTTTTCGCGAGCTCTCCCTGGGCGCACCGACTCGCGGGCTGATTCTTGAGCAACCTCAGCTATTGCGGATCACATCGGCAGCCAGGCGACACCTTCCTCTGTCGACCACCGGCTTCGTCCCATCAAGCAGCTGGCCAAGCTTCAGGCGCAGTGGCTCAAAGGCGGCAAGGATCCATCGGATCTGCCTACAGATGCCAAGGGTAATAACACCGTGCTCCTTTGTTCACCAAACTGTATTATGGCCTCTAGTGAGGATCCCTCAGTTATCATGTTGTCTTCACTTTCTGTCTAGTTGTGGTTATTGCCTTATGGGATTTTTAACCCTATTCTAACCTGAACACCTACAGAGATCCAGAAGCTCTTTGGCGAGTCGACCCCGGGCAGCTTGGATTTCCACTTCCGCGAGGTCAAAGCCACGGGAAAGGCTCAGCAGGAGGCAGTGAAGAAGGGCTTGGACCCTTCCAAGGTCACGATTGGGACCGCCCATCGCTACGATCGAGAAGCGAAGGCCCAGAAGCGACGCGGCTCCGCTCCGACGACTCCTGCTGCCCGTAGGATCAAGGACGTCGGCTCTGCCAAGAGGGCCCCCGCCACAACGGGCGGCCGAGCCAGCAAGAAGGCGCGCTTGGTAGAGTTGGATGATGACGACGAGGACTCCCCGGATGTCGACTACGACCACATGGACGTCACCACCCCGTCGGCCAGGCCTAAGCCCCGAGAGACTCCCAACGCAGCGTATCAGGTTAACAACAGTGCGTCCAACTCCGAGGACGATGCTCCGGCCTCTCCTTCCCGCGCTCGCGGTCGTCATTACACCCCCCAAAGCTTCACCAATGGCGGCCATACAAATGACTACTCGGTGGCCGATGCCCCCGACCCGGCGACCTTCGGTATGGGCGCTGATGGCATGGGCGCGTACTCGACCAACACCAGCTTTAGCAACTCTGCAAAGGCAGCTCCCGCTGCTCGACCGGGCAGCAACATGAATCCCAACACTGCCGCCGCCGACCATGACGATGATGACGACGATCTTATGGAGATCAACGCCTCCCAGTTTTCGGCGAGCAGCAGCATGCGTGTCAACCCCGCTCAACCTCGATCGGTGGCCATTAAGAAGGATCCGTTCGAGAGTACGTCGACAGAGGGCTATTTCGACCTCACGTACCAGAACGAGAATGCCGACCTCTCAGAAGGCGAGGTCTGAGTCTGAGCAGTGGCTCACCTCCTGCGGCTTGGCATGATTTGGCAAGCCTCATAGAGTACATGCGATTCTCTGCGTTTGTTGCGTTCAGACCTCGCTCTCAGTTGAAGCCTTTCCACCCGACTGCCTGTCAGCAGGCATTCTGTCGAACCTTTAGCTCTTAATGATGTTCAGTGTCTGCAAAAACATACTGAACAACGGTACCTCTTTCCTTCGTGTTGCCCATTCGTCTTCTGCATTCCCAACACATTGCGGCTTCTTTGCCTCGATCAAGACTGGCATGCAGCCCCTAACCTTGAGGATCCTATAATAATTTCGATTGCAAACGACGCCAGCCGGCTTGTCGTTTCTGCCATGTGTCGAACACAAGAAGGAAGTCCGAGCAAGTCAGTCTTTTTGCAGTCAATTTCCAGCTTGCGTCATCCTACTACGAGTGGACCTGGTTGGTACAGTCAGTGGCTTGGACAGCAGTGTCCAGTCATTGGTGGAATTGGCTCTTGATGGACTCTGCGTGTCTTTATGGATTATTCTTCTTTCGCAATTTCTGGTTTGGCATCTCCTGTGGCCACGCTTTGTCAGTTCACACGTCATGTTTGCGCAATACTCCCCTTCCGCGATCCGATTTCCTCTTTCACGCGCACCAAAAGTATACCCGGATTCCTTTTTCTTGCTCTTTGAGAAAGAAGCATGTATGGCAGAGACGCGTCTCATTTGTGCGGTCAGTCAGTCAGTCAGTCAGTCAGCCAATGGTCTCTGCAGCCGGACCATGCAATCTGGCGTTCGGTATTGCAGTCTGTAGATAGCTATGTAGCAGCAATGGATCGAGAATATTGCTCCATTACAGATTTGCCTTTGATCCCTCTTCTATGCAAACTCGTGTGGCATGCACCTAGAATGAGACATGCGGTAAATAATGCTGGTGTTGGTCCAATGACCCCCCGGGATGTGGTGCCACCAAGCACTCCCTTGCCGCACTCACTTGCGCAGTTGACCGCATTTCCAGCCGGTTCGACATAGTTGATAGGTAGTTGAACCTCGCCCACGCCTTTGTACCACTTCGCTTGAGTGCTGCTCTGGATGGAGGACCACGTTTCACTGTAAAATATCATCGAGCGTGCGGTAAATGTATTCGTCAATCTCTTTGCTGTTAGGCTAGCAGGCCCAATCAACTTTGCTATGGGCCGCTGCTGTCTCATCTACTATATCTTTCACATCAGAACCACACAGTGAGTGTGTCGGCTGAGCCAGATTATTGCCCTTGATCTGGTAGCATACACCTATTTCCCTCGTAATCACATCTAAGTCGTTTCGATACAGCCACAAAGAACATCCTGTTGGTAGCACCGCTCCGTCCTCGGTATCTCCTAACATCCCATCCAGCTGCCAAAGTCAATTAGACCTTCGTTGTCTTGGGCACTGGCGGCCTCGGTCTCGCTCAGGATATCTTCGAGCTCCTTGACCTTCTTGATCCGCCAGAACTTCTGCACGCCCTGGACAAAGCGCTCGGAGCACTTGTCGATGTTCTCCTCGCTCTCGGCGGCGAAGCATAGTCGGAAGTAGGCCCAGCCGCGCTCCTCGCGGATCTTGGGCGTGGCGCTGAACATCATGCCGGGGCTCACCAGCACCAGATAGGGCTTGGTGGTCAGGAAGACCATGAGGGCCGTCGACAGGGCGGTGCCGTTGATGACGTTGCCCTTGGAGCCGGTCGCCTGCCACAGCGGGTGCTTCTCGAAGCGCATGCGCAGCCACAGGAACATCCCGCCGCGCGGCCAGTCGAACTCGTACAGCTTGGTCTTGGAGATGACGCCCCAGTCCGAGTCGGCGTCGCGGACGGGCGTCGACTGCTTGAGCTGGTACGCGCCCTCCTCGAGGATGGAGCACATGCGGTTCATGCGGCGCTCGTACATGCCGCGCAGGCCGGCCAGCCAGCGCACCCAGCCGTCCATCTGCCAGCCCGAGAAGGTGACCTTGTCCCGGGCGGACCGCGAGGCGAAGCGCGCGATAGCCTCGGGTTGGGAGCCAATGAGCGACTCGGCCAGCACGGACTGCACGAAACCCGAAGGTTGTTGGGTCGAGGCCTCGCTGATGCGGAGCACACGCTCGATGATCTCCGGGGCGGCGGTGATCCAACCCACGCGGCATCCAGGGGCGACAGTCTTGGAAAAGGTATCGAGGCGAACAACGCGGCCGTCGGTGTCGACGTTCAGGAACGATGGAGCGAGAGAGTCCAGGAACGGATAGCCCGACTTCTTCTGCAACGTGTTGGCGGCCTTTGGTTCCGGAATCGGTAGACCACGAGCCTTCGCCTCCTCGCGCTCTGCTGAAGGGTACTGGAGGTACCAATAGGGATCATCCTCGATGATGATCACATCATACTTGCTACAGACCGCATAAATCTCCTTGCGCCGCTCCAGGGAGAGGACACCACTAGTAGGGTTGTGGCCCATCCTGTCGCAAAAGTCAGTAAGTTGGGTCTCGAATATTCATCCGAGAAGGAGCAAGGTGAACAAGAGGTGAGACGTACGTCACAGTATACATCATGTGTGGCCGCTTTCCCTTGCTGTAGTCCCAGTTCCCAAGCACGTCCTCCAAGCCCCCAGGGCCCTCAACAGCCATACCGCCCTCGTCCATCTCAACACCGACGATTTGGATACCTCTGGGTGAGGCCTGACTCAGGACGTTTCCGTACATGAAGACCTCGCTCAGCAGGCCAGGCCTTTCGGAAACATCATTCTTCCCGGGCACCCAGTGGTTGCTGAACAGCTCCAACGTCTTCGCCATGCCATCTGTGGAGCCATCGGTGAAGATGACTTCCGGGCCGCCTTGGTAGGGCACATTGGGGTGCAGACAGTCGCGCGCAAACTGGCGGATGAACGACAGGAGAGGCGGATAGCCATTTGCCTGCCCATACTGGAGCGCCGAGGCCAGATCGATCTTCTTCAACGGATCCGATGCACTAGCAAACTGCGGGACTGTGATGTGTGAAGCTATGGAGGGGTCCGCCTTGGACTTTGCGCCGGAGATGGAGGAGGAAGCCAGCTGGGTCGACAGCGATTCGGCGCTCGGGTGGTTCGGCGAGGGCGTCCATCTGTCGGGCCTGGCCGTCTGCGCCTCGAGGGTGTCAAAGGGAAAGAAGCGGGCATTCGGAAGACCTGTAGGTGAGAAAGTCAGCTCCAAGAGCTCGAGATCAGGGGTGACGGCGCATATACATACCTCCAGCGAGTTGACCGATGCCAGGAATCAGGAAGTACTTGTAGTACTCCTTCATCTTACTGGGCACGCGAGCCTTGGTGACATCGGAGTAGTGGTGGCTCATATCCTTGGGCAAGGGCTTCGCCGCATCGGCCCTCCGGATGGGCGCCCCGAGTTGATCCTCCATCGCGTAAGGTTTGATGAAAGACATTTGAGAGGTGCTAGATACCCGGCTGGTCCAGCATGCGATGTGGGTTTGGGGGTGTCAGAAGATAGAGATGCGAGGCGACAAAGACGGGCGCAATAGACAATTGCTAGATCTGGGATGGGGCCTCTCTATTCGGAATTCACTCCCGGGGGTATCAATGGCATGTATCATGGATCTTGTTCCATCCAATGTCGCCTTCCTACGGCTTACAAATGGGAAGCGCTATCGTTAACGGCCTGCTCCTCTGAGACAGGGAACGGGCTGATAAGGCGATGCAGCTACGTCTTAGCTCTGAGAGGGATGGCAGCCATTCCCTCCTATTGGCCGCCCTTTCGTCTAGTATATTACTGTGTATTGCCCGAACGGGCGTCTGGGGTGAGAGCACGCACCCAACGTATGTACCTATGTTGCATACGTAGGCACCAACTGCCAAGCTGCGATACAAACTCAACGGTCTACCGCGCTCTTATGCCAGTCGCGATGTACGGAGCACCATCATAAGAAGCCTGACCTGACCGTATTTCCCCTAAGCACGTTACTGCTTTGACACTGATTCAGCATGGGTCGCAATAGCAGTCGCTTGAGACCTGAGAGTATCAGCAAGCAAGATGTCACAGGTGGACGGCCACGAGGAATGACGAGATTCTGCCGCTTGACTAGTCTATCCACACGCAACCTCCTGTGGCTCCAAATTCGCTGGCAGAATCTTGAGTGACGACAGCTCATGGACACTGGACGATTGGGGCTCTCGATCCGACGAAATCGGCGCCCTTGTACTACCCTGTGGAAGTCAAATATATCCCACCGGCATCAGGTACATAATGTGGGAATCCACCGCCTTGGGATCAAAAGCCGTGGCGGCCGCAGGGCAGCTAGAGAATGGAGGGGTAGAGGGCGGCAAAGGAGCACCAAATGTCTGCCGGTAGCGGGGCAGTCCCTGGCCACCAGCCCACTGGCACGCTGGGACACGCCGCCCAGCGCAGTGGAAATCTCAACCGAGCTAATGACCACGAAGACCCGTGGCACAATGACGGCAGCTTGACCACCTAGGCATCGTCCCTGGGAGAACGCCAGTCTGTGATCATCAAGTGAGCGACCTGGAACGGCCTCATCCCACATATTCCCGTCTCCCGGCACGGCATCTTTGGAGATAGCTGCTTGATAGGCTGCTTCCGGTCTCGGCCCTGGCTCGTGATCTCCGTCCCTTATCGAGCGTAGATCTGGGACAACACCCCGACCAGACGACCCAGAAGATCGCGCATCTCCCCGCGTCCCCAAGCAACTGTGTCCTTGAGCTTTACAGCCCAGCGCCGACAGCCAAGATGGAGAAGATCACGGACAAGATCGCCGCCTTGCCGGCCGACGCGAACTACTTCTCGCTCGAGTTCTTCCCGCCCAAAACGGCTATGGGCTTCTCGAACCTGCGCGACCGCCTGGACAGAATGGCGAGGGCCCTGCGCCCGTTGTTTGTCAACGTGACCTGGGGCGCCGGCGGCTCTACCGCTACCAAGTCTCTCGAGCTCGCCGAAATCTGCCAGCGGGAACTGAACCTGACGACCTGTCTGCACCTGACATGCACCAACATGAGCCGCAAGATGATCGATGGCGCACTGGAGGACGCGAAGGCCCTGGGCATACGGAACATACTCGCGCTGCGCGGTGACCCTCCGCGAGCGCGAGAGTATCAAGACCCCAACGAAGACCCCGAAAATGCTATCGACGAGGGCTTCGTGTGGGCCATCGACCTGGTCCAGTATATCAGGAAGAACCACGGAGACTACTTCTGCATTGGAGTGGCTGCATACCCCGAGGGCCACTCGGACGAAAGCCACCCCTTGGGCCAGAGCTTGGAGCATGATCTGCCTTATCTGGTCGAGAAGACGCAGGCAGGCGCCGACTTCATCATGACCCAGCTCTTCTTCGACACGGGCGCCTACGACAACTTTGAACGCGTGCTTCGGGAGCACCCCAGCGGTGCCTTCAAGACGATTCCCATAATACCTGGCTTGATGCCGATCCAGAGCTACCAGATGATCAAGCGGACGACCAAGCTCAGCCACGCCAAGATACCCGACTCCCTGATGTCGCGGCTGGATGCCGTCAAGAAGGATGACGAGAAGGTCAAGAGTGTCGGTGTTGACATTCTGAGCGAGATAGTCGAGCAGGTCAAGGAGGTCAAGAGCAGGACGCCTGGCCCCAAGGGTTTCCATTTCTACACCTTGAACCTGGAGAAGGCCGTTTCGTTCATCGTCGAGAGGACCGAGCTCATCCCGCCCGGCACCCCTGACATAGAGGAAGAGGCTGTCATCGACGATATCACGTCCACCATCCCAGCCGTTCAGATCAACGGCTCCAACGGGTCGCCCTACGATACCCCCTTGGCTTCGCTTAGGAACAGCTCGAGGAGGCATTCGTCTATCGCCTCGGACCCCCGAAACCGCGTCATCATCACCGGCCGAACCCCTTCCCACCCCGAATATGAGTCGAGTGCGGCGGAGGCGAGCGTACCCGCGGAGCCGATAAATACGAGAGCCAACACATTGGCCATTTCTGAAGGAGAGGGTGTTTTGGGCCGGGAGGCCACCTGGGATGACTTCCCCAATGGCAGATGGGGTGATGCGAGATCTCCCGCCTATGGTGAAATCGACGGATACGGCCCGACCTTGCACGTGTCCAACGCGCAGGCGCTGAGCCTCTGGGGACACCCGCAGAAGCTAGACGACGTCAGCCAGCTGTTTGTCAGGCACCTCAAGGGCGAACTGTCGGCGATTCCCTGGAGCGAGGAGGAGTTCAACGCAGAGACCGACACCATTACGCCTCAGCTCGTGAAGCTGAACTCCAAGGGCTGGTGGACCGTCGCCTCCCAACCCGCCGTGAACGGCCTGCCGTCGTCGGATCCCACGTTCGGCTGGGGCCCGCAGCAGGGCTTCGTCTTCCAGAAGGCGTTTGTCGAGTTCTTCGTGCCGTCGGCCGAGTGGAAGGTGCTGCTGGAGAAGCTGCAGAGCGCCGACGTCCAGGACACGGTGTGCTTCTACGCGGCCAACGCGGCGGGCGACTTTGTGTCGTCGGACATGACGGGCGGCCTGGCCGGCGAGGCCAAGGAGGCCAGCACCAACGCCGTCACCTGGGGCGTCTTCCCCGGCAAGGAGATCATCACCCCCACCATCATCGAGGAGATGAGCTTCCGCGCCTGGAGCGACGAGGCCTTCGGCATCTACGCCGAGTGGGCCAAGGTCTACGACAAGGGCACCGACAGCGCCCGCCTCCTCGAGCGCGCCCGCGACGACGCCTGGCTCGTCAACATCATACACCACGACTACGTCGACCCCAACGCCCTGTGGGATCTGCTGCTGAAGTAGGAAAAGGTCTTCCCACACGGCGCAGGAAGATCGCGCATAGTTGTGGGGAAAAGAATAAATAAAGAAAGAAGCATTACACAACCAACCAAGTGATTCCCATATGCTGTGACACTTGACCTGGTGAATCGAGCGTAAATGGAGAGCGGCAACAGCTGCAGTGTGCTCCATGCACTTTCGCACAATGGTCCGCAAAAGACCGAGGTAGTGAAGCCTCGTTGACGAACCGTACAGTTGATCACCTCCTAGTCTTGGGAATATTTTGTAGGAGCTCTTAGCATTTCGTAAAAAAAGGGACAAGCTCATCTTGCATTGTGGAAGTGTACGATCTCTTCGCATTCCTATAGTAACAACAAAAAGAAGGCCGCCAGCAGGGCCATTGAACCCGCTGGAGGAACTCGGAAAAAACACCATGGGGGCCTCCCTACACAGACCGGGCCCCCGATCTAAGAACGCCAGCCTTGCTCTGCGACCGAGGTCATGCACCAAACCAACGACGACGAGTAACAAAAAGATTCTCTCTTTACTTTTTCTCCAAATAACCCCGATCCTGGACTCCTACGCCGCTGCTGCGTCGCCGTCCTTCTTCTCGGGCTCGTCGGCCTTCTGCTGCGGCTTGTCGCTGCCCGCGGCGGCGGCCTCGGCGGCCTTGGCGTCGGGCTCGTCCTTCTCGGGCACGGCGGGCGGGGGGGCGTCTACCTTCTTGGCGTTGATGATGTTCAGAAGATAGTCGCCCGTGTCGCCGAACCCTTCTATCTTCGCGAGGCGGGTGTTGAGGTAGCCGACATCAGATTTCATACTGTTCGTAGGTTTGGTCAGTGCTCTGGATATGGAATGAGGAGTTTCACAGAAGACAAATTAGGAGTTCACTTACCGTTTGATCCCGGCCTCCCCGTTGACGTCCAACGCCTGGAGCGTCTCGCCCAGTTGGCGCTTGTAGCTGTCGAAGACCGGGGTCATGATGAGCCGGACCGTACCCTCGGGCAGGAGCTTGGTCAACACGCGGTGCAGGGTGACGGTCTCCTTGGCCAGCGTCTCCATGTAGACATGGACACCAGCCGCCCCGTCCTGCTCTAGGGGCTTGTCCCAATCCAGGCCCTTCATGTTCTTGGTGTGCGAAGACGCCCTGGCGCCCATGATCTCGACCAGCTTGTCGTAGATGTTGTTCTGGTGTTCCTGGTAGAGCCTCTTGACCTTATCAAACTCGCCCATGAGGGAGGATACCGAGGCATTGTTGACATTGGGCCCTGTGGCCGCATGTCTCCGGACAAATTCGCGCACATGGGGGATCAGGGTAGAGATGAACGCTAGAGCCTGGGCTGCCAGGGCAAGGTTCTTGGTGGTGATGTTCTTCAAGCCGGCCGAGCGCGTAGCTCCGGCGCCGAGAATGAGCTGCGTGCATCTGCTATTGAACAGCTGCAGGTACGAGATGAGAGACGAGGAGATGTCTGCGGCCATCGAGGGGATGCCGGCGATGAGATGCACGAAGTGAGACATGCCCTCCAGGCAGAGGATTGCCGAGTTGGGCAAGATGAAAGACTCGCCCTCAATAACAGCGCTTCTGGTCTTCTCTTTGGCGGCCGTACCATTTGACTCAGATCGTGGACGCCCGTTGGTAGTCGCGTCTTGCTCCGTGTAAGGAGTCCAGATCTCCTTGCCTTCTGACCAGGCCGACGCATCTTTCGTGCTTGATTCCAAAATGCGCTCCAGCAGTGCGCCGTCCTTTTCGGCGAAATCCTTGGCTGTCCATTGATCTGACTCCATACCTTGTGCCAGCTTCTGTTTCTCTTCGTCGCCATGATACTGTATAAAGTCTTTGATGTGATTATTGACAATCGTCTTCAACGATGTCCCGCTGCGGCCGGATATCGACTCGCACTCATTAGAGAATAGGAGGTTCAGCGTAAAATATCTCAAGAACCATATCAGTGGTAGATGTGAGCTCTGCTCTGACCTCACACGCAATACTTTGACGATCTTGTCATGGGATATGTCGACTGCCTGTCCCAGAAGATTCGCCATGTCCATTGTCAGATGGATGTCCTCTTGCAGGTCGCGATTAGCACTATTCAGCGGGGGCGACTTGATCGGTGGCGGTGAACGCAATCCTGAGCTCGGGTCTGGCGTCTCGCCCATAGAGCTGGCAACGTCAAAGAGGACCTTCACCTGCGTGGTCAACCTCCGCAACGTCTCAGCTACGCTAATATAGATCTTCTGGTACAGATCTTCGGCATCCTGCGGATCAAGTGCTCTAAGATTCCTTGCGAGAATGGATGATTTCTCCTGCTGCGAGAGTCTGCTCACACTGGCTGTCGACGTCGACCCGATCGTCATGTTGTCATCATCATTTGAGCTCGGCAGTGGTCGCCGGATGAGGCTCCGTATCTCCCGCAAGACAACCTCACGGTAAGAAGCTATGGCGATGGTGACGTGTTTGGATCCGTGGAGACCAGTCACAACGGGCATCAACTCGGAGCGGAGGTTCTCAGTTGATGTCAGATAAGCCGGGAAGGTTGAGGAATCCCTGACATTCCCTCCACGAGACCGCATAGCCGATGAGCTCCACCTAAGCAACACTTCTTGGCTTGACACGGTGTCGACATGGCGTCGCAAGTCCCCAAGCAGGATGTCGAGGAACTTGGACTCGAAGGCTTTGCCAATACGGAACCGCAGGGTCGATACGTCACTAGTGACACCTTGTAAAGCACTTGTGCCTCTCAAATCGAACAGCGGCTGTGCAGAGTCCTTAGACCCTGGGATCGACGGCCGACTGCGCCCAGCGACCAACTTCTCCAACGCGTCTATGCTGTGCAACGCCTTGTCGACCTCGCCCGAGTCGACCTGAGACTCGCACTCTGCGACGGCTTCCACAATCTCGCGGAGCTGCTGAACAGCACTGTTGAGTTGTTGCAAATTCTCTCTTCGCCGGCGCTTCTGGACAATATCCAAACCACTCGTGGCGATCTCCTGATCGAGGGCTCCTAGTTCTTTCCGAAGTGTCCTTATCCTGTCTACGGATTCGGCCGCTTCCGAATGGAGTTCCCTCAACGATCCGAGCGCAGAGAAGAAAGTAGTCGAGGCGGTCGATATCGAGTTGATGAGGTGCATCTCGACCGTGTCCATGTACCACGACAGCTTCTCCTGCAGGATGGCATTGGTGGCCAATGCCTTCCGTGGAGCTGTCGCGCTGCCGTTGGCACCATTTTCATCAGCCGAACCGGGAGCTTGCCGTACCACTTCGGACCGCTCACTGACAACATCGAAGGTCCGAGGGTTTTCGAGGTGGAAGTCCTCGTCGAAGTAGACGTTGGGTATCGTATTCAGGGGTGGTGGTCCCTGGGCGGCCCTCCGGCTGAACCCAGAGCTGGATCTCCTGCGTATTTGAGGCGACTCGACCGAGGAGATGGAGGCCAGCGAGGCGGTTGAACCTTTCCGCGAGCCCAAGGGGCGACCCCGAGAGGCTCCTGGGTTGAGATGGCTCTCGTCGACCAGGTCGGCGCCGAGGTCTTGTTTCCGGCGGAATATCTGATCTGCGGCATCTTCCTCGCTCTCCTTGACCCTGCGCAGCTGCTCGTACAGCGCGCCGACCTGTGTTAGATATGGTTTAAACTCGGAGGCATCGACATGGGGGATGTTGGTCAGCGTGACGGGAGGTATATCCCTTGCCGTGGGGGGCTTATGGGCACTCGAGGACGATGGAGCGGAGGTATGGGGCAGCAAGCCGGTGCGGACGATCGGGGGCTGGAGCAGCGTCGAGATAGCTTGAAGGCAAGGCCAGCATGAGTTAGTGTTCCCCCAGAGTAGGCGGAGAGGCAGTGGGCATGCGCGTACCGTTCTGGCCACTCTCGTTTACTTGACCCCAGCTCGAGGATGTATCCAGGTGGCCCCCTATAGAATGTATCGAGCTCGCATTGGAACCTCGTCTCGCGGCGGGATAGGATGTCACCGAGCCCTGCCTTGGATGGGTGTTAGCTGCGGCGGCCCGATGCTATCCCTGGAGCATGTACATGGATATACCTATGGAAGGGGAACTCATTGCGAGCGCTCGACGACAAGGGCGACAAGCTGTCTACCGACATGCGAGCGCCTTGGTTGGAATACATGGCTCAAGGGCGAGGCGAGCCCTTCCTGCCGCACAGCACACGGTGTTGTGTCAGGGTCGAGGTCAGGGTCGGGCGGTGTGTGAAGCCAAACGGCTGGTCGAAAAAGGCTCTCGAGGTGCTACCTGGAGATCATCGCTGGTCGGGATGCGACTGAGCGTCGGATGCGCCGCCGCCAATGGGTGTTGATACGACAAGCTGGCTACTTAGCTACTGCGGCTGGGGGGGGTTCCCGAGACAAAGACGAGCAGGGCGCACGGGCAGGTACGGGCGACGTATAAGTTATAGCAGATAGCAAGCACACGGCTGGGCAGAAGCGCCAGGTTGAGGTATGGCACAGATGGACTTGCTTGACTTTCTGGATCAATGGTGGTGGTGTTTTCTTTGGTTTGGGCCACCTGGTACATGAGCTCTGTCGTCGACCGGGGCCTGCGTCAGCCCGTCTACACTGGACGGTAATCTAGGTAGGGCCCTGGTGCTGCTCTGGAGGTGCCTATCTCATTGGCAGTTGGCAGTGTCAGCAGCTCGCCAGCAGCTAGTTAGCGCGGGCTTGGTTGGTTGGCTGGGGGTAGGCCGCCTGGCCGGTACGGAGGTGCTGGACGGGGCCTACGAGAGTCCACTGTTTGAATTGGACGGATGCCAGCCCCCTCTAGGCGGGCCACCCCCTGACGGGCCATGTGGGGACTAGGGGCCAGGGGGTTCCTACTGTACATAGTACAGAACGGTGTTGACGGGGGCCCGGTGCTCCGTAATCACGTGAGGTCAAAAAAAAAAAACCACTTAACGCGTGAGACTGGCCAGGACGCGTCCACGACGCGCCCTCGGTTTAATTGGAGTCGGTTTTGGTTTTGGAATGCCCCTCAACGCCTGGCGCCCTCCTGCATCCCTCCCCCGATCATACCAGACACCAACCAGCCAACCCGACGATACCGACGCTGGATTGACGAGCCCGCCACACATTGCTCGCGCAACCCATTCTCACGATGGATCGCCAATCTGCGTATTCCGTCTCCGTCTTCAGCTCGGCCACGGCCGGCGAGGACACCCGCCAGCAGGTCCAGGAGCAGCTGGTCAACTTCATCCTGACCTTCAGGCTGGACAACAAGTTTGTCTACAGGTGAGCTCCTCCTCCTCCTCCTGCTCCTCCACGCTGGACCCGTGCACTCCGGAGACACTCCAACCATGCCCGTTCGTCACGGCTAACGGCCTCGCAGAGACCAGCTCAAAGACAATGCTCTGCTCAAGAGATTCTACTGCGACGTCGACATCGGTGACCTGATCAAGTATAACGACGAGCTGGCTCATCGCATGGTCTCTGAACCCGCCGAGATCATTCCCCTTGTAAGGCGTCCTCCAGACACTATATATGTGTGCTACAAGGCCATCGCCTAACCTTCGGTATAGTTCGAAGCCGCCTTGAGAAAGTGCACACACCGTATCCTCTTCCCCCACGATCCCAAGGCCGTCATCCCCGAGCACCAACTCCTGCTCCACTCGACCGCCGAAGATGTTTCGATACGGAATCTCGACTCCATGACGATTGCCAGACTGGTCAGGGTCCCCGGCATCGTCATTGGCGCCTCTGTCATGTCATCGAAAGCCACCGAGCTCCACATCCAGTGCCGCAACTGTATGCACAACGCCGTAGTCCCCATCCTTGGTGGCTTCACTGGCGCCACTCTGCCTCGCCAATGTGGCCGCCAAAGGGCCGCTGGAGACCCGGCCGAGAAGTGTCCTCTGGACCCCTACTTTGTCGTCCACGAGAAGTCGGTATTCGTCGACCAGCAGGTCATCAAGCTTCAGGAGGCTCCCGACCAGGTGCCTGTGGGTGAGCTGCCGCGCCACGTGCTCATCTCTGCCGACCGCTACCTCACCAACAGAGTCGTCCCCGGCTCCAGGTGTACCGTCATGGGCATCTTCTCCATCTATCAGAGCAAGGGCTCCAAGAGCTCCGGCGGAGGTGCCGTCGCTATTCGTACCCCTTACCTCCGGGCTGTCGGTCTTCAGACCGATGTCGACTCGACCGCCAAGGGCTTGTCCATCTTCTCCGAAGAGGAAGAGCAAGAATTCTTGGAGCTGAGCCGGCGCCCTGACCTTTACAACGTCATGACCGACTCCATCGCTCCTTCCATCTACGGAAACCGAGACATCAAGAAGGCCATCCTATGTCTGCTCCTCGGCGGGTCCAAGAAGATCTTACCCGATGGCATGAAGCTGAGAGGAGACATCAACGTCCTTCTTCTCGGTGACCCCGGAACGGCCAAGTCTCAGCTCCTCAAGTTCGTCGAGAAGGCTGCTCCCATCTCCATCTACACATCCGGAAAGGGTTCGTCTGCCGCCGGTTTGACTGCGTCAGTGCAGCGAGACCACTCGACTCGCGAGTTCTATCTCGAAGGCGGTGCCATGGTTCTCGCCGACGGTGGAGTCGTCTGTATCGATGAGTTTGACAAGATGCGTGATGAGGATCGTGTCGCCATCCACGAAGCTATGGAGCAGCAGACCATTTCCATTGCCAAGGCCGGCATCACTACCATCCTCAACGCCCGTACATCCGTACTGGCCGCCGCCAACCCCATCTTTGGTCGGTACGACGATCTGAAGTCGCCTGGAGAGAACATCGATTTCCAGACCACCATCTTGTCACGTTTTGACATGATCTTTATCGTCAGGGACGAACACACGCGAGAGAAGGACGAGCGGATCGCAAAGCACGTCATGGGGATCCATATGGGTGGTCGCGGTCTGGAGGAACCCGTCGAGGGCGAGATTCCAGCCGACAAGATGAAGCGCTATCTCTCATACTGCAAGTCGTAAGTTACTCCCCGGCGGTCTCACCTTGGTAATACCGATAGAGCTAACAGAAGCGTTAGTCGATGCGCACCTCGCCTTTCTCCCGAGGCAGCAGAGAAGCTCTCGTCCCACTTCGTATCCATCCGGAAGCAGGTACATGCCTCCGAGCTTGAGGCAAACACACGGTCTAGCATCCCCATCACTGTCCGTCAGCTCGAGGCCATCGTCCGTATCACCGAATCTCTCGCCAAGCTCACGCTCTCGCCTGTTGCCACGGAACAACACGTTGACGAGGCCATCCGGCTCTTCCTATGCTCTACCATGGATGCTGTGAACCAGGGCAGCAACCAGGGCAGCCGCGAGTTGAACGAGGAGGTCAACCGCCTCGAGGCCGAGCTCAAGAGGCGCTTGCCAATCGGCTGGAGCACGAGTCTTGCGACCCTGAGGAGGGAGATGGTCGAAGGCAAGGGCTTCAGCGAGCAGGCTCTGAACAGGGCACTCATGATCCTGCAGAGGAGAGATACCATCATGTTCAGGAATCAAGGCGCGCAGGTCTACCGCAACGGTGCCTAATAGCTGGCAGCTTGGGTGTGCAAGTATGGTTGGCCTTTTTGATCACGACGTGACACGTAAAGCGGTGTTTGGAGTTTATGGTCCCCGGGGTACTTTTGGGTTTGCGGCATCATCATTGCGCATAAGAATTGGCAACGTATCAGATTCAGGGTCGGTTGTCTGTATGTATGTTGTGTGTGGTAATAATAGTGATACCGGTCTTCGATAGACGTTGATATCAACACTTGGGAGCACTCGGGCAAGACAGCTTGCTGCCATGGTCTCAAAAAACTTGCACGACTGCGCATTCCTGATACATTCATGGTCACACTCGAGAGGATAATATCGCAATAATTGGTCTCTCCACCGAACGCCGTTGCTAACATGCTAACGAGAACCCGAAACCTCGAGGAACATAGCCTAGTTTATTTGCACCCACGCTATTCGGGTGTCTCGTTTGTTGACGATGATGATGATGATGATGATGATAGTTTGGTTGGTTGGGTATGAATCTACGCCTTCTTCTTCTTCCCCTCGTCCTTGGCCTTGACGGCCGGCAGGCTGAAGGCCTTGGTGAGCCCGCCCTTCATGGCCTGCCACAGGCCGTAGTCGCGGCCCTGGTCCCAGGTCAGCAGGCCGACCCAGGGCTGGACGTTGTAGTGCAGGCGAAGGGCGACGTCGGCGCTCTTGGCGATGCGGCCCGTGGGGTGCGTGATCTGGTACTTGGGCCGCTGGTTCTTGAGGCTCAGCAGCCCGCGGCTCGGGTCCGTCGCCTTGCCCGCCGCGCTGCGCCGCAGCTTCTTGAGCGTCGCCGGCCCGATGTTGGCCAGGTGGTCCGACGACGGCGCCGTGATGATGCTGTCCCAGATGACGGCGCTGTTGGTCTGGTTCTGCGTCCCCGCCGACGGCCACTCGGCCGTCACGTACACGAACACCTGCTTCGTGTTCCACGTGAACAGCGACGACAGGTCCGCATCCATCGAGAACTTGATGATGGCGTACTCCTCCTTCTTGGTCGAGTAGTAGTGCGGGCGGCCCTTGACACTGTAGGTTGGGGAAAGAGAGAGAGCGTTAGCCAGTCTGCCTGATTTCTTGCTTTCCAGTGAATAGCAACTTCTGGGAGGGCCGCATGGAATTCGCAGAAGGGCTGCGTGGTAAGGGTTCTCGATGAGTAGGGGTTGGAGACACCTACACCTGCACGTTGGTCATCTTGATCTCGGAGCTCGGCGTCCGCGGGGCGGTGAAGTCGGAGGCAGCAATGATGGCGGCGACGGCGAAGGCGACGGTGGTGAAGAAGCCAAAGACATTCTGGATGCGCGTCAAGGAGTTGTACATGCTGGGCGGTGGTTGTGCAGCGCGTGTCGCTGCTGTCTCTAGTTCTGGCGAGCGCGGGTTTCTACTCGAGAGGGGATGGGCCGCGCCTGGTTTGACGGGATGTCTGTCTCAGTTGGACGGCACCACGCGCATCGGTGTCGGTCGGTCGAGTCTTCTTGTTGTCGAGAATTGGCGCCACGGGATACGTGTAAGTGCTGGGATTGTAGTGGTGAGGCCACCTTTGAGGTTTCGGGGATGGATTGGACGTCAGTCAGCCTTGCAGCTTAATTGGCCCCACCACAGCTTCCGCCGTAATTGTATCTGAACGGACTGATCATTGTTGACCTCGAGAGTCTCCTGTTTTCCTGTTAATTTATTACAATTATATTTTCAGTCATACCATAGAATTGAGATATTTTACAGGCAGATGCTTTTTACTGCTACTTCATCCTATTATTATTAGGCCTTGAGCACCCTCGAGCGACTACCAGCCTGGTTGAGGCTACCTAGGAGGCTGTGATAAAACTTGGGATAATTTCGCATTGAAGCACCATGTGGATGCGCAGCAGCTGTTTGTGATTTGAGCCGGTTCTCCCGGCACTGGTGGTATCTCAATTACATACAGAGGTCTATAGCTGTCGGTCATTACACACCCTCTGCCATCTGGTTCCCTACACGCCATCTAGGTAGGTTTTTATGCCCATGCGTTTCCCGAGCTTCTTCTGCCCTTCTCGTACAACCACTTGTTGTTCAGCCCTACGGTGCTCCTCTTCCCGTTTGCAGGACTGGGGCTGGGACTGTCGGGCGCTCCACCAAAGATAGAAGCCGACGTGCTCATGCCGAAGCTCTTGCCAAAGGGGCTCGGTGATCCTATCGAGCTTATCGACGACCTCCGCGCACCATTAAAGGCCTTCTGAATCAAGGGGCTGCCTGCTGGAGAGAACTGCGAAGCAGATGCTCCCAGGTTCAGGTTGGCGCCGTCTCCCGGGCTGCGATACGCCGATGGGCTGTCCAGGTTGGAGAAACTCCTCCTGCTCCCCGTGGACCCCGACATGGAAGGTGTGCGCGAGTATCGAGGAGGTGTGCTGTAGACCGATCCAGGGGTCGGGGGTGCAGACGAGGGCCCGAGACCTAGCAGCTTCCGTTGGCCGGGAGTCAGGGGGATGTCGGCCAGATCGTCCTTCGGCCGGACAAGCGGCAGACAGGCGACGGCGATATTAACGACCGGTACGCCTAGGATAAGCTTGTACGCCCAGCGCAGAGGTGACGAGGTGCAGCATGATTGTCTTGGGGGGGGCGTGTCAGTGTTCCGCGTAGAATCCGGGTTTGGGGCTAGGGACTTACGTGAATGGCAGGTACCTCTGCAGAACCGTAGTTGCGGCAATGATGCCCACGAACAGTGCAATGTTCCATGCAATCCTCCTGACGTTCTTCTCGCCGAAAGTGGTAGCATTCTGCCGTCTGGTGATCTCTGCGAGTCGCGGATGGCGCCAGTTGCCTGGACTCTCTTGGACTGTGGCGGTCGCATTCTTTGTCGGCGTGGATATCGTTCTCTGCAAGGTGGAAGACATCTTGGTCGATTGGCAGGAAGCTGTGCGCTGTCGAACAAGGGCAAGCGGTATTTGATATGGGCTCTTTGGTATATGGAGGGGGTGCTGGGCGCCGTTGATGCCTCGAACACTGCTCTTCGGTTGGTTGCTATGAAGGTGCTGAGGCAGGAGTCCAGGTCGCAGTCGGGGGAGTACCGGTGCGAGAAACTGGCTTGTACCGCAGTGTGTTCTAAGCTTCTTTTCGGGTTGCTGTATGGTTAGTAGCTGTCGTGGTTAGTAAAGCGGTGCTGCAACGCAGCCCTTGGTCGTGGCCTCAACACTCTCAAGGATGTTGTTTTCTTTCCTAGATGGAGATGGTCGCGAAAACAACCGCTCACGACGGGGGCTCGCGGTTACCTAAGCCACCTAAACTGTTAGGCGGTTTACAGGGGACAAGACCCCACGGCACGAGCCACAGCAGAGTAGTAGGGTGCCACAGTGCAGTCCAACACCAGGCCAACAGCGAGTCTGCAAGCTTGGGCCGCTTGCCAAGTGCCGACAGCAGCGGGCTAGTTGCCAGTCTTTAGCTAGGTGCACAGGGTGCAATAGGTACAGCACCCTGAGTACCTACCTAGGTACCTAGGTAAGTTATTCCATAGTACACAGTAGACCCCGGCCGCCTTGGAGCTTGGTCGAACATGATGGTAAGTTAGCTACTCTCGAGGTAAGCTCCGCCCCACCAGCACCCGCCTCTCCCGTGCTTCTCCAGCCCACGCTGCTTTTGAGAGTTTTGAGGAAGAATGTGTAGACTAATTGCGAGCGTTCTCGACAACTCTATAGATACAAGTGCTTCAGAAATATAATACAGTGGCATACATGAGACTACGTTCTCCTTTGCTCGAGTGAATTATCCATCACTTGTGCGCCTTCGTGCGACGACGCTCACGTGATTCGAAAATGGCCGAGCTCCAATGCTGGTTAAAAGCGGCGTTGATCCTTGGCCTGGTTTGTTGGACATGGTTACCTGACGATAAGCTCTCTTCCTCCGACATCCCCAAGCTCTTCGTCATCTTAGTATATGGCCGGCCTGCTTACACTCTAGGCGACCGATGATCGTGCTTTCAGCTTCTTTGCCTTATTCTCACATCGTTCCTTAATCGCGCGACCGGTGTGTGACCGAGCTGCGACTTTTCCCCCTCTCTCTCATCATGGGCGTCGGCAGCGTCTTGAACCAGCTCGATGCGGCTCTGAGCGACCTCGTCGGCCAGTGGAATGGCTATTCCACCGGCATTGCCACCCTTCTGGTCTTGGTCATCTCTTACTCCATCATGACCAGAGTCGACCCTGACATCCACCCCATGCTGCTGGCCCGCCAGGCTCAGGGTTCGCCTGTGAGGCAGGAGGGCGAGTCTCCCATCTACCGTGGAAATGCTGCCCCACACGGCATGCCCCTCAACAGTGGCTTGAACGTCAAGGCCCCCGGCGCGTCCAAGTGGTCGCAAGGTCGAGACGGTGACCTGCGGGACGTCTGGAGAAGAGTCGTCTCTGGCTCGCCTTCCGAAGATGGTCCCTCAGCCAAAGGCAGGATCTTGACTGTCTATGGCAGAGAAAAGGTGACGGAACACAAGCTTAGTAAGCCCGCGCGCAACGGTGATCCCTTGAATCTTTGCTCGATATCTAATCCGTCCACAGGCGATATCACCAGAGCTATCAACTTGATTGGCCAGCACATCTCCCAGCATGGAGGAAACAAGGTCGCCATCTACTTGCCAAATTCAGTCGAGTTCGTCGCAACTCTGTTCGCCTGCAGCTTCTACGGTCTGACAGCCGTCGTCCTGCCTTTCGATGAGTCCTCGGACATCATTGTCTCCATGCTCCAGCGGTCCGGTGCTGACACCGTAGTGACCGTTCCCGGTGCTTTCCCGTTCGACGGCGTTGTCAAGAGCTACCCGTCCCTCAAGCAGCTTGTCTGGGTTGTCGACCAAGGTAGCAACCACATGGACTGGAATGAGGTGCCAGAGGGCGTTGGCGGCAAGGTCAACGTGTCCACCTGGCAGGATATCCTGCACGACAGCCCCGTCACGGCCGGCAATGAGCTGCCTGCTGAGGGTGATACCACAGAAGCCAAAGATGTCGTCTTTTTCTGGAAGTCGAAGTCGGGTTCCCTCGAGGAGCTGGTCCAGTTCACCCAGAAGAACCTCGTGTCTGCCATCTCTGCTCAACTTACGGCTGTACCAACGACGCACCGATTCTCACCTGCCGACCTCTTCCTGTCGGCAGCCCCCTTGTCTGCCTCGTTCCCGTTGGTTCTCACCCTGGCTGCACTGTACTCAAATGCATCCGTGGCCTTCAACTCTGTTGCAGGCACCTCTGCGGATCTTGCCCTGGCCACCCAAGGCATTGCGCCTACTGTCGTAGTGGCAACACCCCAGACTCTTCAGAAGACCCACAAAGAATCGTCTGGCAAGATCGCCTCCCTAATTGCTTCGACTTCACACTGGATCCAAACCCGCAGTCTGGTGCAGAATGGGGCCATGCCCGTTGCCTCCTTCCTGGCGTCTTACAATGACAGAGTGAAGCCTTCTGTCGGAACCACTCCTGGCAAGCTTCGACTTCTTTATGTTGCAGATTCTGCTGGTGCCGGCACTCCTGTCTTGAGTGAGCTCGCTCTCTCAGATCTACGTGTATTTACTGGTGCGCGGGTCATCTATGCTCTTACGGCCGCAAAGGTGGCTGGCTCCGTTGCCCAGACCCAGTTCAATGACTATCGCGTACACGGAGACGGAACCGGTTCCCACTTTGGCCCTCCGGTCAGCAGCATTGAGGTCATCCTGAAAGACAGTGGTAGCCATAAGACTTCAGACGATGGCCAGAAAATCGAGGGAGAGATCACGGTGCGAGGCCCTGCCGTTTCGGGCGGCGTTGCTTCGCTAGGTGTGATAGGCAAGGTCAGGGAGGACAACGTGCTGGCTTACGTCTAAGCATAACGAACCAGAATAGCGGCTTAAAATGGCAGCGTCATAGTCTAGATATGTGCCGATATGTTACCCAGATATAATCCTATATTGGTAGATTCTCATCAAAACCAACTCATCATCGTGTCCTCGCAAATTCTTTTGTGAAATTTCGCAGCTTAACAATTATGGTAATTTGGACGAGCAAGCACCATGTCCTGGGCCACTGGGGCTTATAGGGGATGCTTGATAACGACCTTCTCCATGCTAACTTTTCCATCATACACGTCCTTAATCGCCTTGATACCTTCATCACCACCCTGAACTGCCTTCACTTTTGGAATTCTAAAGTTCACGTCCGCAGCATTGCCCCAGAGCCACTGGATAGCAGCATCTATGCGATCCTGTAAATCAGGCGATGGCTCTTGGTTCCGAATCACCATACAAAACTTCCAATCCTCGTCGAACTCGACCTTCAAGGTAGCCGACAGCCTCACCTCCTCTGGCGCAATCCCTTCCGTAAGACATTGCTTCGCAATGGCCGGGCTGCTCTTGCCCAGGTCGAGAGGCGGGTCGGACGCCGCGCGCGGTGGCTCCCAGATGCCCGTCCCTACGGTCACCGCGTCGAAGATGGTGGCAAGCGGCTTGCCGGACGCCTGGACCGCAGCCCGGATGTCCGAGACGACCGACGGCGAGCGGTGGTCGAAGCACGCGGTAGCTCCCAGGCCCAACAGCGCTTCGTGGTTGTGTGGCGACGCCGTGCACAGGATGGGCGAGAAGCCGGCGATACGTGCCAGCTGCACGGCGCAGAGGCCGACGGTCGAGGATGCGCCCCACTGGGTTGCTTGGTCAGTTGGAATCCTTGAAATCGAGACCTGCCTAAGTCGTTTGAGGCGTCGAATATCGAGGTTGGGAAAGGTTAGGAAAGGCAGTCATAGAGTACAGGACGGTGGATTTAGACGAAGACGGAGAGGGAATCTTACAATCAGAATCGCCCTCCCATGAGGATCCACGCCTGAGACAATCTCCTTCCCAGCATTGGGCCCTCCGAGCGGAGAAAAGCCGAAGCCCATGCAGTTGAAGAACGCATCGCAGACGGTGTGGGCGGCAGCCGTCCAAGAGACGACCTGCGTCTGCCAATCCTCTCCTCTCTGGGATAGAGCCGGCGGAGGCACACGGAACGTCATGTACGGCTCCACGAGCATTCGATCCTGGTGCGCGCCGGCGCTCAGGGGCTTCCGGTCTGCGAGCGGTGCCAGGCCGAACAGCATCTCTCCTTTCTTGAATGGTGAGTTGGGTCCCGTGGCCAGGACGGGGCCGATCCACTGACGCACGAGCAAGGCAAGTTAGCAGGAATTCGAGGTGCGCGTTGGTCAAGAGATCGGGGAAGGAAGAAGTCAAGACTCACCTCGTAGCCGGCGACGATCGAGTGCGCCCCTATGATGTAGTAATGTTTGATGTCGGCTGGATTGATGGCCGAATACTCGACGGAGACAAGGGTCTGCGCCCCTGATGGCTCGTAATGTTCAGCTATATCGCGGAGGGAGAGAGAGCCGTTGGGCTCGAGCCAGATTGCGCGAGAGTAGGGCATCGTAATTGTGGTTCTGCTTTGTGTTATGAAAGTAAGTACTGGGTGGTGGACGCGAGATTATAGGATGCAGACTGTCAAACTTTTCAGCAAGCAGCAATTTGGTCCCAAGTAGCTCTCGTTTATATATCTTATGATGGGAAACAGCATATATATGAGGCAAGATTTGGGCAACTCTTCTGCATTATTTATACTTCGCAAGAACAGAGGCTGTGTGTGTTTTCTGGCACCAGCATTACCAATAATACCCTGGAGAGGGTACGTGATCATCCACCATCAGTAAACACGATTTGTTCATGGTGAGTGTTAGAGGACTTTGATGAGGAATTTGAATGCCTTGTTCAGGGAAGAAGAGCATGACGTTACTGATGGGCTAGGAACTGAGATACTGAGAAGTGGGGTAGGTTATAGTTGAATTACAAATCCGACCCCCATCGCGGTTTGCAGAGAGTACAGGAGGACCATTGCGGCATGGTAAATTGTTCATCATATTATTTATATCAATGGAAGCTTCAATGATGCGCACTTGCACCGCATATTCGGTGTTGAGGGCAGTGCCTCATTGTAATAAGTGCAATGCACGAGAGCAACCAATCAGAGTGTCTTGTTAGCTGAGACGAAGGCGTGCACCACGGGGATCGGATCGTATGTACAATATAGCTCTGGCGTGTTGCCATGGACGAAGAGAACATCACAACCAAGGAAAATGGCTGAGGAAGAGATGTCATTGGGATTGCTGCCATGCAGTAGAAGAATGCTACTATCAGTGCAGCATGACTAAGAAATGCAGGGACACTTTCGCCCAAAGCACAGCCTCATGATGCGGCTCTCGCATCTTGGCTCACTCCAAGACTGCCGCCTGTCAATTTCGGTATAGAAACACGCACCGCGCACGTTACAATTGATCTTGGGATCCAGTAAAGAGATTCGCAGTCAATTTGTCTACAGGTCTATGTATCAAAATAAGCGGCAAGATGGTGCTTCTACTCAGTCTTCCTACCGAGGTGCTGCGCATGATATGTGATCATGCCGAGGCCAGGCAGCTTGCCTCCTTGGCTCGCACCTGTCAACCCCTCTACTCGATCGCGAACCCTATGCAGTACCGTCGCGCGAAAGATAATCCTGAGGTCCTGTGCTGGGCTGCAGAGAAGGGCCTCCTGGGGACGATGCAGCAGTTGCTTGCTGCTGGAGCTGACCCGAACAAGCCAGTCCAGCAGGACATGGGGGCCTTCGATTCCCCTGCGTTACTGGGGCGTCCCCAGGACTATCTACGGGTACTGCAGAATAGTCTACAGCGTAACCCAAATATACCCTCGACTACTGTACAAAGGGCGGTTGCGATCCAGGCCGGCCGGGCTCCGCCTAGACCAAAGCGCATCTACACGGCGTTACACCAAAGCGCAAGGGCCGGTCACGATCATCTGGTCACGCTCTTGCTTTGTAATGGGGCAAACATCAACACCACATCGAGCGGGTTCTGCGAATGCTGCCCTACCTTGACCCCGGAACTCGGATATCCAACTATGGCAGGCCGGTTTTCTTCGAGGCCGCCGGAGAGCCCCATGTGGACGCCACTGCACGTGGCAATATGCAAAGGCCATCAGAGCACGGCCAAACTTCTCATGTCATGGGGGGCATCCTTAGTTGTTGGAACCTCGAAAGATCCCAGGACCGGCCGCCCTGTGACAGCTCTTCATTGCTCGAGTGTGCTGGGCGATGTGGCGCTCACTCAAGCTGTAATGGAGCATTATCAACCGGACCTGGAAGCCAGAACCAGCAGCGGATTGACAGCTCTAGGGCTAGCATACCAATACCCCTACCTAGATGTCATGGAACTTCTATTAAAGAATGGTGCCAGAGTTGACGAGTATAATGGAGACGGGACTACTCTGCTTGGACGTGCGTGCAAGGTTGGACAGTACGAGCTGGCGGCCTGGCTCATAGAACGCGGTGCCAACCCCCTTCTTGGAGCAACGGGGCATCGTTTTACACCGCTGCATCTTGTCTGCGAGTCGATTTCCCGTGAACCGTACAAAGTGCCAGCCGACTGGCCGAGACTACTCACGCAGGGCGACATCGCGAGTATACTCTTGAAGGCGGGACCGGATGCAATCCGCATGACGACACCCAATCAAACAGTTCCCATCCTTGCCGCGGCAAAGAACTGTTCTCATGAGCTTGTTGAACTACTTATTGCACACGGAGCGGATGCCAATGCCTACGACAAACATGAGACAGCTCTCACCGCCGCGTGCGGCTCAAAGCTCTGTGGGAGGACGCCCGAGGACCTGTGGAATACCGTGAGACTCCTGATAACCCACGGCGCTTCAGTACATAGAATGGACATCCATTCGCACACCCCACTTGAGATACTCTGCCGTAACCAGCCCTTGGCATTCCACCGCGAAACAAAAGAAAAGCTGGTTGAGCTCCTCATACAGCATGGCGCCACTCCAGAAGCGAGCGATCCTTCCAGTCAAGCCGATAGTCCTTGCATCAGCCTTTTTGTGAATGATCATATCGCGAGTTGCAGGCTGCTCCTTGCACACGGAGCCACGCCACCCAACCCGAGCCAGATAAGCCAGATGATTGCGCACGCTATCACAAGAAACAAGCCCGAAGCCCTGCGTTTCGTGCTTGCCTTCGATGGGGCACCCAAACTCATGGCTACCGAGACTCGCCTCTATGAGGCTCTGAAGAAGGACATCGGCACTGTTGCCGAGATCTTGTTCGACCACGGTGCACCCTACTCATATGTTTCTGATGAGGGCTGGTCTTGCCTGCTTCTCGCCTGTCAATTGACTCATGATGGCCTCAACCTATGCAGAAAGCTTCTTCTTGCAGGCGCAGACCCTAACCACCTAACGGATAGCGGGGTCTGCCCTCTAGATATCGCCGTGCAGAGGAACGATTCGGCCCTCGTAGAACTCTTGCTGGATCAAGGGGCAGATCCAGATCACGCAGGTCCAGACGGCAGATCTGTGCTTGTGAGAGCCAGCAATGGTCCCCAGCAGGATATAGTCAACGCGCTTTTACGCAGTTTTCAAAAAAGGAAAAAGTAGACGTGTAACACCATCGCAAGCTACTACGCTGGGTGACCTACATCCAATGTTGAGAGTTCCGGTGTTAATCATACCTATGGCCTTGCGCCTCAAACTAGACAAGATAGCGAAACCCCTTTCCAGGTGACTTGGCTAATTGATCTCCACGTCTTTGACTCGCCGTCTGGAAATACAGCAGCACGATATCCCAGATGTTATAAGTTCCATCAGATCGAATGTGTTCTCGTAGTAGTCGCTAGCCGCAATAATACTAGAGGCTGAATATGAAGCTGGACCCATTGCACCTGACTCAACACCTCCCGATAGCACTTTTCGGGTGGCGCCAGAGTTTGATTGCCTACCTCCACAGCAGACGGGCCGGTTCGGTCATCACATCGTGCTCCGGCGCTCTTCCGCTCCTCTTCTCACTTGGTCCGGACTTGGGGCTTCGACCCGAGCAGCGGATGCACGATGGTGTTCAGACCTCGGCACGACTTGCCATTGCTCACTCAAGCGGCAGCTGCATATATGTCTCTCACGATATAGACGGCCAGCATGCGAGCTTTGTAGATGTTAGATGCTTACGAGCACAGCATGACGGCAGCTCCGTGTCGATGAGCCGAGGCTGACTGGTAGGCTCGGCGACGCCATGGAAAACATGCTGGGAAACGTCTCACACACGTGAGACCCCTCCACAGATCCTTCAAAATGCCGCGTCCAGCGGCACCACCCGCGTCGAAGCCCGCGACCCGAGCACGCGGGCCTTGGAACTCAATTTTCGCATTACACGAACCAGCGGGTTAGGGTCTTCGGATGACTGCAGATACAAAATCAAAAGAGGGGACAGGAAACCTTCCCGTTGGAGGTTGCGGGTAGGGCAGAAAATCGAGAGCGAGTGTGGCACACGTTTCCCTTGGGATCGTCACATCGCAATTTCGGAGCATTTTTCTGTCGCTCGCCAACTGCCGGCGCCAACGTGTGAGCGAGCGATCGCGACCCCGGCCTCCCGCAGTCGTGCAGATCCGGCTGGTCGCTTTGTGGGCTTTTCGTGCGTCTTGGCGCTCGTGGCATCCCTCACTTTTAATTCGACGTCGTCGCTGCCCGCCGCCCAGCACTTTTCGACTTGGCACAGACGGAACTCTGAGCGCCCGGAGGTTATGCTTTTTCGCGATCCGATCCCGTCCCCATGTTCATGCATTTGCTGTACTCTGCGGAGAAAGCGTATCGTGGATTTCCGAACTATATTTAGAGATTGCGTTTGCGACGGGACGAGATGAAGGTTTTGGTGCCTGAGCGCATGAACTCTTCCCGCGTCCCGACGATGCGGGCCGCAGGGCAAGGTTGAAGATGGGACGAACCCTTTTTTCCGGCTTCGAGAAGTTCTGCCGCGATCTTTTCTCTCATATAGGCAATAGGAAGTACCCGATAGGATGACCATAACATTGACGCAAATCGCTCCACAAACCAGTTTCCCGGGAGGTCTCTGCCTCGTGCGCTTAATTTAGAGGACAATGCATCATTGCAAATTCAGGAACCGTCCGCGGACTTGCGGCTGCGGTTTCTGCCAAGAGCGACAAAGAAATGATTTGGCCAATAGGTACTGGTCGACTCGCATTGTGCTGCCCGGCGACACCTCGCCCGATGCATGTAAGACCAGCCAAGGATGGTATAGTCCAATTGCTGATTGCCAGCGACCATGATTGATGCAAGGAGGAGGCATGTAAGAAGATGACAGTGACCGCATTCTGATCCACAGACTTTTGAATGACAATAGATGATCACTTTTAATTGTTGTTCTATAACTGCCTAGTTTGGCGGGGCATGCGCCGATGCCCAAGAAAGGTATTTAAAGTATCCCAAACATTATGTACCGAAAGTGTAGGAACAACTCGGGAAATGAGTGTCGAGAAGTAAAGTATATCCAAGAAGCAGGAGACCCGGGCGGCTTAGGATAGCGACCTACAGCCTGCGCGAAACACCACGGGATCTCTCACCTGCGTTTACCGATGTTGCGCCATGAAGCAGCGGTGCTTCGCCGAACACCGTCCAAATCTATTTTCCTCCCAAAAAAACCGAAGGTTGTTTTTCCCAAATGGTAGTGTGAAGGGCCCAGCGCACCAAGGCGGGGCCGAGAAAGGTAGTACGGGTATCTCGCTAGCAAAACCATAACCGTGATGGGCGTTATATCGTCATCGTCTGGCGCTCAGCGCGCTATCAAAGCAGGACGAAACTCCGATGGTTGGATCGTGATCTAGAATTTACCGAGAACATACTTGCGAGGGACAAGAGCAGGGGCGTCACGCTTGGTGTCGGTCGAGTTGCTCTTGCCCAGAGTGCAGATGAGTTCGGTCTCCAGGGTGGTGACGGTCTGGACGTCGTCAGGGAGGTAGTAAGCTGTGTTGCAAGGGAACAAGAGGCAACCAGAGATCAGGGTCTTGACGGAGAGGCTCTTCTCGGCAGCAGGGTACATCTCGTGGACGCCATCGTGGTCGTTGGGGTTCACGATAGCAGAGACATCGAAGTAGGTGATACCACCCCAGCCCTGGAAAGTAACCTCTCCAAGCATGCCAGGAACGTTCTCGGCACCCTCAGAGACGGAGTACCAGTTGCCAATCCAGCCCTCAGGAATGGTGACGTTCTGGGTGTCGAACCCAGAGATCTCAATGCTGTCAACCTCGGCATTGCCAGCGCTAGGCGTGAAGATGATCTTGCGGTTGGTCGAGTCCTGGCTGACGAAGGTGACAGTGTTGGTAGCACTGACAGCCGCAGCGGCGGCAGCAACGATAGCAGCGAGCTTGGTAATGAAGCGCATTTTGACTGTGGTAATATGGATATGTCGACGATAGACTGTATTGTTTGGTGGTAGAGGCGGTTGCCAAGTGTATGACTCGCTGTCAAGATGTTGCTGTGAAGTGTGTGTGGGTGAGCTTGCACCTGCTATAGTATATCTAAAGCTGTTGAAGGACTGTGAGGCAGTTTTGCTATAGTTGTCAAAAAGAGTGAATGACTATAGCACGAGGCTAGAAAGAGAGGATGAATTGTGGAAATTCGAGTGCAATAAGAAACAAACTCAGCGCTTGCTGGGAGGGCTGTTGGTTCACTTTATAGAAATGAACGACAGAGACCTGCTGTTGGGTGTGTGGGAACCCGTCAACCAGTCTGGGCCTTCTGGATGTGGTCAGACCGGTGGGCACATGGGGACCATCGTGGATGTACCGTTGTTAGGTGCTTCCCAAGCGGGCCAATGGATACTCCATATTAGAGGCCAGGCGGGCGCCGTCTCGACGCAACATGAACCCGCTGGCACCCGTCCCGCGGAGCCAGGAGTACATGACTGCCCCCATGGGTCAGAGGGGCGGCTCCTGATTCAAGTCGTAAGCCACCGCCGGCACCTTGCGTTGGCTTCACACCTTCTCCTGGCAGTCGGGAACGCACAACCCAGCAGACCAATCTTCTCGAACCCATGGTAACCCTGCCATAAGAGCCGTAAGCTAGATACTTTCAAGATGTCAGCCGTACCTGGGAAAACAACACTGCTCACAACCAGGCAAGATCAAGGTATCGAGTTGGTCGCACGTAATAGTCAGACCCAGAAAGTCGAGGCCCTTGGCACCTTGCTGATCGACACAGCCTCGATGTCCCAGGGAGGGGGGCCGTTTCTTTGTTCCTGTTTCTTCAAAGTTCACAGGGGTACCGCGCGCTCCATCTCCACACCACCCAAGTGGATCGGGTGGTTTGATCTGGAAACGGAAAAGAACTAGGTGCAGCATGCAGGTGCAAAGTTGGGGGATCTGAGGATCTCATTGGCTGCACGTGAGAAAAAACTTGTTCCTGGCGATCCGGGTACCTGACAGCGCTCCGACGCCAAGTGGCACTCCGCAACAGGTGTGCGAAAGCAGGCCCGGTGTGCCAAGCCAATGACATGCTGCGGCTTCGCAGCCGTTCCAGCAACATTCAATTAGTAACGCGCGTCCACAAAAGGGACCTGGTGGACTGTCGACGCTTTTCCCTCACTCGCTGGTACCTGCACAGCTGACCATCGGCATTCGACACGTGTAACACTGATAAGGTAACTGGAATCGGAAGTTGCCATGTGGTCAAGCGATATCCGCCGTGCTTCCCATGTGAGAAATTGGGACGGTCGCAACAGGTCTATGGAGATAGGTTTCAGTTGACACTCATTCAACAGGGACAGCTTGCACGGTCACGGAGTTTCCAGCGCTTGCTAGTACATGCACCGGCCGCTAATTGGAAATGTTCGTATTTTCGGACATTTCCTCACCATGGAAACATGAGTTTTGATCTCGATGCTGCCCGTGCTCTACTACCCAGTCGAGCTTGGCAGGAGCAGAACCGAGTGGTACAAGAAGTCTAATGTGAGATCGATGCATCTCACATAGGGCCAGCAGTTGTCATCGATACGTCAGTATAGTCCTGATCTGTAAAACAAATGGGCCAGAAGCGCAGCCTTGGGGCTTTCGAAAGAGGGGGAAGCCTGCAAGATCGCGAAAGTTTTGCAGTCCAGCGGCCCAGCAAACTGGAAAGTTGTACCGGTTTAGCCCTAATGCGGGAATTGGGAGCCGGACCTTGGACCGATTACCCACAAGCAAGGTCCAGAGATCAAGAATCGAAAGATCGGCAGGCACACAGCCCTGCAAGTTCGTCGGGTACCGCAAGCTGACCGCAGGGAGGTGCCTGGCTCCACTGCTTGCAAATGTGAGGGAGCGGAAAAAAATGAGCAACCTTCCAGGTTCCAGCTGCTGGAGGTGCTCCGCAATGACGGCTGGGGAAAAAACTGAACAGTACTCGGCGGTGATTGCAATTGGTAACCTCGCGTTTTAGAGCTGTCGCGCACAAGCCAAATAAGAAACCAGGGCCGGGGGAGGCAGAGGAATGTTGAGTAGGCTCCTATGTCGAGATGTCTGTGAGTTGCTGGCCGAGCAACCTCTTGTTCGTCATCATTGCCGACCGTCTGACACCCTGATGTACTGCTGGGCCATTCCCCCCATCTGCCAGCCTCGTACCAATTCTCGGTAATATGCGTGCTGAAAAAACTCCTTGAGTCCATCGGTCCGAAGAGCATATTCGCCGCTATAGCAGGGTATTGTCGAGTTCGTCCGGTTCTAGAGCAACCTTCGTTCGTATAGTACCTTGGCATACTCCGTGGCCTCCTATCAGTGGTGAAGCAAGTCAACCAATGTAACCATCTGAAAGGCTCCTCTTAGCGGCATTTGCCTCCCAGAAAAAGGGACGATGCGGAAAGGAATTCTCGTCACCAGCTTAGCTCCGTCGAACACCAATCGGAAGTTGCCCTTGTCAGCTTCGAGTGAGGCACACTATAGACCTAGGTGCGCGAAGAGTTTTCTCTCGTGCAGTAACCGACTTCGGGCAACTGCCACATATTGATGGTGTGCCAAGGGCGGGAAAAAAAAACGCATTCGCAGATTCTGCAGCTGATAGATTTCAGGCCCCGAGCGATGCGGAATAAAGCTGGTGCCTCCCTTGGACCCATAAAACCTCACAAAAGTTCTCGGTAGATGTCGGCAACTGCAAGCTTTCCTGTATCGCACATGTGTTCTGCGCTTAGATGAGCTCAATTGGGACGTTCGCATCATCAATCCGTGATGAGGTTGTCCATTGGTTGCTTCGGCGCCCGACAAAAGTCGGGCCTCCCGAGGTCTCCCTTCATCATTCATCCGGTCACGGGGCGATTGGACCTAGTGTGTGAGCATCGATAGTAGCAGTGCATGCGTGCCAGCTACTGTACACATCGTCGATGGTAGAAGAGCAGCGTAGTCGCTTTATGTGGCTGGCTGCAGGTACCTTCTATCGATCATAGACTTAAAGCGCTGTAGGGCCGTAGCTCCAGATAGCGGAAGGATTTGACTCGCTCAGTCAAGTGCTGAATTCTTTCGTTTGCTCGTTCGAGTTGCAGGTGAAGAACAGAACAACGCTTGTCAAATTCGCCGGGTGCAGCAAGCCTTTTGAGTATTGACCTCTCTTTCTTTCCGTAGCATCTCATTTCCGAAAGAATTTGGTCAGCTGGTCAACTGCATGCTACCCCACCGTCACGCCGAGGGGCTGTCAGTGGTCACCGACCAGCAGCCAAGTTATTTAGACGGCTAACACTAGGCCATCTGCTCCGTCCTGGGCTTCGCGATGGGCAATCTGTGCCCTCTTGGGTTGGTTTTCTTTCAACGGCCGCTTGCGAAAGTGATAAAACCTGTCTGTTATCTTTGCGCTGCATTGTACCCCTTGCGATATATCCTCTCACATTCTCTATTCCTGGAGCTCAGCAGCCGGATGCTCGAAGCTTTGGGTTGTTCGTGTCGATGCTGAGTAAGACTGGGTGAGAGAGGCGCAGAGGCAACGGCAGGTCCGTCAGCTACGCCGAATGAACATTCCTGTCTGAACACTTGCGCTGTTTTCCTGGAAGCTTTTACGAGTCCCGGGTCTTCCAATTCAGCGTTGTATGGTATAGATGGCGTTCGGATAGAGAATAGAACAGAGCAAAAAGGTCAGATGATCCGACACCCCTCTACACCCTAAAAATACTTTGTCGTATCCGACTGTCTTGCTCGCTACCCGTATTCAGGTAGCGATCAAACTTCTTATCAATTCCATGCAAGAGGCTTTTGTTACTCTTCCAACGGTTGAAGTCGCGATCCCTTTTTGAGCAGAGGTGCCTATCAGTACGAGGTCACAGTAACCTCATTGGGACGCAAAAGTCCACTGGTATGGATACCTCTGACCGCCAGTTTCCTCTCTCTCAGCAACTCGCTTGACCAAAAAAGGCATCGAATGGAAGTGACGTGATGATCTTTCCATTGAAGAAAAAAATTTCATGTTGTCTTATCAGGAGAGCTCGCCTAAGGGTATGAAGGCTCTGGTCAGACTTAGGTGTCGACGAAATGCTCAGCCTTCCAGCTCGTGTTAGAGTGCCAGGTAACTTCTGACCACCAATCTCGCAACAAGTGGTCCGGAATGGGCGTGATAAGTCAGAGCGAAAAGCGGCAGTCACTATTGGGAAGGCAGCCTATAGAATCAGAGATGGCCTCGTAAGGCGCAAACAAGAGGCAGCTTGAAGGCTGGATTGGAAAGTGCCAAGTGTGTGTCACAATCCAGAGTGTGACCAGCCGGACACCGCCGTAACGACCGGGGTCCTTTCCAATAGTCGGAGCCGCGGACCACGACCTGGGTGAGATGTCTGCGCCGATGACTGATCGCCCTGCTGGGACGGGCAGTTGCTGATAGGCAAATGGGCACTGGAGGCTGGGTTTTCCAAGGGTCAGATCCAAAGGACGTAACGCCACCGCCGATACGTTACGGCAACCACGATGTAGCATGACCATGCCAGCGGGCGTTGCCCCGGGAGGCAGTCACTACTTACCCACTTGCCCAACCCGCGTTCAGTAGGTTAACGATAGATAAATATGCCGGCCGGCCCATTCAGCCTGGTCTTGCGTATCTCGCATCTACTGTTTCTCTCTCACCACCACTACATCACCATCCTCGAGCATTCGTCGGATACACTGTCGTTTGAGACACAACTATAGACCCAACTTGAAGACCACCACTCTCGCTTCAACCACCACAACACAATCGCTATGAAGTTGACTCAGGCTCTGATGCCCGTTGCGGGCTTGTTCGCTGCCGTGAACGCGTGGGGCGAGACAGGCACTTACTGGACGACTGTCGTCACCACTGCCTACACCACCTACTGCCCCGTACGTATTGGTGCATCTACAAGGCAAATAGCCCACACCGGCGCTCAGATTATACTGACATATATCAACAGTCTCCGACGACTTTTGTACTTTCTAACGTGACCTACACTGCAACCTCGGAGACAACCCTCACCATCACCAGTAAGTGATACACCCCAGGGTGCACAGCATGTTGATCACTAACTGTCGACAAGACTGCCCTTGCACCATCTCGGTCTCACAGCCTCCTCCAGTCACCACCACGTCGTACTGCACTGAGGAGACCAGCAAGCCCGGCCCCACGGGTACCGGTTCCAAGGCCTGGCCAACCTATGGCAACTCTAGCATCGTTGTCACCTACACCCCGCCAGCTTCGACTTACATCTCTGGAACAATTCCCATCACCAAGACCTCCTCAGCTACCAAGACCCCAGTTGCGCCCACTACCTCGCACACGCCTGTCGTCGTCCCGACCGCTGCCGCAGCCAAGGTCGGGCCGGCTGGTGCGCTTCTGGCTGTCGGTCTGGTTGCGATGGCTCTGTAGGGCAGACGCATGGCAGTTTAGACCGGCCTTGATGCTGGGATCTTTTTAATGGTTCCGAGACACCAACACTGTGTCGTTGAACCAGCGCGGCTTGCTACTACACTCACTTGCTGTTTGGGATTTTGGGAGATGATTGAAATGTTGGAACGAAACACTTATGAGAGCACTCTAAATGTCAACGGACCTCAGGTTGACCTGGAACGCGGCATGTCACTATGATGTTTCTGACGGAATCTTTGGGCATGGAGCAGCGGCGTTGAGCTCATGCGGGATGGATCTTGGTATGCATATTACTACTACTAATTCAGCGAACGGGCTGTGTATACACTCCTTGGGCAGGGCCCACGATGGGCGTTGCCATATATACTCGATAGACTAATCACTTAATTCGCAACCAGTTGCCATTCAAACCTTGCGTGCCATCGTGAAATCGCACTTTATCACCCTAAACTCGGGAAACGAGTGAAAACTCTGTGGCCTCACATCGAGGTCAATATGCAAAACACAACAGACTAGTGCCTGTCGCGCCCAATTCAGCACCCTACCGTACATGACGACATTGCAGATCTACGCACGAGCAATATGGAAGCGATAAGGTGTCATGCAGCTCTGGCGACTCATCTCATAGCGGTTCCTTATCAGTTGCAACACGGCTCGAAGGTGCGAATAAGCTTCGCTGGACGTGCAGCCCCGTCCGCATTAGGCTACATGCCAAGACCTGTCAGCTCGTATTTGCAAGCTCGTCCACCAGCATCAACCATAGGGAAGGGACGAAAAGGTGGGGATGGGGGTTGGTTTGTGTGTCCAACAAGGTATAGTCAAGTTGGCATGGGATGGGGATGGCTTTGTTACCTGATGTTACCGAGGTTTCTCGCGATGTTGGCACCGGTCATGTGCACTTTTCCCGATACGGTGGCGTGCCCGTGTTAGTTATCGCTTGTTTGGGTCGGGGAAATGGGCGCGGCGCAGCCTTGTCGGAGCTGGAAACCGACCGTAGCTGAGATAAGAGACGGACTAGCTCAAAGAGCGTAGCTACTGTAGTTCTGTTGTTGGACACAGCCTCTCGAGTGTTTTGTAGTCGAGAATCGTAGTCGCCAGTGGCTTTGCTAGAAGCGTGCTGCCCTACGCATGCACGACTATAGATCCATGGCTTATGGCACACTGGAGGCGCGTATCATGGACACAGCTTTCGGATAGAGAGTTTGTCGCTCCCAAGTCTACGCCATACCCTTAGGCGAATACGAGGCCATCACTCCATGATCACGATATCGAACGGAGACAGCTGACACAATGTCGTGAGAGAGAATTCGTCAATTAATGAGTCATCGTGGCCAACGCCTGCTTATGCATTCTTCTTTTCGCCAGCCTAAAACGCCACTTCAAATGCCATCGTCCACGGCGGAACTGCTCCCTTAGGTCGAGCCATATTCGTGCCTGCCCATTCGTAAAGCATCGTGACCTCGGTTCGTGAGCCAGATATCGCTCAACAGGCACCAATGGGGTCATCCGTTCAAGTCAAGCAGCAGAGGGCCCGGCGTGGTCTTACCAGCTGGGGCATCCATGCGCGACCGCACCTCCCGTATCAGTGCTTTCGCCTCCTCGACTTCAACTCCATCCTGGCAAAGCTCGTTGGCAAGCCTGCTGGCGGTCTCGTAGTCTTCGTTGCGCATCGCGAACCGAGCAAGCCACATCCGCGCCTTACTAGTAGCTGCGGTGACGCCGGTCCCCTCTCTTCCGCCGCCTGCGCCTGCGGAGGGCCCGACAGCTTCACCATCGTCTTCCGAGCCCTCGTCGTTGTGTATCGTGATGCTTTCCCCCGCATTGTCGCCCGCTGAGCCATCTTCCTGTGCGACACACATTTCCATGTATGCTTTGGCGTCGTCTTCCTCATCCAGCGCTTCGTACATGGATGCGATCTGTAGCAGTATCTCGGGATCCATGTGTGCACCGCGAAGCCCGCCAGGCCCACTGCCTCCGCTCCCAAAGCTGCTCCCTGTTTCGTAGTAGCTCTCGGCTAGCAGAGCACGCTTCAATGCCTTGATGCCGTCCAGATTCCTGTTCATGCGTTGTAGGCACGAGCCCACGGCCATCCACATTTTGCCATCCCACGGACGCAACCCTGCAGCTTTCTTGTAATACCACAGAGCATACGCGTGCATCTCCAGCACCTCATACGTTTGGCCAAGACCGTACCAAGCGCGGTAGTCGCGCCTGTTGACATCCACGGCTCGGCGATAGGACTCGATGGCTGCGTGCGTATTTTTGAGCTCGACGTATTCGTGACCCATTAGAGTCCAAGCGGACAGGCAGGAACGGTCTAGCGTCAGAGCTCGACGGAAGTATTGCACTGCTTTCTCGTGTAGTGACAATAATGAGTAATAGTTGCCAATGACGACACACGACTCAGGACGGAACTTGTCCACACTCGAGCATAGATGGGCCAAGAAGGCCAGTTTCGGCCGCGAGTTCATGACGTAAAGAATATTGGAGTAATGGTCCAGAGACTCAAGGCGATGAGGATGCAGAGATAGCAGCCTGCTAAATGCCTGCTCTGCAGCAACAAAGTCCTTCGCATGGTATGAGAGGAGGCCGTCACACGTGAGCAGGAAAGAGGACGTCGGGAAGATGTTGATTAGCTGGTCAAGGGAGTTGGCGAGGTTTCCGTCATGTTGGTACAGCTCGAGGCTTGCATGGATGTGGAACATGAAGGATACAATGTTTTGTGGCAAGCGCTGCATCAAGCGGTTCAACTGCACACACGTCAGACACAAGCCCATGTGTTTATGTACCAGATCACTTACATCTTCGATCCGCGATATGAGGGAGGTCATCTCAAGCCAACAACCCCAATTCATGGGGAACAGATGAACGCTGCGAACCAGCCAATAAATGGCCAAATCGTCGTTTTTCTGTTTTGCCAGGACCATGCCGTACCTATCGCAAGGGAATTAGAAATTAGAGAGGAGTGAAAGATATGTGCCATGGTCGTAGCGTACAGATACTCTAGCCAACCCTGGCTGTCGACGTCTTCGCCATCCTCATCCTTGCGCTGGTCAAACCATGTCTCGAGATAGCGACTAATGGTTAACAGCTGTTTATTGACGCAGGTTCCAAGGTCCTGAGGGCCCATGACCATCTCGGTATCCTCATCCTTTCTCTTCTCGCCTGATAGGAACTTTGCGTATAGAGCTAGAAACAAGCTTCTCTGGCTGAGTTGGGGCAACTTGGGCGCAGTCGTGCTTCGTGAGCTGGTGGCCGTTGCCTTGCCCTTTCCCTTGCCTTTTGGTGTTGAGTTAGCCTCTTTCGATGTCACGACCCCGGCAAGCATGGAGTCGGGAAGAAAGACGGCGGCGCATCGGTCGAATTCGCGACACTCGAAGAATGACTTGGCCAGCAGGTATTTGTTGATCTCTCTTGCCTCGAGAAGCGCCTCTTCCGGATCTGCATTCTGGGCGAGGACTGCGGGCGCGTAGTCTCCAGGCTGAGAAGGGTTGGTGTCGTCGGGCTCAGAGGTTGGCTCGGGAATGGCGTTCAAGAGCTCGGCTGCCCTGGGATGGATGGGGCTTTAGCCACCTGCGGAAGAGGTTGAGCAGGCCGACAAACTCACCACTTGGCCGACTGGTAGAGACATCGCTCGGAACATTTGACCACGGCCTCCTGCAGAGCGCCGCGGAGTTGGGACGTTTCCCGATCATTGAGAGACATGGTTGCGGGCCGGCAGAAGGATCGAGCTCGAGCTCCGTGATGCGGTCATGCGCGCGGACGGCGTCATATGCGAGGATGGAATACCGTATGCTGTCCTTGTTGTGGTGGCAGCTGCTCGTCGGAGCGGTCCTCGGTGTTGAAAAGAACACACACCAGACCCAGCAGAGCGAGATGCGTATTTGAGCTCAGCAATTGTCGATGTTAATGTTTCCTCGACGTCGTCACTGTTGCCCATAGCCTTGCACATGCGCGAAGCTCGGTGGCGGCTGGCTGGCTGAGGTCGCGTCTGGCGTATGGCAGCGCCCACGGGTCGGACCCCGCGACGCTGACCTGCCAGCCTTTAGCGACCCTACCAGCCTGCATGCCTGGGTACAGTGGGCTATCAGGCTGCTGGCAGGGGCTGGCTGTCGGGTTTACCGCCGCTGTCAATATTGACTTTGCCCGCCCCGACCACTGCTTAATTTGACTGCCCGCGCCCAATCAGCGCGTTGGGAGTGGAAGGGGCCGAGTGTCGCTCACGCTAGCACCAAGACGACTAGCCCGCTGAACCCCTGGCACTAGACCCCTCCAACCCGCGGGCTCTTGTCGATGCAGTCAACAAATCTCGCCGGCAGATTCAGTCGGGAAAATTCGGTGAGAGCAGATATCTCTGGTTCGAGCACAAGCAGACTGCCGCTGTCAAGGGTCTGAAGCAGGACCTCCAGTCATTACGACCCCTATCTCGTGTCAAGAATCTTGTGCGTTCGAAGCCTCTCCTCGAACGGCTCGCCCGCGCCAAACCCAGTCAGACTCGACTGAGCACTTCAGGGGCTACCACCGTGTGATCAGAGCTCGCAAGGGTAGATAGGGAGAGATCCTCGTCAACGTCGGGGCTTCCTTGGTAACTTCGTAAATCACCGGTATCTTCGTCAAGACCACCTCGGGACAAGATGTCTGCAGCGGACAAGAAAGCGGCCTACGAGAAGTTCGAGAATGTCTTCAAGAACGACCTCATCGAGCAGATTCTCGGCCATGCCAAGAAGTACAAGCTTCCCCAAGAGTACCAGGTTTGGTTTGAAAAGGTCAGTCAGTTGCTCTTATTAGCGTTGGGACCCTGAACGGTCTGCCTGTCTTCTGCGGCGTTACTTGGGGCCTCGTACTGCGTTCACGTTGATTGTCCCGTTATTCGTCCTGACTTGACGGCCTCCCACATCATCGCATCTGGAACTAACAGGAGTTTTATAGTCCCTGAGGGCCAACACTCTGGGTGGAAAATGCAACCGCGGCATGTCGGTCCCTGATTCGGCCGCTCAGCTGCTCGACAGGGAGCTCACCCAGGAGGAGTACTTCTCGACCGCCACTCTTGGCTGGATGATCGAGCTCCTCCAGGCCTTCTTCCTCGTCTCTGACGACATCATGGACGGCAGCATTACCCGCCGTGGAGAGCCCTGCTGGTACCTCCAGCCCGAGGTGGGCATGGTGGCCATAAACGATGCCTTCATGCTGGAGTCGGCCATTTACATGATCCTCAAGCAGTACTTCAAGGCGCACCCGGCCTACATCGACATGGTCGAGCTCTTCCACGAGACCTCGTTCCAGACCGAGATCGGCCAGCTGTGCGACCTGCTGACGGCCCCCGAGGGACGGTCCAACCTGCACAACTACAGCCTGGAGAAGTACACCCACATCGTCGTCTACAAGACGGCCTACTACAGCTTCTACCTGCCCGTCGCCCTCGCGCTGCACTACAACAACATCGCGACCCCCAAGAACCTCAAGCAGTCCGAGGACATCCTCATCCTCATGGGCGAGTACTTCCAGGTCCAGGACGACTTCCTCGACTGCTTCTACGGCACCAAGGACGTCATTGGCAAGGACGGTACCGACATCCAGGACAACAAGTGCTCCTGGCTCGTCAACCAGGCCCTCAAGGTCGCCACCCCGGAGCAGCGCAAGGTGCTCGAGGACCACTACGGCAAGAAGGACGACGCCGACGTGGCGAAGGTCAAGGCCCTGTACGATGAGCTCGACCTCAAGGGCAAGTACCACGCCTACGAGGAGAAGGTGGTTGGGGAGCTGAAGGACATGATCGCCAAGGTCGATGAGACCGAGGGCCTGAAGAAGTCCGTCTTCGAGACTTTCCTCAACAAGATCTACAAGCGAAGCAAGTAAAGAACAAAAAGGGCAAATTTGGGTTTACACTAGATTCCAGTAGAATAGATGCTAATACCTGGAGACCTCGCTGGGACTCACTAATTCAACCCTCTTACGTTTCCATCATGATGAACAGTGCTGGATCTAGAATGCGTTTTATCGGATCAAACAAGGTTTGGCATCATCAGCGACGGCGCGTTCTGGTCTGTTTTGTGGGCGCGACAAAGTTGTAGGCGCCACAAATATATCAAGAGAAATTGGTTGTATCGTTATCTCAGCAATGCATCTTGTTTCTCTGCGGGTGCTATCTGCTGCTCTCAAAGCGTCGTCCGCTTCCACTCCCAGTACCCGAGGCGTATGCGATCCCACTTCTCACCGAGCCGTCTGAGGCACAGATCCGCCTTCTCCTTCTCGCCCGCCTCTACGTAGATGTCCACGAGCTGGTCCAGCGCATGCGAACTGCGAACCTGCTCCGTGTCCTGCCCCAGGTCGTCCACGTACTGCTCGGTATACTCTCTGACACTGCCCAGCTTCCGGCCCCCCTTGACCAGCACGCCCTTCAGGTAGTTCCACGGGCTCTGGTTCTGCGGGGCCAGCTTGATCTTCTCCTTGGCGTATTCGACCTCGCGATCCACGATCTCTGCAGGGATGGCCGGGTCGTGCTCGGTAGCGTGCGAGCCCTCCGTCGCGTAGGCCGGGTTCGAGAAGACTATGAAGAAGCGGTGCGACCAAGCAGAGTTGTTCCGCACGTCCTGGTTGATCATGCCCGATATGCTACGCAACTCGTCCTCATCCCACATGCCTAGCTTCCGTACCGCATACTGCCTGTAGGTCCAGACATGGTAGTTCTTGGCGTCTTCGATCAGCATCTCCATCATGAAGTCGCGCTCGGAACTGGCAAAGCGCTTGACCTGGTCCGGGGTGCCGGCGATGGTGGGATAGTAGTGGTCCGTCAGGAGCTGGCGGTGGTGCCAGATCTGATAGTTCTTCTGGAAGTCGAGAGACACCTCATTGAGCCAGGTGAGCTCGTCGAGGAGCGGGATGTCGAGGTGCTGGATGATGGCAAACCGGTAGAGCCACACCGTGTAGTGGGCAGGGTTCATGGATATGATATGTTCCGTGAGCTTGAGGCAGCGAGGGGAGTACTCTTTCGCGGCCATGACGGCACGGAGGTAGGACGTTGCTGCGGTCTGTCAGCGAAAGCAGCCCTATCAGCCGGACGGATTGCGCCCACATTCTGCATAGTCCTCCGGATAGGCAATAGCAGCCAGTGCTCCCTCAGGCTCGGTCTGGGGTATCGGTACCACATCATCCCAGGCCGGATCCACCGAATAGGAGCCCATCTTCTCGCCGTATAGATCGTCCATCAGGGCAGCCATTTCCTTTCGTCTTTCCTTCTCGGCTTTGATGTCCTCGTCTGTGAGCACATATGACTCCCCCGTGAGGCCGTTTTTCAGCTTCCGGGAGGCGCGGTATCGCGTGTCCCTGAACTCCTTGCTATCAAGCTTGAGGGTAGCCAGCTGAAGGATCTTGTCGCTCCGGTCGTGGAACTGCTCAAGACCGTACTCGGCGATGTTCCGGCCGTACTTGTCCTTTCCCCAGGCCTCGGGCTTGGGCTTCGGGAGCTTCCGCGGAGGGATGCTCGCCTCGTTGACCTGCTTCCAGAGCTCCTTCTGCGCCTTCTTGCCCAGCTGGTCGGTGGTGCCCGTGCTGACAAATTCCGAGTTGATATACGCCGTCCGCTCGACAGTGGAAAGACCGTTCAGGCCGTGCTGCTCCCGGGCTGCCTCGAGTGGGTTCGTAGCTTCGTAGACCTGCTGGGCTCGCTGCAGAACGGTCTGCGGCTCCGAAGGCTTGGCTACAGCCGCTAGTCAGCACAGGCGCTGCGAGCAAGCCGACGCTCACACGGGAAACATGGGCGCAGACAGGATCCGGAATGGCCCAGGTCGCCAGGTACTCACAGTCGGGTATTTTCGCCTTGGCGGCTCCTTTGCCTTTGGGCGGCATGTTTTTCTGGAGAGCTCCGAGTTGTCGATGGTGGGGTTCAGTCCACGCCGGACAGCACTTTTGAGCCGCCCCTCGTTGCGCATGGAAGTGCCCCGCCATCCCTGTCGTCGGCGTCGGACCAGAATCCGCGATCGGGCTATACCTATCCTTGATTAGCCGGGCAAAGAGAGTATAGCGATGGTGAAGAGTCTCTACAGAGCAATGCTGTACAATACAGACGACAAGCATTTCAGACTTGCACTACAAGCTTCTCGACTTCACAGCTGCTCCTGTCCAGTTACTGTATGAACTTATTCAGCCCCAGGTCCCTATTTTCAATTATGCATCGGACTATACCTTGGGTCCATAAGGTAGAAATACTCAACGCCTCGGACCATTTCACCACACTGTCTACCTACGCACATTCGACTTGGTTCGAGAATGCGATACAAGTGCATACTAAGTCCTGCCTATAATGAAGATACTTGAAGTTGCTGAACAAGTTCAGAGGCGCCGAGTCGGGTGATCGCAAGCAGGCCAAGTGATGAAGTACCGTCTCATGAACTGCCGTCGTCTCTTTTGATGCGACAGAAGTATGTATGCCACAACTTAAACTTAGACTTTTACAACTACCTGCGTTCAAGAGGTGGAACCACATCAGTAGCTGTATGCGCTGCACTGGCTTGGGCCACGACGAACCAAGCAGAAGTACGAAGCAGGATTTACCGTCTTCGCTCTATCGTTCCAGTACAACTCTGTCGAAACGATTTGGGGCTGGTTGGGGTAAGACAAGCCTGCTCCAACTAATTACTTCAAGTTCTTGGCAGTCGGTGTTTATCACCAGCTGCAGGTGCTTTGGGGAGAGCGATGAGGCGCAATCCAGCCCGACTCGAACGACCATTAGGAACCTAGAGATGCCTTGATCTGTCAAATGACTGTTTCGTTCACGCAGTCTTAGAGCCTAACTTAGGGAGTACTGAAAGGTGCAGCGTTTCAGCTCTCGTTTGGCCCGTCCAGCCTGCCGCACCTAGTACACACCCACCCCATCACAGCGGCGCACTCGATTCTATGACGACGCCATCTCAGCACCATGCCAGGCAAGTGGTCGCGGTCGGGGGACGCTTACCGTGCCCGGAACCGTTGGCGTCTCCTGGGAGGGGGCAGGGATCCAAAGCGAACCCCCCTCCCCCCGGCTCTGGAGTTGGAGATGCGCTTTTCAATTGGACCCCAACGACTGGCTGGGGCTGTGCTGGAGTGTCCCGCAGCTGCGGATAGGGAGCAACGAGGCAATCAGGTCACCGGACCGGCATTTTGATGGGTGCAGAGGGTGCAAAGGGCCCCCAAGCATGCCAAAAGGGGGGGTGATCAGTGGTACATTGATTGCTTGCCTCCACCACCTCGCCGCGTACCTGCTCAGGAACACGGCCCACGACAGCGGAAGCAACGGGTCGTGGATAAGCACCGGTCTTGATATCTCTTCCAAGGATTGACCGGTCAATATTCTCTGCATGCAGGCTGCTGGGTGGGCAAATCGAGGGTGCGCATACTGCAGACTCGGCGTCGGTCGTTGGGATCGCGGCACAGGCCGTTAGTCTTGTATTAATTAAGTACCCCTGAGACTTTTGGTCTGACTGTAATCAAAGATTACATGCATACCACGACCACAGCCTGACTATCTCCTCCTCTCTTGCGCCTCCCGGACGCATACTCTGTATTACGTGAACTTGCACAATTTCTCTCCCAAGTCCTGCCAGGTGGTCCCTGAGCCACCTCCCTCCCTATCTGTCTCAGACGGCACCAAAGTCTATCCGCAACTGACAGCGGTTGAAGAACTTAAAAAAGGGACCCCTCGTCGCGCAAGAAAGGTTTCCCACGACACGCGCATCGCGGCAGCGATCTGCAACCTCCAACCCGAATGACGACCAGCGTACCGTCCACGCCGGACAGCGCCATCTCCGACATGTCTGTCAATGGCTTCCATGACGGCGTCGAGAAGCTCAGTATCAACGGCAATGGCCACACGAATGGGAACGGTCACGCCGCAGGCGAAACCCAGAGGCGGAAGATGAATCGCAAGCAGTCCAACGCCATGATGCCTGCCTTCATGGTGTCGGCACCGGGCAAGGTCATCGTGTTTGGAGAACACGCCGTGGTCCATGGCAAGGTACGCATAGACGTCTTACACGCAATGACATCCTCTTCGTCCGAATGTGCAAGGCTCACAAAAACGATTTGCGCTTACAGGCCGCGATCGCTGCTTCGATATCCCTGCGATCCTATCTCCTCGTTACAACCCTCTCCAAGTCCAGACGGACCGTCAGTCTGCGCTTCCCCGACATCGACCTAGCCCACACTTGGAACATCGATGAGCTGCCTTGGGACATCTTCCAACACCCGTCCAAGAAGAAGTCTTACTACGATCTGGTCACGACCCTCGACCCCGACCTGCTGGCGGCCCTGCAGCCGCACCTGGCCGAGATTTCACCACATAAGTCGGAGGACTTGCGCAAGATACATCAGAACTCGGCGCGCTCTTTTCTATACCTATTCTGCTCGCTGGGTTCCCAGAAGTTCCCCGGCTGTTTATACACACTTCGCTCCACGATACCCATCGGCGCGGGGCTCGGCAGCAGTGCCTCGATAGCCGTCTGCGAGTCGGCGGCTCTTCTTCTGCAGCTGCGGACGCTGTCTGGCCCGCACCCGGATCAGCCGCCGGAGGAGGCCCGGCTGCAGGTGGAGCGGATCAACCGATGGGCCTTCGTGGCCGAGATGTGCATGCACGGTAACCCTTCGGGCGTGGACAACACCGTTGCAACCCAGGGCAAGGCCGTGGTGTTCCAGAGGACGGACTACGGGAAGCCCCCGAGCGTGCGGCCGCTATGGGACTTCCCCGAGCTGCCCCTGCTGCTGGTGGACACCAAACAGCCGAAATCTACAGCATTTGAGGTCGCCAAGGTAGCCAAGTTGAGAGATACGCACCCCAAGCTTGTGGGAAGTATACTCGAGTCAATTGACCGAGTCACTCGCAGCGCGAACGAGCTCATCGACGACGACGACTTTGACAGCGAGGAGCTGGAGAGTCTTCGGAAAGTCGGCGAACTGATGTCGATAAACCACGGGTTATTGGTTTCTTTGGGCGTGTCTCACCCACGGCTTGAACGGGTGCGGGAGCTCGTAGATCACGAAGGTTTGGGCTGGACAAAGCTGACGGGTGCCGGGGGCGGTGGCTGCTCTATCACGCTGATGAGACCTGACGTGAGCCGGGAGAAATGGGACCGCCTCGAGCAGCGGCTCGACGCCGAGGGATACTCAAAGTTTGAGACGATTCTCGGCGGCGACGGTGTCGGGGTGCTCTGGCCGGCCGTGCTCAAGAACGGCATGGACGAGGACGAGGAAGGCGGCATGGAGATTGATCTCGAGAACTTCCTGAACGCGCCCGGTAATGATGGCGTTGAGAAGCTGGTGGGCGTGCACAGCGGCGGCGCTGAGCGGGAAGGCTGGAAGTTCTGGAGGGTCGAGAGCCATTGATGATAATGACGGTGCCCATGATGGACGGATCGATGGCTGTAGGTGTAATATCTGATTAATAATGCTGCATGTACATATTTATATATATTAAACTTGGTCGGCTTGTATATCAGGGCTGTGGGTAGACATCTAGATAGTTGACCTTGCGGTACAATCATTATTAGTTTCTCGCACCATCTGTCGTGGCAAAGTGCACTCTGAGAGACGCTTATGAAGAGCAGGGAGTTATGGAAAGAAAAAGAGAAAATCTCGAAAATGATATTCCGGTGTAAACGCCTAACTAATCTGCAAATAGGGGGTATCGTGCGTACAAAGATCATAACTCATAATACTTCAATCTTACACCCACATTTCTTACACTGCCCTATCGCCCAATCTTGCTGCTCTCCTCCACCACTGCCACCAACCTCTCCGTGCGACATAATCTACAGCGAGCTCATCCCCAGCTTTACTCTCGGCATCCTCGCGCCTCGAGAACCGCCGCCTCCTCCTGCCCAGTCTCGGCTCCCGGAGCTTAGCACCGGCGGGAGCCGGCGCGGCGATCTGCTCCTTGCGCCGGGCCCAGCGCGCGGCAAGGTCCTTGAACCACTCGTCGGCGCGCTCGATGGTGCGGGTGAGGGCCTCCATGCCGGTGCGGGTCTGGACGACGCAGACGAAGAACAGGAAGGGCACGCCGGCGCAGACCATGGTGGCGGGGAACTGCCAGTCGTCGACGTCGAGGGGGAAGCCCGTCATGCTCCAGACGCTGGTGACGAACGTCAGCGGCAGGAAGATGATGCTGAGGCTGGTCAGGATCTTGATGTTGTCGCCCTGCTCGATGGCCCGCCGGCTCTCCTTGACGCTGCTCCCGCTGAACAGCTGGTCCCGCAGGCTCCGGATCTCCTGCCGCGTGCCCTCGTTCATCTCGTACACCTGGTGCAGCATGGCCACGGCCGCCTCGAGCTCCTGCCGCAGCGGTCGCAGCTTGGCCACGTACAGCTGGAACTCGGGGGACCCCTGCGCCGCGTCCGGGTGCGGGAAGAGTGTCGGGTGCCGGCCCGCCCAGAAGTCCTTCGTGAATGTCTCCGTGTAGGCGTTGATCATCGACTTGATGCCGTCATTGATCACTGCTAGGGTGTTGTACGCCCAGAAGTATCGTCGCGAGTATGTGAAGTGCTTATCTTCGAATAGCAATTTGTCACGAAGGCGGACATCAAACATAAACGTGACCTGTGAGTAGTTAGTCATGAGACTTCCAGAGCAGCGTGGACTGTCGTACAGGAGGTGTAATGAGCTTTGAGATGAGGTCGTTTAGTGCGATGTTTCTCTTAACGGCGTCTCGATACTCCATGGCCAAACTGTCGAGGAAGGCATACGGTCCGTTGTAAAAGACCTTTCGGGAATCCTCATTCCGCATTACGTGCTCGTCGTCCGCGACGCATTGGATATTGAGCAGCTGCCATGGCGCAAATGTGCTGTATATATTTCCAACTTCGGCCTTGGCCCTCCTCCTCCTCCTGCGCTCAAGAGTGCGGACTGGTTCTCCAGAGAGCGACAAGGCGAGGACAGAGCTACATTCACAAATATCGATGTGATCAGCGGCACGCGTATCCGCCGGCCTGTGGTCATATTTCTGCCATGGCGCCGGAGTACACTTCTCTCCGACTACGGTATAGTACTTGAAGACGAAGAAGAAACTGCGCTGCCGCAACTCATTCTGTTCGAAAGCTCGGTTCATGTATGCCTATTTTCGTTAGACACTCAGATCAGGGTGGCTGGATTCGTGTTCTTACTCTTGTCTTGCCTTTGTTCCCTTCCATCGTCACCAGATGTTGGAAGATTTCATCCATATCGAAATGACCGCCCATCGTCATATGTAATGTCCCGAGCATCAACGGGGAAGGGTCAAATAGCGAGCTGAAACATTTAGTCAGTTATGCTTGATGGATATTTCAGTTCTCAGGTATGAGCTGAGTTGTTGGTGCCCCCTCATCAAGGCCAATCAGGGGTGTAACAGCAGTAAAGTCACTCACGTCATTCTTCCCATCGCAGTTCCAGTAAAGTTGACGTGCTAGGTCCGCGTTAATTTGATTTGCTGAAAGAGCTCAAGAGATGGGGTATTGGTACCTTGACAGTGTCCCATACTGTTCTAGCATCCAATATAAGATCAGTATCATTGTCTTCAACATCATGTTTTCGTTCTGCCGCACCGTCTTTCCCAACTTCGTAGACCTCGTAGGTGGCACTATCGTACAACTTATCATGCCGATCATTGAAGACTTGGAACATGGTAGGCATTGTGAGTTCCTCACGTCTTTCATAAACATCATCCAAAGCTATTTTCACCCCCTCGCTGCGCTCCGCACTCTGGAGATGAACTAGCAAGTCACGCTCATCGAAGATAGTCTGTCGCAGGGGCTGCTGTACGCAAATCAAATCATCGGGAGGTAACCCGGTTGTCACTTGTGATGGGGGAAGCGGATGGAATTCGTCTTCGTCGCTGCTGTCCATGTCGTAATTCTGGAGTGAGGCAGGTGTGTGCTTCAGTCCGAATGGCCTCCTTTCGCCAGTTTCGTTGGTAAGACGGCGCGGGCGACGGGAACTGCCTCCAGCAAGCGGCGTGAGGTCGCCCGCAAACGTCGAAGCTACTGACAACGGCGCATTTACCTGCAACGGCCTCAGGGGTGGCGTATATGCTGCCATATTCCGCTCCTCAGTGGCTGAGCCCGATGTGCTATCGAAGAGTTCACGAAGAGTGCGAAGATAACGCGCGTGTTGCTCTTCAGCCTGTCTCAGCAGGTCATCATAATGGAGCCGAGACATTGTGGTCTTTGTTTTTATTTTTTATTTTTTGTAGAAACGCAGAAATGGATGCAAAGAGTTTACGTTAGAACGATGAAGATGACTGATCAGATCGATGTTGTACAGTATGTTGCAATGCAGCTTCTGAGCACAGACTCTCACCAACTAGATCTTCTCTCGCCTACTTATATACAAAGCGCCGAGACTGTCACACACTTGCAGCCGAGCTTTCGATCTCCGGACGCGGGGTTGCGTTTGCGTGCGGCTGAGGCCTTTGGTGTTGGCAACAGGCTGGGGGCCCGGAGCTGGCCATGACGATATGCCTTGGTCACTGTACACCTCTGGCAAGAACATGCCAACTTGCGAACGGGACTTGGTCCAAACGAGCACACCGAGGCCTGTTCTCCGGCTCCGGGATGGCTGTGCGACAGCTGCGTGATCTCCTGGGGACTTACACTGACCAACCGGCTCATAGGGCTGCGTCCGACTGAACACTTTGACGCTGGGCGAAACAGGAAACTTTCTTATCTTAAGGAGCCTTTGCCGTACGGGGAAACGTGACCTACGGGCGCAGGCCGAGGAGCTAGTTCCGTGATAGGAGAGACACTCCCACGTTTCTAGCGCGCTTCTGGTGTAGATCTGGCAGGCATCACTAGAGCCGGGCGGCATACCGGCGCACTCCGAGGCCCACGGCCCTGGGACTGCAGGGGATGACGTGCAGCTTGATCAGCTGCGTTCACCGAGGCTACATTTTGACGTTGAGTCAGAAGCAAGACCGATGCTATGCGAAGGCGCGGAAGGTTTCCATCGCATCAGTCTGCAGAGCGGAAAAGGGTCTCGGGTGCGTCAAACGCTGTTTTGCTAATAGTTGGTTGTTTAGACATTCCATATTATTCAAGCCAATGACACTGGACGACTGTTGATTTCTCAAATCAACTGAGTGACACAGTGCACTCTCGCGTAGTAGCGCGGCAATGTACAGTGCTATCGGCAGACGTGGGCTGATAGAGATCAGCTCCATCTAAATTTATGTGTAACGCGGCATTCCATCGCGCATTGTAAGCCCGCAAGCCCGCAAGCCCGCGAGACCCCCCAAGCTCTAAGCTCCGGATATCACGTCTGGACAATGCAGGGCCTCGTGGCTGCCACCGCGGCTCGGAACCTGAGTCGGCTTCGGTCGACTGCCGCCCTGCGCAGCAGCTGGGTGTGCCCGTCGTGCAGCCATGGCAGAGTTGCATCAACGCGCTACGCCCAGAGCTTCGGGCAGAGCTCCAGGAGGAGCTTCAGAAGCTCGGCCGTGAGAGGCATTGCGGACAAGCCATACTACATAACGACGCCCATCTTCTACGTGAATGCCTGTAAGACACGCCTTGGAGCTCTCGTTGTCGGCTGCGTGTCCATTGACCTGCAGAGTAGCTCCCCATGTCGGCCATCTCTTCACCATGGTCCTCGCCGACGTTCTCAAGCGCTGGGAGGTCTTGAAGGGCGAGCGGCCAGCGTACCTGTGTACCGGCACCGATGAACACGGAATGAAGGTGCAGCAGGCGGCAGATCTGCAGGACGTCCCTCCGAAGACCCTTTGCGACAGCAACGCCGAGATCTTCAAAGATCTAGCCAAGAAGGCCAACATCTCCAACGACTACTTCATACGCACGACCGACCCTGACCACCGAGAGGCCGTAGAGTACTTCTGGCGCCGGCTCTACGACAATGGCTTCATATACGAGACCAAGCATGAAGGCTGGTACTGCGTGAGCGACGAAACGTTCTACCCCGAGAATATGGTCACGAAGCAGGTCCACCCACACACGGGAAAGACCTTCATGGCGTCGATCGAAACCGGAAATGTGGTGGAATGGATAGAGGAGAAGAACTACCACTTCCGTATGACGGCTCTCAAAGATAGGCTCTTGGAGTTCTACAAGGAAAACCCGAAATGGGTCTTCCCTGCCAGTCGAATGCGCGAAGTCGTGGACTGGGTGGAGAACAACCTGGAAGATCTCTCTGTATCGCGCCCCTTCACTCGTCTCCAATGGGGCATACCAGTGCCAGACGACCCGGGCCAGACAATCTATGTCTGGGTAGATGCCTTGATCAACTATCTCACATTTGCTGGATATCCCAACTGGACTCCAGGCTCAGAGCATGCTGGTGGCTGGCCGGCCGACGTTCATGTCGTCGGGAAGGACATAGTCCGTTTCCACTGCGTCTACTGGCCCGCACTTCTTATGGCCCTCGATCTCCCGCTGCCGAAGCGGGTTCTCAGCCATGGTCATTGGCTGATGGACCAGAAGAAGATGTCCAAATCGATCGGCAACGTCGTGAACCCCTTCTTTGCCATCGATCGATGGGGGGTGGACACCATGCGATACTTCCTGATCCACAGTGCAGCAATGGAGTTCGACTCAAACTACAACAATGCGATCATCGTGGAAAGATACAAAAAGGGCCTCCAAGGTGGCCTAGGAAACCTACTCAACAGAGTAACCCGCTCCAAGAAGTGGAGCGTGCGAGAGGCTATCCAACATGTACACCAAGTTGGTGCTCAGCCCTTCAAGGGAGACGTCTTGGAAAATCCTCAGTTTGAGACGCTTGTAAGCGAACAGAAGAAGCATATTGAGTCACTGGCGGGCTTAGTATCAGAGCACATGGATGCAGTCCAGCCTAGAACGGCTCTCCATGAAATCATGGAGTTAATCTTTGAGGTACGTTTTCACTCCATTGAAGCCACTGACTGAGAGCTTATTGACACATTTACAGGGAAGCCGTTTCGTTACCTCTGTTGCACCTTGGGATCTGGCCGGGAAGGGCGACGTCTACAAGCCACAGCTACACCAGGCCGTGTACACTGCAGCAGAAACAGTCCGCGTGGCTGGTATCCTGCTCCAACCATTTATCCCAGAGAAGGCTGCGCAACTTCTAGACAGACTTGGAGTCGACCCAGCGTGTAGAACTTTCGAGTATGCGAAGCTGAACGCCGACTCAAACTACGGCACTAGCCTTGTACCTCTTGGTGAGGGTGCTGCGAGTAGTGTATTCCCTCCAATTGAGTGGGAAGGCTAGAACGAAGCACTGCCTAAGCATGTATGATTAGATAACTGTAGACTTGACATATGTACATGTACTATATACCTGAGATATGTAAAGATATAGACGCATGCCGCTGTACAAAGCTCGTGGCGGCCGCCAGGCTAGAGTGGGTTGTCGGGTTTGCGAAATCGCGAACCTCAAAAATTCCGACATCGCCCATCAATTGAGAACTTCCACAATAAAACCCTTTTTCCGTACCTGAATTCACAAGACTCTCATGCCGGAATGAGATACAACGAGAATACAGGTAAATAATCCTGCTAGCACTTTGATGTTCAGCCATTGACGGTTTCCAGCAATTTCGACGCCCAAGGTGCTGCTGGTGCCCTACGATGCCTACCATGTCCCGAAGTACCACGCTTGGATGGAGGACGCAGTATGCCCCCCTACCCGCCCCTTTCCGTTTCTTTCCAAGCATTCCTCTTCGCAAATGGATGTTGCTCGTTCAACCTTCTTCTCCATGACATGCACCGGCCGGATGTTGCGCACATCAAGGACGCATCCCCCAGGCTAACGCCAAGTCGCTAGGCAATCCGCGAGGCCACGGCCTCGGACCGGCTGACGCTGGAGGAGGAGTTCGAGAACCAGGACTCCTGGCGCACCTCGGCCGACAAGCTGACCTTTATCGTGTGCAAGCCGCTGCTCACCCCGCAGCCCGGCGCCCCGGTAGTCGCCGGCGAGGCCGACGGCGAGCCGCGCATGGTGGGCGACATCAACCTGTTCCTGACGCCCTGGGAGGACGATGCGGAGGACGACGACGAGGGCGAAGGTGATGATGGCGACACAGCAAAGACAGCGCCAGCCGAGGTCGACCGCCCTGCGGCGGCTTACTGCGTTGGCGAGGTGGACATCATGATCGCCGACGCCGCGGATCGGGGCCGAGGCACAGGGAAAGCCGCCGTTTCGGCCTTCCTGTGGTTCATCAAGCGCAACGCGGACGCCATCCTGGCCGAGTACGCGGCGGACACGGGACAGGAGGGCAGCGGCCTGAGGATGAAGGCGCTCGTGGCGCGCATCAAGGCGACAAACGAGGGCAGTATCGCGCTCTTCAAGGGGCTCGGCTTCGAGCAGCGCGGCAGCGTGAACTACTTTGGCGAGATCGAGTTGGTTCGGAGGGAGTTCGAGGCCAAGGGTGGCATCAAGGAGGTAGAGGGGTATGAGGAGTTGCCATTTGACAGGTCGAAACTCAAGAAGTAGATGCGAAAGCAAGCTAATTGTCTAGATCAGGCTCAGCTGGCCCGGGATCAAGTGACAATCCCATCAACATCAGAACGAATGTCTTGTCTTTGCGAGATGTCCTTGTAGCTGTAATATTCTAATCAGAATGTGATTGGAACGACATCGGTCCGGTTTAGCTACTCCCGTCAGTTTCCCCTGTGGTCATGATTAACAGTACACTCCGGATGGGTAATCTGGACCAAATGGCTTAAGAATGCCTTGGTTGTCTCGTCTTTTCCCTTGAAATGGCTGGATTTGTTTATACTAGGCACGGTTGTTGGGTTACAAAGAGAGTTTGTGTATTGCACGGCCTGTAAGCATTTCCATCCAGGCACAGGCCTGTGATATGTGATTCTCAGGTTTCGAGCGTTTATTATTAATTCCCCAACATGTCCCGTCCAGCCTGTAGCCTCTCAAGAAACATTGTATTTTTCTTGATAGCTCTTGAGAATCTCGAACGAGATGTTCGACCCACCGCATACGATCAAAACGACGTTCTTCCTGCTCCACTCCTCGTCCGTCAAGCCCTCACCCAACCATTTCCTCAGTCCACCGTTATACACCGGCGCGATAGTTGCGCCGCACGCGACCTCCACAAGTATCCGTGCGTCGTCTACAAGCCTCACACAACCCATTACAGCCTCTGCGTCCGTCACTACCGTATTGTTCAGGTGCTTCTCTTTGCTCCACTCGAAGGTGCGCCGCGAGACCGTGGGCGCCCCGAGGCTCGTGGCTATACTTGTGATTTTGGGCAGCGTGACCAACTTGCCCGCCTTGACGCTGGCGTCCAGGCTGTCTGCGCCGACGGTCTCGACAGCCAGGACCTGGGGCTTTGTCTTCCACGCCTTGGCCTGGTCGACACCGTCCATGATGCCGTTGAGCAGGCCGCCGCCGCCGACGTTGCACACGATGCCGTCCGGCTCGACGCCGAACACCTCCATCTGCGGCACGAGCTCGGTGACAATGCTGCTGGCACCCTCCCACACGTGTGGGTGGTCGAAGGGTGGCACGTAGACGCCGGCCGGGTCGTGAGCCACGAGGTTCTGGCGGAGGTGAGCGTCTGCCTCTGCCCAGTGCGCGCCGACTTGCTTGACCTCTGCGCCGAGGAGCCTCAGCTTGGCCATCATGTGCTCGGATGTGGACATGGGAACAACGATAGTGCACGGCTTGGCCAACGTGATGGCCGCCGTGGCGCAGGCGAGGCCGGCATTACCGCCGGATGAGCAGTAGAAGTGTGCCTCGCCACCGGGATTGGACAACATCGCCCGGAGCATCATGTTTCCAATGCCTCTTGACTTGAAGGACCCCGATGGCTGTAGATTCTCAAGTTTCAAGTATATATTGCTAAACATTGTGAGTCGTTGGATAAGTAGAATCGTCAGACTGGGAAGAAACATACCAGCCTGCTGCTCGGGACATGGTGGCGGATGGGATCAAGGGGGTCTCGATCCAGAGCTTTCGAGGCTCCGGTTCAGGTACGTAGGAACCCATCGTGAAGCAAGACTGATGAAAGGGAAGAAATGAAGGCAAACGGCGCAAGTAGGATGTCGTGTTTGCGTATAGTATCACCAAACGACTCTTGGTCGTGCGATGGACTGGCCTGGGAGATATAATTTCTCGAGTCTATAGGATAGCCAGGGGTAGATTAACGTGCATCCGACATCGCAAGGAACAAGGTTAGAATTCGAAGGGTAGAGTTAGAACGCGGTGGAGGTGTTGCGGTCTTCCCTTTCTACAATCTAGGTACGATGACAGGACTGATCTCGCCACGGGGCTCCGTAGACTTTATAGGCTTGCGCGATCTCCTAGTTGCATGTTGGTCCAGAGTAAGTTGATGTTGGGTGGGCCGCCGGTGGTTAAACCCGGACAGCGACCGAGCCCTGCCAGAGACTTGCATATTCTGGAGTTTTCGATTGACAGCAAGGCGCGTTTTAGCGGCTTTGGATCCATTTAAGGCGGGTTACACCCACTAAAACGCCAGCGAAACCGTCACGATACGATATCATGGATCTGTGTGGCATAGTGACTCTGCTCAAGAGGTGCATCGCTGAGGGTCGAATTGCAACCAGACTTGCAACGGCACATGCGAGTTGTAATCGCCTTCAGCCTATCGCGACTCTTGGTTTGGATCACGTCTGAACCGGTCGCTCTGGACCGCGGCTGGCCGATATAAGCCGTTTTGAACAGCGAACCTCTACTGAGGCAGGTGTTGAGTTTAAGGCGTCCGGAGACTTGACTGATAGGGTTGCGAGGATTTCTATTACCCTACGATTACCCTATACTCGCAGTAGCAACACGACTTACACCTCCATATGACGACCTGGAGAGCCACGATGCTGTCCATGAGATCAAAAGTACCTGTGAAGCAGAATTGATCTTTACGTACGAATTACCGGTTCATTGCAAGTTGAGTCCGGGTCTGATTGTGCATCAATGGCGAGAGGTGAATTGTGAAATGCAACGGACTGACTATCATAATGTTGCAAGGACTCAAATGCTGCGTATTCCCCGGTTGTTAGGAGGAGAGAGATAATGCGAGAGCGAACTTATTGTGTACACTGAAGATTGTTGTTTGTACCGTGATGCTTTGCTGGACAACTGCTTTCCGTCTACCAAAGGACATGTGCCTGTGAATTTCCACCAACGCCATCGAGGCGCTTTCGGGTTTCTTCTGTATCCAAGTCGCCCAACACGAATGGCGTAGCTTATGAATCGCAGAGCCAATAGAAGTAGGCACGTGTTCAAAGCCATATACCTGCTACCCGCTTCCTTGGTTATCGCATCCACAACCACCGAATCTTCCATGAGATGCGCCAGTGGAAGCTCTTGTCCGCGCAGTGAGCCCAATGCTTGACTCCCGTAACATGTATTCTAGCCTCCTCATCGCTCCAGAATCTCCATTGGCGGCCACAGCGACAGATGCTGATCCATGGTGTAGGGGCCTCACAGATACCTAGAGTTCTGGCTGGCGACCAGCCACCTCTTGAGCCCCCTCGGCGCATTCTTGACCTGGGCCTCCCAGTGCGGCACCATCACAAAAGACTCGTTAAAACTCTTGAGGGTGGCCTCGTCGCCCTTGCCGAACTTGACGGTGCCGGTGACCTGGACCACGAAGCTCAGCTTGTCGCCCTTGTCGCTTTGCGCCTGGGCGTCCGGGGCGCCGATGATGTAGTGCGGGTTCACCGGGTGGGCATCGTAGCTGAGGACCTCAAAGTGGACGGGCGTGCCTTGCTTCTCGAGAAGCTCCTGCAGCTCCGGGACCGACGTGATGACACGCCCATTGAAGCTGATGTCGGGCGTGAGGCTGGCTGCCGTCAGCTTGTTGGAGGTGGAGCAGTAGTACTGTGCCAGCTGTCCGCGCTGGTTCTTGTTCAGCGCATCATAGTAGTGCTCCACGAAGCGGTCGGCCGCTGTGTCAAAGGTCAGCGTACTGAGGTATTAAATGGGCTTCAATTGAACCTGGCCAACTTGCCTTCACTGGCGACCTTAGACTGGGTCTCAATGGACGGAAGTGGCATTGTGAAGGTGTGTTTTGGGGGTGAAGAATGAGCCCCAAAAATCTGCAGTGGAAACCAGCTTCCTCGTTATGAATGTCGCAATCCAGTTTCTGACTTGGTAGCCCTATGAATGATGATGCGTAAAACCATTCGTATGGCAAAGCCTAATGTGAATGCGCTGCTGGCTTATTTATCCATGAGGATGCTTCTGTCACTGTTCTTTTCGCGGGGTGAGAAACTTTGTTCGCCGCCCACCATCGATCGCACTCCATAGCCAATGAGCCACTAAGCTCAGGCATCTTGGAAGGAGTAAACACAGCACAGACCTATCACTTCATAGCACCAGTCAACTGAACGAGTAGGGATTTGTATTAGATTCGTGTAAGTGCCAGTTTCGGATTGTAATTATCTTCCGTCTATTATCTAGAACCGTGAGCAATTCCGAGACTCTGGAACTCTAAGCGTTTCTGCAGGCCCATATTCAACTGTAAGGATAGGTGCAAGCGAGCAACACACTTGCCTGTAGCCAACCCATACACCTTACAGAACAAATCAAATAGTGCCTTATGCGGGAACTTGCAGCATTAACACTGATGCATATGCATTTGAGGCTGATAGAAGTATCGCAAAGTGTCTTTACCTAGGTCGGCGCACGTGTGCTGGTTGTCAGGCCGAGTACGTGGAACAAAGCTGGTGCAATGCTGCAAGTACTCACTCTGCTTTATCCCCAGTGTTGGTTTCAATTGAAATGATTACAATGAGTATCCAGAAGAGCTCGATTCACAGGGAGCACGCACAGATGTACCGCAATGGACTCGGAGTGTATGTATGAAATCAAGATTAGACTACTTTGTGTCTCTATGTAAGGCCTATTAGCCTCTATGAAAGCCAGTATACCACATTGCAAAGCTCTTGGCCCGAGTCGTCATTACGACCTAGCGTGCTCATCTTTACACTAGGCCGAAGTACATCTATAATACATGAATGGTTCATGGAAAGAATTACCGTACTCTCCTAGTAGGAGTACCGAGACAATCATTAAGCTACCAGCGCAATGTTGTGCCAGTCAAGACACCAGCAAATCACATTTCGTGTACAGGACGAGCCAGCCGTGCCTTAGCTACCTCTGAAAAGGAACTGAAGGTCTTCGGGGGTCAGAGACTCCATGGCCGCGTCGTCCGAGTTGATCGTGGAATTGATCATGTTGGTCTTCTTCTCCTGAAGAAGGACGATTCGACTCTCTACGGAATCTTCAATGCAGAGACGTGTGATCGTGCAAGGGCGGGTTTGACCGATACGATGACAGCGATCGGCAGACTGCCACTCAGCAGCGGGGTTCCACCACCTGGGTATTGTTAGCTATTGTCTGCAAGGAGAAACCTTTCGAATGAGACTTACGGGTCGACGATGAACACCCGCGAAGCTTCTGTGAGATTGAGTGCAACGCCTCCGGCCTTCAATGATACCAGGAAGCACTCAACATCTGTGTTGGTCATGAAATGATTGATCGATGCTTGACGTTGAGCGGGGGTCATACTGCCGTCAAGCATAACCGTGGTGATGCCGGCACGGCGAAGGCGCCACTCAATGAGCTGAAGCATGGTCGTGAACTGAGAGAAAATGATGGATTTGTGAGAAGCGTTGTCAGATCTCAACTTGTGCAGCTCGTGCACAAGAAGCTCGATCTTGGATGACGAGGTCCAGTTCTCCATGTTGATTCGGTTGATGATGGAGGACTTCTTGACGAGCGTCTCGTCCTGCTCCATCTCTGGCTGCTCAAGGTCTATTGACAGCGGGATGTGGCATATGGGGCAATCAGGTTGCTCCTGCGAGTTGACGTAGCTTTTTGCACAAGCGCGGCAGAAGTCATGCTTGCATCTGGATCGAATCGCTTCCTCGGCAGGTTCGTCACAGATACAGCACTGTAAAACGTTCTGACCACCCTCGCCGGACTTCTTTAGGATGAGATCTGGGTGATCGGCGACCTGACGCATTTGCATGATCAAGCCGAAAATGTTGGCATAATTGTTCAGGAGGACACCTTGAGCCACGTAAGTGTCAAACTTACGCTGGCCACTGGTCATGATGCTGTTAGCAAAGTCATTTTCCTCTTCTCCGAAGAACTGGCGATCAACGTAGATTTCCTTGACGGGAAGCTCCATAGAGTTGGTGTGGTCTTTCTTCAAGCGGCGCAGCATGATACGGTCCGTCATCAGGCGGAGCTTCTTGAAAGCTTCTTTGCCCTCGCCTCGGTTGCCATACTTCTGAATGGGGTTGAGAAGCTCTTGATTGAACACAGACACATGTCTCATAGACACATGATTGCCTACAAGATGTTAGTTTCTTTCTGCTAATACAGGCAAACGATGAGGGAAGCTTACAGTGTTTGCATCTGCCCTCATCATTCATAGCCCACTCAAGCGTCGAGCATGGGCACTGTTTGCAGAAGTACGAGGCAAAGGGGTCCATGTTCAAGAAACGAATCAGCGAGAAGAACTCGCCAATACGGTTCTGCAAGGGCGTGCCAGTCAAACACCAGCGATAGTCAACGTTGAGAGCAAAGCAGGCTTTTGCAGTCATCGTAGTTCGTGTCTGTGAAAGTGATTAGCAATGTCCATCTTTGTGTCCTGTGGTAGACTCACCTTGATGCAATGAGCCTCATCGAGGATCACTCTGTGGAATCTGATGGAGTGAACAGCACTCTTTTCCTTGTACAAACCCGCCTTGCGCTGGAAGCCCTTTTCCTGCTTGCGGTAGAGAGATTCCAAGGTATTGTATGACATCATGAGGACATCGTATTTCTTCAGGTCTTTGGCTTTCATGTTCTTGGCCTTGGAGTTTGTGCCGTGAAAAACGAGAGTAGTCAGTCTGCCGTCAGTGTATGACTCTATCTCAGCAGTCCACTGCATCAAAGCAACCGGGGGCACAAGAACCAAGGTGGGATGTTTGGCGGGATAGTCTGACATGATGAGCGAGACAGCCTGAATGGTCTTTCCCAAACCCATCTCATCACCCAAGATGCCACCCTTCCACTTGAGTTCTTCCATCTTCCTCATCCAAGCAAGGCCCTCCAGTTGGAAGGGCTTCAGCTGGCGAGAGATCGATGCCGGCTGATCTGCCATGCCCTCCTTCAGAACAGGCATCTGTCTCAGGTTGTCCCACATGGTCAAGAGTTCGGGATGGAAATGTTCCAATCGCAGACGGTCTTTCTTTGCTCTTTTCTTGTGGATAGTGTGGCCAAAACCTCGTCGCTGGCGGGCGATTTGTTGCATTGCGTTGCCATCTTCACCCTCGACAAATTCATCCTCAGTCTGAGATAGATCCATGTCAGAGAAATCTGAAGGCGTAACGAACCCATCCTCCTCGTCACTAACGAGAATGGGGGTGTCGGCAGTGCTGCTCGTAGCGCGAGCCTTCGCAATCTTCTTTCCCTTGCGCTTAGCAGTAGAGGCCGAAGACTGGGTCTTGATCTTCTTGCGAGCTGGGGCTGAGCGAGCCAAAGGCTCGTCGTCGTCTTCGTCAGTTTTGTCTTCTGCAGACCCATCGACGGGGAGACCGGCGTCATCGTCGTAGTCATCATCCCAATCCTCGTCGCTACCTTCTGAGGCAGAGACGGCCTTGCGCTTCAGCGTAGTCGATCGGGCGACCGCTTTGCCCTTACCTTTGCGTGCTGAAGACGCGGAGACAAGGTTCTGAATGACATCCTGAACATATTCCTCATCATCAGTGTCATGCTTCGCAACCAATGAAGCTCTAGTACGTCGGCGTGAAGGGAGTTTAGAGGAGGACGGTTTTGCGCCATGGATAGCGGCAGCCTTTCTGTCCTCTTCATGTTGAAGCTGACGGGCGATTGCTGCATCCGGGGACTCGTCGTATTCAAATTCCGCGTTGTCGTCATCAGAATCGTCCACGGTATATGAAGTGGGTCGCCGGGCTCTCGTAGCTCTTGACGAAGTGACAGTCTCGAAACTCTGAGGTTTGGCAAGTTCGTCTTCATCATCGGAAACTCTGTCTGGCAACTCGACAACAAGACGGCTCCGGCCGGTGCTGGCTTTTGGCTGATTCGCTGAAGTTGAGGGTGCTGGTGTCACAACGTGACTGGTTGCTGGAGTCGAGTACTCGCCACTGTCTGAGATGGACAGCGCAGGAGAAGGGACCGAAGAGACAGATTCTGAACTGACAGCAGAGGCCTTAGCTTTCGGGGGCCTGCCACGCCTCTTGGGTGCCTCGGAGGGTGTCGGCGCAGCAGCAGCAGGCCTGCCGGCTCTACCGGCGACGGGCGTGCCTTTGCCGCTGGCCGCTGGGCTACTCTTGGCAGCGAGAGAACGTCTCGTGCTAGGAGCCATTGTGCTGGTGAGATGAGAGGTGGAGGATGGGATGATACGGAGATGAGATGAAGTGAAGGCGGGACGAAATAGGCGGGTGTAGACGCCCCAGAATGGCCACCCCGGTCAGCCCAGGTGAACGATGACAGGCGTGAAGTGGGTATCTAGAGTACGGACGTCTGTCCGATAAACAAAATGCAACAAAGTTGGGACGGTGAAGAGTCTTTGCAAACAAGACGGAGCTTTGTGTTGACCAAGGCGCACGTCAAGGCACACAAAGGCGGCATGCACGCGAGGTGAAGTGGATGACAGGCCCGTGGGGAAGTGGAATTGAGTGTGGTGAATGGATGGGGGACAAGGCAAACGGACCCGACAGTCGAAAGTCACCAATTGCCGTCTCGGTCTCATGCGACAGCAGAGCTCGCACGAGAAGGTGCAGCTGGAATCCCACAAACAGCTCGATGGTTTTTTGATGCGGCCGCGGGAACAGGTCAGGTCAATCAACAAGAAGCTTTGAAGCTCGGGGACTGAGACAACCCAGGGCGGTGGCGACTTTTGCGAAATCTCGAGCTGGTGTCAGGGAGCGACGAGGGGCTCTCGGTTTCCAGGCGCGATTCGGCCACGAAAGCAGGTGATTTCAGCTCCCAAAACCCATTAAACCCCCTGTCACTGTCCAGTCGCACCTGGCCCGTAGCGGTTTAGCCCCAGGCAGCACTCGCGCTAGCCACGCTAGATCGATCGGATGTCTGGGATCATGCCCCATGCGGCCTGTCCTGGGAGCCCCCCCAGCGCTGGTTCCCCCGTAAATCCATTAAACTGATAGGTGATAAGCGCTGGTCCCCACGCGCCCTGCCGGTGGCAACCGCGTTGCCCTCTCCCAGACGACATTCTCGCCTGGGTGCAACCTGACTAATAACTCACGTTCCGAGGAGGGAGAAAAAACGAAAAGAATTTCGGATGAACGAACGGCTTCTGGCCATTCACCTGTGAGCGGACTGATACCAACGTCTTCCTCTTTTGTCCGCTCTTTTCTCCTTTGATACGCCTCTGTTTCCATCACCGCAATCAACCACGCCGCCACCACTGCGAGTCGCTGTCAGGCCTGCGCCTCGCATACCAGTGTCGGTTAGCTCTCCCGTACCTGTGGTGAACACCTTGGACCGAGAAGTCGTCACGACACTCCGTCATCATGTATGTGCAGTGCAGGCGCCAGTCAACCGCTAGTTCACATACGCTCTGATACTGACTCTGCGCCGCAGGAGTGCTCGGCAGAATCGAGCTGCCCGATCGATTCGAGGCCCGTAAGTGGCCCACGATGCCGGTCCGTTTGTATACTTCTGCTCTAACCAAGTCCACAGGCAATCTGCTCTCACCGATTTCTTGGCCGTAAGTCTACATCGACGAGTCCATCATGAAGATAGTTTGCGCTTATGTCTAATCTATTCATCGTGTAGTCTCAGAACATCTCAGCCCATCAAATCCGTGCAGATGCAGATGCACGGCGTCAAGCTGCGGCTGCAGCAGCCGCCGCCGCTGGTGAGCAGGCCACCAACTCGGCGGAACCTGGCTCAGAGGGAAATGATGAAGATGGGGATGCGGACGAAGATGGTGATGAGGTTGCAAGCGCCGCTACAACCGCCCGAAGAGCTCAGGAGGAAAAACGCAAGAAGCAAGCTCAGGCCATCGAGAAGATCAAGAAGAGCAAAGCTTACCAGAAGCGAAAGAAGGACGCTGATGAGTCGGACTCAGACGATATCGCCGACGCCATGTTTCGCGAGAAGCTGCCTCCTCTCCCTGGACAGATGGAGAACTGCGAGATCTGTGAGAAGCGTTTCACCGTAACGCCATACTCACGCGCCGGCCCAAACGGAGGTCTACTCTGCACCAAGTGTGCCAAAGATCTCGCCAAGGACGATGGCCCTGCGAAGAAGAAGAAAAAGAAGGTCGCAGGCCAGGGTGCTGGCCGGCGCAAGGTTCAGAGCAGGATTCTGGACGGCACCTACTCGGTTGGTGCCAAGAGCATGATGACCCTGTGCATCGAGACTCTGGCGAAGAACATTGACCTGGCTGTCGAACTCGGCGATCTCCCGGCCCCTCTCGTCGACAAGATTGCGCGTCAACTATCCAAACGTCGGCTCCTTACCCCACAGAGTCTTGACCTATTCCTACAGCCGCAATGCGAGGATGTCAACGTCTACGACGGCTCGCGCCTGAGCTCCTATGACTACATCCGAATTTTCCAACAGGTCACAAAGCTGAAGAATCTCAAGATACGGAACGCTATCCAGTTCAAGGATGACGTTATGGCCTATCTGATCACCAGAAATATCAATCTCGATGGCATCCACCTCCACGGCGCCAATCTACTGACTGAAGACTGCTGGAGAACCTACTTGGAAGCCAAAGGCGAGCATCTCAAGACCATCAAGGTGTACTACACGGATAAACACTTTGGGGACGACCTTGTGGCTTCACTGAGGGACCTGTGTCCTTCACTGAAACGCCTGAAGATCTCCAACAACCAGAAAGTCTCCGACAAGGGTGTTGAGCATCTTGCCAACATCTCGACGCTTGAACATGTGTCACTAGACTTGAGAACCTTCACATCAACTGAGCCGTATCTCAAGCTCATCAACAGCATTGGAAGCAACTTGCGAACCTTGTCCGTGAAGCAAGTGATGGATCTGGATGACCGTGTTTTGGATGCGATACACGAAAACTGTCGATCTCTCTCCAAACTTCGTATCACCGATAGTGAGGTCATGACGGACCCAGGATTTGCAAGATTGTTCAAGAACTGGGGAAACAAGCCGCTGACTTTCATCGACTTTCAGCGATGTCGCCAGGTCGATGCCGCAAACCCGCGCGAGAATCCTCATCTAGTCGGCCTCTGCTCCGACGGATTTCGTGCACTGATGGAGCACTCTGGTAAAGGTCTCAAGCACCTCAATGTCCATGCTTGCCGACACATCAGCCAGGCAGCCTTCGAAGATGTGTTCTCTGCCGAGAAGGAGTATCCTGAGATGACCCATCTCGAGGTCAGTTTCTGCGAAGACATCACTGACTTTATCGTTGGAAGCATCTTCCGGAGCTGTCCCAACATGAAGGAGCTGAATGTTTTTGGCTGCATGAAAGTCAAGTCTGTCAGAGTTCCACGTGGCAAAATCCTTGTTGGCGTGCCGAATGCCCGCGGAATGATCATCGAGGGGTTTGAGGATTAAGCTGTGGTAACCTACACTGTTCCTTGGTTGTGGGTATGTAAAACATTGTGACGTTTGATGAACGATAGTCGGAGCAGATGATATGTGCAGGGGTTCGGTCTTGTGAATCACTCATCGGTCCCACATGCAGAAACCGTGTTTTTGTAACCAGAAATGTACTTGCAGAAGAGAAAGCAGAGCTACGACTTACATGGTTGCAAGACAACGGATTGTGGATTCTGCTAATAGCTGAGGAGACTGTTCATCCTCTATGTAGCTATAACGCTTGAGAGTGCGTCAACTCTTGATCTGACGACGGTGATTTCAGACTTCTGAGCCAATATGGTATGTAGTAAATGCACCAGCTTGTACTATGGTGTAATGAAAGCTTCACCAAAATGACGGTTTCTTGCTTGGAAATTGAGGTATCTTTGACCAAGGGAATTACACTTCTACAATCTATAGAATCTACCGCTACTGCTCCCAATTATTAATGTTGACGAGAGGCCGAATAGAACAAAAGGGAACGACGTGTTTAAGCTTTTGGGAGCTGTCTTGACTCCTTGAGCTTCTTCTCCAGCGAGGCCATACTGAACATCCGAGTGATGATCAAGTCACGCACAGAATCCCAACCGAACTTGATTCCGAACCAGGATATAAAAGACATGCCGCCTATCCACATAGTCGTGGTCGGACGACTGCTCAAGGCATTGCCCACAACCTTGCGAGCATAGGTCTCCGCCGTGACGGTCTGCTTAGCCTTGGCCTCGCCACCTCCCACGTTCGCCTCGATGTGAGATGCGATAGGAGAGTACAGACTGCCCTCTGGCAATTTCTGGCCGCCGCTGTTGGTGTAGAACTTGGTCGCGATGCCACCCGTCACGACATGGAGCACCTCGATACCGAGCGGGCGCAGCTCCAGCCGCATGGTATCGTTGAGAATGGCCAGTGCTCCTTTCGAAGCGTTATCTGTGACACGTAAGTAAGGACACTTCTAAACTCATGAACGAGATGAGTGTCTTGGGTAAACTCACAAACGCCTCCCCACGGGACCGGCACACGGGAGACGACCGAGCCGATGTTTACAATTCGCGGCTTGCTGCCCTTGGTGGCAGCAGCAACAAGCAGGGGCGCAAACGCTTGTGTCATGGCCAGCACTCCGAAGAGGTTTACTTCAAAGAGCCGCCGCGCCTCGGCCAGGTCGGCGTCGAGTATAGGTATCTGGTAACCGTTCCCGGCATTGTTGACCAGTATGTCGAGCGCGCCGCCTGTGAGTTGCGACACGTTCTCAACGGCGCTGCGTATCGACGCCGGATCCACGACGTCAAGCTGGATGACCTCCAGGCCGGCATCGCGCAGGTGCTGGACTTTCCCGAGGTTGCGCGCCGTCGCAAAGACGCGAAGGCCCCGGCGGTGAAATTCCTGGGCGAGCGCGAACCCGATGCCGCCCTCGCTGCAGCCCGTGATGAGGACCGACTGTTTCTGCGACTTGGCCATGATTGCCGCTAGGTTGAGACGTTCACAGTTCGAAGGCGGGAGGGCATGGAGTCTTTATTCATTTTGCTTGGTGGTCACGCCGCCAGTGCTTTGGGACAACGCACGAGCAGTTGGAAATGAAGAGAGCACGGCGCTTCATCATTTCGGCACTGGCCAAGCCAGGTAGTGCATTTGCCAATGTGAGGGCCAGCCAGCATCCGAGGCACATGCTTCCCCTCTTTGTCAATATTGACAATCTAGGTAATTGATCTGACATACTATCACAAAACGAGAGTTGGAGATGTTGCTTGATGTCTGAACATAGTTGATGATCCACTTTATTTACACTTACACATGCTCCCGAATAGTCTACCAAGGCCTGACAGCTAGGACGCCTGTTGCCGACTTGGGTTGTTCTGGGTTAGGTAGCAAGGTAGGGCGGGCCGCTGTTGAGGGGTTCCTCTAAGGCTGTACCCTGCCTAGCACAGTGGTTAACTAGACCCACGAAGCTACGCTGTATGGTAGCAGAGCAGATTGCCTTGGCGGCTGCCACGCAGGAACAAGTCCATCCTTGGTTGCTCGTGCAATGATGATCGGTCAGATAGACTCGGCTTGGGCAACGTCGTGTTAAATTGCTCTCCTCAGAGTTGTGGTTGGAATGCCACATGCTATCTTTCGAAGTGCCCACAGATGAACGAGCCATATGCCCCGTTGATCCTACTGCGCTACGCTAGCCCAGGAACTCTATGTTCATGCTCAGCCAAGATAGTTGTCTTGTGGTGTATGTTCCATTGCTGTTTGCCTATTTTGGACCGATCCTCAGTTGGTTGCCAGGTCCGTCAGTTGATTGGGCATAATGCAGCATAGGTGCCACGGCTCCTGGTACACTCGATTCTGTCGGCTTCACGGAGGGTATCATATGTAGCGCCTGGGACTGATAATAAGCGACAAGCCACACATCGCACTCGAACACTGAGTCGAGTTCACAGCTAGGCGCTCGAGGTGTTGGATCTTGTGTCATGTAGCGCTGGGTTCTAGTCGTGCATTGGTTCTGACTCGATATCGAGGTCATGCTATCCATGGCCTCTTGCAAGGACCGCTCGGCTGGCTCCTGCCTCCCATGCCGTCGATGCGTGATGCTCACGTCGACAGCCTCGCATCACACAGATGATGTCTTCTCACCACTCACCGGGACTGCTTTTTTTCGCGCAACTAGACCTCAAATTGCCAGACTTGCCAGATCTGACGAAAATCCTTGTAGATCATCTCCGAGAGAGCGGCTTGACAGGGGTGGATTCGTGTCAGCACCGCCCGCACCGCCACTCGACTCAGGGTCCAGGCTTGCCAAGCCGGTTAGAACCTTGTTTCTGCCCAGTTTTGCTGCTCGCTTCAGTACGACTTGGGCATGGTCGCACTCGCCACACTCGAAATCAGGGTCGGGTCAAGCCACATAAGTCCTTAATACCCCAGATATAATTTATGGTGTACGGCATGATAGCAGTGGGTGCATTACGACCCTTTTTTCCCTTGTCTGACGTGTTTTTCTTCACTCGCGCGTCTCCGTCCCTGCTTTGTTTATGCTTCGCCAGATGACCTTTGCAAGTCATCGCAATTGTGAGTGTTGGACGTGGTAAGAATGGCCACGGCTGAGGAGGGCACTGCTGCTGCAGCTACTGCAGGCGGCACCATTCCGGCTGAGGACATCAAGCCATACAAAATCCATGTGAGTGTCAAGCCTCTTTTACTCACAGAACGTCGGTCGATCATGTGGCTTACGCGCCTCGCCCACGCCAGGTCTCGTCAAGATACCTCGATCTCACAAAGCAAAAGCTTGAGATCACAAGATTGCCTCATGAGCTTTCAGAGCCAAAGTCGGAGGACTGGTGGGAGCCAAAGCAACAAGTGGAACCTTTAATTGATTTCTGGTGAGTCGTGTCTTGTCGCAGTGGTGAACATGATGCAGGCAGGGACTGACCAGACTTCAGGCTCGAGGACTATTCGTGGCGGACTCAGGAAGAGGAGCTCAACACAAGCTTGCCGCAGTTTCGGACAGGCTTCACTAATCCGCAAAGCGAAGCTCCTATTCGGGTGCACTTCATTCACATCCCCTCATCTCATTCTAATGCCTTACCACTTCTCTTAATACCCTCTTTCCCCTTCACTAATCTCTCATTTGGACATATCCTCAAGTCCTTCACGGAGCCCGAGGATGCCGCTACCAACCAGCCTTTCCATGTTGTCATACCTTCGGTGCCAGGTGTTGGGTTCAGCGATGCATTGCCGAACAATATCCCCGTCATATCGACGACGGGGGAGATGTTTAATTCCCTAATGTCCAGGTTGAACTATCCCCGGTACCTCGTAACCAACGTGGGATCTGGATCCGCGTCGCCAGCGGAGATAGACTGGCAGCTTGCCAGCTATTTGGTTACTGAGCATCCAGACTCATGTCTGGGAGCGCACTTCATCTCTCCACCCCTTGCGCAACCAAAGCTACAGGAGGCACCGCTGGAGTGGGCCAAATGGTCGATCGCGAGTTTTTTCCAGGTCCCCATCCTTGGCTATCAAAGTGAAGATTTCTCAGCTTTGGAGAGGAGTCGTCCCCCGAAGAAGTCAAAGAAGCCCTCGGCTCCAGCACAGTTTGGGTTGAACCAGCTTGGTCTCCGGGAGCCCAATACTCTCGCATATGCTCTCTGCGATTCTCCGACCGGACTGCTTGTATTTGCGCTCAAGAGCCTGCGGCTTCTTGCCCCCAAACGAGATTTCACCCCGACAGATATCATTACTTTCACGCAACTCGCTTGGCTTCCTGGGCCGGAAGCCGCAATGCGGTACTGGGCGCATTGCTTACAACATCCCGAGTCATTCGCCAAGAAACTTCCCTCGAGGCCCAAGATTGCGATTACGGTTTTCCTGGGAGATGAGCCCGTTGAAGTTACTGCTCAGGGAGGCGAGACTGGGGAGCCGGCACCAGCCTCCTCGCCCACGGTACTCGAGGACAAGGATGGCTATGCCTGCCCGAGCTGGGCTAACAGCAGATATAATGTAGTATATGCTCGGAGAGCTGCTGGCAAAGCAGGGCTCCTCGCGTGGGAGAGACCCGAACTCATTGTTGACGGAATAAGGGGCCTGGCAAAGGAGGTCCTCAGGTTGGACCCTAGACTTCGCCAAGCTGTGGCGCCCGCAACGGCCCCTTTGGAACGAGTTGTGTCGGGCGATGACGGGGCTGGAGACCCCGTTGGAAGCGGCGCAGCAACGACGATGGCATCACCTGAACCAATCGTACAACCCCCAACCCCGGGCACGGAGGAGGTCCTCTCGCCCATATCCACGGAGGACGGCCTGCTCGCCCCCATCCCGGAGGAGCGTGTGCAGCCGCACCGAGAGATCAGTGACGAGACCAGGGTGGCTTCCGACACGGAGGAGACGGAGATGGCGCTGAAGGCCAAGAGTGACGACACCTTGGTTACCGCCAGCCCGGACACGCTGCGCATTGACTCACCGCTTCCAGCGCCCTAATGATACCCCGTATGACTAGATTATGAGGAATGAACGGGATTAATTTTATACGCATGCTGGGGATGACGTTGGAAAGAGAGAGTCAATAGTAATAGAAAGGCTGTGTACCATTATACTGCTGGTCCACTCCGTACGAGAAATCATGAATCAGCTGCTGTACTTGTCATCAAATGACATTGAATGGATATTCTGCGCATAAATGCATCGGTCTTGTGTGAGTAGCTTGTCCAGGGACATCGGACTCTCGACTCTCTTCTAAGCGGTCGCAGGGTCTATGGCCTCGCTGATATGGATATTGAAGGCAGGTGGTATTGTGAACGCGAACCTGGTATCGTTCAATCCTAACTCCGCATACCGAACAATCGCAATTGTAGCTGTGACATGCAGCAAAATGTCACGACGAGGAGCAAAGTTGCAATGGTTCCAACAACTGGGTGATCAAATGAACCTTAATCTTTTGATGAATAGCCACCGAGCACTCCTAATCTAAGGGTATAATGCGCTGCCATACGTCATGGCAATGCGCGAGGGTTCCTGAAAGCAATGCGATCGTCATGAAAAACTGGAAACTATGTACTCGTCAGGTGTCACGTTGGCCCTTTTTGGGTAAATCCGCGGACGACAGTCTATCAACACAGTTTAAACCCATCATGATTCCAGCTGATTGCCAATGAATAGTCTCAGGAACACGTCCATATCATGCAATCGTTGATCAGCGTCCGTGGTCATGCCTTTGCTGAATTTATCATGTGCAAGTGAGTGGCCGCCGTTCACTGCAAAATGCAAGCCTTGAAAAGTCAATCGTAAGACGTCTGTTCTGTTCAGAGACTGGCCATGGGGGAAGCACAGCTGCTCTGATGATAGCCGAGTCAAGGTCCAGCCATCGACAATATGTCAAATCGCAGGATGACCACTGCGACCAAGCGAATTTACGTCCAACTCGTAGTGGAATCACGGCGATAGACTGAATCAGTCGTAGACGGCATCAATCTGCAGCTGGTCGACGAGCTCTTGCAGCCTGTCTGTGTAGCCTCCTGATGTCCTCGGGTCCTCGGGGCTAGCCTCCAAAAGGCTGGCCTCCATGGCTCTGTGATGCGAGATGAACTCCTGGATCGAATCGAGGAGCGGGCCCAAGCTCTTGGCCGAATGACTTGCCTTGAACGCGCGGCGGATAGGCTGGTAGAGGCACAAGTGTCCTAGGAGCACCGAAAGGTACCCAAAGGCCACATTCAATTGACTCTTAGCTTCCGAGTCGGCCTATGCAAGTTAGCTGTGGACCATCAGGTATCTAGAAACGTAGACTTACCTCTGCAGTATTCCGGTGATTATCCAAGAAGATCCGGATGAGCTCTTTCATCGGAGAGCTGCCGTCATCACCGGAACATTCATGGACAGCCTTCCTGACCGGCGTGCTTTGCTCCGCGAAGTTCACTAAAATGCCGATCCTCAATACGAGGTTGTTCAAGACGCCTTCAGACCAACCATCTCCAGCTACAGCTGCTGCGGACTGGGTGAAACTGGTACAGATCGAACTAGCCAACGCTGGAAGAATACCCTTGTCAAGGAAAGGGCCCGCAGAAGTACTGCTTGCGTTAGTCATGTTGAGCACGAGCTTCAGTAGAAGACTTTCGAGCTCGCTATCACGGGCTGCTGAGTTCTGAAGAGCAGACGCGAAGACTTCTGCAAGGATAGGCAGGTATCGAGCCGCGAGCTGTTCACCATGGTCTTGGGACTCCATAGCCTTGACAGCATGGTACTCGAGGATCGACAGAGAACAGCGAAGGTCGAATGTTCCCGGAGCAGTCGGTTCATCCCAGAACTCAGCATCCTTGGCCATTGGCAGGACACCGAAAAGGCCATGGGTCACATTGTCAGGGAAGAGCGCGGGATCACTTGCTAGTACAACGTCTTGGCTTGTAATTAGCTCGAGACCCTTCAAAGCCACAGTTCTTGGAGACAGCGATTCTGGCTTCCCGAGCTCCCAGATCGGAAGCTGCAGGAGAGATGCCTGTAGACCGATCAGCGCGGTCTGATTGCGCTTGGACAAATTGGTCTTTCGATCTCTAGCTGTTCTTTTGATGTCATCGTCTGAGTCAAGAAGCCGCCCGAAGAGATAACCGGCATCCTCGGTACGGAGGAGTTGAATAATGTGAGGCGCAGAGGACGTCGCAAGAAAATGTAGTAGGATCGTTGAGACCAAGTATCCGGAGATGACATCGGTCTCACTGCCGATTCCCTTGAGAACCGTGGCATCGATGCCATGGTTGCGTAGCCGCTGCCTGTAATCCTTTTGTTGAACTTTTTCAGCAACCTGAAGCAAAGCTGTCCTACGAGAGGATGACGGCTTGGGGGTGGGCTGGCCGATTTGTGACGACAGGTCAAACATCTCATCTGCAACGCGGCTGTTCTCTCCGGCTTGCTTAAGCTCGTGAATATCTCGGATCTTGCCTTTGGGAGACGCTCCTAAGGCGTCATCGTCTTCGAAATCCATGCTTGATTTGACTGGTTTCTTCGGGCCACCTAATTCAAGCCGTCGTCCTTTTAGCGACGCGAACCCTGTGTCCTCTGGTAGCGCAAGAGATTCGAGCAGGTTGTCCTCTTCCAGCATGGTGACTCTCGATTGGCCATACGTGTATTTTAGGGAACTTCCCGATCGCGCGATAGTTCTAACAGAAGCATTGCCGTAGGTTCGTCGCGAATTGGGGGTTTGGGTTGGGGTGGAAGACTGTGTAGTATCCTGGCTGGTCTGGCTTGATGAGACTACTGGGTCAGCCCAGCTTATTTGGTTGTCGGGTCTATCCTCAGCAGTGCCGTCTGACTCCTCCATCTGCTCCATTAAGGCGTCTATCAGCTTCTTTCTGGGCTTCTTGGCAGGCGTCGGCTCAAGTATCGACGTCGCAGGTGCTCTAGGTGCGCGGGGTACGGCCTGCGAGCTCGACGGCGCGCCAGATGTGGATTTGGTTTTGGGCAGCCGTTCGCTTGCCAGGTGGATAGGTATTTGGTGTTGACGGGGCCTTTTGCTGTCGCCAACTTGAAGGTTGTCGAAGCTTTGCCACGTGTTGGGGGAGAAGGGCAGCGCCTTCTCGCGAACTTGCTTCCCGCCCGCCCGCCTTTCCTTGGGGGCTACTGGTGTTGGCGGAGGACTGGACAGGATTCCATCTGTCGCCTCCACGTCCATCATGTCCGCCGACGTCGAGCGCATGCGCCGCGCCGCTCCATACGTCTTCCCTTTTGCGGCAACATTCTCGGTAGGCGAGGATACGCGGGATCTCTGTCTCGGTCGCGGTGCCGATGGAGAGCTGTCCTCGCTCAGAGGGTCTTGGCCCTCTTCATGGGCAGAATATATCTGAGCAATCTTGCGCTTCTTGTCGGTGCCCGTTTCCTTCCCCGCACTATGCGCAGGCAAATTGACATCCGCCGGCCCGTCCACAGAGAGAGGTTCAGGTGACGCATTGTCGAGGGGCGTTGATGATGTCGTGGTCGGTTGCTGCTGGCGCGTGGTTGCAGCCCTCACGGCGGAGGGTCTCGGGTTGTCGGTGGCCGTGACCGGCTGCGAAGCTGCACGAGTGAAAGAAGGCCTGCTTCTGGACGTCTTGCCATACGTAGTCTTGACCCGCGCCCGCGGTCGCGCGTTTAAGTCGGTCCTCGTAGCCATGGCCACCGGAACAGGCGTCCAGAATAGACGCTGGACAATAGATCTAAGCCACTGGGAAGGGCAACGGCTTGACCATGGTCGTGGTACGGAATGTGTGCTGCTCCGTATCTCTTCGTCTCGTGCCGAGCGGGAAACGGTTTCGCAAAGCGCTGGCGACGCGAGGTGCAAACAAACGGGCGCAAAGTGATGCAGACTCAATAGTCAGGGTATTTACTGAATCAAGATGGCGCGCGACAGTGGAGGGGGGCAGTTGCGAACTACTTAGGTACTGGATAAATGCACCTCGCGACCCAAGATAAATAAATCATATATCGCTCTACCACGCGTGATAAAAACGTGAGACCCAGGCGCTCAAAACCTTGGATTGTTTTCCAGATTGTCTAGTTTGAGAATACGTTGTCCTACGATTCAATAGCGCGAATGATTCATGGCCAGTGGGCTGGTGGTTTGTTGTTGATTCATCCGCTGCCGGGGTTCCTCTTCTGCAGCAAATGTGACGAAAGCATCCCACCATGGGCTTGGGCTGCTACCAGGTGGCTCAGGTACACAAATTCGGCGTGGCTGGTGTCGCTGCAGCACACAGCACAATGGAATCAGCACCCAGCCAGGGCCCCTGATCCCCCGGAGGCTGCTCGTTGCGGCACCGATGGCGCTTTGTTGACCGCTTCCAAGGTTTCCCCTCAGGCTGCGTTCAGAGGGTGCGCTTGGCCGCAGTCCCAGCCAAAAGCCAGGATGAACGAAGGGGGGGCCATGGGAAAGCGGCTGCCAACCTGCTGCAGGGCAGACCCCTGGCTCTCCTTTGGCCTTGGCTCCAGGCTCGAGCCTCCAGCCTCCCAAACCAAGCCCTAGCACAGCATGCGGCAGGAGCTTATGTATGCATCTACGTTGCGCTCTCGATCGTTACGTGGTACCTACCTTAGACAGCTTATTGCATATCCGGTGACTGCATAATCGGTGATTCTGGTAGCCCTACGGAAACCGGTTCTCTACATACCACGCCTCCCTGCTCGTCCTCGCAGATAATATTATATAATTGTTGCCGTAAATCCATACTCGCCAGACCGTCGGTCCCTTGGATCCAGACTCTTCTCGGCATTCCTCAAGGTCCCCCGGTCCAGATAAGACCCAATTCCATATTGCTTCACTAAGCCCTTACTCCATTCCCCACAGCTGGATTCCCTCATCTGTGACCCGGGCGGACTGAACCTGACCTCGACGGCTACGAAGCAATACTGGTGGAACTGCTTCTTTCTACGCTCGACTACCGGCAGAGGCCAATTCTTTGAGGGCACTGCAAATCCGTGGACCCGGTAACCTGACTGCTGGATCCATTGTCTCGTTCCAGCAAACACGCATCTTCAGATACTCACAGCTGCCCTCTGTGAACGTCCCCAACCATGTCTGGCAACACCCCTCAGCCCGCCCCTACAAAGTGTGTAGGGCCCGACTATCGCGCTGAAAGCCAAAAACCAACTGCTACGGTCTCGACCCAGGTGAAATATGACAATGTCGTCACCTTGCCGCAGACGCCTCAGCTCATCGCGCTGCTCACGTGAGTACATTCCCCACTGGGCATGACCGCAATCGTTCTCGGTTGCTGTCAGATGTCATGTGAAATACAATATACCGCTTGCTCTGTCGAGGCGCAATGTCCATATTCAACAGTCGTCACAAACCTCCTGGGTCGAACTATACTTATGATACGATCACGAAGAATCGGTGGCTCACACTGACACAGGATGATCCGAGACAAGAACACGGAGCGCGCAGACTTCATATTCTACTCCAACCGTATCATTCGCCTGCTTGTCGAGGAAGGCCTGAACCACCTGCCCGTAGTTGAACAGACGGTCACCACCCCTGTAGGACGGACCTACGCCGGTCTTCAGTTCCAGGGCAAGATTTGCGGTGTGTCGATTATGCGTGCGGGAGAGTCCATGGAACAGGGTCTACGAGACTGCTGCCGTTCCGTTAGAATCGGAAAGATCTTGATTCAGCGGGACGAGGAAACTGCCCAGCCTAAACTCTTCTATGACAAGCTGCCCGAGGACATTGCCAGCCGCTGGGTTCTGCTGCTCGATCCCATGTTTGCTACCGGTGAGCATTCTTGTTACCCTCTGTCTCTTTGTTCTTGGTATAAAAGGATGAGCAGATTCTGACTGTAGTCTCTCTTGCAGGTGGCTCGGCGATCATGGCGGTTGATGTGTTGAAGTCGCGTGGCGTTCCCGAGGATAGGATATTGTTCCTGAACCTCATTGCCAGTCCCGAGGGCATCCAGAACTTTGCCACCAAGTTCCCCAAGCTGAGGGTCGTTACCGCTTTTGTTGACGCCGGATTGGATGAGAAGAAGTACGTATCTCCCCCGCTCGCTGCTTCCATCCCACTGACAAAGGTGTAGCTATATCATCCCTGGGTTGGGCGACTTTGGCGACAGATACTACACTATGTGAGAGCCTGAATAATCCCCTCTCTCGAGAAGGAAAACCACGGGGTCTCAAACCATCAATTGGCTGCCTAACGCTAGACAAACATTGAGGCACAAAGAAAAAGCCCATGAACAATTCGCCAGTGTGCAGATGTTGTAACCAGTTTAGCCCCCAATTCCAATGCTCAATCAACCTGTCCGTACACCTCAATACCTGGGTGCTATAATACAATGTCCAACCCCCGAATCGGCCGGGCTGAACCGAAATCAGTACTCGTCGTCGTCGCCGACAATACCCTCTCCCTCGTAACGTCGGTCGTCCTCGTCATCGTCGTATCTGTTATCGACCGCCTGTTTGCGTGACGATGCGGCAGGAGCTCTGGGAGCACTTGCTGCCTCTTCCTTTGCGACGGCATCTGTGCACTTGTTAGTTATGATACCATCGGACCAAAATAGAAGGCCATCCCAGGGCCGCGCTGGAGAAACGTACCCGCAGCATCAACCCATTCGCTGTAGATGTCGATGGGCGCACTCAGGTAGTTGGCACCGCATTGGAAGTTCTGCCCGCAGACACCGCACTGCAACGTGCCAACGCCAGCCTTCTTGTCGACCTTGACCGTGACGGACTTCTCGTGGTTGCAGAAGAGGCAAGTGAATGTGGTTGCGAGCGGTTCGCGCTTCTTGGGGCCCTGGGGCTTGCTCGAGGATTTGCGTTTACCCTGCACGTCCCAGCTCAGTCAGCTTTCGTCGCTTGCCAACGAGCGCCGCCACGCTACCCCATAGACACCTACCATGATGTGCAGAAGTCCTTGCAGCCGGTGCAGGTCCTAGTTGGGCGCTCGACGGTGTCGCACTTCGGGATCGCAGCTTGGCTGAGGTCGCCGACGTGGGTGGGCGGGGTGTACCGTCCGTTGGGCGCAAGACAATAATATATGGGCACAACAGTCGCCGAAAACCTGCACAATCAACAAAAGCCGGTTCGTTGTCGTCGCAATTTAGGTAGCGGCAATATGAGACGTCGCGTTTGATGTTCGTGAACTTTCTCGGTCAAGCAGACAAAGGCCTCCGGTGAGCCGGGTGCAAGCTTGACGTCGCCGCCGTGTGCAAATGCCCCACAAGGCGGCCGCAAGGTTTAGCAACCTTAAAACCGCCCAGCAACCCAGATGTTATCACTTCACTTGGTGTCTATCGTAGCGGGTGGGTATAGCGGGGTAGCCAGATGCACATACCGGGGCACGCCCCCTCCGATGCGTGGCCGCCGTTCTTATCGGCCGCCCGTTGTCTTGAGTAATGGAAAACAACGAGCAAGTCACAGATAATGCCCCGTCGACGGCCGAGAGGAGGCAAGGATGCCCACGAGATCGCCGACAGCGCGGCAGGAGAGCGCAGGCGCCCCGTTCCCCTGGCGTGGACTTACAAGCTCTAGTCCGGGGAGTTCCCCGCCGTCCAAGGCCCCTCGTGATCGCTTCCGGACTCCGTCTAGGGGTCCCTCGCACTGGCGCCTGCATGTGACACCCGACGGATTCAGGCGGCCCAACCTATTGCTCTATCGAGGCATCGACAACTGCATGGCCGCCCGCGTCTCCCATGTTGTCTTAGATCCATCCCTGGGGTGGTCATGAGTAGCTCAGGACCAGTCGGAAGCTGTCCAAAACTGCTCTCTCCTGAGTGCTCAGTCTGTTATCCAGCTCTGCGGGTCAGGCCAAGTGTCCCACGACGGCCTAAGCGTGCCTGCTCGATCTGCTCTCCTTGTGCCTATCTAGTTCGTGACACATTGCTCTCGTCCAACCATTTATCTGTGATACTCCGGCTCTCTTCCCCGGTTGGCTCGCTCACCTTTGACCGACCCGGCACATCGTGAACTCTTATTCGCCTTGCCCAAGTCACATGCTCCCCAATCTGTGTCCTCCTATCTAGATATAACGTCTGCTCTCCCTCGCTCTCTTCTTCTCTTCTTTCCTCTTTCCTCTCCTCTCCGGTCTTGTACCCCTACTCCCCCGGCAACCTCTCCGTGTGTAATTGGCAAAAGATGGCTAGTCAAGGATCGGACTCTGCCAACATGGCAGCTGTTCTTCAGGCGCTGAGGTCGATCCAGGATAACCAATCGGTGCTTACGGATGGCTTGGCAAGCGTGACGAAGCGGCTCGACCAATTGTCACCTGAGAGCTCCGTGGTGGCAGCAGCACGGAAGAACAGCACCAGCGGTGGCGTTGGCCTGAGCTCCAGCCCGATTCCGGCGCCCACATCCCCAACGGCATCCCCGGGCCCGGCGGAGAAGGAGACCGCGGCTGTGCAGGCCCAGAAGTCTGGATTTACCTCGAGGATCATCTTGACGTGAGTGATCAGGCTATTTGCGATCCACTTGATCGAATTGGTTAGGTCCGGGGGTTAATACGTCGTTGTAGCACTTATCCCAAGCAGATTGGAATAGATCCCTTGCCATTGAACTGGGGTGCCGCCGAACCCACTGAGAGAGGCCCAGTGGTTGTGTCTAGATCGTCTTCGACCATTGGCAAGCGAAATGGTGAGTTTTCGAGCTTCAGAATCGGAAAAGGAACACTTCTAACCACCATTCATGATAACAGCTATTGGAGGCAAGTGTATCTCTTGAAAGAGCTGCGTTGGATAATTTTCTTACCTTGGTTTAGCTCACGGAGGGTCTTATTCCATCTACTTTGCTCTCGCTTTGGCAAGCAAGCAACTCGATATCAACCACAGGTGTGTCAGAACCCATAGATCACGAAGATGGCAAAGAGCGCCAAAAGCTGACAGGCTCCCAGGCCGGATTTCACCAACACGGAGCCAGCTGCAAACATCGGGCCCTTCCCGCAATGGGGAGACAAGAAGAAGATTGTAGCCATGGATCCGTGGGGCCACTTGGGCCCTTGGTTGTTCGCCGACACCATTGAGAAGCAGAACGGTTAGTGTTGGCCATCATTGAGGTCCACATCTATACTAATTACGATACAGTTGACATTCGACCCACAATTGCTATCACTAAGGCGCATATGAAGGTATAGATACCGCTTTGCAACTCGAAGGTTTATTCTGACCAATGGTAGCTGCCTGAACTCGAGGAGAGTGTGCGCAAGGGTAGAATGTGAGTACATCTAGTTCAAGATGGTTTATCACAACTGACAGATATCAGAGTTCCCGATGGTAAGATCTGCTTGAACGCCTCCGGAGAACTTGCTGTTACGAAGTTTGCCGTTGAGCCCGTAAGTCATCTACGCCCAAGACTGCTATGCCGAGTAATCTAATAACTGGACTACCCAGGTCTGGTACCTTCCTGGTGTTGCCGAGAGATTCGGCATCGACGAGGGAGTTTTGCGACGGTCGCTTTTTGAACATACTGGAGGCAGTTACCCCGAGGTAATGGTTTCCAGTACCTCGATACCCGCCACGATTGCTGACCACCCATTCAGTTGATCACCAGAAATGACATCAAGGTCTTCCTCCCGCCAATCGGTAAGCTGATATGGTCATAATACCTCCCCCCAACGTATGCTGACATGCTACAGGCGGCCTGACGGTCTACTGCTTCGGTGATCCGGCCAAGATGTCCGACGAGAAGGTTAAGCTGGCCCTTCGTATCCACGATGAGTGTAATGGAAGTGATGTCTTTGGCTCAGATATCTGCACCTGCAGACCTTACCTGATTTTCGGTATCGAAGAAGCTGTCAAGGAGGCACAGAATGGTGGCAGCGGTGTCGTCATCTATTTCAGGAAGGAAGGCAGAGCTCTTGGAGAAGTTACCAAGGTAAGTATTCTAAGTGGAAGATGAGAAATTGATACTAACGGTTTACAGTACCGTAAGTGATGCATAAAGGACCAGCATGAATCCTACAAGCTGGAAGCGACAAACTAACTCTGCCACAGTGGTGTACAACGCCAGAAAGCGAGGTGAAGACCGCGCCTCGGATTACTTCAAGAGAACCGAGAACATCGCCGGAGTGAAGGATATGCGATTCCAAGCCTTGATGCCTGATATCCTACACTGGCTCGGAATCAAGAAGATCGACCGCATGCTCAGCATGAGCAAGTGAGTTTTGCTGTCGACCCCCGCAACGCTAAAAGCAGTGAGTGGCTAACGAGCGGATAGCATGAAACATGATGCTATTGTTGGACAAGGGTAAGATTGCCGTGATAGTTGCCTTTTAAGTAATCACGTCCGTTCTAACGCAGGCACAGCATTCCCATCCACGAGCGTATCGAGCTGCCAGAGGAGCTGATCCCTGAAGATTCGCGTGTGGAAATTGATGCAAAGATTACAGCCGGTATGTCACTTAACATTATCTCTCGACCCGTGGGGGGTTCATTGGATGTCTGGGTATGGAGAGTTAACGCGGGAGACACTTGCAGGATACTTCACAACAGGACACCGAATGACAGACGAGGAACTGAAGGCTGTCCAGGGCCGTATGTGGGAAGAGTAAGTCGCGCACAACTGTAGCCAGTCAAGGGACCGTGAATGCTAACTGCGGCAAAGCATCGACCACTGAGCGTATCCGCCTAACGCCGACCGAGAGCCGATGCAATGGGTGACGGGAATATGATGTGATGTATGCGCGCGGGGGCTTATTAGACATACTGAGCAGTCAGCAACTACAATGCGCCATAATGCCCGCGTTCGGACTAGGAAAAGTAGGAGGTTGAAATAAAACAGACAAATCGAGATGCCTTTTGACAATCGTCCCAAACCTTGTGGCTGCAACGTGGGTATCGTGTCTCCAGTTATAGTGATGTACGGCCAGGCCAATACGCCAAGGGAACTGCTATGTCGTTCATCCGGGTGAGGGAGGCGGTCGACCGTTGTGATGAGACACAGGGCGTGTTTGGTGGAATTGCGCGCGTTATGTTTCCCTTGCCTGGGTCTCCGTGCTCGGCAATGCAGCTCGGGCTCCAGAACATGCACAGGACGTCAGTGAAAGGGCCACGGGTTTCCATTGCTAATGCGCGTTTGGGATCCGTGACAGGCCATCGGGCATATGGACCCGATATCTGCAGCAGCGTTTCTGGAGTGGTGCAGGCTTACCGACAGTCAGTAAATGTACATAGTAGGGTCGGGAGAGCACCGAGAGACTACTGTATGAGCGGCAGAAGCGTCGAATGTACCCATGGATGTCTCGAGGCGGTGGCGATAGGTGTCCCCGTATTCACAGGCCGAGAGCACGGTGGGCACCGTCAGCCCTCCAGGGCGCGCGGGAACGCCCCAGTGAAGATGTCCAGAAAACTGGAGCAGCAGCCTGCAGGATCGAGAGGAGTATAGTCCCTTGGCAACGCCCAGGGGTCGGGAGCAAGGAAGTCGGGTTGGGCGCCGCCCTACGAGCAGACGGTGAGTGGTTGTCGCCGTGCATAGGGAGCCTGGGGGAGGGCTTCCAGGCGGGCGGTGGGCTCGTTGCTCGCGAACAACCGCTATTCGCCCCACCCGGAGGAGCATGCGGGACCGCTGGACAAAGTCGCTAGGCGGTTGGGCAGCGACTGCAGCACCCTAGAGACCAACTGCAGCCCATGTATGTACGCCCAAAATCCCGGATGCCACCACACAGCGGCGTACACGACTTGCCAACGGCTCTATTGGCGACTTAGGGCGACCCCATCCAGACTGCCATGTGGCACTCCCCTTCCCCCCAGGGGGGTTGTCGCGAAACTGGTGCCCGCAAGCGGTGGTGTAGCGGATGCGCGGGAGCCCGTTCTGTGAAGGCGTGCCTTCTTTAACCCCAGGGACGGCAGGCTACGGCCGCAGGGGATATCCCTCGTTGTTCTCGTCCATCGTATGTTGTCGTTGTCTTTGTGCACCTCTTTGATATCACAAGGTGCTGCTGCCAGCTTTGCGGTCCCATAACCAGTCTCCGGCTCTGGCACAACTAATTGGCACCACCGAGACTCTTTTGAAATATGGGAAGAATGGCATCCGCGTCACCAGACTCGCACCGTCTCACCCGGCGAGACTCCTCGCCAAGGGCAGAGCGAAGCAGCAGCAGGCGGCGGCCCCGTCTGTTGAGAGCATGTGCCACCGAGCCGTCAATCACCACATCCAGCGCCTGCAAGGGCGTGTTGACGAGCCCGAACTCGAGCAGGCGGGCCACGGAGCTGCTCAGCCGCGTGGCAGTCTCCAATGCGACTGCCAGCTCGGGTCTCCTGAGCTCTTCGCCCACCTCGACATCTGGCTTGACCGAGGCGGAGAAGAGGGAGCTACTGAGGAGCAACAGCAGTCCATGTAGGATGGCCCCCACGTCGTCCCGGCCGTCTTTGTGAGCGAGTTTGCTGACACCGGTTTCCAGATTCGGCATGCTATTTCAGCTTTCCCAACTTTGACGAATGGGAGGGCGAGCAACAGGACGAGGGGAAGGATGGAACCTGAGCAAAGACTCTCGTCTCTGCTTCGATGTCTCATAAAGGTCATCGGAGCATATTTGACGATGATTGACGATTTCACGCTTGGGACGACTTTTGCATTAGCGGACTACATCAGCGACTTGGATCAGCGAACTTGGACGAGACGGGCGTGTGATGCATCAAAATGGAGATGATCACAAGGCGTTTGGGCGTATTACAGCATTTACACGGGCTCGACCTTCAACAGATACGGTCGGGCTAGGAGGGATTATGATACCACACATCGACAGAGGGTTTATTATACTCGGAAGACCCAAATACACGTTCCGTAATACAGACACATTACAACTAGACACCGAGGGAGAGAGGCGTGCAGTGCAAGTACAGCTGTTATTCGGGACTACGTGATTCGTTTCTCGCGGCAGAGATTCAACATGTCGTGATCAACTGCGCGGGCATGATTTCTGTGCTATCCATGGGAGCAGATCGGCCGGGGCGTGTCTGGCCGGAGTTGTAGATAGAAAGTGAGAGGCAAATGCCTATGGATAATACTACCAATCAACGATCAATCAAAACGCTCCGCAGGCTGTGAAACAAGCCATTTGTCCAAGTGACACATGTCGGCTTGCTGTATACAGGCAGTGCATTGCTGATCTGTATAGTGCAATTCTATATTAATGAGAATTGTATGGCCGCCCTAGGCCTGGACCATGTAAACAGCGTGCTACGCTGCGGGGTACAACCACGATGAATGACCTCACTCACAGCACGGAGCTGCAAACGAGGGTGTTCAATAGGTTCTTTGTGGCTCAGAAGAGGAAGGGAAAAAAGTAGACGTGAGCGCCATTCTAGGCTTGAGAACCTACCTAACTACTAGTTTGGTTTCTACTCACAAAATATTTTTGTCTTGTATGTAGATCACTCACAGACTAACTTGTCCCCTTGTGTGTAATCGTTAGTTATACTGGACTACCGGATTCGTTAGCTGCCTGGCAACCACCACGGCAAGCATGGGGCCCTGGGCAATGGCTGAGTGAGGTGGTGGGGGTTTCCAGTGCACGGCTGGCGGGCGGCTGCCAGCGACTGGAGGGGAAAAAGCTCGTGGCTCGGGGGCTTCCACCGTGGACCAAAATTTTGGCGGGTGCACAGACCCGGGTAAACGCCGGCCCTAGCTCTTTCCAATTCGCCTAGTCCAACCCACACAGAGCGCAGCCCGAGAAAATTCACAATTTCGTTCTAAGATTTGGCCCTCCTCCGAAAAGTCAACTACCATCAACCGCCTTTTCAACACCTCAATCCGGACCTCATTGCGCGGCTTCACGACTGCTCGCAATCATGGCTGTTGGAAAGTGAGTACAAACGAGTCTTCTGCACACCATCACCGCAACCGCCGCCGTCATCAGGTTCGCTGCGAAGTCGCCGGCCAGTTTGTTATGCGATCTCGAACAACGCCCGGCGGCGGCGGCCTCGTCAAGGATTTCGAGCCTTCGAGCCTCCGAGCCCCCGCCCTGCGACGACCATCTCTCTCCCGCACTGCCTCAACATCATGAACGAACCGGGTGGGAAATTCTGGTGCTAACCGTTGGCGTCCTACAGGAACAAGAGATTGTCCAAGGGCAAGAAGGGTCTCAAGAAGAAGACCGTGGACCCCTTCACCCGCAAGGACTGGTACTCCCTCAAGGTATGCCGATATATATCCTCGAGTTGATCTCGCACGAGACGAGGCGGAATCAGGGCGCTGACAGGACTTATCACAGGCACCGGCACCTTTCAATATCCGAGAGTATGACCGCCTCCCAACCCCGCGTAGTCGATCTTTGCTGCCGCACACATTCTAACATTCACACTCTAGCGTCGGCAAGACCCTGGTCAACAGAACCACTGGTCTCAAGAACGCCAACGATGCTCTGAAGGGCCGCATCGTCGAGGTCTCCCTCGCCGATCTCCAGAAGGACGAGGACCACGCCTTCCGCAAGGTCAAGCTCCGAGTTGACGAGGTCCAGGGCAAGAACTGCCTGACCAACTTCCACGGACTCGACTTCACCTCGGACAAGCTGCGATCGCTCGTCCGCAAGTGGCAGTCTCTGATCGAGGCCAACATCACCATCAAGACCACTGATGACTACCTGCTCCGCCTCTTCGCCATCGCTTTCACCAAGCGCCGCCCCAACCAGATCCGCAAGACCACCTACGCTGCATCATCTCAGATCCGTGCCATCCGCAAGAAGATGACCGAGATCATCCAGCGTGAGGCTGCCAGCTGCACCCTGCAGCAGCTGGTCTCCAAGCTCATCCCTGAGGTCATTGGTCGCGAGATCGAGAAGGCCACCCAGGGCATCTACCCCCTCCAGAACGTGCGTCTTTTCCCCATGCCGGACCGGCCACCCACCACCCTCGCGCTTTACTGACTTTACCCCCCTTTAGGTCCACATCCGCAAGGTCAAGCTCCTGAAGGCACCCAAGTTCGACCTTGGTGGTCTCCTGGCACTGCACGGCGAGTCGACTACGAACGAGGATGGCCAGAAGATTGAGCGGGAGTTCAAGGAGCGGGTGCTCGAGGAGGTCTAAATGTGATGAGTTCTCAGGACATGGAACGGCGTGAGGGTTTTCCCGCAATGGCATATTAGGTCTCTTCTGCTTGCATTCGGCGTGGCAATGGTTAAGCCGCGGAATTAAAGCGGCCTCTCAGAGAAGTAAAAATGGGATGCTTGCTTTACGAAGATATGACCCTCGGTGCCATGGTGAAACTCCTTTTACGTGTTTATGTGTTATGGTTGGCAGGAAGCGTCTGGTCTAGGTAGGGCTTAGGTTCGCTATTCTGTCTTGGGAATGCAAGTCCTCCACCTCCATGATATGGAGCGAACCGTGCCATGTTCCAGCAGGCGTAAAAAGACGAAAATCATGTTACGTATCAGTCCACGGTACGGAACTCGTACATACCTGTCTACAGGCTTGCGAAGACGCCGTTGATAAGTGCGTGTGGTAGTCCACCACACATTGTGATAGTTCCGTCAGTAACCTATCAGCTCGAACATGTTTCCACGTCATCGTCAATATGCTGCATGCGTTGCCTTGGCAGCTGTGCACGTGTGATATACTACAGTCAATTCTTCGGAACTCCCTTTCGCGTCTTTCAACTTTTACTTCGCTCTTCATGTTGGCACATTGCCGCCCGTCGAAGTCGTGCTCTCTTGGCGAAATCCACAACGAAACTCTGTTGAAAGCCTGATGATCCCTTTGTCACTGCAGAACTACAAGAACAGAAGTGGTAAAGAAAGCGACTCCAGAGCAGATCGGAAGCTGAAATAGCCTTCTTCCACCCGCAGTGAGTAAAGTAGTAAGTTGAGGTGCGTGTGTGGCATCGGTCTTCTGCTTTTGGGAGTCGGCACAGGACGCTTAGACGCTGAGCTGCGGATGCCATCCGCCGTCTGCTGCACCAGAGAGGGCGCTAACATGTCGCAAGGTTCCGCCGCCGTCCGCCCCAGGGCCCAGGCCGAGGCGTGTGCATGATCCCAAGATTCCGACGCCGTTCCCATCTCGCCGTACCTAAGACACACAACCTAAAATAGTTTCAACGTCGCGTGCCCTGTCTCATCCGACCCTTAGTCGAATCTTGTTATTCGTGTTATTAACAGACCTGCGGTCCCCTTGATCTGGACGTCCCGCGGAAACGTCTCTTCCGGGCGCCGGTTGCATCATGACGTCCGAGGATGCCTTGCCCGTCCTGAAGGTGCTCATCATCGGCCCGTCCGGCGCTGGCAAGAGTGCTTGTAGGTCCCCGAGCTGCGCGCCAAAAACATACCTGTTGCACACTCGTACTTATACGCGACGGCAGTACTGTTGAGATATTGTGAGGACCATTTCGACCCAGAAACCTCTACCGCTACAATAGGGATCGATTTCAAGGTAGAGTCACGCGAGCAAGCTGAGTAGTCTTGGTCGGCGCTGATCGGATGTCCAGACGAAAAAGCTGTCAGTTCGAGGGCAGGCTTACAGATTAAATGTCTTTGATACTGTGAGTTGAGATGCAACTCTAACGCTCACGACGCAGTGGAGCTCACCATGTTGGGGTTAGGCTGGTCAAGAACGCTTCCGCACTCTGTCAACGAGTTACTACAGAGGAGCGCATGGCGTAATCCTCGTCTACGACATTTCTAGCAGGTCGAGTTTCCTGAGCATGGAGAAGTGGATCGAGGAGGCCAGGAACAACGCCCAGCCCGAGGCCGTGCTTTATATCGTACTTCTCCCTTGACTCATGCCCAAACGAGATGACACCGTCTTGACTAACCTGACATTCAGGTTGGGAGCAAACTCGATAAAGTAGCCTCCGGAGGCCGTGCCGTATCGACTGAGGAGGGCAAGTCGTTCGCTGATGCTCAGGGCGCAGGCTTCTGTGAACTCAGCTCCAAAACTCGTGAGAACGTACGGCGGCCATTCGTTGAGGTGGTCGACAGGATCGTGCAGAAGCCACAGCTCCTGAAGCCCCCGAACGCCAACAACAACACGCTCAGCATTTCCAACATTGGGTCAGACTACTCGTCAGCTTGCCCGTGCTGAATGTCGTTGACTTGGGTGGAAGAAGCAGCAGCAGCATTTCTGTGTATCCCAGATCGGGATGCATGGAAGGAGATTAGGAAGGTTGACTTCGTGTGTATATTTACTCGGTGTTTCTCGCGACTGATATCCCTGTGTTTGCGCGAGCGTCGTCTATATGTCTATGTCTATTACTTGGGTATCACAATGCAGTTATGCAGAATCCGTTCCTTTTGATATGTATCCTACTCTTTGGGGCCCAGAAACTCGATGACAGCTGCATACTCGTGTTAGTCGTTTGCTCCTCGGATCAAGAGAGATTTCCAACATACCTTTCAAAAACGCCTCGGGCTTCTCGGAAATGACCCAGTGGCCAGCATCAACGTCCACCATGCTGAACCTCGGGAAGAACCGCCCGATCAGCGGTATGACCTCGTCGGGCACGTACTTGCTCTTGGTGCCCCTGACGAACAGTGCCGGCTTCTCGAACCGCACCTTCTCCGGGTCCTTGAAGGGGAAGTCTCCCATGTTGTCAAGCTCTTTCGCCAGGGTCTCCAGGGGTACCTTGAACCGCTGCACCGTCTCGCCCTTGGGCCGGTGCAGGTTGCCCAGCAGGAACTGCCGGATCGGCAGCTCGCTCTCGTACTCCTGCAGGATCTTGTCGGCCTCGCTCTGCTTGGTCACGCCGGCCGCCTCGATGCGCCGCATGCCCCGGATGTACTTGGCAAAGTCAGAGCCCAGCGCGGCGTCCAGCGGGGCGTTGTCGACAGCCACGATGTCGTTCACCAGGTCCGGCTCGGCCAGGGCCAGCACCATGGCGGTCTTGGCGCCCATGGAGTGGCCGATGAGGGTCGGGGCCTGGAGGCGGTGCTTGGCGACGAACTCGGCGACGTCGTCGGCCATGGCGCTGTAGTTGTGCGTCGGGTGGTGCGGCGACTCGCCGTGGTTGCGCAGGTCCAGCGTGTAAACGTGGCGGCCCAGGTCGCGCGCCAGCACCCGCGACACGCTCCGGTTGTTCTTGCGCGACCCGAACAGCCCGTGCATGAAGAGGATGGGCGACTCGGTCGGCGCCGCCGCCTCGCGGCCCGCCGGCGGCTCGTGGTGGTCGAACGTCAGGTCCACGCGCGCGCCCGACGAGTAGCACCGGGCGGCGTGTGTGCGAGGGGCGGCCGCGGGGGCCTGGCGCACTGCGCGCAGCAGGTGGAGGGCGCGCGGTCTGACCATGCTGGGTACCTTACTGGCTTTTAGCAGAGCAGACAATTCAGTCGCTGGCCTGGGCGGAAGGGCTCGAGTACTGGTGGAACCAGAGGTTGGTATAATTGCGCGTTAGCAACGCCAATTGAGGGTTTTCGGCTCCCGCTTTGGGAAATTTTTAGGAGGCCGGCGTTGGATCGGAGGGCGATCCCGAGCTGGTGGGTCTACGTCATACCGTTACCCTGTTCAAAGATATAATTCCTATGCGGAGTACATCCGACGAGTCGCTACGACTTTGGCTTTTAGTTCCATTTCAGGAGTATTCTATGCATTGTGACATTGCATCACATATCAGTGGGTAGTATGCGCAGTATGCCTTGATCGACGCAGCCTATGTAGTGTAAGTGCAAGTTGTACCAATGGGCTGCATCTGGGTTACAGACGTAACATCCCCAATACGTATAAAGTCCAATATCTTTCTGTTTCAAGAATGCCATTCCGGACTCAATATCATCGTCGTTAATGAGATGATGTTTACATCAACCTTTTGAGTTCCTGTTAAAACATCGGGACCTCGCATGCTGCAGAAGCACTTATCACCTGCACTAGATACCAGCGCTCGTTCTGCCATCCCAGCTTATTCACGGGCTTGCTCATTTCTCGGCGTAAGCTCTTGACTTAGTTAGTCCAAGATATCAGCCCCTCAAAACTGGGAGCAAGGGAGAATGAGGACTTCAAAATAGTACTGCCTCGGCCGAGGCATCGTCTGTTGTGCGGGGATTCTGCGCCTCCCAGGGAAGTGCGGGGAGTAGGTATCAATGTCAAGCGAGGCTATGGTGATGGGCAGGTTGCCATGTCGAGATGATTTGTTAACTGACGACAGTAAATAGATATATAGATATATAGGTATGTAACAGTAGCTTGAAAGTTCCCTGTTTCGTCTCTCGCAATCTCGAAATTGCAATTCTTCCATGTGCTCTTTGCCCGCCTTGCTCTGTCAAATCGATCCAAGATGCCTCTATACAAACAGTCAGCCGACGACTTGGCGGAAGTAGATGTGATTGTGGCAGGAGGTATGACTAAATTATGGCCTCTGGAAGAAACTGAACTGACTAGACATAGGGGGTACCGCTGGTTGTGCTGTAGCCGGACGTCTGGCTGAAGCAGATCCAAATATATCAATTTTACTCATTGAAGGTGGCACAGACAATCACGATGAGCCAACTGTGATCCATCCGGCTCTCTTTATGGCACACCTTTTACCCGAAGCGAAAACGTCGATATTTTATAAGGCCATCAAGTCGCAGCATCTCGCTGACAGGGAGGCTATTGTGCCAGCTGGTGGTATCCTTGGCGGAGGCTCCTCGACTAACTTCATGATGTTAGTTCGATATACCTTGTAACAGAATCATCGTTCAAGACTGATATAAGATGTTTTGAAGGTATACTCGAGCACAGCGATCTGACTATGATTCATGGAATACTCCCGGGTGGTCCACTAACGAACTCTTACCATTCCTGAACAAGGTAGGCTATCCCCGATTATGAGGCCTATACTCAATCCTGACCTTGGGTTCAGCTTGAGACATACCATGGTCCTGGGGATGCCGAAATTCACGGCCATGAGGGTCCCGTCTCAATCTCGAGCGGTACGTGGCGAGCGAAGAGGGTTGAAGACGATTGGATGCAAGCAGCGCAGAAGATGGGATTTCCTGAGATAAGAGACTTGCAAACTCTGGATGCAAACAACGGGTTTCAACGCTGGCTGCGTTACGTTTCGCCCGAAGGCAAGAGATCAGACTCGGCACACGCCTATATCCACCCCCTGCTGCAAGATGGCAGGCACCCAAACCTCCATGTGCTTGTTGAGGCCAAGGTCATCAAAGTCTTGTTTGACAAGAATAAGAAAGCATGTGGCATTGAGTACACACCAAATCCAGACTACCAACCAATTATTGGCTTGTCAAAGCATCTCAAGAAGCAGGTGAAGGCCAGAAGACTTGTCGTCCTTTCCGCCGGGGGATGCGGCTCCCCACTCATCTTGCAGCGCTCTGGGGTCGGGGATCCTGAGGTGCTTAAACAGGCTGGCGTAGATCTCGTTGAGAATCTGCCGGGCGTTGGGCACGACTACCAAGATCACACATTGATTCTATGGCCCTACAAGACAGCCGCCCGGGCCGATGAAACCCTTGATGAACTCTTTAGCGGAAGGCTATCCGTACCAGAGGCCATTGCGAGCAAGAATCCCATTCTTGGATGGAACTCGTGTGATATTGCAGGGAAACTCAGACCTTCTGAGGATGATGTTGCGAAGCTGGGTCATGACTTCAAAGAGTCATGGAACGCCGATTTCAAAGACCACCCCGATCGCCCGCTCATGCTAATGGCTCTAGTACAAGGGTAAGACGACTTACTTTTCTGGGCAAACCTCCCTTTCACAACTGACATGTTGTAGGTATTCGGCCGACCCGGCAGGGGTAGAACCAGGACAGTACATTTCCGTGGCGCCTTTCTCAACGTACCCCTACTCCCGTGGCTACATTCACATCACGGGCCCGGAGTGGAATGATCCCCTGGATTTTGACGTCGGGTATTTCAGCGACCCCGGTGATATTGATATCAAACAGCATATCTGGGCTTACAAAAAAGGTCGCGAGATCATGCGACGTACAAGTTTGTATCGTGGTGAAGTGCCAGTCGGCCATCCCAGGTTCCCGGCCGGCTCGAGGGCCGGTTTGGTCGAGGATGGCGGCGTTCCGAAGGACCATCCGATCACCGATCTTGAATATTCCACCGAAGATGACGCGGCCATCGCAGACTTCCTTCGTGAAAACATCAACACGACGTGGCACTCTTTGGGGACAGCCAAGATGGCCCCACGTGAGCAGAAGGGAGTTGTCGATGGCAATTTGAGTGTGTATGGCGTTCAGGGTTTGAAAGTGGCTGACCTAAGCATCGTGCCGAAGAACATTGGAGCAAATACTAACAATACTGCATTTGTAATTGGGGAGAAGGCAGCCAATATCATCATCAACGAGCTGAACCTTGGTTCGAAGAAATAATTCGCCCTCTCATGTTCAACTACGCAGTTAGTACTTTTGTTTCAGAGTATCGTTGGACTTTATTCGAAGTTACACAAAATGAGTAGAATTGCGATAGACCAATCTTTGTTGGAGTAAAGCATAGTCTACCCATCAGAGGTGACTCTCAGTGGCCCTCAAATCTTACAGTGCCCATAGAGGTGATCTGAAAGGTCCAGGCATTTGAGTTGAGAACACAGCCTACATGAACGCTTTGTGCAGCTGTCAAGTCTACTCAGCTGTCAATATTAAGTGCGCCCGCTCTTGGGCCATCATTGGGTAACCATACCGAAGAAGCCGATCAGCCTTAATTCTTGGTATAGTGAAGACAATCAGTATGAATGCGACTCACTTAGATCATACCTTGGCGGTATGCGATTGACCTTCCTTGGCACTATGTAGGATGCCTAATGCAAATGTTGGGCAGATGCCTGGCTCTTGGCTTTGTCTAAACCAAAAGGCTGATGGGGCACGGAATACTTCAAGTGCTTACGGTGAGCTTAGCCCTTTGTCGAGAAGGCAAGCGGAGTCGGGATTCGGCTTTGAAGAAAACCCGTTCTCGATCGGCGGTATTCGCGTCGGCGCACCCAACTCCGTACCTATAGTTGTAATGCCTCTTACGGACTTCGGTGACAACACCTCTGCCAATTTGCCAGGCATTCAATATCCTGTCCAAAAACACGATCGGGTTTCAATTAGCTGTATCCTCTGTTTGGGCTGAAGTCCGGCTTGGGTGGCCCTAGCTCGAATGCCTAACCCGTTCCAACCCACTGCTGCTTCGGACTTCTTCAGGATGGAACATGCCCATACATCCGGGTCTCCCTCCTCGGCCCCCTATGGTCATGCTTGTACCAATTGCTCCAAAGCCAAGACTAAATGTATTCCCCGTGCAGAAGGTCGATGCGAAAGGTTAGTCTCAATCATTTAGATAGGCGGTGTGCCTAGCGGGTGTTACAAGAGTTATAAGGGCTGATTTATAAAGATGCTATCGCCTGACAAAAGAATGTATCCCATCTACAACGGTTCGTAAGCGCAAAAGCAATCGCAGTATCGTTACCAGCAGAAGGAAAAAGTTGGAAGAAAAATTGGAGGACCTAGTAACTCTACTTCAGTCGCAGAACTCACAAAATGCCACCGGTGAGGTCTCGGCTCATCCAACGGCACTCGTCTCCCCGGGAAGACATGCAAACACTCGTCGTACGAGCCTGTCCAATCGGTTTCCGGTAGAGGACACCACAGCGAATATTCCGTCTGGGGGGAGTAGCTCATACGTGGACCAAAGCATGGTTATCACACCAACCACAACCATAACATCTACCCCTGAGTCTTCCCGCATAGACGAAATATCACACGTTAAAGCAGAGGAAATATTGCGATTATTCCGCACTCTGCATCTTAAGTTCTACCCCTTGATTTACCTACCTGATACGACATCGGCCCGGGAATTGCAACATGAACGGCCGTTTTTGTGGCTTGTCATACGGGCTGTATGCGCCCAGTCGGCAGTGGAGCAAGATGCACTTGGAGATCAGGTTCGAGAGATACTGGCCAAGCAGCTTATTGTCGACTGTGAGCGGAGCATCGATATGCTCTTAGGGATGCTCACATATATGGGATGGTGAGCATGTCTACAGTTGCAGTCTTGAACTACTATCTGATACCAACAGGTCGATGTATTTTGCGCGAGGCAAGCCGTATATATGCGCCTTCACGAATTTGATTTTGGCCACCGCATCAGACCTCCGTCTGAACAGGATTGTTCCTCAGGAAACAACGTCGAACTCATCGCTCAACTGCTTCAAGCCTTATGCATTCCCCAAACCGCCTACCTACGCAAGCGACTCCCCGAAAGCACGCACGAATGAAGACCGGCGGGCGGTGTTGGGGTGTTTTCTAACTGTTGTAACGTAAGTATGCGCCGAACTACTTGATATCTCCTCGAGGACCAACGTATTCTTATCATATATCCAGCATGTCGTCATACATGAAGCTCGATGTTGCTCGGTCGAAGGTCACCATTGATGATTGTCTCGAGCAATTATGGGAGACTCCAGAGATTCCCAACGATAGGGTGCTTGTAGCAATAACACGCATAATGGGCGTGGCAGATGAGGCGGTGCGGATGGCCAGCAGACCAGAGGACACCGACGACTCGATTTCTCCGATCTTCCATATAAAAGGATTGGAGGAATCTTTGAAGCAAGTCAAACGTGACCTTCCGCCAGATTTACTCGATAATCGTAAGTACAGGCGAGTAACTTGGAGGTTGATGAGCTCGTATTTGGTAGCTCATACTGATGTACTTTTGACAGAAACCGTTACGGCTCAACTACGCAGCACCGAAGTTGCCATCTACGAGTTGGCCTTGTCCCCGCAGACGTCATCATCTGCCTATAAGATACAGGATTACAGGCGGCGGGAGTACTTGCAAATGTGCCTAGAGTCAGCCAAGGCTTTTATGGATGTATTCCTGCAGATTGAGCCAGCCGAGTACTGTGGCATCCCGCTCTGGTTGATGATCCAGTTCGCTCACTGCGCTCAAGCTATCTACCGGCTTTCGCTCCTGGATGATCCTGGCTGGGATAGGAGCGCAGTGCGGCAGTTTGTTGATGTGCTAGAGATTCTGGAACGTGCCGCCGTCAGGATGACAGCCGCCCACGAGGCATGTGGATACAGTATCAATGGCTCTGACAAAGGCGTGTTCACGAGGTCGGCAGCGGCCTTGAGAGCCACAATCCCCCAATGGAGCGCTGCTCTGGAGCAGGTTGGGGCTATAGCAGCGAGGCCTACCGCCCGTACTAATCCAGACCTGCCGGTCGATCCCATGCTGATCGACTTCACGGATGACACCTGGTTGACCGACGTGTTTTCATCGTGGGACGAAACCAGATGAGAGGTCCGGGAAGTTAGCTAGATAGATGTACGATTACTCGTTTTGCTAGAATTAACTCATTGTATGAGTTGGGTTGAAACTCCGTTCCACAGCCGAGGGCTCTTGTAGAGAACACACGTGCATATCGAGTACATTTAAACCGTCCAATAATGTGACCACGTTGTGGAAACCCTTAATCGCAACTAACAATCTCATGCCTTGTATTTTTTAGGATGTGACAGGCTCGTTTTCGCTGTAGCCCATGTCACTTAGAAACCTGTCCAGCTCAGTCTATGGGATCTAATGCATCCCGCGTACATTGCAGAACCTTAGGTCTTTGTGCTGATGGAGTTATCCAATTTCGGGTTTGTTTGTAGACTGGAAGTTTTGGGCGGGATTCGGGATTGGCTGCGCAACTATTCCGCTTTCCGCTTCAATTTTGCACCACTGTCAAAAGTAAATACCACCACGTCTTGGCTCGCCCATCACGAGACTGGGAAGCATGGCATGAGATTCTCTAGTGTTTGTGAAAGGGAGAAGATAAATCCGATTTTGACCTGGTCCTCTCTATTGTAAAACTTGACACTAATACCATTCGCCCCTCACTTGTATCACTGCTACACCAAAAACACGGGCACACAGCCTGCCCCAGGCCATGGGGTCGGAATTGACAATGGCGAGAACGAGAAGCATAGGATCCAAGTCGGATGGCACCCATGTGTTGGCCGGGGCAGCAAATGAGAAGGAGGTTGAGGGGAGCACCACTGGGGCAGACAGCCCGGGTGAGGTTGCGGATGCGGACGAGCAGCCCGTGGAATACATCACGGGGTTTAAACTCCTGGCCGTTATGAGCAGCGTGACGCTCACAGCTTTCCTGATGATGCTTGACATCTCCATCATAAGTACCGTAGGTTCTAATGGTCTGTCTAATCGCGTTGGGGCGGCAGATGGGCTGATACCGACTTTGAAACGATAGGCGGTTCCACGTATCACCAGTGATTTCCACTCGCTCCCCGACGTTGGGTGGTATACGGCTGCGTATCAGTTGGCCAGGTATGCACAGTCTCTGGTTTGGGCAGTCCAGAGTCTTCCAAGTTGTTAGGCGAGGCTGACGAGAGAGATAGTGCTTCGCTACAACCACTGACGGGCAAGTTGTACACGCACTTCAGGGTCAAGGTTCGTTGTTCCTGTCGCGCTTCAAAGACCGGATCTCCAAGGCTGACAGAGTGCTCTGCAGTGGACATATCTCGTGTTTCTCTTCATGTTCGAAGCAGGATCCCTGATATGCGGACTGGCGAAGTCGTCGTCCATGCTCATCGGCGGCAGGGCGATCGCCGGAATAGGGGGCTCTGGACTCATGAATGGCGCCATGACGATCATCGCAGGAGCACTTCCTCTGCATCAACGAGCCCGTATGTCAATTAATGGGCTAAGATGACAATTTGTAGGATACTTTTCACTGACATGAACCACACAGTACACACAGGAATTCTATTCGGAGGCAAGTCATCCCTGCTGAGAGTCATATTGAGTCAACTATTGCGGCCCAACTAACTCGGCGATCCAGTTGCGCAACTCGGCATCGTGTGCGGCCCTCTCGTAGGCGGTGCCTTGACCGAATATGCAACATGGCGATGGTGTAAGTCTATCGGAGCCGATCCCCGAAAGGTACGAGGCTGACGCAATTTGCCACAGGCTTCTACATCAACCTTCCCGTCGGTGGCCTCGTAGCGTTTCTAATGACCTTCACCTCGTTTCCCGAACTGACCAAGAAGCCACCGTTCACCCTTGCCCACGTCCGCTCGACGATCCCCGAGCTGGACCTGGCTGGGTTCGCGCTCTTCGCGCCCGCGGCTGTCATGTTCCTGCTGGCCCTGCAGTTCGGCGGCAACACCTACGCCTGGAGCAGCTCCGTGGTGATCGGGCTGTTCTGCGGGGCGGGGGCCCTGGCCGTCATCTTCGTCCTGTGGGAGAGGCGGAGAGGCGACCGGGCCATGCTCCCGGGCCCCATCATCCGGCAACGCATCGTGCTGAGCAGCGCGGTCAACGGCATGGCCCTGATGGCGACGATATTCGTGGCCTCACAGTTCATGCCCATCTACTTCCAAGGTGTCAGGGGCGAAACGCCCACGATGAGCGGTGTAGACTTGCTTCCGAGCATTCTGAGCCAGCTGCTCACGGTCGTTGTGTCAGGGGCTATTGGTAAGTGTCATCCGCTGAGGGTACCCGAGTTTCAAAAGTCGTATATACTGACCCTCGAGCACAGTATCCAAAGTGGGATACTATCTGCCCTTTGCCGTCGCCAGCGGAACCGTCAGTGCGATCGGCAACGGTCTCTTGTCGATGTATTCACCGACGACGGAGACCCCCAAGTGGATTGGGTACCAGATCCTGACGGGAGCTGGGCGAGGCCTCGGGATGCAATTGGTAAGAAGCCCAACAAAACCCCGGTCCACGTATGTCGAGAGAAAGGAAGGCGCAAGTTGCTGACGAAAAGCAGGGCCTCATCGCGGTCCAAAACGCACTACTGCCGCAGCAGATCCCGGTGGGCATCGCGTTCATGATCTTCTGCCAAAACTTCTCTGGCGCCGTGTTTGTGGTGGTGGGCACCGTGATCTTCACGCAGAGCCTAACGTCTGAGCTCGCCGTACATGCACCTTCGGTTCCACCAGAAGCAGCTCATGCAGCCGGAGCCAGCGCGAGCGCGGTGCGTGCTCTTGTACCCCCCGGAAGCTCTGAATTAGATGGTGTCCTGCTGGCATTCTCCAATAGTGTTGACAAGGTCTTCTATTTGCTGATTGCCACTTCGCTCGTGGGATTTGTTTCGGCATGGGGGATGGGATGGGTCGATACCAGAAAGAAGAAGGCACCCGAAAAGGGTGAGCCTTGAAGTCCTCATATTCGACTACCGCTATGAAAGGTTATAGAGATAGACTGACACTCTATGCTGAGTATTCCCACAATATCACTGGCATGTTCAGGGCTTGAAATAATACATCCGTAACAGCAAGTAATGAACTCTATTTTGAACCCCTTGGGTACACTTTTGCTCCAAAATGAAGGCGCCTATGAGGTTCCCTTCCGTTCTAGGCTGCGGCTCTATGCTGCCCAATCTATAAAACGAGCCACATCCTAGCATGCAGTCCTTTTTGGCATGCATCTAGCCTGCACAACCCAGATATAACAAGAAAGCCAACGCAAACATCTTCCCATCTTCCCGTCTTTTTTTCTTTATGCCGGGACAGCACCAGATGCCAACATCTTCTTTCGCAGGTAGTTCTTGTAGTCTCCAATGGAACCGTCCCATGGCTTGATGGTCTTGTTCTCGCAGACCAGAATCTCCTTTGCAATTCTGTCGAGCAATCTATTACAAGAGTTAGTGCTTGTTGGAGTTGATACAATGTACGTGGTTTACTCACCTGAAGTCGTGACTGACGACGATCACACCGCCATCGAAGTTCTCAATAGCATCGGCGAGGGCATCGATCGTGGGGATATCCAGACCGTTGGTAGGCTCGTCGAGCAGAAGCATGTTGGGGCCGTCAATGGCGAGCAGGGCGAAGACGATACGACTCTTCTGTCCTTCGGACAGAGTGCCCATCAGAGCAGTCTGGGTGTTGCCAGAAACACCGTACTTGCCAAGCTGCTGGCGCCAGTACTGGATATCCTGCGACTTCTCGCGGTACTTGTCACGGACAAAGTCCAGCGCGCTCTTGGTCAGGTCGAGCTGCTCTGCGCTGTGTTGCGAGTACATGCCCAGCTTCAAGTGGGTATGCTTGCGGACGGAGCCCTGAGTAGGGCTGAGCTTGCCAGTCATCATACGGAGCAAAGTAGACTTGCCGACACCGTTGGGGCCGACCAAGCAAGAACGCGAGTCCATGTCGAAACCAAGTTCGATGTTGCGGTACAGGTCGTCCTTGGGGTCACCCGAGTACGAGAAGGTGACATCGTCGAAGGCCAGGACGGGCGGGGGGAGCTTGTCGGCATCGCCGAAACGGAACTTGAATTCTCTGTCGTCGACAACTTTCTCGATCAAACCATCGTCGTGCATCTTCTGCAGAATCTTCTCTCGGGACTTGGCCTGTCGGACCAAGTTGGCGTAAGTACCGGCGCTGGCAATGAACTTCTTGATGTGCTCAATCTCGGCCTGCTGCTTCTCGTAGGCCTTCTGCTGGTTGACCTCCTGCTCGGAGCGGGTCTTGACGTACGAGTCAAAGTTACCACCGTAGTAGAGGAGCTGCTGCTTGCGCATGTCGATCATGTTTGTGCACACACCGTTCAAGAAATCCTGCGAGTGAGAGACCAGGACCAAGGTACGCTCCCACTTCTTCATGTACTCCTCCAGCCACACACAGGCCTCGAGATCCAAATGGGCAGTGGGGTCATCGAGCAGCAGCAGCGAGGGCTTGACGAACAGGGCCTTTCCGAGGGCGACACGCATACGCCAACCACCGGACATGTCCTTGGTCTTCTTGTGGATGGTGGTCTTGTTGAAACCCAGACCCGTCAGGATGAGCGAGGCACGGGTAGCGAATGTCGAGGGGTCCATGCGGTCCATGTGCTCGTAGAGGTCCAGGAGGACCGGGCTCTCGGGGCCCTCCTCCTCCAGCATCCTCTCGGCCAGGTCGTCCAGGCGCTTCATCTCGTTCTCGGCCTCCTTGAGGACCCACTCGAGGGCGCCCAGCTCGGAGGGCGGCGCACCCTCGTTCAGGAGGTAGATGTCAATGTGCTCGGGGATGGGGTACTCGCGGGCGGCGATGGCCTTGAGCAGGGTACTCTTTCCGCAGCCGTTCTCACCGAGCAGACCGTACCGGCGGCCCATGGTCAGTTCGAGGGTGCTGTCGGTGATGAGGACTCGGCCGTGGAAGGTCAGACTGGTGCTGATGATCTTGACGTCCTTGCTCTGCTGGGTCGAGGCCAGCACACCGGTGGTGACACGGTCGGTCAGGCCGTCGCGGTCGCGCTGCTCGGCGAGGCGCTTGGCCTTGTCGAGCTTGTCGCCCGAGGTGGCGACCTCATCGTCGAGGGGCGGGTTGTCGTCGCCAGCCTCGGAGCCGGTGGCACTGGCGTTCTTGGATGCGGCCTTGGAGCCGGCCTTGGAGCGGGAAACGAGCGTCTTCTTCTCGCCCTTGCCCTCCTTGGCGTCGGCGGCCTTCTTGGCGAGACGCTTCTCCTTGGATGCGGAAACCATGTTGGCGGGTTGTGGTGTGGTGATGGATGAGGTTTCGGGGGGAGGGCGGCTTCAGCGCAGGCTGGGGGTGTGGAGTGAGGGGTTGATGATGGCCTCGAGGGAACAGGAAAGGAAGGATGGTCTGTACCCCGCTTCGAGTGTGAAGCCTGATGATTATGGGCGACCACAAGTGAATGTGGTCCGGGAATCAAGAGGGGAGGGGGGAAAGGGTTGCGGGACTGTTGTCGTCGTCCGGCAGGGCGTGTATTGTGCGGGCTGAGGAATAAGAAGAAAAAAAAATATCCCAGCCGGGCAGAGTTGTTTCGACGCTCTGTAGCTCGAGTTGGAAGGGGGGGGCGAAGGAGAGCGAGGCGATTACTTTAGGCCGTGGTGGGCTGTGGTGCGGTGCGCACTCCATCCATTCCACTGCTTCGCTTCCCATGGTGGGGTTATGATTTTTTTTCGCCCGCAAAAACTCTGATAACCGCGATAAGTGCCTGACCTGCAACCCGCCCCACCACCCCCATCCAAATCCATCCATCCATCATCCATCCTGTTTCTGCCGCCTTGGTTGCTTTGACTGCTTTGACTGCTTTGACTGCCCTTGCTTTGCCCTGCTGGCCCTGCAAGATGCTACCACAGTGGCCGGCGGACCACCTCTTCCTCAGGCACCAACAATTCCCGGTCTCCGTCCTGTGTCACAAGAGTCAGGCCCACGGCCTCACCGCCTACAGTCAAAGTCACTCATTCTGACGTCAGAAATCTATTTCAGAGCCCGTCTCCAGCGGCTAGAATAACTGCTCCGGAATAGTTGGTGCACTATAGTCAAGAGATTGTCTACATATAGCAGTTTCACTTTGTCTCGCTCGTCTTGCCACAGTTATAGCTAAATACCTCGAGGCCCAGTTAGCGAGAGTGCTGGGTCAGCCGAAATCTCAGACTGCCCAGGTGTATAGAACGACGGAGCATGGCCACTCAACTCCAAAGTTAGTGAGTCTCACTTGGGCCAATCTAACCAACTCAATGCCTCCCCATCAGACGTTATTCTCTCTTGAATCATAGAATACTCCATCCACACTTGGTTTCTGAAGTGACATGTCTGCTGGCGACATACTGTCCCGGTGCCGTAGATCGGTGTTGTGGACCGTACTATACTCTTCAGTCAGTACCCATGAACGATAAGCGTCGCATTCTCATGATTTCCAGCCTACACGTGAGACTAACCAAGTGATTCACTATACCAGTCCCGGGAATTCTCTCCTCGGCCAACAATCAACAAGGCTTGGATGACAGCTCCAACAATTCTCCCACCAGGGGGAAAGCGACCAAGCTTCAGGCATGTCCGTGTCAACGTTCTTCATCAACAGACGGCTTTCCCAGAACTCAGTGGACGTGCTGCAAATCCGTAGGTGATATTCCCTGGGGTTGCAGCTCGCCGCGGGCCGCCATAGACTCGTTGATTGCCTCCCCAGGCTTCGGCTCGCTATGGCTTCCACACTTCGGGCATGTCTGCACGTATCGGACAATGATCTGGGCCGGCTGTTGCTGCTGCGTAGTCGAATGCATCGGCAGCTCGAGCTCGTCAGTGCCGCCCACCGGCAAACCATGCCGCTTTTCTATACACGACCGTATGAATATGACAATATGTACGATCCTATACTCCAGTCAGAAGGGGGGAAAAGATGGTGACTGAGCGGATAGCACCGGCTCATAACTAGAAGAGAGTTGAGGGGCGGAAAAGAGACATTGCCAACGTACGTCATGATTGCAATACCTGCCATAAGAACAGTCGCTCGAGATTCCTCCCTATACCACCCACCGGTGTTGAAGGCCCAGCCTACCCCAACACAAGACACGAGGCTGATGAGCAATATGAGGCCATCAACAACAAGATGCGAGACCGAGACCAAGACTCGACCTCGTGGCTTATGCATCCGGACCAGTCGCCAGACGTCCCAGCCCGCCACTACCAAAGCCTACATGTACACGTGTGGTTAGATCACGCCTTCACTTCCAAGTTTCTGTACAGCTCACATACCCATGGGATGGCAAAGTACGTATCGAAGAACGGAAGGCTAAAGGCGGCGACGAAGACCTCGCCGATGAACATGACAGTACAGATGCTCAGCGAAGCCCATCGCAGGAGGTTGAGGTATATGAAACCCTTGGCACGGCTTGTGGAGGTCCAGGTAGCCTTGATGCCCGACTCCGTCCCCGGCGAGAGCTCATAGCTGTGGCTCCGGAGTCCACTTGGACGCTGCGTCAACGGCACAGTCGTCCAACTAGTCATCTCGGCTGCGGAGACACCGACCGAAGGAACCGCTTCCGGTCCGGATGCTGTACCTGGCCGCCTCTCGGTCATGATTCTGCCGTGGGACGTTACAACCCTCCAAAGTGTTGGTGATCACGTAGGCAGCAGCCGTTTGAACTGTACCTGAGCTGATCATGTGGTAGTAGCTGGTAGTAACCGACATTGACAACGAACCCCCAGCCAACCTAAAACTCCTAACTATCTCCCCATCTGCACGTCGCTTCGTAGGCTGGAGCTTAGGCAGCCATTTTGGTACCCTGCCGTCAATCTAGACTCGCAACGCCATGGCAGGCCACCCATGCGCCTCTGTGTCTGATCATTTAAAGAATCTATTCAATTGACGCCTTGAAGTGCCAGATGTGCGCCTATCACATTAGCCCCGCTTCGAGATGTCTGATAATGCTTCGTGCTGGGGTTTCGGGCTGTCGGCAGTGCGGAGCCGAGTAAGTAGACATGATTTGGTATAATGATCCGGCTTTTTATAGCAGGTAACTTGAACATTTACATAGTAATTTATCAGAGGCTTAAACACCTGAGGTGCTGGTTATGCGGTAGCATGTGGGGGATGCCTCTACGAGGTAGGTCCTCGTTATCAAACATTGGAGGTGCTCTAAATAAGCGTGGTACCAGCTTATACTGATCAACTTGAGGGTATGGTGCTTGGCATCCAATGTGGCTTGATCCTATTCGTGTATACTCACTTTGGGACTCTTTTCAAACTATATCTCAGCTGAGCATTTGAGAGACTGTCTTGATAAGCTTACATTTCCAAGCATACGTGATTGCCCTTTCAACGGGGCAGGAATCGCTGGTTAGTGGCACTCCCGCTATCTACCCTGGGGTGCATTTGGACCCTAATGGGAGACAAGGATGGTTGCAACAATTCTGCTTGGGTATGACAGACCCATGAGTTTACTTGCGAGTCATGTCGGATGATGTCAAAATGCACTGCCGTACCATTTGCGGACGACTCACAGTCGAGCCGTCTGGCCGGAAACCCTGTGATTTAGCATTTGCAACCTGGCGATTTTGTAGCAGATAGATATCTCACACGCAACGTCTGCGTATCCCGTCGAATGAAGCAGCGCATGCAATGAGGCCAAATCTGGCTCTTGGCACCACGAACGAATTACGTTGGATGTCGGCTGGGTACATACGGTTCATGCGAATTCGCGACCTTCTGAGTGAGGGGATGGGATCAGCTGCAGCGTGCCCAGGCTGAGCGAATCCTTCACTCCTGGCTCTTGTCTTAAGGACCCGGCCGATTTGTTTCGGGAAACACAGCCCCCAACTCAGCACCTTCAGCACCTCTGTGCCCGCTTAGCCATCGGTGCTTGGATGCCATGTGAAGAAAGCATGGCCTTGCATGGTCACAAGATGGGGTGCCGATCAAGAGGGGTTTCGCCACACACGAAATGCTTCGATTGTCTTTCTAGAGGACAACCTCCCTGCATGGGGATTCGTGTATCGTCATCTAGAGCTGCATGTCTTTCAGAAGAGTGTCTGTTTCATAGAATGCAGCTCCTCGCGCGTGAGACGTGATTGGCTAGAGAGACATGCAAAGGATGCGATTATGATATGGAAGATTTGGGAAGTAAACCCCAGTTTCTGCAAGGTCAGTTTGAAGCCTGGTATAGACACATGGCTCAACAGATCAGAACATTGCTCGTGGAGCCACACAGCGAAGACTACTGTCAAATAGAAAATGCCAGTTCTTGCCATAGGGATAATTAAACGAGTGACATTATGCACGAAGAGAATCGAGGGTGCTCTATGTCCAGGGTATCCGCTCTAGAATGATGCGCCCAAACGCCAACGCTCAGAATGCCCAGCCGAGAAAATCATAGAAATGCAATAGTTGTAGTGCGCAGCTCGATAGTCCCGGCCGCCATTAGTCTAGGTAAAGGTTCCCTCCATCTATCCTCCGTCTCGACCCGTGGTCTATTAAGGCGCGCCCGAAAAGAATGGCATGGCAGCCACTATCGCATCGGTCAGTAAGGTGCTCGGTGGCAGGCAAGGTTGGGGGAATGGACGTACGATATTATCCCACATAGGCCGGTCACCACGGCAAACTCAACAATGCTCCTATATCCCCGAAATACAAAGACCTCCCATATCGATAATCCGGTGTACGCGAGAGCGCCGAGAGCAATGATCAACTCCATAATTATATGCGCCGTCGGGTTGATGCCGTGTGTGCGGTTTGCTGCAAACACCAGGAGCTCTGCCACTTCCCAGATGACGATGACGGCAACCTACAAAGACTCATGTGTTAGCAAAAACAAACTCTGTCGGTTCCCCCAAATGCGCGCCCGACGTACCAAGGGAAGCCATAGAACCAGGCCGGTCAGGTAACCTCTTATGCTGCAACCTGCGACCACGCCAGACAGGAAGAGCGACACAATGCGAAAGCCGATTTGCGCGATGGCCCACCCCGGCAGCTCCTTGGACACCGACATCTGATGGATGCGAAACTCGCGATAATCTGGCTTGTCCTTGTAGTAGGCGTCCCAGGCGTCCTGCTCGGCGCAGGTCTCGGCGGAGCTGTACGAGTCGCGTCTCGATGTCGCGATGTGGCTCCCTACGCGACGGCCGCTCATGGCCGCCGAGTCGGACGATTCCCTGGTGGTGAGCATGGTGGTGGTGACGGCTGAAGGCGCGCTCAGTCGCCCGTCGAGGCTTGGTGTCGTGTTGTTGCCCTTTGGTATTGAGCTCCCCAGCCCCCGGTTTTAGTTGAGCAGATGCGGTTGTGTTTTAATATAGTTGGTACGCGACTAGTTTAGCTCGGGACTAAGGTCAACGGTAGCCAATTCGTCCTGTCGTCGGTCCAAGGTCCAAGGTCCAAGGTCTAAGAGGGTGTATCGCCTTGTTGTCGCCGGGTCGGTGTCTTTCAATAGGGGAGCAAGGAGCGCAGGTGCGCGGGGGTGCCAGTGGACTCTGGGCTTAAATATGAGCCTGGGGGTGAGATGGGCAAACCCTGGCCGCAGTGGATCGTGACGAGAGCCAAGTTGGAGCGACGGGAAGGAAAAAAAAACCCTTCAGCCTCAAGGCATCCGGCTTTGCAGCGTGCCAAAATAGGATCACTGGCAGGAGGATTGCTGGTCTCCCATTGGGTTTCAGCTGCACGCTATGCCCCACGAGCACTGCATGTCAGATCTTGGACGGTCCTGGAATCCGTCGGTCGGCTGCTGTACGTGCGTGCTGCGACGAAGGCTGTGAGGAAAGCCAAAAAGCACGCCTCCCGGGGCTGACTCTTTAAAGCCAGCCAGGAGACAGAAAATAGGAGACCGGGGCGAGCCCGCGAGGCAGAGATTGGCAGCCGATCCAAACCCTGCCAGCGCCCCCCCGGCGCCCTGGCTTGCCTGGCTCATGGCTCATGGCTCATGGCTCTCGCACGCCGCTCAACTCTGGCCCGCCGTCCAAGCCCGTCGCTCCTCGTGCTGCCACTGGCGCTGCTCCCCCGAACGCCGCTGTGTGACATCAAGTCGCAGGGGCTCCACAGCGATCCTGCCTTGGACATAGCCACCCCCAATTTGGTCTACCCTCATGCGCGCCGCTGGCCAACTGCGAGGACTACTGTTCGCGATGACAGGCCAAAATCGCAAGCGAGCCAATTGTCTGGCCCGCTATTGTAAGGCTAGACCACTTTGATTGCGCCCGCGGACCACGGCTGAACGGGCTGCACAGTGACTGGCCCAAGCCCGTCGGTCGCCTTTCTGGTTCTAGCACACAGATGCAACGGCCGATAACCTCGACTCTGGCCAAGCATCTGTACACGAGGAGGCAAATTCTCGAATCGATTTACCCTGTACAACCATCCCAAGGACTTCAACGGCATCCGGCAACCAGACCAGACCAGATACGCAGATGACTAAAAGTTGTACAGCAGCGGCATCCTGAGATGTGATTAGATAAACCTGTCCTCCGATAACCTTCCGAATCGTTGTGGAGGGTCTGTGGGTAGCCAGGGTTTGGCTCAACCATATCCGGCAGCATGTACCATGACCCAATTTGCGAGCTGTGCCGCACGCTTTCCCTTGACCCAGGCAGGCTCTTGCATTGCAAGGAGTCATCAACTCTTTCTGCTGTGCCGTCAAGTCACGTTCCAAACCGTCGACTCAGCAATCTGGCCAGAACCGCGGTCGACCCGTCAATTGCGTGCAGATGCTTTCCCGATGTTTGCAGAAACAACGTCAGCCTTCCTGAGACAGGGCTGGGATGACGCTCAGACGATCCTACGAGGCAGTTACACAGTAACCAAACGAGGACCAACTGCCGTCTGGGGGGCAGCCAGCCTTGACCACATGGCCACATGAAATAACGTTGCTATATATGGCTTACGTTGATGCTAATATCACATGTTGCTGACGATCCGGGGCGCTCACCGCATGCTCAGCGCACCCGTCAACCAGTGACCCAAGGTAAACCAGCATCGTTTCAATAGACATCAGCTCCTTGGCAACAGATTGACACTCCAATGCCGACATAGCAAGATTGTGGGAGTCGAGAAAACGCTCCCTATCTGCACCAGGACCCATCCCGTTACCCGTTGCTAGTATGGAGTCAGATAGAGCCTGAATGCTTCATCCAAACAACTGTGTCAACCCCAGAACCTGCTTTCATTTGAACCTGACATACAGCTAGTCTTCAGAGTCGTTCAATTATAGTTGGCCGTGATGCATTATACCCACTCATTAAGGCATTCTTAGAGTTACAAGCTTAAATCCGGTGACAGGACCAGTGGGCCGTGTCATGGTGACATCATTGTTAGGTCAACTTGGCAAAGACTTGAACACGGGGAGTTAGAGATGAAGCCGAAGATGCAGTGCTTTCAACATGCCAGATCTCTTCGTAACCAAGTAGGATTACCCAGAAGGAAGCAAATCCTGGAGCGACGGATCGCGATCAACGCCAGTGATTGATCAACTAGTTGTACTAAAATGATTGTAGTGCGTCGCATAGAGTTACCCGCAACCACAGCCCAGAAGTGTGGAGATCATGTATACTTGGGTACATGGCTATTTCTCAGGATTGCCTATACGTCCGCCAACTATGCAGCGCCGTCCAAGTGTGCCTCAGGTTATCACTTCCAAGAGACAACCAGAGCAGGCTCGAAGCTGGCTGCAGATCTCCCCCTCGGGATTTCTGCAAGAACAGTGACGTGGCAATTCGGTCTTTGGTTGGTTTAGTTCTAATATTCGCCCAAACCGCAGATGCAATTCGTCGTGACTCCCACCACATCACCAGACAATCAAACACGACAAGGTACCATCGAGCACAAACAAAGCATGGGCGAGTCCGCGCTTTTTGATAGGGTCAATAATTCCCCACTCCATGTAAAGAATTGAAGAGCCCTAAGAAGTAGTACGACCCCTCCTTTTTTCGTCCAAATGACTATACTCGGGTTTTCTCACGAAGGGTGGCTCAGGTAGTTTCGGTCCGATCCGAGGCCAAGTTGCCGAGACTGGCGCATAGGGGCCCCAGATCCAGAGATGGTATGGCAAGCCCCCCACGTATGTCCGCTCAGACTCAGTCATCAGTCTCCGCGCAATATCTAGTTTCCGCTCTCCGCCGCTCGTCATTATCCACTCCTTCTCCTTGTGGATATATATATGGCCGTGGAGTTTGCAGATGTTCTCGGCGGTTCCCATGCGCACAGTGATGTGGCAGTCGTCGTCGGCCATCTCTCGGACGTGGCCGGTTGCTGTCTTCACCCACCCTGTTGTTGCCTGGCTATGTAGTCCTCCCCTGGAGATATGATTAGCACCGACTAGACTGACGATGATCAAGTTGCTTACATGATCCAAATGATGTTGCACCGGCATCTTTTTGCAACTTTCCTGACTAGCTCGACCGCAGCAGCCCGTTGTAGCTTGTGTGCCGGCGGTCTGCATAACCATTGAACCTGTGAATCATCAGTCTTAACCTGGATCCAAACGTAAATCCTATAGCATCAAGTGAAGTCCGCACCTCGGGAACTCCATCGCTCCCTGGATGTATATAAGCCACATTTTTGAACCTCATCTGCAGCTCGGTAGCTCTGTCCGTACTGCCACCACCCGCTGGAGGGGCTCCTGGGCCAAGGACCATCTCCGGGATCCATGAGATCGACTCTCCCTTGAGTCTAGATATTCTCGGCATATTATAATCTAGTATCTTATAAATCTGCTGTGTAGAAAGTCGGACTTCCCACGGCAGAACCAGCTGGAATGGTCGGCCATCCTCAAGCTTTTGCACAAGGGACGACCTGCTTCTTCTTTCGACAAAGACACGGAGCCATAAAGCAGGCGTCGATAAGAGGGTAATAAGCTTTTCTTCACTGAATTGTTAAGTATACAATGGAGAGACGCTTTGTCGCTTTACCATAATCTAAGGTACCAATGAACTTGCAAGTATTCCATGAGAGCAACCGGAAGCCAAAAATAACTGTACATCTACCACACAGATTAGACAGGCTATAGTTCGACGCAGAACAATAATCTACTTCTATGCATGGGGCTAACTTGCATTTTCGTGTTTGATACTGGTGCTATTCAAGGTATTCATTAAAGATGTATATCCCCAGTCATTGCTAATAATTACGCGCAAAAACGGCGAGAGGTTGCGACGACGGAGATTCGTTTCACTGTAGCTGGTGCCTTTGTTCTGATACCCGCATGAACACATATGACGTTTTTGTCAGTTTCCGGCTCGACACAAAGAGCTGCAAAATGCCACAGGACATCAAGAGTAAGTGATCAAAGGGTTGCCAGCACCTCAGAACACTGACCCATAACTTACGCTCAAATATCATATTAGCTCTTTAGCTATCATTTCTCTTGTCACAGCTTGCAGTGTTCTATAAGTCGAAGCAGCTGCAGTTTGGGTTAAAAACAATTTGATCTTGATTAATGCCGAGGCCGCCGTTTCAATTGGAAAGCGGTAGCTAGTCATCGGTTTGTCGTCAAAACCGTTGTGTCTGAATACGAGCCTCGCAGTCGCGATGGCCAGCCACGACGACTCGACGTTACAGGAGTACCACTGGGATCCCATGTACGAGGACTATGGCATCGAAGATATGGCTAAATACAATAAAGGGGGGTTTCATCCAGTCCATTTGGGCGACGTACTCGATGATCGGTTCCAGGTCGTCCACAAACTCGGCAGCGGCGGTTTTGGTACAGTGTGGCTTTGCAGAGACCAGAAGTTCGACAAGTGGAGGGCTGTGAAAATCATCGCGGCAAGCCAGTCAGATCAAGCTGGAGATCTAAAGGTCATTCAACACCTTAGGAGTGTGGCAACCCTAGAGGACCTGGAACAAAACTACATAGCAACGCCGCTCGAGGAGTTCTGGCTAGAAGGCCCCAACGGTCGGCATCTCTGTTTCATCATGCCTATAATGGGGTGTGCGGTATCTACATGGCGTTCGAAACTGGATGACGGGGATGAGGCCACAAGCCCCTGGATTAAAGCCGCATGCAGGCAAATCACCAAGGGAGTTCGCTTTCTGCACGAAAAGGGGGTCTGTCACAACGACCTGAGACCCAACAATATTCTCATTAAGCTCGATCAGCAAGCGATCCAGCAATTGGACAAGGAGGAGATGGTGGAAATTCTTGGTGAACCGGATGAAATCGAAGTCGAGACCACATCTGGAGCCGATCCTCGCCCGATAGCCCCTGAATACTGTGTAGCCCCTGCGACGTTTCTCAAGCACAAAAACCTATTCACCGATCAGATTGCCATTGTCGACTTTGGGGAATCTTTCTTAATTGAAGATCCCAGATCCACTAGTGGGATTCCTCCAACCTATGCTGCCCCGGAAGTCTTGTTGGGGGGCAGTCTCGGGCCTGGCACAGACATCTGGTCGCTGGCCTGCACGTTCTACAACATCCAAAGTAAGGACCTGCTACTCGGCGGAAGCTTCTACGGATCAGAAATCAACCAGATAGTCCACGAGATAGAAACCTTTCTCGGGCCGTTGCCTCAAGAGCACCGGGCACTATGGGATGAGAAGGAGTTCGAGGCTCCAAGCTCGGCTATTGAAGTGAAGACGGACGATGAGACAGAAGCTCTTGGTTCGCCAGCCACTTGCTCCATGGGTGCCCTCCTAGCCACAAGGAATGATCTCATCTCCGGGACCGGCTTTTCGGATGTGTTTGCCGCAGCTATAGGGAAGGAGGGCACAGGTCAGTACGAGGAGGAGACGGATGAGGCTCAAGAGGCTCAACCGGAGTCCAACAGTGACGATCATTCTCGCGAGGAGATCCTGGCCCTGAGTCAGCTGCTGCGAAAAATGATGAAATACTCACCCGAGGACCGAATTGATACGTCTTCCATTCTCGTTCATCCATGGCTGTCAGATACAGTTGAGACCGAAACGTCCTCATGCGTGGACGAGCCGGCAGAATCCGACGAACCAAGGGGTTTGGATCGGTGCCGAAATGCCATCCAAAGACTTGATGCCAGCAAGTTATGCATCGGACTTGCATGTTCTCTACTGGTGCCAGTTCTCCTTGCCGTTCTGCTGAGGCTGAACGATTTCGGCGTCAGTGAGTCATCTCTTCAAATCCATTTCGCGGAAAAGATAATTTCTGCGATAACCCGTGCAGAATGTTTCTGCAAAGTACCAAAATCCAATAGGAGGTAAAAGAAAATCCCGCTGGGTTGGACTGCGGTAGCCTGCATATTAGCAATGTTGTTATGATTGTTAGTATATATAAAAAGGAGCATCTGCTTTGTAAAGACCAACCACAACATTTCTTGTTGAGCTCTTCGAGTTTTGTTGAGAGCTAATGAAATCATGCAAGTCGGTGTAATCCTAAGAACTTGAAATGTTGATACATGATATCTAGCTGTGGAATCTAGAACGCCTGCTGCCAAACTTTCTCGGTGTAGAATATGCTGATTCTCTCATTCCTGGCACGCTCCCATCGTCACTGTCTTTTTCTGAGACTGCGTCTAACCTTTGGCTGTGCTACACCTGCCTGTTCATCTGCTAGCCGCTGTTGCTCCTCTGCATCTCTCTCCGCATCACCGTCATCCGGGATGCCAACATCCTCCGCCTGCTGGAAAAATCCATGGCTGTCCGCCTCGCGAATAGTCTGAAAGAAGACGTCGGCCATCATGCCGTAGCCTACATCATCCGGGTGGGTACCGTCAGGCGTGATGTTCTCTATGCGTGGCCTTGGGAGTGTGTCTCCCTCGGGGACAAATTGGTCGTGCATTTCAGCCATGACCACTGGTCTACCCTCCTCTTTCAACGTTGCATATACCTCCCTGATCTGACGGTTGATGTCCAGAATGCATGGTTCAATATCTGGTACCGTGTTGGTCAACAGGGTGGACATGATGACGGTACCCCTCGGCGATGTGCCCAGAAGGTAGTTAATGAAGTCCGTCAGTCGCACATGGTAATTTGGAGTGTCCCAGCGCTGCAGACAATCGTTCGACCCAACGTTCATCAGGAAAACGTTTGGCTTTGCCTGCGGAACGCTGTTCGTTGCCCAACCGTGGACTTGGTCTACACGGTTGCCGCCATGGGCCTCGACATCGTTGTCCTTCATCTCCCCAACCCTGGCCGAGCCAACCATGTTGACCTTGTTGCCGACCGAGACCAGCTTGTCGCGCAGCGGCTTGCGGAATCCCACGGTGCCATTTGATACCTCGCCCTTGCAGACCGACGCCCCCAGCACCATAATCCTCAAGGGCGTACCCCCTGCGATGGGCGGCTTAGCGGTCAGAGAGTTGCCATAATGGTGTATCCATTGTGTGTCGAAGCCTACCGTGTCGGTCAGGGAAACAACTGTGGCCCCCAAATTGAGGTTAGTGAAACAGATCTCGCCTATCTCATGAACAATCTGGGGATGGGGTCTAGGGCGTTCTCCAGGGGCAGTAGCGCGGTACTGCTAGCTGCCAACACAGCTAGCGGAAGCTGGGGGAGACGGCACTCACCAATCAGCAGAATGGAAAAGCAGGCTCCAACGAACACGACGGAGAAGTACTTGCGCGCTAGAACCGGGATCGACATGCCGCAGCAGCTCAACGAGCCCCGTCGTGCAACCATCGTGAACTACATCTGGAAGGGAGACGTCGAGGCATCTGGGGGTCGCAAGAAGTTATTTGATGTCGGATGTCTGGGGAAAGTCAATGAAAGCATGGGACTCGTACGTCCGAGCGGATGACGCCAATCCACGGTCCTATTTGAATGATACATAGTCCTGCCTGCACCAAGACATGCCCCGACGGACTTCCCACGAGGGGCCAGCTGGGAAGGGCGTACCCGCTGTCGCAGGACTTGACCAGTTGCCCAATCCGTTTGCCGACCGCCGAATCACCTTCGCTGGGAGATGCTTTTTCCAGAAAGTCAAACTGACCCGACTGCCCGGGCAATCGGCAGTGCTCATGGCAAGTGGGCATTCTCTCGCAGTTTAATCACTTTCAGCGGACAAAACGGCACATGCTCCACCGTGGATCGTGCAGCTTGAAACATTCCCGGCTTCAGTCACATTACTGCCGGCTCGAATGTGGAAACAGCCCAGGGCGATCTGATCATGATTGCTGTGTGATGCAAGCAAGCATGTTCCACAGAATACTCCTTAGGAAATTGGCATAGGAAGGCGTGCAATGGTACCATCCAGGACGTAGTGACATTGGTCAAGCCACGCTGTGGTATCTGTGAGATATCCGAGTTAACGTCCGAACACCCTCTTCATTCCCCTGTCACCCTAACTTATCTTATACTTCTTCGCGCACGATCTACTTGGTAACTCTTCTACGGCTATCGGCAGAGAGTACATTCAACAAGTCGCGGTGACCTCCTTGTGAGGAGACTCCTCGCTTCCATGACCGAAACTATACAATCCCAATGCAGTTCATTTACAACGGTAATAATGAAACTCCATCTAATGACCCATTTCAATACGTTGGAGACGCACATTCACGATTGTATGCCACGAAAATCTCGTGCAGTTCATTGGCTACGCAGGGAGGACACTTGTTCCACTGGAAACGTTTCTACTCAATTAACTTCCCAATCTGGGTGATACTTACCCAGGTACACTTGCCTAATTTGTGCCTACACAACCTGCAACTCTCTGGCCAGCGAAGTGTCGAGTTTAGAACGTCTCATTTGGATCAAACCGACAGTCGCTCATCGAATCTGACAAGTCTATAGGCTCCATCGCTAGTATCAGGTCGTCCACGTCTCCGAATTCGATCAGAGGGAGTTCGGCGTCACTGCCGTCAGGCGGGTCAAAAGGGCACATTACCCCCTCCTCATCTGTGGACGACAAGTCGCTTAAGGGGTCGACACAGTCGCTCTCCCGATCTACCAGTGCCCACCTGTCACCAAAAGGGTCGAAAATACTAGCATTGTCCGAGTCGCTCGTGAACTCCAGCAAGTCAGGGTGTACCTCTGTGTCCCGGCAAGGCTCACCTTGGTAACGGATGGGAGAGGGGAGAGAGATTCCAAGGAACAGCTTACCTATCAACAGCATGATCATGTCCCCATGAATGACGCCGTTGTTGACCAGATCCTGGGCATGGTCCCACAGCGCCGGCGGAGAGTCCTGGGTGACTTCTCCAGCATTGCCGGGCCAGATGCACCCGCAGTCCTCGTCGTGCTCCCATTGGAGAATCTGCTGGAAGAAGTGCATTCCTCTCTCTGTGTTTCTTAGACGCTGGCGTGTTAGTTCCGCTTGGCAGCCCGTGTCTTCGTTCCGAAACGTGTACAGAGAGCCATGCCCCAGATACGTGATCGAGACTCCATCCAGGAGCTCCGCGATGAACTGAGGGAAGGAATGGCGTCTTGTCATTTCGATGATTGCAGTGCCACTATGACAGCAGGTGATTAGCGATTCTGCCTTCAGAACTGGGAAGAAGCCGGGAGTTGAAACGAAGTGTGCCTCCTATGACAGATATCCAGCAGAGACAAAGTGTGTCGCGTCGCCGGCCATCCCGAATGCCATTCACTGCCACAGGCTTATATGTGCACAACGGAGATCACATTGTATTTCTTGACAAGTAACAAAGCCTTGTTGGCGTTATGAGCTGTATCAAGAAGAATGTACTCTTTAGCCCGCTTTGTCGTCAGACTAGCATTATGATACTGCAAAACAAAAAGACGACCAGGTATCATTCAATAGCGCATCAGGGGTCGCGTTGTAAAGTGCACGTGGCTGATTCACTCTCAGTTCGAATGCCAGCACTTGGGCTCTGTTGGGGATTCCCTTCATTGCCAACTCAACGCTCGCATCCGTAATGAACCTAGAGGATGGGGTGGGTTATACCTGGCAAACTGACTGGGACTAGTTGACCGCTCAGCGTATACCAAACCCTGGGCTTACCCAAAGGCTCACTCATTTTTCACTACTTCGGAGAATATCCGGGAACTCGGAGGACGTTAGGTTGGAAATGGGGTATCAATTAAGTCAAAGAGGGAGTGCCTGCCTATAGCAGCTATGTCGGCTAGCAAGGCTTTCCGTCCTGCGCGCCCACGTTCACTTCTCGGATTTGCGTTTCTTCTTGCCCTTGAGCAGCTCTCTCTTCTCCTTCTTGCGGGTCTCCTTGTCCAAGCTGCCGATGACCTTGCTCTCCTTACCACAAGGCCACTTTTCGAAAGCCGCCGCCTCTTGCTCCTCTGTCCACTCCTGGGGCAGGACAGCGAAGACCAGGTAGGACGTGTGAGTCTTGATTTCGGGTTCTGTCCTGTGTACCAGACGGCCCATCATGAAGGACGGCACAGATGGCGCATTATCGGACGGCGGTTCTGCCGCCGCCTCCCGACCTGCACCATTCGTCTCGGCCGCCGAAGCCTCGACGCTGTCGTTCATTTCCACATCGTCATCGTTCGCCGATTTGGCGGCCTTTTGGTTGCGGCCGTGAAACTCCTTGAACCTGCCTTCGACCTCTCTCAGGCGGTTGACGGCCTCGGCCACGTCGTAGGGAGATTGATTTGAACCCCGATCACCGGGCATGTTCAAGCCAACGCGCTCGCGCAGAACGCCAATGCGCTTGTGTGCAACCTCGACCATCTCAATCTCCATCCAGCCAAGCCTCCGCATGGCATCGACGGTGCGGGTGACCTGTTCAATGCATGGCGAAAAGGTACATAGATGCACCGCCCGATCTGACCGTAAAGGAGATACCCAAGGCTGGTCTTGCCCGTTCACGGTCTCTGTGGCTGGCCTATGCCTCGACAAATGCGGCAAGGCCTTCCACGGCGCGGGTAGATCCAAGAAGACACAATCGGCCTCGGGGCTCTCGCCATTCACCAGAAAACCGTCATTGTAAACATCCCGGTGCGTGATCTGTACCAAGTCGGACAAGTCATGAGCTTTGACCTCCTTCTCCATGGCCTGGAAACGGGCCTCGTTGAATTCAAAACTGTAGACCTTTCCCTTCCTATCCTCTGCGGCCGTAGGGTAGCCATTGTACACGGCGCGGACCGAGGCATGGGTGAAACTGCCACTGCCAGCGCCAGCCTCGATGATCCTCATGCCCGGGCGGGCCCGTATTCGGTGTAATATGTAGCTGTAGTCGGGGGTGTAGACGACTTGAGTGCGGTGAGGCAGACTCATTGTCCATATCTCGGGCGTTGGCGGGAGGACATGGACGAAGCCACTGGCGGCCGTGGCGGGTTTCTTCGCCGAGGCAGCCTCCTCGGTGTCGTTGCTGGGTTCGTCGGTGTCGTCGCGGACCTTGCGTTTCCTGCCCCTCGAGCCCGTGTCGACGACGGATGCACGAATCTGAGAGCCCCATGGCTGGCCGATGAGGGTTGAATGCGGGAACGAGCCGAACCTCGTGTTGATCACGGTGCCTTCTGCGTAGCCATTGACTTCACCAACGGTGTCGTCGAGGATGGCCGGGACGAGGTTGTCGCGGGACAGGTGAACGATGGCCAGAGAGCCGGCCTTTGTGGTCTGGCCAGGGTTGAGGAAGGGGGAGGGCTTCGTCATCGTGGCGGGGCCGCGTACTCGGGCAGAGTATATCTCGAGGCCTGCTGCTGGATTTGAGGCTCCAATGGAGACAGGGTGCTACTGTAGGTCCCTCGATGCTCTCTCAACGCTGTCCTGGCGGCTCTACCCAAGTAGGTGGACGCTCCAAAAATTTCAGACGAGGCTGGAGGTCAGGTCGGATGCGGGGAGGTCTTAGTGGCACTCATCCCACCACGCCGTGCTGTGTCGTAGCTTGGTGCGGCGAATCACGGGCTCTGCAGGACCCCTGCTCTGCCGGGGATCTGCAAGGCTACAGTGGGCTCGACGCAGCGATTGTGCGAGTCTCGGGTGCCAAATTTAGGCCTTGTGGCTTTTTCTTGGGGGCCCTGGGGGGGCCATGGGGTCCCTGGGAAATGTGCAGCTGCCCGTCCCGCACCGGTGGGTGACTGTAGCAGCTCCAGCCTGCGGTGACTCAAAAGGAACATCTGCATAGCGATCGATGCCGCTTCCCGCGAGCTGACTCTCCTTCGTTTGCGTTTCCGGTATATGACACGTTTCCTCGCTCTCTTGCCTCCGGGGCTCTCTTCTCTTCCCGTTCTTACTTGATGAATCTGCTGCTGTTCCGGTTCGTCAAGCACCCGGTCCCATTCCCTCGAGCCCGACCCCGACCCCGAGCCCGTCTGCCGCACATCGCGAAAAGAGGCATCGCAGCCCTCTCCACCATGGAGTCCATCAAGCTGCACAACTCGCTGAAGCCCGGCGCCGCGGTCCCCTTCACGCCCATTGAGCCCGGCAAGATCAAGTGGTATGCTTGCGGCCCGACCGTCTACGACCAGAGCCATCTGGGCCACGCGCGCAACTATGTGTCCACCGACATCATCCGTCGCATCCTGCAGCACTACTTTGGCTTCAAGGTCAACTTTGTCATGAACATTACCGACATAGACGACAAGGTGCGCGCGCCCACATACCCGCTTGTCCCTCTGAGCTCTCCCTGCTCTACGCGACACCACTGACAGATGTAAAACCAGATCATTATCAAGGCCAGGAGACAGCGCCTGCTCGATCTTGAAAAGAAAAAGGGCCACTCCCAAGAGCAGGTTGCAGAGCTCGCCAACGCCGCCTTCCACGCCTACGCCAAGAGCAACCTCCCCCTGCTGATCGACCCGGAAGGGCCCCAGCTAGACATTCAGAACTACATACCAAGGAGAGATGCTGCCTATGGCAAGGTTCTGGCGGGGGGCACCCTGTCAGGCGAGGGAAAGCCAGGCGACGACGAGGCCAAATTGAAGATGCATATCAGCAACATGACCCAGGCAGTCATTGCCATCAGCAAGAACAGCGTCTTCGGCATGGCCGACGAGATTTTGCTCCCTTACCTGGACTCCCTGTACAAGGAGACGATCGACACGAGCGACCAGACCATGTTCACCGACTTGACCCAGTACATGGAGCGTGAATTCACCGACGACATGGACAGGCTAAATGTCATGAGACCCGACGTTGTAACCCGGGTTACGGAATACGTTCCCCAGATCGTCAGCTTCGTGGAGCGCTTGGTGCAGAAGGGCTTCGCATATGATGCCGAAGGCAGCGTCTACTTCGATATTGCCGCCTTCGAGAAGGCCGGCAACCCATATGCCCGACTAAGGCCTGACAGTCGGAATGACAAGGTCCTGCAGGAAGACGGTGAAGGATCACTCTCCAAGAACCTAGGAGGCAAGAAGAGCCCGGGTGACTTCGCCCTGTGGAAGAGCAGCAAAGCGGGCGAGCCTTACTGGCCCTCTCCCTGGGGCAACGGACGTCCAGGCTGGCACATTGAGTGCTCGGTCATGGCTTCAGACGTCCTGGGGTCTCAGATGGATATCCACTCTGGCGGCATTGATCTTGCCTTCCCTCACCACGACAACGAGCTCGCACAGAGCGAGGCCTACTACTGCCAAGGCGGTCATGAGCACCACTGGGTGAATTCCTTCTTGCACATGGGACACTTGTCCATCAGCGGTTCCAAGATGTCCAAGTCCTTGAAGAACTTCCAAACTATCAAGGATGCCCTCGCGTCGACCTACACAGCTCGTAACATGAGAATCGTCTTCCTGATGGGCCGTTGGAATGACGGTGTTGAGATATCTCCTGACATGAGGGCGGCAGCAGACAGCTGGGAAAGTACCGTCAACGTAAGTACATCTGCACTCGATTAATTGCGCCTTGATAGAACCCGAGACTGACAACACCAGAACTTTTTCATAAATACAAAGTCTCTGATTTATGAGGCCAGCGGCTCAGCCTCAGCAATCGATGGGCAGCTTAAGGATCTTACTCTCAGCGACAAGCCGGCTGAGGGCTTGTCTACCGACCTGGAACAGGCCAAGAAGGACACCGAGGCTGCGCTCACCAACTCATTTGATACCCCTCAGGTGATGCGCATCATCCTTGAACTCGTTCGCAAGGCGAATATCCACATTGGCGAGCACAAGTCCGACCTAGATCTGAAGTCGGTCGAAGCTATCGCCAGATGGGTCACCAAGATTGTGGGCATTCTGGGTCTTGATGCAAATGCCCGGCCACCATATGACGGCCTGGGCTGGGTTTCCGCTGAAGCTGCAGCAAACCTTGAGCCCTCAATAGCTGTGGCTCCATACAAGGCCGTCTATGAAGCCGTGACAAAAGACGTCAAGGCTCTCGACCTGCCTGGTGCAGAAGCAGTATCGCAGCTTCTTTCACAATCTCCCGATTCGGAGTTCGATACTCTAGCAAAGTCCGGCAACCGCGATCCCGAACAACTTGCTCTTCCTTACTTGCGCGGTGTCTCGAAGCTCCGTGACGAGCTCCGTCGTATTGCACCAACCGCATCTGCTGAGACCAAGAAGTCCATCTTAGCACTAAGCGACCGCATACGGGACTTCGACCTCACCAACCTCGGAGTATACCTTGACGACAGGCCCGATAACCAGCCTTCTCTCATCAAGTTCATCCCAACAGCCGAGCTTGTTGCAGCACGTGAGGAGAAGGTAGCTCAGGCTGCCGAGAAAGCCAGAGCAAAGGAGGAGGCGCGGTTGGCCCGGGAGCGCGCCGACGCAGAAAAGTGGGAGAAGGCCAAGGTCAAGCCGGAGGAGATGTACAAGTCCGGCGAGGCAGCAGATAAGTACAGTGAATGGGACGCAGAGGGTATGCCCACCAAGATGAAGGATGGCAGCGAAATCCCGAAGAGCCAAACGAAGAAGTTGAAGAAGGACTGGGATAGGCAAAAGAAGGCGTATGGCGAATGGCTGACCAAGTTCGGGGGTGGCGCGGCTTAGTCAACAATCTGGGAAGGAAGTAAAACAAAACAAAATGTCAGGCGTCATCTTCTCTCCTTTTAGTGAGAGTTCCAGATAGAACAGCGATATAGAGCGATCTTGGCTGGAATATGCTGAATGGCAAAAACGGTTATGGTCTGCGGCAGCGTGTCCGTCTATCTGGAGTGACACGTCTGATCCACAATCCTCCTACACAGCACTCGGCCGTCCGCAGCACCACACCCGCAAGATGGTCTACAAGGACATCGCAGTATCCCGTCAAAAGGGGCAACTTGAGATCTATGATAACCATGCATTAACACTACAGGTCAATCGCACACATGTCACCTATTTCTGGTGGATGAGGCTGACGTCTGGGGGTAAGGTGTAATTCTCCTGGGCTGTCCCATGAACTGTCCCATCAAATACCTTTCCTACTTTTTCACGGCTAGCAAACTCAGTCACCAAAAGCTGAATTGTCACAAACACACTAAAGAGAAGTGGTGCAGAGAAGCTGGAAACAGCAACCGAAGCAAAATTGAAATCATACTGTGATACGCCGTGCTTCAGTATCGATAGATGAGGTTACCTGGAATTCTACCGAAGTTACAACAATGTGTCCAGTTTAAGCCTGAGCTGTGGTGGTCCTGGTAATATCTAGGATGCGAGTTGGCTTGCTGGTTATCCAGGAGCCCAATCTACCTGTGTGGCGCCCCGTTGTATCCAAAATCATCCAGTTTGGTGCGGTTTTAGATGCCTTAGGAACCTGTTTTCACAAAAGCAGCTCACTCCGGTGAAGAAACACATATATAAATATATATAAAAGCGGGTCTCTCATCAAACTCCCAATGCTCGCCTGACAGGTTCTCGTTCCATGTGCGTCTCCTGCATAAACTACATAGCTGGATTTATTGGAACGACACTTCGAATATTGATGAACCGAACTGTCTCGCACGTCTTGTTGTCATCTTCACCACGATGGGCGGTCGAGCATTTTCTGATAGTCCTCTGTGCCTGAAGACTCCTAGGATGCCGCCGGATATCTATCGTCACATGCGCGATAAGTGCCATGCTGCTCTCAGACAACGATTTCTCGTGGTTGCCTCACCTATCGAAAGCCCAGAAAAATACGATTATGGAGACGTTGACATCTTTGTTACTTGGGATGTCATTGGAACACCGCTTGGTGGGTTCGAGGATATCACACAGCTGCTAGGAGCCACACATGCTAAGACGAAGGGTCTGGTCAACACCAGCGCCCAATTTGCCGTTCCTGTGAGTTCACTTCCTTCCTATTCTAGCGGAGGGTGATGAAGTCCCTCGAACCTTGGCTCGTGAATATCTGAGAACAAGGCGCGTTCCGCTAAACTAGGAATGTAGTGGCCAATCCATTTGGACGAGACCAACGAGCAGGCCCCTGAACCAGAGTACCGCCATGTACAGATCGACTTGCACGTATGCGATACGCTAGAAGACTTCCACTGGGGGCTGTTCTTCTACGCACATGGGGATCTGTTCTCCATGCTCCGCGTCATGATGCGCCCCTATAATCTTACCGTCACGGTCAAAGGGTTGTACCTACAGATTCGCGAGATGGTTCATAATAAGCCTAAAGTTTTGATCACCAAAGACCCTGAGAAGGCTCTACGCTTGCTGGGGTATGACCCAGATGGGCAAGAATGGGAGAGGGAGTTCAGCAGCTTGGATGAGCTTTTCGTGTACACAACCAAATGCCGGTTCTTCCGCGGCTTCCAGGGCACGAACTTCGAGTGGTCGGATCAGCAGATACTAGCGTTTCGTCCTATTTTCAGAGCATGGATCCGTGACTTCGTGCCCACGTGCAAAGGCCGGTGCTGGGGCACAACGATGTCTGCGGAGGCAGTCCGCGACGAAGCCCTGGAGAAGTTCCCTTCTGCTCGCATGGAGTACCACGAGCTTATAATCAAACACGAAAAGCAGAAGGACCTCTTCACCCGCGTGATCAAGCCTAATGTCCCCGCGAACGACTACGGCCTGCTGTGGCGAGCCATCGCAGCCCGAGCCTTAAGAGAAATCATTATGAACGAGGATTACAGCTTAGAAATCAAGCCGCTGAAGCCGCTAAAGTCATGCGACGGGCTTTTCATCGAGACAGAAGTCGAAGCATTTGTGTCTGACACATGGCAGCAGGTAGGCGAGGCAGCTTGGGAGAGACATTATGGCGACAACGGACGGTATGACCAAGCCCTTGATAAAGCGGTCAGGTTGGAATGCGAAGAGGACGAAGAAGAGTGCGATAATATCTGCCCTCAGGAGATATTTGAGGTGTGCTACGAAGAAGTCGAGTGGTGACTTGAAATGGAATTCATGCCGAACCTATCTGACTTAAACGACTGAGGATGTTAGAAAGAATTATATGATCTGCTGTGTATATTCCACAAGGCAGTTACGAGCAGGCTCCGCATTCTTACTCTTGTCATAGACGTCACAAGTTACGTAAAAACTGCACAGTCGGTCGTGACAGGTTGTGGATAGGTTCAGTGATCGCTGTAATCGGCGAAAACTGTGGTTCGGCCGATGAGGCGGAGCGCTCCGGAGCCTAGGCGATTCACGGCGCGGGTCCGTCGGCGATGTCGGTCGGCGTTGATAAGAATACCCCAGTAGTATTTCTATGCTCAGTCATCGCGCTGTGATCATCTGAGTCCTCTTAAGTGTTTTCAGGAAGGGCATTGAGACAAAGTTTCTACTTGCGTCTACTGACAGGTCTTGACGATTGCGGTCGATAACACCAAACCTCTCCACCAGTCGACGATGCCTGAGCCCGCCACATCCCTCAGCCGAGACAAGGCCTTGATCTTTATCCCAGAAGACCCTCGTCCGGAATGGACGTCGAAGCTTCAAGTCAAATATCCGGGTATCCAAATCAGATGGCACAGATCAATTGACGAGAACGGCGCTTTGGTTTCTTATGAACATCTCCCTGGCGAGGTATGGGATGATCTGACGGTGTTGTGTGCTTTTGCGCCACCTCCAGCTAAATATTTGAGGAATGTCCGATTCGTCCAATTGACATCTGCTGGTGCTGATAAATGGATGCAACACGAGACTTACAAGGATCACCGCGTCATCTTTTGTACTACGAATGGAATCCATCCGTGAGTAACATTGCCGGCCAACACAGTGCTGACGAGCATGCATGGACTGATGGAACATTATTATGCAGTCCACAGATTGCAGAATGGGTAATCGGCACCTGGATATCCCACCAGCATCACTTCTCCCGATACGAATCCCAAATGCGACGTGGGTATTGGGAGCCGCCATACTCATCAAGAGTGCAGGATTCCACAAGAGCTCGGATGTAAGTTTCCTCTTCTCGCATTCCTTCCATGTACTCGAAACTAACCGCTAATAGGGGAATACTGGGTTATGGAGCAATAGGCAGACAGTGTGCACGACTAGCTAATGCGATGGGGATGGACGTGTACGCATACACGCGGACGGAGAAGACGACGGCAGAATCCCGCAAAGACGACAGCTACTGCGTGTCGGGAACCGGTGACCCTGACGGTTTAATACCATCAAAGTGGTTTCATGGCGCATCGCGGGACGAGGTTGACACTTTTCTTGGCCAGAATCTCGACATACTGGTCATCAGTCTGCCACTTACGGAGTCGACTCGTGGCATAATTTCCCATAAGCAATTCGAAATCCTCAGCGTAAACAAGACGTTCGTCTGCAACATAGCGAGAGGTGGGCATATAGACCAGGAAGCTTTGATCCGAGCCCTGGAGACGGGGCAGATCCGTGGTGCCGCGCTAGATGTCACCGACCCGGAACCGTTGCCAAGGGATCATCCACTGTGGAAAGCTCCGAATTTGTTGATTACACCGTAAGTGGCTTACCCTGAAGCAACAGAGGCTTACTGTATCTGTTTTGCATCGAGTGCCGTCTACTTTCTGACTTACATCTACAGACATGTGAGCTGGCTGAGTGATTACTACTGGGACCGGATTCTGGACATTCTGGAGATAAACCTAGAGAATTTGGCTGAGAATAAGGCTCTGATAAACGTCGTGAATCGTCAGCACCACTACTAGAGTACTATGTAGACCCGGCTAGGTTTGGCAGACGAATATTGGAAAGCCTTTAGATCCTCAGTGTAGTGCAGGAACAGGAAAGTGGGGAGTCGTTGAGTTTGTTCTAGACTATATATTCTGACTCGTCTGGTAGCAAGTGCCCAAATAGGGGGTCAATTGAGTCCTGAAAGCTTGTTACTCGATGCCACACCAAAATGATTAATCATCTAGGCCCAAAGTCTGCTGCTATGCAGGTTGAAAGCTGGGTGGTGGGAACTCTCCTGTCAAAACTCGTTGCCTTCGACGAGTTAACCTTGATACGATTGGCGTACAGTCCTTCGGGACTTCTATGCCAGCTCTATCAAAGATGAAGTTCAATGTCGAAAGACTCCTCAATAGTCTAGGCCACAAAGTAGAGCTATTGAGCCGTAGTTATCAAGTCAACCCGACTTTCCGTCCGCCCCCATGAAGAAAAAGCTGAGAACGGAAAGCTCCAGGTTCGACATAGCAAACGGCTTGAAGATGACGAATTCTTAGGCCGTAAGGGATGCATATTGTCGGAGGCGGGCCGCCCTGGAGGTTCTAGACGGGACTCGTTTCCGTCCATAGCCGCCAGTAGTTGTACACTTAGCGCCTGGGAAAGCATGCATTCTCGATGATGAGCTCCAGATAGCTCAGCCATGTGCCGATCGCCAAAGTCTAATTCGGGCAAGCTAGCACCGCATCGGGGATGAACTGCTTCCGGGGTCTTGGATCGCCAGTACGAAACCTGACTCGTGAAAACTTTATTGCCCTCGAGGTCTCGAGTTACATCATATTGTACATGGGGTTAGATCTTTCCAATTGGCTGGTTCTGGTGTCTAGTGCCAAAGGCTTTTCAACAGATCCCCAGCCGTGCGCAAGAGATACTCCTCCTTTTTCGCTGCCGGATGGTCAATGCACGCCTTCCACAAGCGCTCATACAGCCTGAGATTTTGCTCGATTGATTGCGAAAACCGTCAGTGTCACGAACAGGATGTCTTTTTGGTAATAAATCCACTCTCTCACCATCGTGGTCTTACACTGGCCGTCCCAGTTTTTGGGGTTCCACTTCGTTTGTATACAATCCTTCAGCGCTGTGTTTAGCGGCTTCCATTGGTGCGCAGTAAGCATCTAGTCAACGGAGACGTCTCGCTGAGTGTTGCACGACCTCCCTGCCTCGAGTGGTCATCACTATAGAGGTTACATTTCCAAGACGACGAGCCTACGAGGGGACAGAAGTGGTAGGGGGTAGGAGGGAGCGTTACGATCATTCGAATCTCCCTTACGATGGACGGCGGTACGGAGGGGGCATTACCTCAGAAGAAAGACGGCTTCCTCATTCCACCATGGTATGAGTATCAAACGCCAAACCTTTACGATCTGAACATTGCGAGTATCATATGGGGCTTCTCCCTCGCATGTGCCGTCTTTACCCTGAAAAAGGCAATTCGGCAAAGCTGGAGGTCATATAAGAGGGGAAAAATACGGAACCCATACATTGTCATGGTCTGGGCTGAGTGGACAGTCTGTGTCGTTATATCCGTCGTCGTCTGGCTTTTCTTGAGCCCAAGTTCGAGTGTACTGCCGAGCTTTTGGTTGTATTTCGGCCTCCGTAAGTCAGGGCGCTTTTGACACAATATTATCGCACTCGCTAACTGTCCACTCGAGTGTGTCTTTGGGTAATCCAGATCCAATGTATTCTCCAGATCATTATCAACCGTGTGCGGCTTTTGATGACAGATCAGAGGAGGGCTGATCACCTCAAATGGACTGTTGCCATCTTTATTGGTCTCATCAACATCAGCGTTTTCATCATTTGGATACCTGCTCGGCTTCAGATATCTCAGAAGTGGATCGGGATCAACAACTGGTGGGACCGCGTCGAGAAGGCACTATTCGGCGCCGTCGACATTGGTCTCAATCTATACTTTGTATACCTGATACGTTCGAGACTTATCGCCAATGGGTTGACGAAGTACCAGAAGCTTTTCCGCTTCAACATGATGATGAGTTTCATCTCAATGTCTTTGGACGTAAGACATATCTACGGCGTCTGACAAGCAAGAGCAATTAACTGACCAACTCTGAAGGTTCTTCTAATAGGAGTCATGTCGCTGCCGAGCAATACTATTTACCTCCAATTCCACCCATTGGTATACCTTGTCAAGCTGCACATCGAGATGAACATTGCCGAGCTTATCGTAAAAGTGGTGAAAGCGACCAACCACCTGAATGAATACGGAACCGAGAGGCAAGGCGTGCACATAACACCCCCAGGCGGCGGCGCTCACCCTTCGCACAGGTTGGCAGGAGGCAACATACATCGGTCTAGTGGTAAAAAGGTGACCCCCTTAAGCGGGGATCTAGAGGACTGGGATACCCCTAGCGGGTCGGGAAACAAGAGTCGTGCAGAAGAAGAAGCCTTCGATCAGGGTCCCCTCATGGAAGATGGCGGGGGCGGTCAAGGAGACGATCACACAATCAACTGTGCCGACGAAGGGGTAGCTCAGTGTGAAGAGACGGCGGTGGAGGCACCCGGCGACAAGTCCGAAGGCAACTCGAATTGCACTTCGACAAACGTTCTTGCGTCCAAAGAGTAGGGAATTTTCCACTAAGGAGCATACGATGATTGGGAAGTTACATACAAGCGTAGCGTAGCATTATGTTTATTTGATTCAACAGGCACGGAAATATGTCTTCTAGAGCACAAGAGATTGACTGATCCGCCAGGCTTCCAACCCAGGTCATGATTGTGGTTAGTCCGCTTGAAAGGGGGCTCCAGTTCATAAGTACTCAGCTGATGAGACATCTAGCGACGTGTCAGGAGTATTAAACCTGTATTTTTGCGCCAGGGAAGTCTTCTTGGTGCTCGTGAGCTACTGATACTATACCCATTGAAATGCCTCTAAAGTCAGCGAAGAATTCCTGCAAAATATTCACACGGGCCTAGAATGATTGGAACTTGTGACGTCGCCATAGTTCATCGGGGAAGATTTTGCTTGAGTCACTAACACTTGGTGAGCCTGGCGTACGATGAGGCATCACAAATCTACCTCGAAAGCGAGTATCGTAGCTAAACAGCAAGCTACGTTGGGACCACATGCGTAGCTGCCAAAGTTCTCGGATCTCGCAGCTGCACAAATCGCCCAAATTCCCAGGCCCTTCGAAGTTTGCAAGTACACCCCGCTCAGAACTTCGTCACGCGGCAATTAATTAAATTTTCGTCCTACGCTTAGCAATGCCCTAGGTCGAACAAACATTCCTCGACTCGTCACACCCGCAGCAGTGATGATAGTGGTTGAGTTACTTTCTGCTCATGTGTGACCTATCTGGGAGGCCAACGATCATCTCAAGTTGGATCACATCAGGATTGGCCCCGTCGGTGACAGGTCCAGAGAGTTCAGCGCTACAACAAGGTCCATCGAAGTCCAGCATGGAATACTGTCAAGATGGCCTCAGTTCAGGCCCCAAACCTGCTCGACCAACCTCTCCTGTGCCCCACCACCATGATACGAAGCTTCAGAAGACAGACGATACTGCGAACATTGTTGAAATGTTGGACAAGCAGTCCAGCGATACTCCTCACATTACCAACTAGATGGCCCTTCGTGTGGAATCATATTGCGTAGATGACCTCGCCAAAAATGGTTTACTACCAAGAGATTTACCTTGAACAAGAAGACGATGGGCTGTGGAAACTACAAACTCCGCTTCCGAAAAAGCTGGAGGTACCTTTGGACCGCACCATGGACACCATCGTGGACCAGGGTTTTTGCCATCCAATACACACCCGTAAGGGGTTGCGAGAGCGGCTCAATATTTCTGCAAAGCCAAAGAGTGGATTCACGCCAAAAAGGCCACACAAGAATACCCAGAGGAATGCAGAAGCACCTTACAAGACGGTGGTTAGATCTAAAAAAGCAAGCACTCCAGACCCTGATTTCATTAAGCAAATCTTTCGCACCCAGAAAACCCTTGGGCTGCTACAGCACGAAGGCTTGTACTCACGTAATAGGCTTTCGAGCGACGGGGACTATGTACAGTGACAGTGAGACAGCTCACCAGCTGTTTCGAAATGCCGGCTTGGCTCCAAAAGACGAGAGTGAACAGCAGACAAAACTCATCAAGCAGATATGCCGCCACGCCGAGGTCCGCAAGTTCTTCGTGACCACAGGGTGGCATCAGCCTCAAATTCCGCTCATCGTATTCGTGAAGGCCCTGCCGAACCCAACAGAACAGCTTCAAGCCTTCAAGAAGGGAGTGGCATCGCGTGAACTAGAATCATGAAGGGATATCGCCCAACTAGTCTCGGCTCTTGGAAAAATCCGACAAGCTAATACGGGTACTTGTGGCCTTATGGACAAGCGTGATCATCACCAATGTCTTGCTGAGAGGAGTCTGGTATGCATCGCAGAATGCTATTGCGGTTTGCCTTGCATTGATGGTGATATATACGATTCGGTTTTTGCCGCCTCGGTCCATGACCGCTCTAAATGACTGTGGATTGAGAAGGTAAATTGGTATACAATAATTTAGGTACCTTACTTTGCACCCCTTGGACAGGCTCTTTTTCTCGGGTGTGTGTTCGTATGCGGATTCGAGGAAGCTTATGGCATCGAAGGACCGGCATAATCTGCCCGAACTAACTAGTCTAGTCAGACGGTGGGGAGAAGTTATACTCGAAAAGCGTGGAAACGATTATTTGGAGACATTTGCCCAGCTTATGGTCTCGAACTTGCCTGTCAAGTTCTGGAAGTTCTGCGAGGGAACCATCGATCCTGGTGATACCACCCAGCGAGACCTACTAAACTGTGTGAAGTCTCGCCATGGCGTGGACAAGTGAAGCAGGGATCTTTGGTTGGAACGGGCGGCGAGGACACACGTACGCCCTCGACTTACAATAGCTCAGGGCCCAGCAGCGGCTAGGTTGACAAATTATTCCGTAACACGCTGCGTATCTGGTGAGAAATTCAGAGATACAGTGTATCAAGCATGCGTTTCTTAGCTAAACACGACGCACGTAGCACATGTTGCAAAGACCTCACTTGGATAGCTTTCGATTCTGGCAACGATTCTGACAACGTTTAAAGTCATTCGACTGTAGTGCAAGTATAATATAAGAAGTCGTGCATTGGAACTGTGGCATGATGTAGCGTTTCAAATTGAACGACACGTGCTTTGAGCACAATGCCTTTATTCTTTGGATTACCAGCGCCCTAGCATCCTGTTCTGGTATGTCGAAAGCCGAACTGTAACCTGTATATTGGCCGCTCCGACGATGGAGCAGGGTTCCAGTTTGCCTCGTTCCCTATTTCTTCATAGCAGCATAGAGTTCAAGGGCCACCAATAAGGCCGCCTATTCACAACAAGAAAGTGTGCAAGGTGACGGACATTGATTCGAAACCCTCACCGACCTTGAATGCTGGGGACTACAATCTTCACGCAAGGAACGGCGTCATTAAGTGAAAAGAACAATGTGCCGCTGTCTTCTAGATAACAGTAAGTACCCAGATGCAACGTGCCGCGTTCGGACAAGGTATGCGACGTAGTCGATCGTGTCGGGAACGCCGTAACTACAGTGAAGATGTCATATCTGTTACACTTTCAAACATTAAAAAGAGCATCCTGAGTTTGCCTTCCAGGATAGCGTGATGAGTCCGTTTGCAGCCGGAACACACATAGTGTCACCAAATGAAAGAGATATGCAAAGCAAGTAATCAGTGTCCGTTGGTATTGTTGATAGCCCCGTCGGCTGTCCCATTCTACGGAAATAGGAAAGCCCAAGCACCGTTGGACAAGGTCTATACCATAGATATATAGATATGAGTAAGCGATATATTTAGTAACAGAGTAGGTGGCAGGTAGTTAGAGCGGACAGACGGGGGGATTGCCGGAAGCTTGATGCTCTTGCTGTTTGTTCAAGATGGATGGGCAGCACGTTGAGTACACGTGTGGTTGGCATGCAGAACTCCAAACGTCGCCGGCATTTGATTACCCGTAGGGCCCTTGACGACGATCAAATTTAGAGACCGGGCGAGTCCCATAAAAGTGTGCCCCAGAGGTCTGGTTCTGGTCTGGACACCGTCGCAAGCGTTTGCTAGGGTATTCCGTACATGGTTAGCGGTCTGTCAGTCCCCCCAGCTTAGTTACCAGTCGCCTAGAGACGGCAGGCGATGAGAGAAGAGAAAAGAGAGCGCCAGGCGCTGACGGACGCGACCCATGGCGACCACTGTGGCCGATGTATCCGTGCTACCATGTGGGTGGACGTCGACGTAACGTGGACGTGGATTGTGGCCGTGGCCGTGCACCGCCACCGGCTGTGCCCCTCCCCCCGATGCCTCCCCTATCCAAACGACATGGGACCAACGACCAACGACGAACGTCCGTTCTGGTCCTCAGCTATTTACGAGTTAGTGCACTCCGCGGTTTACGTTAGTGCATGCAGGTCTTCTGTCTGGGTCTTGTTGTCAGCAAATCTTCGTAATCTTGTTTCAACGCGTCAGATGCGTCGGTATCCAGCAAACTTGGCGATGAGGTAGTCGTGGTTGCAGTCAACACCTGTCGCTCATTTCCGGGCTACCCAGTTGGATTCTTTTGGACCTTGTTCCGCTGGCTTGCCTGCTTGATGGATGAGGACTCCCCCAGAAGCCCTTCACCCTCTTTACGATCGACGAATATGGCCCGGCGCTGGGCTCGCAAGGTGGAACGCTATTGCTGCGCATGCCTGACCTACTTTCCCCTGGCCTTCGTCTACGGACTCACGACATGGGCTGTATGGGTAATCGTCAGGATTGGCGGTGCCAGAAACAAAGTTAACTGGATAGGTAAGTTGGGAGAATTGTAGGGTCCAATGTCAGCATCGCCCGTACTAATGGGTTCGTCCGCCAGGCACGAAATCCTCCATTGGCGGTGTCCTGCTCTATGCGCTGCTCAACTGGTGCTATACCACGGCCGTCTTTACCGACCCGGGCAGCACGACGAATGCCTACGGCTACTCGACACTCCCTACGAACGAACCGCCGAATGCGACATCCTTCACCGTCAAGTCTAATGGCGAGATGCGCTTCTGCAAGAAGTGCCAGGCCCGGAAGCCGGATCGCGCGCACCACTGCAGCACCTGCCGAAGATGTGTTCTGAAGATGGACCACCACTGCCCTTGGCTCGCCACCTGCATTGGTCTGCGCAACCATAAGGCTTTCCTCCTGTTCCTCATATATACGACCTTGTTCTGTTTCTACGCTTTCGCCGTCTCGGGCTCCTGGGTGTACTCAGAGCTGGTGGCCCAGACTCAATATGTCGACTCATTCCTACCCGTCAACTACATCATGTTGGCTGTCATCTCAGGTATTATCGGCCTGGTCGTAGGCGCATTTACCGTTTGGCACATATTGCTTGCCAGCCGGGGTCAGACCACCATCGAATGTCTCGAGAAGACTAGATACCTGGGGCCATTGCGGAAGCAGATGCAGCACCAATTTGTTGCGCAACACAACGGGGAGGGTGTACCGCTTCCCAAGTACGGACAGCAGTTGTTGGATATTCACGCGAACGCGCTTCCTGGCGTTACCCGACCGGAGGAAGGAGAGGTTCGCATCAGCGTCGACGGCGGCCACGAGGACCGCATGCCCCCTAATATGTCGTACGAAGATATGGAGAGACAACGGGCCAGACGGCGGTATGAAGAATATCTAGATGAGCAGGATTCGGAAAAGCTCCCAAATGCGTTCGACCTTGGTGCAAAGAGGAACTTGCTGCACTTGTTCGGTCCTTCTGCTCTTCTCTGGTTCTTTCCCATCATCAACACAAGTGGAAATGGTTGGTCGTGGGAGGCGAGTCCAAAATGGGAACAGGCCCGAGAAAGGCTAGCCCGCGAGCGCGATGAGCAAAGACAAAGGGAGCAGGCAGCGGGCTGGGGAAACGAGACGCCTCAGTTCGTCCGAAGCCCTGCGTACGCCCCTGAAGACGTGGGCGTGACCAGACAGTTTCTGGCGTCGCCAGTGCCCTCAGCCGGCCGGCGGACACCTTCAAAGGCCGATCGAGTACTAGGCCGTGATCCTAACCTGTATGCAGATGAGCCATCGACATCAGTATCCATGAGGAAGCTGACCCCTCACGGGGTCGAGATGGATGATGACTATGACACGAGCAGTGATGAGGACCAGGCGGCGGCAGAACACAGAGCCATGAACGTGGTTACCAACGGTCGCTGGGCAAGGAATGGTGCGAGCGGCCTCCTAAGAAAGCCTACAAACTCGAGGCTCTCCCCGACGAGTGCGTCAGCACAGCACGACGACGAGGTAGACTGAAATGTTATCATATTGTAGTATCAGGAATGGAATTCGTTCGTCTTTGCTTTGGGTCTTTTCGTCGAATTCTACGTCGCGGAGCTTATGCATGGTACGCGGCGTTTACAATGTGTTCATGGCTTCATGGACTATGGCCGGGTTTTTGGAGACAACAACAACGCTTTGATTGCAAGCGTGGCGAGATGAAATTCGAGAAGCGATTAGAGGATTCATTGCACGTTTGGATTTGCTCAGGCAACATGGGATCTGAATAGAGATACGAAGCTTTTATACGTAAATAATACTCAAACGGTCCACGTGCTTTTCTATTATTGTGATATTATTTGATTTCGATATTACTTTATATCTGATACAAGCCAACTACTGGTGGTGACTGTCATGTCTGCCGAGGCTGAGCGCGCTATTTTGGTATTCTCTTCATGGTTCATTACGGGAAGGTGGCTTACCCCTGTCCGTTTATACCACTCCTGATCCAGCTTCATGAAGACTCTAGTCACTTACAGAACGATGTGGTGCATGTTTGTCACCTGGCACGCCTTCCTGATTTCGGTGCTCGCTGACAATGATTGCTGCGCTTTGCCAAATGACAGGACCGAAACTAGAGAGCGTATTTCGTGTTTGAGTGGGAAGTGTGAGAACTATCGACCACTTTGCGCGCTCATGGACTTGGCACCTGATGAGGCAATTATTGCAATGCCACCGCCTTCGTGGTTAGGAGAAAGAGGCATCGCTTTAGAGCCTGGTCAAAGTCATTGGAAGATAATATCACGGCATCTCTACATGAATAATGGGCGACAAATGTTGTCAGGGCCCACGAGAGCATCTCTATTTATTCAACCTTAAGGGGTTACCCGCATCCTGGCTTGATCAGCGTCTAGATGCGACTTCGGGTCCTTATTCTGCGCACAGTGCATAGGAGCCTCATCTTGAGAAGATACATTTTTTGACCGCCAAGCCCAACTCGCCCACAATGCCACGCGATAGAATAGGCAGCTATCCCTGAGGTCCTACCACTCAACACCATGTTGCACGCAGAACGGAGCCTTCTCCCAGACGGACTTGAGTCGCCGACGAGGTGGTTTCGGCTGTCGCGAGACCCAGCGAGATCCAATCGGCCACCAGTCTCAGGTATACCAAAACGAACCTTGCCGCAACAAGCGCTTCTTCGTCGAGATCATGAGTCGTGCTCCCTGCGCTGCGCATGTCACGCCCCGAATCCTGCGGACCCAGCCCTGCGTATCGCCTTCGGGTTGGCTCGCGGCAAGTGGGCCCTCGCTGGGCTGTACGATGTATGCATGCCATGCAATGCAACAGCCTCCGTCTGTATGCAATTTGTGGAGAAAGGACAACAGCACAGTAGACGTGCGGCCCCGTTTCCCTCGAGGGCAGAGGGAAATTGGAAGGGAAAGAAGAATGTTGTGGATTCCCTCATTAATCGCTTCGCAATATCTTTGTTGCCGATAGCATAGCGCAAAACATGCTATCAAGGTCCCAAGGGAATGGTGGCCGCCAATCGAGAAAGTTTTGCGAGTCTATAAAAAGGTCTCGGATCCTGTACGAGGACAGCGTCGTCAGCCATAAACTGCATGCGGGAAGGGTACCGTTGGCGATAGATACCCATGACTACACACCCCCCCGTGTCGAGTCACCAGATAGAAGCTTCCTGAAGTTTAAGTCGGCTGCTAAATTTCAGCACTATGCTGGAGCCACGTAGCCGTTGCAGGGCAGATCAGTGCCTTCGGGGACCCTGGGGCCGTTGTGATGTTACATTATCCTGTAAGTGCCCCGTATTCCTGACTCACTTGTCATGAGTTGTCCTGAACAATGGTGGATAGCCTGTGGACTCTATGAGTACGAAATGCATGACGTGTCCCAGATCCGCATGCCTACGAGAGACCGTAAAGAGGCCGACTGATCATCGGATCTTGGCATGTCGAGCCTTGGTTTTCTGTTTTGCTGGTAAAGAGTCAGTTTGAATGATTATTCCTCGCCGCATGTGTGAAAGAGACTATGAAACTACAATAAATATGTGATGGGCTTATTTCTTCAATCACAGGTCTACTAGTACCACGACGTTGAGGGCAGTGGTGATCACGTGTTCCCCTTAACTACGGAAACCGAAAGTACTCTAAGTCAACAGCATTCGAAGAATGGGGAAAGATTGGTAAAAATTCCGCGTAGCACAACATCTGAAACCATGATTATTTGAAATTGCGTGATGGAGTAGATATGCTTTGCAAGCATGGCCAGATGATCGGCCCACAGGTTCAGTCCAATTTGGCTTTGCGTGACAGCACATTGTACCGCTACTTACTTCTCAGAACGATACATTCAGCTACCTGTCTTATACCAAGGTAGCCGCAAGGCGTACCTTGACTGCAGAGCGCTTCAAGCTGCCAAGACTGAGACAAACAAACTACCTTTGCCGTATTGGAACCCTGTCACCTGACACGGCACGCCTCAACAAACACTCAAACTCTGGCCAGGTAGATAGGGCAATAGAGGCGCAATAATCTCATGGAATTCAGGCCCCTGTATGCTAGTTGTGAGCGTGTGGCGCCAAAGCTCTTGAGCAATACCTCATCGAACTCGGCTGCTGCAAGTACCCGTGAGCAGCTTGCCCTCCGATTGCGCAATCTGCCGGAGCATCTACATCTGGCTTCCCATGATAGCTCCGTTGCAGTCGAGCTAATGTAAAGAGGTAACGGAAGCGGCTGTACACCTCACAAGGCGTCCGAAGTGTTCCAGGTGCCTCACAGAAAATCAAACAGTCTTGAAGCACATGTCTGGGGGTCAACTCTGTTCACGGCCGAAAGCTAGCTGGTGATCGAACCAGAAATATCAGACTACACAGAAAAGAGGGGAAAGCGTTTTCAAAATATGCTCTCGTTGCGTTCCTGTCTGTTAATCCACCAAACAGCTGTCATTGCGGCGAGGCGGACGCCAGGCGGCCAGGTACCACGGCCGCCCGGCAGACAGCAGGGGGGATATTGCAGGGCCCGCTGAACACTGCAGAGTGCCGAAATCTATGTGTGTGTCATCATGTGTTTCTCAGTGCAGCCAAAACTGTCTCTTGGGCCGCGCGCAAGTAAGGGCGGGCGGGTCCCATGAGACGTGCATAACAAGGCGAGAGAATACAGAAGTCGGAACTCCGCCCGACAACAAGCGGAGGAATTTTTTCCTCAACTCGAAGTCCCGCCTGACTGGGCAAACAGGGCTGCTGCGAGCCACGAGGCCAGCTGATGCTTGCTATCGCCCCAATTGCGTGTAAGTACGACCACGCCAGACGTATACACTGAGGCTCACGTGCAGGAGTAACACACGCCAGGAAGGAAATGAAGCGTTTGGTACTTGCGGAAGGACAATGCGATCAATTGAGTTGTCACTAGGACAAAATGTATTCGTCATTGAATTTTTCCTACATGGGCGGCTTTGTAAACAAAGCTCAGCCCAATTTAAGACGAACGTCGGCAGCCACCTCCCGAATACTAGCAGTCCGTAAGTAAGCGGTCTCGGGTTGACGGCTTGTTCGGCAGGGTTTGCTATCAGTTGCAACGACGTTGGACGGATCGGGCTTGGCTACTCCGGCATCCTGCATGACGGTGGCAGGTGACTGGGAGCTGGGGGCCGTGCCAACGTGCCTAATCGTCAAAAGAGTTGCAGCAGAAGATGATAGCGCCACCTCGCGTAAGGTATCAAGTCAGATTGACGCGAGTATAGCTGCAGCTCATTCCTGGTCCAGCCCCGTCTGGGGGCAGGATCTAGCCTTGCATGTTGCTGACTGCCGGAAGAGGGCGCAGCACAGAGCTATCAGGCGGTCAGTCGATAAGTTCCATTATCGCTAACAGATGCCCTGACAATGGGAGACTCAATTGATATTTGACTCGTCGATTTCCTAATTAGGTGCACCTGACGAAAAGGGAAGATTGGTCTTGTAACACAAGCCATATCAAGACCGAAGCTAGGAAGCAGTCATGATATACTGCTGAGTCAGATAGGGGAGGCTCTGCGGAGGTCAGGCGACTGCCGGCCGAAACGCGGCTGCGAGCATGATGGTGACATCGATTCAATGTCCGTGTATGAGATCCAGATGTCGGGCTACAGCTTTCTAGCAAGTCCTACTATGGGCTGCAGCAAAAATACGGTCACATTTCCATATATTAATCGACCCAATTATTTCGAGCGCCCTCTACTGGGGTTGCTTTAGCAAAGATATCATGATGGCTCAATTTGCGCTTGCATACCTGGTGCCGCTGTCGTTATGATGCCTTTAGTACATGAACGCACAAAGTGTCCCGACGTAACAGGGGCGCTGCGTAAGCTCGCTGATAGTACCACTGCAACTCCCCCTGGACACGCACAAGGGTTCTCCCACATGGGCTTGGGTTCTGCTGATCATGACCTCTTACATTAGCGATATCATTTGAATGGTAGTCAAGCTCCCTGCCCCTGTTGAATGGACCGCCGGGTCCATAGGGCTGTCAGTCAAGTTTACGAAGTACCGGGTACGAAACTATACCACTGTGGATACCAGAAGTAACTGCTCGCATCACAATGCACCCGCCCGATCATCCCGGATCCTAAGTCAGCGCAAAGCCTGCAGCTGTTGCGAACGAGGCGAGCAAGTGCTCTAGCTAGCGTCGCTATGTGACCTATCAACTTGGACTGCGTTATTCCGTGGCTTACTTTGCAGAAGGCTGACGGACATTAGACCTCGACAGATACTCCAAGGAGTCAGCGTGAAGATCCCAATGTTGTGCACTGGCCAGTTGGCCAGTCACCTGATACGTCTTGAAGTTCCGTACAGATGTCATGGTGGAAGAGCCTTCTGACTGCTGTCATTTCGTGTAATGAGGTGGTAGCAATGTCGCTTCAGGGCGTAAACCTCGTCGATTGATGCCGGTAGCATTTCGGGAATGGCCAGTGACGACCAGTCATGTATGACAGAGGTCAACACTTGCAGCTCAAGGAGGCTGCCCTCGGTGAGGATTGGTCCACCT